TAGCATTCCTAGGCAGATTCAAAATCTCTTTGGTTTCATAGAAGCAAAGTTGCAATTGGGCATATTATGTACAATTGATCCGAGAGGAGTTTGTCAACTTTGAGTTTGCACTTATTGTGAAATATGTTGGGAATGGTGGTGCTGTTATGAGAGAGGAGAGTGTGAGAGAGAGAGAGGAAGAGATGAATATGATATGATGATGGTTGATGGTGGTGAAGAAGTGGCTTGAAAAGACAGCAAGTAAACCACGACGCATGAGCTTTCCCCACCACCACCGCTAACGAACTCCATTCACTCTCACTCCTCTCTCTCTCTCTTGTATGTGTGACTCTTCTTTCTCCTCATCTTTCGCAACTACGACCACTATCTCGCAATTCCAATCCAATTCGGATCTAATCCCCTCCACCACTCGACGGTCGTATGCCCACCTATTCTGCCCACCGCTTCACTCCTTCGCTCCCTCACTCTTGTAACATTTGAATGCCAGGATTTCTGATTCCATGTAAAATTCAGGCTTGAACTGGTGCATGGATGGGGGAACTTTTACTCCTTATCAAAGAAGAGAAGCTCACCAACACTAATTTGGGCGTTGAGGAGCCAAAATTGCAGTAAAAGTTGGTTAGTTAGTGAGACTTGGTTAGTTAGAAGATGGAAGAGGAGGAAACTTGATTATTAATTTAATCCATTTTGGCAGAGTTGGTTGTCGGGTTGTCGGTGCCTAGCCAAGTTGGTGGGATACTTGGTAAAAGGTTGGCCTTTCTCTAAAGATGAGCTTATGATGAGCCATTCTTCTACTTCCTCCTTTTACCCCTTGTTACTGACCATTGTAAAAAATGCATCGTCTGAGATTCTTACGAAAAAGATGATATGTATGAAGCACGGCACGTTATTTTTGCTTCGTCGTTGAAATCTGACTGCAAATGAAGATATTATTCCTCTTTCATTTTGTCTCATTTATTTGCATGCTATCTAAATCCACCATTTACTTTATCTATACAAACCTAATGAAAAATATAGGCTCGTCCACCCCTTTATTATCATTCATTAATGTGTACTTGCCCTAAAAATGTACTATACAAATATCCTTCGCTTTCTCTAGTTTTTTTTACCCCAGCAATTTTCCCTCGAATTATGGTAGATTAATCAGAAGCACCGTAAATTGTTCATCAAACAGTACTACGGACTGACGGAATTGGTTTACATGTGTACCAGATGGAAAAGAACTGTAGACATAAGAACCAATATAAAAAGCAATAAGTTTTGGTGTGAGGATTAAAACAAAACCCTGCATGTACTGGACGACTTGTTTTCTCACACCACTGTTGAGACGGAAGAAAGACAAGTTTCTTCCGACGTTATTTTTTAGCCTTCACTCCCTCCAGCAGGAAAGAATCGTCCACTAGTTGAATTGACGGAATTGTTCTTTCACTCCGCTTTGCACACTCTTGGGCACATACATTGTAGCCCTGACTGAGAGAAATAGTGAGAAAGAACACCAGCTGGTGGTTGCCTTATTGTATTTTATATTTATTTTGGGTCGAACTGACTTCATCCATATTGCTGATGGCGACGACCTGATGACCTGCCTCCAATAATGCTTCAGCTTTGCAGCCATACATACGTACGTATTTGTACTTGAGTTAGGAAAGGAAATGTACAAGAACAGACAAAGCAAAGTCTCTTTGTGAACACGACTGACTAATGTAAATTGTGCCTGATGGAATTATCAATGAGATAAAACGAAAGGGTTCCCACAGTTGTACATACACACACAAAAAGAAAATAGATGGAATCCTGTCTGATTTGTTAGTTTCGTTGTGTAAGGCAGGCACTCACTTGTCAATGACTCGGCCTGCCTGCCCGGCGTTAATTAATAGAATAATGGAAACTACACGCCAGTCAATAATTTGCTTCAACACTAAAGGTGGGGTTTTTATATTTACGTGATCACTTTGACCAGGCGAGAACGAGTGGCTGGGCGAAATTTTAATTTCGAACTATTAATATAATAACTACACTACATCTGGCAGTACAGTGTAAGAATACAATATGGAAAAGGAGATTTCGGGCTGTATCACATAAACCACAGCCAAAAATAATAACATTTATTAGATAAGAAACCAATGTATACACAAAGCTACCAGTGTGTGTAAGCCTGTTTGGAAAATAAATGAAGACATTGCATTTTTTATCACTCGCTGATGAATGTTAGAGTCAAAGCGAACTCATTACTAATTTTATTTATGGTGAGAAGAGAAAGTTTCGCAAGAAAGTAAATTGGGTTTGGATATTTCCCCGTAAAGAAAAACTTGTTCCATGATACGATAATATGGATTGATAGGTTGTAAGGGATGAAGGAGAAAGTTCAGGTAGCATCGTATGTACAAAACTACAATAAAATGTAGGGTTTGATTTGGGTGTAGTGGATTTACGAACAGAAACATAGCTAAGCCAGGATGGATTTCTAGTGTTTTGCAGGAATTTCCAGAAATGTTGAGTGTTCAATCTTGTCTCTTTTTATTCCTTTTGTATTTGTGTTTCTCCGATGCAGTATGCCGCCCAAGGTGTTGTTATGTTGTGAGATAGCGTGCTGAAGAGATTGCTTCTAGTTGACGTTAGATTCAGGAAATTAATGTTTTGACAAAGTTTGGAGATTAAGGGAGAAACCACTCTGTTTATTGATTAACTTTTTTTTTGTAAAGCCTCTGGGCTTTCATGGCGGTACATGTCAATCCGTAAATTAAAGTGGTACTAGATGAACATAGGAATTTTTTCTTAGAAAGACTGAAAAACGTACAGAAAAATAATGCTTTCAAATATTGCAAGTTTATTTTTAGCAAAAATGTGCTACACTAATTTAAGAATGACTTATTTTCCTTCAAGAAGTCGCGGAATCAAGTGTTTTTAAAGTCAATCTCAACACAAATCCCCAGTCTCTCTTCTTATCCTGTCCTTTAACTACTTTCTCCTCCCAGGTTTTATTTTAGTTTGTAACTTGGTTGAGAAGATGGGGATGTTGGTGGTGTCGGTTGGTTGATGCCACACTTGAGTGAACTTTTCTCCTTTGAGTCACTTTGTTAGTCTTGCTCAAATAAGTTTATACGGACGACGACATGAAAGTGGGGAGATGCGACTATAACTAATGTACTCCTCGCAATACCACCACCACTGGCGCCCACCCACTCACCGGAGACAACACCAGCGCTAACTCTGATATAACTACAAGGTTTATACTTTCTTAGTCAATGCTAGTGTAAAGCCAACTGAAACCATTAAAAGTAATCCTGGTCGTGAACACCATTCTGTTGGAACTTTCTTGCTGCTTAACACTCCCACTGACTAGTGTGTTTCCTTTAAATCAATGTGTTCACACAGTTGGGTTTAAAATTCAAAATCTAAAAATTTGTTTTATTTTATATACATGTGACGTTGGTACGTAGCGGTTGTGTAGGTCATTGCATCTCTGGGATTGCACTCTCTCGTTAAAAATGCAGGATTTTTTGTTTTCCATTGTTTCATAATAATGAAGTGATGCATGTACGGTCTGATAGGCAATAAGGGAGAAAGCTTTATTGTCAGCCTTCTTCAGCAACCCCAAAGAAAAAGCTTTCAATTCTCTGCTGCAGTTCGTTTGTCACGTCTTCTTTATTTTACTTGCTGACTCCACCACATACAACTCCTCGTCTTGCATGCAGTTCTTCGTGTTGGGCTTAATGGAAACACCCCGTGGTTCGTAACATACGTATACATAAATCCCGAACGTTTGATATACTTTGTAGTTCTCTCAGCAGGAGGAATTGTGCTTGATTGGATTCAAAGGATTCTTTTTCGTTTGATTTAGTTTCACTTACATTTCTATTTGCTATAGCTTGCAACGGCTAACATGTTGAGAACTCATGTTGCTTTCTTCTTGTGGCTGGACAATCGATGTATTTATTCAGAAAGGAAGTCATAAACTTGTAATAATTTTGAATATTTATCAATGCGTGATACGTGTGAAAGTAAAAATAGTTATCATTATTTAATGGCGTTGCGTTTTTCTTGCCCGAGTATGTGGAGGGAGGATGAGAAAGAAAATGCATTAGCTGACCAAACGGAGATACATAAATGTTGGGCTAAATGGCCATGTTCCATGTGTGTCTTTCTCTTCCGCTTCTTAGACAAGGAAATTACCTACAATGGTGTATCACCACTTATTTTCTCGTTCAGCACCAAATACACAGACATTTATCTGTTCCGTTCCATATGCTCTCAAAAAGATCAGACTTCTAGGTTGCTCAACTCGGCTGCCGTGGTTTTGCAAGAAGAAGAATTATTGTTGGGTAATAGCTTTATATTTCACTCTTGAGGTTACTCCGTCCCGTATTTTTCCCAACCCCATACATACTCGTGGATAAAATTAATTGTTTATTGATTGCCCGAAATAGACAAAGTCCTGCACGTTTTCTGACGCACAGTTATCATATTTCCAGAGGGTAATTTGGGGCAATTTGTAATTATTACAGTGTGCACAAGATTGGAGAAATTATACATAAACTCTGTCTTGACTTGCGATATTATTGCCATTAATAAGAACGGCTAGCAGTTGCTGCAATTAAACTGTTACCAGTGTATGTAACTACAGATGCGACATATTTATATTTCACCGAGAATTTTCCTAATGCAGTATTCGAGTTTGTCTGGATTGCGGAAATACAGAGATATGTATACATAGACTGTGCATTATATTTATAGTTCGGATACATAATTGATCCCGTGATCTCTCAATGCCATGTTTCGTATTGCTGCTCCTTATCAATACTTGCAGACGCTTGGGTTTACTCTAAATACATACGAATGCGGCAGCAACAAGCTCAGAGTGAAAGCGAGAATTGAGCGGGATTTGGGAAGGAAATGATGAAAAATTAAGCCCCTTCTGTCTGTCAGACTCGGTTTTGTTCATGCACGAACGCACATGTAATATTTGTATTTCTAAATGATTTTATTCTTTTGATTTGCAGCCGTCGAAACTGAACGTGTACAAGAATGATAATGAAAGTTTTGATTACACAAATCCTAACCTTGGTAAGTCACCGAACATTTCAATCCAATTCCACTATCCAATAACTGTGTATATGCATGTTACTCCTATGTTCAATGGCACGAAAAAGTTCTTTAGAGTACAAAAATATGTGTATAAAGACGTTGGAAAAATCCTGCATGTATGTTGTGTGTAAATTACCCCATCTTAACTTCACGTGCATCTATAAAACACAAACCAGAATACAATTTCTTATAAATCTTGGTATTATTGTGTTCGCAATATACATTACGTACTATTTCTATGACTGTTTTAACAAAGACGAAATCCGCTTTCTCCAACCAACTCACCACAATCTACGGTATGACAAATCCTGGACGATACTTTTTTGCAACTTCCTTGATGCTACACATTGTATAATCTCAGATTTCTGCTTGGCATAAACCCGGTCATTTGGTATGTTTTTTTAGTCCTGGACAGTAAGAATCTAATCAGACATGATGCAAATGTTTTTTTACAACTTTCACCACGAGCCACGTCTTTCGGTTCTTAAGACGCTACTTTTATTCGATTTAAATAATTATTAGCATATGTTTGCACGACATTAGCATCGTCTTGGGGCCTTTTGCCATACACATGTTCTCTCTGAGTGCTTGGTTGACCGTCTTAGGCGCAACCTTAATCTGAAATCGCATTCTGTTCAAGGGACGGAGAGGGGTTCATGAATTCGCACATTGAGTACATTCGTACTTTCATCTTCTTTAGCGCGTCCATACCGGTTTACCAGAATATTTTGAGTCATAAATATTCTTTGTGCCGTTGCTCCAGAAACTTTAACAATTTAAAAATCTCAAAAATTCGGGAGCATTCGAAATTTTAATTTTGTATATGGCACTTATGTATGTATTATCGTTGAAATTAGTTGGAAAGTACGGCTGGCTGCAACGAAACCATTTCAGAGTTTTAAGTACGGACTATATAAGGAGATATAATAGCTACGATGAGCAGGCAAGGAAATACGTTTAATTTGGGAATTTGTTCAGTTTTTTGTTACTGTCGCATATAAGCACGAAAACCTTTTAATGAAGAAATTGAAGCCATTATTGTTCAAGTTTTTCTTTCATTCTATGAGCGAGTAAATTGTTCTAAAAGTCGTCACGACGATGCTCAACATTCCAGTAAAGGAACAGGAAGCAAAATATAATGAAGTGGGTGATGGGAGGAATAATGGAACAAGAAGGAAACTTGTAATGAGCAAGGAACACGAAGAAAAGCGCATTATTATTATTATTCCGTATACTTTGACATTGGTCTACGCTTCACTCACTTCCGTTCTAGATTGAGGGGAGTAAGAATAATGAATTCATATTATTACGGACTGATATTGCTTGGATTGATTAATAATGCGATATGGTAAAGGTTCTCATTTCCTATTATTTTCTCTCTTGAAATTGATGCCAAGTCAGGGAAAGTAAAAATCCTTGAAATTTGTTGATATGCTTATGCGTGCCTGTAGTCGTCTCATAACTGTAAGAATTGAGGCAGACACAGAGGGGAATAATATTGGAATACGAGATATCAAATTTGGCTGAATTTTAGCTCTCCACCCTGCACAGAAGAAAGCCAAGAAGATGCCGTGCTTGGGTGTATGCCGTGTAAAAAGTATTTGTGGTTGGATTGGTTTGCTTGTGAGTGAGACGTCCGTACGTCTCTTTCACTTATCCTCCCTTTCTGCTGGCTGCGACAGATATGCAAATCCTTATGTGAATGAAGCAGTAGGTAGGGAAAACCTTCTGTAAAATAAAATCCATTCGATCTGACGACTACGGCTCCTCACAAGGGGTTCATATCCCCCACAGCTCCTTTCTCCACAACATGCTTGAATTTCTAGTCTCAGTCTATACAGAAGGGATTTATTTGATGGAGAAGGTGCTTTATGTCGCAGGGATAATGTACACTCATGTCCTCCGTCATATTTCACTTGAGATCACCCGTCAACTTTTCTTCTCACTTTTAATGCTAGGTGATGCACTACGGCTAAGGGTTCATTTGTACACATTTGTAAATGGGTGCTGTTGTTACTCGGAAAAGTAAAAATCATGGAGAAATATTCAGCATAGTTTTAATTGATGCATTAGTAACAGTAGTTTACATCAGCAAATTTATTCAGATTTCAGCAATAATGGGAAAGCTAATTGGTCTACGCTCTTGCTGTGGAGATGCTCTGCAACCGAGATTTTGGTTTTGAATTCGCTGCGGTGTGCTCGAGTTTAATCGTCCATAAACTGCATTGAGTTACGTTATACATAAATTCTTTCGAGGTATTTATCTGTGAAAGTATATGGATTTGTGGAAGTGATGGGTTTAGTATTTTCATTCCCTGGCTAATGCATAATTCAGACTACCAAAGGGAGGGCAGCCTGGTGGATACGAATTTGGCCTTGAATAACCCCGGAACGGTTTGTCGTAGCGGGTCAAAATTTTGAACAGAAGAGCATGTTATCCTCAGATAGTTGTGTGCAAAAATTCAACTCTCTACTTTCAAAAATGCCTCCCCCACAGCCCCCAGAAGTTTAGACACTCATTTCAACTTTTTCCAAACTCCGTCTACAAAATTCGGTCCCCACAGAAAGATTTTCTTTTCATCTATCCGAACTCAAACAAGTCGATTTGACTTATATCAGGGGATTGTATAGGTATTTCACTATTCGAAATGATTTTTATCCCCAATCTAGGTGCAAGGTCATTTGCATAATCTTGGGTCAACTTTGCCGTCTGGGAGGACGCTCCGTCATGATGAAAAATCACCTTAATTATTATTTTACCGTGCAAATTAGGAAAATTGTATTCTAAAAGTGGTTTCAGTACAAGGTCCACATAATACTTCGAAGATTCCTTCACTTTTTGGGGGACTTTGATAAGTGGGAGGACACCACGACAGGACATTGCACCCACGACCATCAACTGTTTAAAAAAGTTCTCCTCACTGAAAATCACCAAATTTGTTGAATTTTTTTCGGCATTTGTCGTGTAGTAAGCTTTTCAAACCCAATTAGTAACTTGTAGGGAAAATAGTTCTTCGTCAATTGTCACCAATAGCTCACTTCTATTCCTCAACAGAATATTCAAATAAAATTTTTTGCAAACACGGGCGAGATTTTTTCTGGAACTATTCGAAATGACTGTCTCAGCTTCTGGGGGATGTGGGGCAGGCATTTTTCAAAGTAGAAGGCTGAAATTTTGCACACAACTATCCGAGGATAACATGCTCGTCTGTTCAAAATTTTGACCCGCTACGACAAACCGTTCCGGGGTTATTCAAGGTCAAATTCGTATCCAACAGGCCGCCCTCCCTTTGGTATAAGCTTTGCATGAAATGGGCAGAATGAAATGCATAAATAAATACGTCTGAAAGTTTGATTATTTTGCTACACAACACTTCACTTTCCCAGGGATGATGAGACAGTGTTTAGTTAAGCCGAATCGGTAGAAATGTACATACAAAATGATGCGGTTAATGGATCATGCTTTGTATGGTTACCAACACATTAATAAGCTATGTGGGAATATTCAAAAATTATCTTGTGAAAACTTTAGGTTTTCATTCTTGCTATTCTGTCAACATTTCTCCAACCCTTTTCCTTTAATCAATATGCGTGAATAATATTTGGTGTGTTTGGTTTTGATTGGATTTGCATACTATGTTTCCCCCACGATGCTAAAATATAGCTTATAAGTAGGTGTGAATTCTGACGGCTGTGTTGTGTGGCTATTTGTCAAGATAGTGCTTGCTATCAGCAGCAGGCACAGATTGGAGTGTTCTGTAAGCAAAGTCAACTAAGGATAAGCTAAAACTAAATTCTCTCACCAACCAACACTCTGTCGCACGGTACATATAAATTATGAGGTGAGGGAAGACTTGTGGGCGCTGTAATTCCTGAATGTCACAATATGTCACCTCGTTTCAGTGCTTGAAAATCCATTCATCCAATGTTAATCCCACCAACTCATGGCTCCCCACCATCCCAAACGAATTAGAGGTCCTACCCTCATCTTCCTAATGTCGGAGTAATATTTCTCATTGTAATTAAAAGCAACAACGGGTGTTGTGATAGTTTGGAACTGGTTAATTTAAAAAATTTTCATTTTTCAATTAAGCCTCAGATTTTAAGATAATGAAACAGAAGCCGAGATCGTCGCCCACGATGGCGTACACGTGTGCACTCCGCCAAAGTTTTATCGCCAAAGATGTAGAAAAGTAAAATGAAAAAATTAAAGCAGTGCCAAAAAACTTTAGGACTATCTCTTTTTATTTTATGGAGACTCATTTAAATTTAATGTAAATTGCTAATTGGCCCACCAGCTAGTCGGCGTATCATTGCGGTATTATGCACAAGTTGCTTCTGAAGCAACTGTATTTTATGTACTGCCTGCTAGAAATAGAAATTCGCCATTGCGTAGCCATTCGTAATCATTTGTTTGTACTCGAATATACGTATATATTTATATACACTATGTTAAAAAATTAGCGTGATACTTTTTCACGTACTAATCTCATACATTTATTGGGATAATAATTTTAAATTTTCCAGCGTGATGGTCAGAAACATTTGTAGTAAGGTGCCGATCCTACTTTTAAAAAATGCCATCATGCCAAAGGTTGGTACTTGGTATTATCTCAACAAATGCACGAGATATCAGTTCGTGAAAAGTGTCCGGCTAATTTGTTGATATATTGCAGAGATTGTCTAGAGTTTGGTAGCTAAAAAATTTGATAAATACATATATTAAGCCTTGTGTTATAGGAGAAAGGAGTAAACATTATACGCACACCAATGGAAAAGGGCATTTCCCGTTCTGGTTGGGTTTATTGATACTTGTGACTTCATTATTTCCGCTGTTTATAAAGTCGTGGCATCGTGTAATCAGGTTCTTATTGAACCGAAATTAAATTGAAACAAACAAACCCATCGATTCACATATATACTTTCATGCGTACTTGTATTACTGTTCAATAAGTGGTAGGTTTCCCATTCTCATTTCAGGAAATAACAGTTTCCGAAAAACTTCCACCTAATTAATAATATGGACTTCTATTTTACCTTTAATTGCGTATTGAAATATATTTACAACGGTTCTCGTATGCAGGTTATATTTGTAACATCATCATCATAGACTCGTGTATTATCATCATACAGCATCCCCTGTACATAATTCTGCAGACTCTGCTTCTTAAGGTAGCCAGATACACACGTGGGGTATAATGGGTGGGTGTAATGGGCGGTGCAGGGAAGCTCGACTGTTTCTTTTCACAGAATGCTCCCAACCCATTAAAGTGATTTAGGAGAGATTCATGTCAGAAAAGGACTCTACTGTTTTCCATTCATTCATTTACCCTTTCATTAGATGCTGCGAGAATTGCTGGTAGAGCGAACGATTCCCTGCGAATCTGGAGGAAGAATAAGGGGTGGCAATCGAGGCCATGCTGCTGGATCCGTGAATGTCTAAACTAAATTGTGCTCTTTCCGAGGTTTATCGCGAAATTAGTAATTAGAGTCCTCTTAAAATACTTGAAATCTTAAATGGGAATAGTTGATAGTCTCTCTGCAAGTTGTCCCATCTCTACGTGCATACTTCATGTCCTTTCCCATATAACCTTATGTATGTACCACCTTCCCTCATTCTCCTTACCCACTTATTTATTGCGAGCAATTAGTCAGCCGCTTTCCCTTTGCTTCATCTTTTTTAATTACACCCTTAATATTTTTCTTGCAGCTTTTGTTAGATCCTCACATTTTTGGTGTAGCATTCTATCTTATGAGCACATAGTGATGAATACATAAATAAAAGTTTATGAAGGTGCCTGCATCGTTCTACTTACAAGAGTTTTGAATAAGTTTGCTAAAAGGGTTTCCAGTAGAATGTTGTGCTATTCTTTTCTCATATTTTGTTTCTTTAAACTTTTTCTCCCAATTTAGGTAGCATTACCAGGCACGAATATGAATTCGTTTTTACTTGAAAAAGATTCCAACATTTGAAATAATGTTAGAATTTACTTGTTTGGCTACTCGTTGTTCATAGTGTCGTATCTGGACAAAGTATCTCTTTGTAAGAAAATACGTCTCGAGTACGAGTGGAAGTCTTTCAAGGGTTGACGTATACAATTCCTTTGAAATTTAGAAGAAAAAAAGTTCTTCCCATTCCTTAGGCGTTACCAACGGTATACATAAGTTTGAGAGGCGTATGTCTCTTTCGTCTTTGGCAGATATTTAACAGTACAAATCTTACAAAGGTAATTGCAGATGTCAAATTTGAAAGAGATTTTTGAGTTTCAGCCTCCCACATCAGTTTTTCTTGCGGTTGTCACTTTTGTTCTATTATATATCACATTAATCATTTCAATTTACCATTTACCAATCGAGTACAGCAGGGTTTAAACAAAGCTCTAAAGTCTTGCCGTCATTCTATTTATATGCGTGTATTGTCTCTCTTTCAATTTTATTTGACTTTGGTGTTTTCACTGAAGTGAGCAATCCTTGCATTTGAAATGAGGTTTATTATCAATTTTACACACAGAATACAAATATCTATCTAGTTTTATGCTGCAGAGCCGCATAAAATGGCCTCATGTTTATATACAGTTGTTGGACAAGGGCGTGATAAAATTATCACGATATGATTAAGATAAAGAAACATGTCCCTCGCCGCTCGTCATCTGAATTATTTATGAGCGTGTAGTTTTTATATCCGGAAGTGCTCCAGGCTTGTAACAGATTTTTCAATACTGATTTTCACCCACGAGGAATAATACTTAATTTGGAAAATTTAATAAAAAAAACTAGCAGACAAAAACCGTATTCACTTTCAGCAACAACCATGTAGTGGATTTCTGTGATTAAGATTTTTTTGTGTCGAAATGCAGATCCCTTACTTTTTCATCATGAAATATGCATATTATTATTCTCCAAACCTTTTTACTCGTTATTATTTGTAGTAAAGATGAAAGAAAGAAAGTTGCATCATCCATCTATCCTAATCCGATGCCCAAGAAGTGAGGCAGGAAAGTGGAAAGGCAAGAAGAAAAGCAATATCAAGTACATACACACAACAGGCAACATGATGATTACGACGACGACGATACACACATATATTACACTCACTAATAGTCATTCTTCTTCCGCTCTAAGAATTTTCTCCGCACATCCAGTGGAAGAACATCGATTCATCATTTTGTTTCCTTCAATATTTCACTCGCTCGCCGTTACATGCTTCTCATTTTGACGTCAAGTAGCTTGCCTTTCACCCACCCCTTCCTCTTCTCCAGTCCACATCACTCTCTCAATTCCGTATTCCTTTTACATTTTAATAATGATGCAGTGATAATATTACATGCCACGATATGCTGCTGGCTTGAAAGAGCTGGCAGGGATTTGGGATTCAGTGATGAATTTATTTCATCCCTTTTCATTTCCCCGTCGTCCATCTTTCCTTGACAATGCACAAGAAGAAATATGATAATCTGGGTAATGGGATCATCATCTTTGTTTGCGTATTATGTAGTGAGATTGATTGCTTAATTTGAAGTTGAGGTGCGGATGAGATTTTCTCATGCTTATCCAAGAGCGACAAATAAAAGCTATTGTAGCCAAGTAAATATTTCAACATCTGTTGAAGTTTTTATGCACGTATCAATTTCTCATTACTTTTTCCTTGTGTTCTTTTGTCTTTCTGCGGTGTGGTGGGTACTGCGTACAAAGAGTTATAAAATCTTCTGGATTCGTCATTATGCCAGAGGAATTCTCATCTGGTCCTCCTGCTAATTTTAGACTTGAGGAATTTAAATTGATGAGTTTTGAGATATTTGGATCATTGGGAGTGGAGAGGGGGTCGGAATGATGAGTGAGTAGGAGCGACGAAAGCAAGCTCGAGAGGGAGGTCCAAAAACACTCGCTTCGTTGGCATTCCTTCGATACGTGTCATTAACTAGGACATTATTCCAGTAGTGCAACATTGTACGTAGCAGTTATAGTATCTTTATTTTTATTTAACACGCAAGTTTTAAAAAAGTCTGTCTGTTGTCTGTTTCAGGTGTTTCAAAAGAAGGGAGACCAGGGCCTCTGCTTCAGGAGCCAAGATTTGGCCAAAATCCAATAAGATTTAATCAAAGTAAGTCTATGAGTGAATACGTGCCCCAGAAGTAATGCAACTTGTTCATGAATTTTATTTCTCACTTTCTACCACATCATATTAATTACATCATATTAAACTAAATAAGGGTACATTGATTATGGAGTAAGATCTTACTTCAAGGTTCGGAATAGTTATATTTTAATTAACTGCGACCCAAACCATAATTGTATTTTCTGCATGATTTTGCTTGCATGATAATCTTTTAACTGAATCCAAAATGTTTGTTTCTTATTTATAATGATAACATCGTTGCCTTCGGTATTAGATGTGTATTCTCCTATTTCATTTTCATACATAATGACAGAATGACCATTAAGATTACTTTCCATTACAATATCGAACGTTGCATGACCGTAAAACCTTAAAGGTGCAATACTTTTCGTTAAATTGTTCGAAATACGTACAGATGGTTTTTGGATGAACTCGATTACGTGAAAGTTAGATTCATTACCATGTAAATTAACGCTGAGCCCATTCCACGATAATCTCATGCAATGCATCTCTTCAATGAACGAAACGTTAGGAAGACCTGAATGTGCAACAACCCTGGAAATATCAATGTCTATATGCATTTTATTACCGTGTTGTTGATAAACGTCCATTTGTTTTAATGCAGATTGATTGATCGGGTGCAATGATATGCTTAGCAAGACTTGTTGATTGACAATACTCACATGCTGAGCATTTTGTGGGTACTGCACCACCTCATTAAATGATTTTACGAATCTTATCGACTCGTTATGCATGTTAATTATGTTCAAATGTACAGATCCTAGTCGATCCGACAATTTTTGAAAAATGGGTGACATTCTACTTAGTGATTTTTCCCTAATATTAAGGATAGCTTCCCAGGCTTGAGAAATACTGTCTTTAAATATAACACCACCATTCTGAAAGTGTAAATTAATTGCTTCGTCAAATTTAATAACCACAGTCAATTTGTCAACCTCGTTAAGCTCACGTGGTCTGCGTTCATAGGAAACATCATGAGATAGCAAAACAAGTACAATTTGTTGGGGATCCATAATTATAAAATCAACGACATTAGTAATATTGTAATGAAAAATAATTTTATGAGATGCAGATGAATTTATTGACGATATGCTTATCATCCCGCTATTGTCCGTATGAAGTATTTCATATACAAACGATCCACATACTGCCTGATTACTAATTACAACATTTTCAGAAAGAAGCAAATTAAAATCAGATCCTATACAGCACAGATCAGAGCTATACCACACCTCGTCTTCTACAGAAGAATTCCCCCCTAGATTAATATAATTGGTATTGCACGAGCCATGAACTATGTCGCTGTGATTTTGTCTTCCGATAAATGATTTTACTCTACCAGAGCCAAGCCAGCCCAATAGTTCCACAAACCCATTTTCCATTTTCGCAGAAGAAGGTGAGACAGGGTGAGAAAATTGGATGGCGGGGGGTATCCACCACCATCTCAGACTAAGGGCCGTATGCTGTTCGTCTCACCTTATGTACAAACTTTTCTCCCACCAAATTCAAATGAACATAAATTTTTAATTTGGGGCGGGTTTAATAACTTCAGTAATTACAATTAGTAATATTATTATTTTCATAATGGGCCATAAGTTTTTTACGGCACTTACGATATAAGATGGCCCCCAAAGCAACTTTGACCCAAAAAAACTCATGGTTACGGTGATTTTGAATCGGGCAACAAAGGCTGAGAAAGTAGCTCTTCTCATGGAGAAAATTCTGGCATCAGGTTGTCAGACTCAAAATCACCGTAACCATGAGTTTTTTAACGATTTATGTGTATGTACAAAAACCGCCAATTTTCAAATTTTGAAACTTTTGATGCATAGGAATATTCGTATTTATGGGGGAGTTCGAATGGCAAATGCAAGTATAGGTCTAATACGTATGTTACCGAGTGTACATTAACTTTCTCATTTTTCCCAAAATATTTCACAAATTTTTGAAGGGGGAGTGGTCGCACATAATTCAAAAAAAGCTGTGCCACATTAACGATTGTACCCGGAATTATACAAACAAATTTTTACATCTAATTCGAAGAAATCGATGCAACGTGAAATGTTACATTTCGTATATTTTGTACCACCAGCCATATTGAAAAATTGCCACCTTTGTGTCGTTGGATCAATATATCTTAACGAGCCATGCTCATCTAAGTGAATGTGGATCTTATGGCTTGCCATAAAACCGTCTTCTAATTGTATGTAAATCGACCCATTCATTGTGTTAAGGTGTCCGTATGGGCTTATAGAGTCATTGGTGAATATAGCAATAAAGTTTTCAGACCCTGCTCGAATCAAATGATGCATTCCTCTAACGAAATATGTAACGTTCACTTTAAGTGGAAAATCAAATATGTTATGAACCGATTGTCTGTCAATATCAACAAGCAAATTTGATATTAATGATTGATTTTTAGAAATGCACAAAACATTTTTACAGCTAATACCGTCGTATGACCACTGTTCAATTTTTGGAATCGTTAAGTCGCCATTGCCTTTGCGCATATACATTGACATTGGTATAAGTCATTGATTAGTCTTATTAATGTACTTTGTAAACTCGAGAAAATATTACTAGTTGTTTTATTTGATTCATACAGGTGCGGAGCGTATGCTTGTAAATCCTGAATCTTGTAATCGCTAGTTTTAGTAATTGAGTATAATAAATGCTTAAATTCAATTCAAACTGATGAATTGAGACAATGCGTTGGTAAGCTTCACAGAAACAACAACTAACAATTAATGCAATCCGATTTAAATCTATAATAAAAATATTGATTTAAAAAATCATATCTTCTTGACTTCTCCATCAATGACTTGGCGACTGAGGTCAATAGGGTAATGTCCGTGCAGGAATTTGTGTTGAAGGGGTAACGGACCAAAGGTGACCGGCGGGATTCCGATCCAAGCCAATCTGATTACCAGCTTGATCTCCTCGTCCGAGCATAATGACAGGTATCGCCATTCCATATGTTTGTTTAGTATATCAAAGTTCACTCCAGACGTCGAGAATCGCATGTGGAGAAAGGAATGGAGCTGCAGAAAATAGTTGTTTTTCAATGTTTCATAAACAAGCTAAAAGTATACGCAATTAAATTATTTGTTACCAGTCGTAGAGCTTCCTCCTTCCGAGCCTGGTTCCTGGAAGAGAATGTCTGAGTCGCAATTTGAAGTGCAGTTCGTCCGGTTTGGACTGATTCATATACGCTGCTGCTTGTTTCATAGGAGTGATTTCTAGCCGCACATTCTTCATCGTTAACACCAGTATACACCGGAATTGCTCCCTGATCATCCTGGTCATCCTTCCTCTCGATGATACCTCTGCAAATAGTTTCAGCACTTAGAGTAGGAGAGAACAATACATCATCCGTGGTGAGAATGGTGTAGACAGTGTGACTGTAGTCGTGTTTCTCAACTATCTCACGGAATTCCTGAACTCGTTTTCTGACTTCAGTGTCGAAAGTATCTTTGCTTATTGGACGAGGTATGTTCCTAGATGCGACTGGTCCTGGAAATTCCATCTTGACATTCTCACAAGTGTTTTGTCTTCTGGACATATCAACCACTAGGTCCTGGCTCCAATCTGGGTGGATGAATGCGTCGCAGTCTTCACCCTTGCACTCCTTATCGAAACAAAGCCAGCGGAAGCCTGCGATTCCCTTTTCAAAAAGTTCGGCCAGTTTTGTGTCGCTCCTGTGTGCAATCTCCAAATACTCCCGATGTTTATTCAAAAACTGGTATTGAGGGATGCCAGGTGATGGTTCGAATTCAGCATCCGTCAATGCGATTTCCTAAAAGTAATAATATTTGTAAAATGCTTCATTGTGTAAATACTAGGTTGACAATGTAAACTGTCAGTAGTTCTTAGTTTTAACACCTTATTTAAACAGACATGCTTATTTTACTATTAGTTTTAATCGGACACCTTGTAGAATGACTAATTCTAAGACAATAGAAATGGATACTTACAATTGCACACGCTTCGAACATTCTCATCTGCTTTGTCTTCTGTTCCCACTTCCCCTCAAATGGTTCTCTGTGTAGGCAAACAACAACAAGGTCCTGATCCGCAGCATCTCCGAGGGGGGATGCACCAACTAAATGGTGGCGATGGATGTCGAGGGAATTACAGGCGTCACGTCCAATATATGGATAGAATTGGTCGGGGTTGTGTTGTATAAATGTAGCCAGGTCGTCACCCATCTGATATTTCGGGCCAAGTGCTCCCCCGAAATAGACCCAGAAACATCGAAGATCATGTTGATCAATGTTATATTCCATGTGCCCCTTTATCCAGTTAAATATCCAATCCAGTTCTTCTTCGAGATTAGTATCAACCAGAGTTCTGGGAGGAAGCGATCTAGGAATGAATCCATGCCGTGGAAGCAAAGGATTTTTATTAGTCAAAAGTCGCCTCCTATAATTAAATATAAAATATATCGTTTATTATAACTTAGATTCGATATCAATGAAGTATAGAAACTTACGTGAGTTTTGTGCACAAAGGCACGTCCACATGAATAGTGAATTCGTGCCTGCTCACATGTTCAGGGTGTATGTACTCTGCGCCACAGTTTGCCACTTGACAGACGTAGATCTTTTTCCCCTCTCGAAGAGTGAATGGTCTGCATATAAAACCAATAATTCTCAGGTAATGCCTATATAAAATTACTCAAAGAAATGGTATTGTACCTGTCCTGCGGTTTTTTATTCGCGTGAAACAAAGGATCACGATGCTTATCAATGTGCTTAACCATCGATTTCTTTTCACAAAAATATTCATGACAAATTTCACACTTCCAGCAGAATAGCGCGGTTGCTTCATCACTAATAAATACGGTAAGTCAAATGTCATTCCCACGTACTGGTCGATAAAGTAAATAGACAAAACTACCTTGCTGATCTCGCGTAATGAGTGGCTTGGTGGATTGTCCTTTGTGTATGATTGTTAAATACCATGTCGCAATCTTCTTTTGCACATGGATAAACACCCTTGCCTGTCACCGGATCCTGTACAGCTTTCCTAATAAAATGGATTTAAACATGACAAAAATATGAACAAAATCTCGCTTCATACCTGAATTTTGTTGGACACTTGCTGCCTTTTCTTCTTTTAATGTGTTTTTTGAGACTTTTCTTTAAGGTAAATTCAGTCCCACAGTCTTCACAAAAAAAATCACTGCTAAATTTCATAAATGGAAGAGGTAAGTACTTTTGGAAACAAATTATGAGGTTACCAGCCAGAGGGAAACAATGATAAGTGCCTTACCCTGCCATTGTTATACGGTGGTTGGAAAATAAATTTGATTATAAAATAATAATAAAATTTATTAGAAGTAGAAATCGTAAATTATTCGAAAAAAAAAACACAACCGAACAGCAAAGGAAATTTCAGAAGTAATATTTTTTGTCGACTCAGAACGTTGGCAGGTCGGATTTGTACGGTTTAAATAAGTCAAGAAATATACGATAGGGAGGGCGACCATTATTGTCGCGGTGTTTCTCGCTTTCTCATGTCGCCCCATGAGAAACACTGTGCACAATCTACCACCGTAAGTTAATTGTTTCGTCTCTCTTCTGTCACATATTTCTCGACTTTTTTCCTGCTCTTGTTTTTTAAGGAAAGTTGTAATGTCTTCATATCCCAAGACCAAGAATTGTGCGCACTTGCATCCTATATGTAAATATACTTATCTATGAACTGTGTACCTTCCAGAAAACATCCACGAGATATTGTCTTTCATTAACTATGGCACAAAGCCATGCACTACGTAGATACACTTACATTTTGTGAGAAATTATCCTTGGAAGTTTTGACAAAATACTGCAGTGAAATGGGTTTATGAATCAGCAATGTTTGTCGAAGCTAATATTTGGAAAAATTAATACGTATAAATTAAATTGGCAAATGTCGCTTTGAATTAAGAAAAATATTGATTAAGTTGACGAGAACAATACCAAAATGCAACTGACATGTATTAATAGTAATCGACGCATCGCTATATATCGTCTCTCACGGTTATAGAGTTTTGTTTCGCATGAGCAGTTTCACTTTTTTGGCTGAAATAAAATTAATGTCCTTGTTTATTATGTGTAGGACAGGTCATAATCTATAATCAAGAGTAGAGATTGTGTGTTCTGCCTGCTTCAACTTGTTTTTCTTCTACTTTTTATTTGATTCTTTTTTTTACGAAGTAAAAACTTTTGAAAGTTTACACACTTCTCTAATGTTGAAACGAAACACTTTCTAAACTTGTCTGTTCTTGTGTCATTTCAAGAGAACCTTGCGGTTTTTCACTTTTGACTCTGGAAATACGACGACTTGCCAAAGTCATCAGTTACAAGCAGATAACGTTAACAATAAATTATGGGAAGAATAATGCATCCCAATTTCATCTCATCTTGAATTTTCTTGCACGGTTTCTGTATACACGGTGAAACAGTGTAGTAAATGTAACGTGATGGAACCGAGACGAAATTCACTCTGGTTCACAATCCTCAAGGGATAAAAATAGGTTTTTTTGTCTAGAAATGTTGTTGCATCTCGAATTTATCCATACCTTTTGTTTCCTTCTTGTTGTTTCAAGATCTGCGCTATTATGCATGCACCGAAGGAATTTGAGTTGAGTTGGAGAAATGAGTCAGACCGCGACACACGGTGGTACTGCTAAAAGAAAGAGACAAAAGTTTTGGCAGGGGAAACAGGTTCACCTATTACGTGGAACGTTGTATTATCATCATCATATGCTTTGTTTGCAGCATGCGATGTCACCTCACTTGGTTTTCCTGTCTCTTTCTCCTTCTCAGAGTAGCACTGTTGTTATCATGCATTTTGTTCAAGTATCGGATGATTGTATTCTATTTAAGTTGAGCTTTGTTTTTCTCACGTTCTGATCCGAATCAAAAACTATCATCTTCCTGATACTGTAGGCCGTCTACAACATACATACACCGTTTCATGAGGAATGAACGGAGCTAAGGATTTTTGCTATTTTTGTGTCGTCGTTCCGTCATTTTGCATCCGAGGTATGCAAGGAAGTGTAAACTCGATTGCCCAAGAAGACAGACTGACAGCTCTATGCAATCCTCATCTCGTGGATGTCAGCTACCCAGTTTACTACAGTATTTGACCTCTGTTTATTCGCAAATGAGTGAACGTCATTGATTTTGGAGATGATACTTTCGTTACACACATCTTACAGCATTTGTATCAATGAATATTCTGGTGATGTCGAATGGACATGGAAAAAATGAGGAAGGAAATAAAAATGAATGAGAGTGTTGATTAATTGAAGTATTTATTTGCACTCATCCGTGTGTGAATTATGTAGGTGATTTGGCCATTAAATGTTTCGATTACGTTGTAAAATGTTTTGAGTTTGTCTCTCTGCTTAATTTTTTGCATTATTCACAGCTTGTTGTTTCTCGTAGTTAAAATGATTTTTTGTATTTTGTACAAGAATTAAATTAGGAGAGAAAGGATGGATGGAAATCATGGCTATCTGCTGCTGTATGATGTTGCATATGTAATTAACCACTTCAACCCTAGGAGACGAGTTTTTTCATACCTTTCACCCCTAGTAACCGCGAATTTTTACCTCCCTTGACCCCGAAATTTTTATCTACTGCATGACGTTAATTCCTGGGCCATGAATTAAAAAATGGTGTTCCCACCGGAATTATTCTGGACACTTTTTTATGAAAATTGATGTGAATAACCTTTCAAGAAGGTATTTTGAGTTGTAATTTGCATTTTTGAGTTGTGGCGAACCACCAATGTTTATAGCCGAAAATAGCCAACACGCCGAATTTTAAAAATGATTGTAATTGCATGAAAAGTTAGACAAGCATGGAGTAATACTTGCATAATAGTACGTAAACTCGCAAATATTGATTATAGCGCATAAAGTGCCTTAGGAGCCGATTTTGGGCGGGAAAACCAAAAATCCTTACAATGACTTTAAATAGACAGCAATGACAATGAATAATTATCCCGTGAGAGGAAATTGCTCGAACATAGACTATGGCGCATCTGGTGAATAGAAATCAATTTTAAGCGGGAAAATTAAATTCTACTAATTCCTGGCAATCTCTCAATTTTTAATTTTCCCGCCCAAAAGATATTTCAGCGGCACCCGATACGTAATGATTAATTTTGACGTAGTTTACCCTACCGGCAAGATTATTTGTGGTATATAATTAAATCCATGCAATGATGCAATTCATCAAACTTTTAGTTTTCTCGCCCAAAACGCCCGTTTGTGCTACATGCGAGCAAAACAATTTCTCTAATCTTATCGTAAACCGTTGTTGAAATAAATCGGTGTCGAAATTTCCTTGCAAAAAACAGTTTTCACAACTCGGCGTGTTGGCTAGATATAGCCACTTGGCTATAAATTTATTTTGCATCCATTTCTAATATTATTTCCTAAGAGACAATTTATCTTCCCACCTAAAGGGCGGGTTGTTGACTCATAACTCTTGCTTTACTTTGCTTGGAGAGGCAATGACCTAATTTTTTCCGGATACGACACATAGTCGTAGGCCGGTGTGAACGGAAAATACGCCACATAGTCGTATCCGTTGTCAAGGGTCAATACGACACATCGTCGTATTCCGGTGCCAAGGGAACTTACGCCACATGGTCGTACTCGGCGTAAAGGTCAAATACGCCACATAGTCGTTATAGGGGTGAAGTGGTTAAGCTTTTCTTTACAACTGTTACTTAATTCTGTCTTTTGGGTTGTAACAGCAGCAATATTTGTGTCTACATGTATTTGTAGTTGGTTGAGTGTTATTTTTGTCTAGGACTTTGAGAAGAATCAGTGGATTAAGTTGTGTTACGTGGTTGAATTTCAGTAACCCCACTTTACGTAAAGTTTACTGAGCTCCTGTTTGATCGTCCCATGCAGATTTTGTAGTAAAAAGACGTTAGTAAAAACGGGAAAGGTTGCTTTTTTGCCTAACTCGTCTACATGCATACTTAATAAGACTACGTATGTGTAAATGTGTGGCACGTTTCATTTTATTTTGTCGAATATCTCGTGTCTCCCATGTTTTTTTGTAAGAAAGAGAGTACGTCTATTTTAATGCATGGTTTGCCAATTTCAATGCAACTCACTTGGCACCCTATTCATCTTTGGAACAACTTTCATGTTCATCCACTCTTGGGCTATGATGATCATCCGTCAGTTTTGCATGATAGTCATGAAGAGAGAGATCCTATTGATGAGAGATGGTTAGAATTAAATGGATGAGCAGAAAGTCTAATAAGAAGATTTCTTAGCGACATATATAATGTTAACGAGATGACTTAACTGCAACATCAGTTATCTCTCGGCTAGTTTTTGCTTGAGGTTAAAAATCAATTATATTTTACGGCTTATATGCATTTCTTAGCCAATTAATGTTGTGAAAGATTTATGGAGGATACGTCAATTTAGCAGAATCGAGCCGGAACTACATATGTACTTAGGTTTTTTGTCACACACTGCACAACAGTAAGATATTTTAATGCGAAGTTTTTGCAAAACAAAATACAACACGCCACAACAACAACGGTTTAGTTGGTTCACCATTCTCTAAGGTGCATTTTATCCCGATTTCATCTGTCTCTTCGCTTGAAATTGTTCTCGAATGTATGAGTCAGAATTTTAAATTGTATTTGGATTAAAATGGACGTATGCGGTGGCACAATTTTCCCTGCAATTGATGGCACTGTCTATTCTCCTCAGGCGTTGTCTTTCCACTTACCCACGACCATTTTTACTCTCTTGCCATCGCTGAGGGACTAATGCCAGACGACACTAAAGTAGAAACGCTGGACGATGGTGTGCATTATTTATGAACGGAGGCTAAATTGATTTGTCTTGTAGGTGTTATGTGGTTGTTGGTGGTGGAAAGGAGAAGATGTTGTTTGTATTGTAACTTATTGGGCCAAGTCACATTTCGTGGCTAGTGAAAAGTATCCAAAATGCTCAAGATAGTGAAAGTAGAATGGGATGAGTTTTATTTCTGAAACGCTGAAAATATATTGGGCTGCGTTTGTACGTCATTCCCGTGAGCCTCGAAGGAGGATGTAAATGTTGTCGGCAGCCACATTTCTCTAATTCTCTGGGGAGGAAATTAAAGTTGTCTTTTGAAATAAAGGAAGGTGAACTTTCCATTCCACTCCTGAATCTTATAATTCTTTGAACAACCGCACACAGGAACAGCAGGATCGATGGAGCCCCTTCGTGGCCAAGTTCCCTTTGCCAATGGAGGAGGTGGAGGAAGTTCTGGGAATTACGACAGGTACGAGAATGGCTACGGCTCACGGTCATTGAACGGTCCGGGGGGAGGTGGTGGCGGTACAAGTGGTGGGGCTGGAGGACCTGCGGCTTACCACGACACCCCACCTTATGAACGATATCCTGCCGAGAGGTAAGCTGTTGTTTTCTTCCACGATGAGGAGCTATTTATCTGTATAGCAAGATTTCCCATTATTTTTTCATTTTATTTGCTCATCCACCGCGACACTAATGTGATAATTTATGATTTATCTGGTCATATCCTGGGATAGGGAACAAAAGAGATGTATTTTGGCTGTTCTGCTTCCGCTATGAATTATTTAGCTCGTTCAGTCATACACTTATTATTTTGTCCGTGTTCTGCAGGGGCTACGTGAGTGGTGGGCCGAAGGACGACTACTCGTACAGAAACGGACCGATGCGTTCCTCGCCGCCCGCCTTGGCAGATGTTCCCAGCGGTGGCGTAGGTGGACCTCGACCTATGCAGCAAGGGGCGGTGATGATGGTGTACGGATTGTGCAAGGACAGAATAAATGCGGAACGGCTCTTTAATCTCTTTTGTTTGTATGGCAATGTTGTCAGAGTGAGTTTTGAACGTTTAATCAAACGCCACTTAAATACATACATAAGTAACAATTGTCTGTAACTGTGTTATTATCCACTACCTTGATTTTCTCTCAGGTGAAGTTCCTCAAGTCGAAGGAGGGGTGTGCCATGATTCAGATGGGCGATGCTCTCTCGGTTGAGTTACATGTTTTATTATTAGTATTTTCTGCATGTGAATTAACAAAGTGGGTTGCACCTACTAATTCATACATGTTTACATTTCTTGTCTGAAGTTGGCTTTAAATTGGTTGTAGGTTGATCGAGCCATGTCAAATTTCAACAACACATTCATGTTTGGTATGGGTAACATATATTTAACTGCTACTTATTGATTCGTATTGTTAAGATAATACATTGACACATTTTTAAATGTATATGTTGCCTCTACATTTCCAGGGTCAAAAGTTCAACTAGGGTGAGTGAATTAAGATTTATAAGATTAATATTCTCGTGATGTAATAGTATGTGCATACGCCATTCCAAAAATTTCAGACAGCAAAATGACTCAGACTTAGCACTTATAATATCTGGTGATAATTGATTTTCTTGCAAGTAATTCACTACATGTTTTTGTTCAAATGTACAAGATTTTACAAAAATTGGTTTCGTCTGGTATAAAAACATCATCAGTTTTTAAGATATTTTAAGATATACATGCTAAAAGTCTGAGCCATTTTTGTGTCCAAAATAAATTTTGGGATAGTGTATATACATAGATACAGCAAAACGTTTTGTGCATTATGCACTGCGTTGTCCTTCTTGGAAGTGAAAGTTGATGAATGTTGCATCTTATGTATTTATACCTTTTTGAGTCTTTGTGGAACAGTAGTTCTAAAATGAGACGTCATTATCGTCATTCGTCATTAAGTACGTTTCTTTACTAGTAATTGGAAATGGTGTGCAGATGAGGCTTAAATCAAGATGACATTTTCACATCATGTTTAGGATCACACATGAATATTATCTATTAAGTAACATAATAATACTATTGAGTAACAATCTGACACTTTCCACAGATACTCAAAACAAGCATTTCTCAGTGACGTACAAACACCTCACACACTTCCGGATGCTTCACCTTCCTTCAAAGGTATGTTGCTTGGCTATATCTCGGTTCTAACCAAGAACAATTGATCTCTGTACAACTTGTTGTTAACTCTCACATCATTTAACCAAAATCCATTCAGACTTTATGGGCAACAAAAACAATCGGTTCCTCAACCCTGAAATGGCTAGGTTAGTATTTCCTTCATTTATGGACAATATGCATCACACTGGTCTGAAAGTAATAGGAGGAGTAAAATTTGTTAAAAACGAACACATTTAACCAATTGTCTCACCTCCGTACAAATCCTCGAAAAATTTAGTCATTCCCGTGTGTTGCACATTGTCAAAGCCATTATATATAAACATAACTATAATTTAATACGTTCTTTTCAACTCTCACTAGCAAAAATAGAATACAACCACCTACAAAGGTAACACCTCAATAATCTCATATCATTTACCTAAACTTGAGTCACCAACAAAACTCATAGATAATCTACATGTTACCTAATCAATATATATTATATATCAGTTACTTACTTTAGCATACAAATCAGCAAATAAATTTCTCAGTTTCTCTATCTCGCTATCTCTCTACACTCGATTACATTAAAAGTGGTGACTACTATGGTCTGTGCATTCAAAGAAGAGCAAGCTCACTATAAGAAACCTATTCAAAATTGGCTCTCGCTTTAATGCTCAGACGTTAGTATTTATATTATATGTAAATCCGACGCGTTCACTTTCCTTCCATTATTCTCAACTGATACTGATGCTGCTGGCCAGAGGAATTTAACTGATTTATGATTTTATTATTGATTGACAGACTCTCCACTTTTTCAATACTCCCCCCATGTCATTTGGTAAGTATTTGTAGTCAAAATTAGTATTTCCCTATGTTTTTACCATCTCTTAACGTAGGAGAAAACGAGATGCGAGAAGTGTTCTTAGAAGCAGAAGCACCTTCGCCAAAGTCTGTGAAATTTTTCCAGTCGAAAAGTAAGAGTAAGGACCAAATCAAATTGCTTTAATCGAGCATTTTTTAAATCTTCACCAACATCTCATCTACAATCCTTGATGTACTTACAACATTGAAACTTTTTGTACTTAGGCGAGAGAAGTTCTTCCGGACTGATTGAGTTCGAGTCATTGACAGATTCAGTGGAAGGGCTGGCTATAATGAACCATTACCCCATCAAGTGCCCAGGTAAAAGCACTGCTCTAGTGTTTGCTTTGACAGACGGGTTGAATTATTAAGAGTGGAAGAATTATGGTATGTGTCCTTGCTCCAGACTTTAATGGCTCTCGTTCTTTTCTTTCTTACAGGCGGCAAGTTCCCTTTTATACTCAAGTTATGTTTCTCATCATCCAGAAATCCTCAGAATCGGATGGATGATCGTGGATCGGATTAAACAGAGAACACAGGAGGAATGAAACAACAATGTTTTATGACCATTTCTCAGCAGCGTCTTATCTCAATAGTTATTAGATGTAAACGTATTATTATGTGCATGTGAAATTTCATATTTTGTTAATACAGTTTTACAAAGTATCACCACACAAGTTTGTGCAAACGAACATAAAGTTTCATTGTTATTTTATGATTGAGACATTTTAATTTCTAATAAAAAATATACACAATCATGTAATGCATAATCACTCACGAGATTCAATGTAATATCCAACAACTGTGAAATTTAATTGTCATCAGGAAAATTGTAATAGATAAATATTCGTAAGTATGATATTATTAATAATTAGGATTAAATTGAAATTACTAAAATGGTAAATATAATACTACCCACTCGTAATATGTAATAAGACAAGTCGACGATATACATAGATAAATACATACATGGTATAGCTGAAGATACATACATATTTACTAATGCATAAGACTAATACTAATATTTCATCATTTATGATATACCTTTTTTTGAGGATACGATTTTAGTCAAAACTGGTCTACTTTATTTCCTTCTGTTCAATCTGACAATATGTAAAACGTTTGTTTTTAGTTGGATTAGTAAAATGCTTCCGTTTGAGTTTCTTGATAATGCATTTAATGTAATATAAAACATATGTATTGTTTTACTTTATTAGAACAAGCTGCTTAGAACTAATTAATTAACCAAGCTCTGCTATTAAGATGTATGTACATAGAATACAGTGATTAATAGTATGTATTGTCTGGAGTTTTTACTCCTTGATCTGCAACTCAAACATATCAAAAAGTGCTGGAACTTTTATGATTTATTGTCTACGACAAAGTAGTAGTGTTTGTTTACAAAGTCTCTGAAATTACCATCTACGGATTGTCGATTTAATCTTATGATGTCCTAGCTCCCGTGTTGAATGATGAATGGATGTGTGTTGTTGACCCCAATAATTATGCTTGTAAATACTTCTTGAGCATTGAATATTGCCAATTTTGAACGAATTAGAGTATTTCACTTGTCTGTCAATCGTCTTTATATACCTTTTGCCGAGCAGTATTTGTCGACTTGCCAAAATAATGTAAATTTCTGTGTAAAAAATGAAAAATCTTGAGGTTTGCCAACGTTGTATACATATGTGTTGGAATTTGACCAACTTACATAAAATTACTTTTAGAATTAAAATTTTCACCATTTATTAATTGTGCTAGACATACATAATCACATATTCCACTGATAAGTAGTATGTATGTAAATGTATAGTCAGGCAATAACAGAGAATTGGAGAACGATTATATGCACGATTATATGTACGATACGATGATCTCCAAAAGTCTTCTTTTGTTATTTATGACTTTACTTATCTAGTTGAAGATGAATTATCACTTATCATACAGACTGGTAATTAATTGCATGTGCATACATCAGTCTATTCGCATAGTACTTTTTTATTATACTATGTACATGTATGAATATGTATGTACGTTGATCTCCAACTTAACTGTATTTTCACCATGGTTGGAACTTGAACTTTATGTTTAGAACTTCTTCTTATTCCTGTTTAGTAAAATTTGCAAAATGAATTACTGCTATTATATTATGTGTGATCCGTGATATTTGTTGAATTTTAAGAAGGTTAAATGTTATGATTTTATAAGAGACGAAGTGTAGTAAGTAGATTACGGAATTCCTATAGTTGTGATATGTCCTTTATATTGAAACATGATCAATCAACCATAAGTACTGTCCCACGCACGTATGTACTGTATTACGAGTTCTCCTGCATTTTCAGGCTTTTGGGCAGGATAAAAAAGTTACAAAGTGGACTGATGATGCGCATTTTATTGGGTATTCATCCCTTTCATAATTCAAATCTCTGAATAATTAAATCTTTGCACGTCTGTATGTATTTATGCCTATGGCGTACGTAATTATTCCCTGTATTTAATCTTTCCATACATATGTAAATATTTACACTACAACAATAACAATACAATATGTGCGTAAACTTGGGTAAACTTACACTGAATACTAAATATCAACATCCTCGTTAATTTATAACTACTCAAGTACTTTAACAATTGAAAAAATGAAATGTAAAATGAGTGCCAAGTCGAAAGCCAAACCAATATAATTCATCCATGATAATCTGATTCATGTATTAAAACTTGATTCTTTCTAAGCAAGCAGAAGAATCAATCGTTGTTGAGCAGAGAGTGATTTCTGTGCTCTAAAGAAATGTTAAAATTGTCTGGAATGGTTTATAGTGATAGTTTAGATAAAGTTTTGACTTTGAAAATTCAATGTTGTTACTATTATGTTAAAGAGTTAATACACTGGGAAAAATAAAATGTCATTTATATGTATGAAAATTAATTGGCAATCTTTTCTCACCTTCAATGCAATAAATTTTAAATCACATACGGATATAGACGGACCAAGTTTTTATACTTTATTTCGTTCCCTAAAATTCGAGCTTTGCATCATAATAATTATTTTCCAAAAAATATTTTAAACTAAATTCTACCGATATAAGCTAACAATTTGGCTATTAAATCTGTCATTTATTAGACTAAATACATATATAGTAAAACATTTATTGGAGTACTTTCATGCAAACGTGTCATATAATTACTCCCGTATTACTGAGAGTGGACTCCAAAAGTATGAACAGATTGTGACCTTTAATTTCATTCCGAAACGGTTTACAGTGTAGACTTTGGATATTTTTGTGAAAGCCCATTTCTGAAACTGTAACCAATTGGACATGTGGGGTTACACTATGCAAACGTAACGTAGGACTTCTCTGCTTGAGTTTAATATTTTATAAACCATATTTTAGGTAATATTTTTTTATCCACGGCGTGTGTTACACTCAATTTTCGTAAAAAATGTTGCACATAATTCAATGACTTATTTGCGTCAGTCGGTATACAAATGATTCCTATATTTTTTTGACAAAAATTAAAAAACCCACACGTGAATTTAGTAAAATCGAGCATTATTAGTAAATAATTCTAATACATGTTCTCGATAATTTTTAGCTCTGGTCAATATTCGAGAAATTAAAGGATTCAAAGAAATAAGGTTACGACTAATATTTTTGTTTAACTATTTCGCCACAATCTCAAATTCGCGCATTAGAAACAATGCAATAATTACAACAACAAAAAATTGGTCCCACCAAAATCAGAGTTATTGACATTGTTCATCTTTGAACGAAAGTCAGCGTCCTTGTGTACTGATAGTAGTGTAAGAATTGAGGTGAGAAGCTCTGACCTGATGTCCCATAAGTAACACAGTTTATACCTGAAAATTCGAGACTTTTCGCTAACTTGCTGTGCCAATAAGTCGTTGAATTCCACGCAACATTGTTTATGAAGAGTTGGTCATCAAACTCATTGATAGCAAAAGTATCTGGGTTGAACATGATTTACGCTGTCATTGTGAATCTTAATCTTTGATCAAGTTTGTAGTACTTGAGTATATCGGGTCATCGTACTCTTGCACTTTCTCCAATATTAATATCTTGGACAAATAAATGGTTTCGATACGAAAGTCGATATAGTACTCTGTAGTATCTTTACTTTTTATGAAATTGTGACATTTATTTGCATTGATGACATGAGATTTACCCGATTACTTTGCAAAGACACATTTTGAGGTTGACCAACTGACAATAAATTATTTTTTGCCAATTGTAAAGAAAATGGGTTTGCGTCGAATATTTGCCGTGTTTCCTTTTAAACAATTTCCACAGCCGATCTTCTAAAATTAGTCCACGATTTTTTCGTTCTTCCCGTTCCGGCAACTAACTCAAGTCGTCCCCCATAACCGTTCGGGAATGATTAAAGACTTTAAAGATCGCAATCGTTCACATTTTTTAATCCGCACTGATTTTGGTTGAAATTTTCTAATTGATTGACAATGCCCTAGATTATCACATAATGTTGAATTCCTTATCTGAGAATAATAAGAATTGACAACAACCTTTCCTCACTATTTGTCATGTCATGGATTTCTTGAGTTGAGTTAATAATTTTATAATATCTTAGATCCTTACATAATTCTTAACAATGCATATGTTTTTTCCCACTAGTTTAACACAACCAAAATGTCATTTTATCAAGATTTTTTAGCTCGGTATTCGCATTTTCAAAATTGTAATGGTGTACTTCTACTGCACACTTATTGCACTCAATTAAGTACTAACAATTTGGTTGTACAGAAAGTACACACATATGTACGTCATATACTAGGCAACACAAATATTGGAGACTACTCGTATTTAGTTACAATAGGTTAATTGCTTTTCTTCTGATTTTTTCTGAGGTATTGTTGATTGCGGTATAAATAAAAATGTGCATAATACATGTATAGTCGTACATATACCGTCGGCGTACAATTACAACCGGGTATCTGTTTTGTCGTTTCCACTCTCCACAAGTTACATACCGTAAAAACTCAAATAGTAGCCGGGGCTACTATTTATAAAATCGGTGGCTGGGACCCGGCTACTATTTGAGCAAGGCTACTATTTGGGCAAGGTCACTATTTCTAAAATTATGAAGATGGACACGGCTACTATTTGCATACCACTATGATTTTTATTTCCTGAATCAAGCCCAAATTAAATTTTAGTAACAACACCGATTTTGCCCTTAGAGTCGTAGTCCACTGAATATTATTCTGCTCGACCTGCTATTCAATGATTCCTTCGGTGAGCTAAATTCGTGTTTTGTCATCGACTCATCGCTTCGATAGCGTGTAACTGCGATTGTATTGAACTATTATTTAATTGTCTTAATGAACTGTCAAGAAGTGTGGTTGTATGGAAATATAGACGCGTATATTCGAATATGGCTAGTATTTGGGCAGGGCTACTATTTGGGCAGGGCTACTATTTGAGCACGGCTACTATTAGAGCAACGGCTACTATTTGAGTTTTTACGGTATCTAACGGCTAACAAACAAAGCAGATGCACGGTTGTAAACGGCAGTGTCCAATGGACGCTGTTTCAGTTTTTCAAATTCAGCAAATTAACGTGTGAAGCATAAACGTACACACATATATAAAATGTAGGTACGGGCAAGTGCAAGGTACCAAATAGGGCACACAATAGTATTTTAACGATATTTGCTATAATTGCAGACAAATTGATAATTTTTACTTACGCGTGCTCAAGAACTTACGTTAATAACATTTTATCATCTCCTTATTCAAGGTATTACCTGCATCAATATGTATCATATAGCACTCATAGTAAATTAGCGATTACTCTTACAATTTATGCAACGTAAATGATAATACCTGGCACAAAACAATAATTATTTAAATTAAATATTTGTGTCTATTGAAAGAATTGTATTTATAAAATTGTTATTTCCATCAGTCTTGAGCATACTGTTGTATTTTTTACATTTTATGAGAAAATAGTTTAGAATTTTGAAACGACTACTTCATACTGTCCTAGTCAATACCATCATCGTTATATGAGAGTCAGTGTCATTTGTTGTATAATTGAGACCAAAAATAATATTTTCTGAATCACTGAATCAGTCAACTAACTTTCTTGGTTTATAACTACATATATTTATATAAATTCGGCTCTATTTTTAACTCGAAACTATTATGAATGTATGTAAATCTAAGTACGTTTGATTAAAATGGACTTTTGTTGCATATTTTAAGATGGGAGCATATGAAAGTTTCTCAAGTGTGAACAAGTATTTACGTGCATACCATCATACGTATGCACATACATGCGTTTCACTCGACTGTCATGGGAGCTAATAAATAATGTCTTGATAATATTTAACCTACACTTCAAAATTGAGACATTTGTTTTTCATCTAAAAAGAATTGCATATTCCGTTATATATTTTTTCTATTGCTGCAGCTTCGTTTGATGTATAAAATGTGCATTTTAGATTATTTATTTTCCCTCATCTAGTTAGTGTGCGGTTCTTTCCATGCCGCAGTGGTACTGTCACAGTGGAAGATGAAAGAAATATTTTGAAGGATGTCTTTAAATTCGAGTCGTTCGTAATGGCATGTTAAAATATCCACAAGGATTCGCTGTCTGATCAAGTCTAACAGCGATCGTTGATTCGTCTCAAATTTCTGTTTCTGTACTAGTCGTGGATCCGGAACGGCTCCAAAAAGTTTTCTTTTTCTCTGTATTTTTTCTTTCTCTGTAATATTGAGCGGTTTGGTGCGTGTGATCCCTGTCCCTACCACCACTAGCAGCAATTGTTTGCATTAAAGGATTTTCTTCGTGCAAAGGGGAATCTAAAAGTTCGTTATTGGCATCGCTGACAGAAGAGAAAGTCGTGGTATTTCTGTGCGTAGACGTGAGAGCGAGTGGCTCATAACTGTGGCTCGGATGGACCAAAACTGTGGATCTCCAGTGACTCTCCCATGATGATCCCTGACCACGGGAGAAGTTCATATTCATACTTTGTGGACGAATAGGGACTGCCTTCCTCCCAGGATTCTCCACGTTGAAAGTTGTTTGCTGATGGCTGTGACTATTACCGGAAATTCTTTGAAGAGACGTGGTAGTAATTGTGGAAGGTGTAATTATGGGGCAAGAGGTCAAAGCTTGTTGACTTATTGTTGTACGAACACTTCCTGCATTCATATTGTGGTAAGCAGAATTTAACCCTTGAAGGATTATCGAGTCTGCGTCAAAGTCATCAAAAAAGTGTGACTGATTTTCTCCAATCTGAATGTCAGGTGAGGCTGATGATACGGAATGAGAGAGGGGGGTCGACGTTGGTGAGGGATGCGATCGTCCGGAGGACAGTCCTTGATCTTCCTCAAAACCTCCGCAAGAAATACGTGAGCTGTGGCTAATATTGCTGTTGCTGCTGTTGGTGGTTGTGTTGCAGTTAGAACTACCCGTGGAGTAGGTAGAATCTTGCGACTCGTGTTTCATCAAGCTTTCCTTATTTCTCCAAAGAAACAAGGGCGTAGGGAGTAATTCTTCTTCCTTCTGGGTCGTCTTCATTATATCGTCAACAGTAATTACAGCTGGTGTCTGAGAACTGGTAGACTTGGAACAGATGCTAATGGATGGAGATTTCTGAAGATCAAGCAGCTTTTTCTCTAAAAAAAATATTGCACACATGAATGCGTTTATTAGTAAAGACTTAAAACAGAGTGAATAAACGTAGTATATAATCTTTGTAAATATGTATGTAGTACCATAAATAACGTCATCGTCATCTTCTTCGTCCAGCACATCATCGTCTTCGTCATCATCTTCAAAGTCGGAAAAGTTAAAGTCCGAGTAAGAAATGGTGCACACTGGGTTAGTTTGCGTTTCTGAATCCACTAAAGGAAGTACAATTTTAGAGGCGCATTTACATCGATTTTTCTGATTTTCTTTCCTCTCATTTTCACGTTCTTCTAAAATTTTTGCCATTATTGCTGCAAAATAAATTATTGTACTCTGGTAATTTATTATGCATAACTTAAACTGGTATTCAGTCATGAGATTTTCAATACCTGCAGAGACGATATCCTTTTCAACTCCTTTTTTCCCTGAAATACAAAAAGATTTCATCTAATTTGGCACTTTTACTACACCATTAAAGATAACTGTGGCCAGTACTGAATTTATTAATAAAATATCCACATTTATTACATATGTAGCTGTCCGTCGCAAACGAAAGTAGCAACACGCTTGTGTAAAAGGAAGTCATAATATTTTATGCAAATTAAAGGATTATGGAACTTGGGAACTTGCCCTAAGGATCTTTCTTTGTCTATGCATTATGGTTATTTTACCGCAAGTTGGTTGGTAAAAGGTAGAAGTGGCAGCAGTGGCACTAGTGAAATCTTGGATTTTAAAGGGAAATTCCTTTACTTTCCTGAAATAGTTTTGCTATGGAGTATTGGAATTTTTGCATAATGATGCAAAGACCAAAGTACCGCACTGCAGATAGAATGTAATGTATTATTATGAATATAAAGCAGTTTTGGGCACGAAATGGAGAACAAATTGGTGAATATTCGAAGGAAATTTCCGCAGATTTTATGGGTACACTTTTGTATTTACTACTTCTACATATGTATGTATAAGTACATAGGGTTATATTACCTTTTCCTTTATCGACAGAGTACATAATATCCGTTGGCGGAAACGTTGGCACTTGAACCTTAATTATTTTCTTCTCTTTCTTGCAATTAGAACCGTTTCGTAAACTCGCCACTTTTTTCTGTAGATCGTCTGGAAGCTGTAAACAGTTATGTAAATTAGAATCGTAACCTACGGTCTTCTTAATTTGATTGTAAAGTTGATCTACAGAAGACTCTAATACAGTCTGTATTGACAAAAACATTATCCCAAAACTAAATACCGATGGTCTCCAAATAGTTTACCCTTGGTTCAAAAAAGGGAACCTTCTCCATTGTCATTTTACGTTTCACGAAAGATTAGCTATGGGAGAAAGTAGCGTTCTTGAATCTGCGCATATTACTACTGCGCTGCTAATGATATGTGAATCTTGAAATAAGCTTTAGCTTGAGCATACAGTCGCAATGTACTTTATTCGGCACTTACAATATCCAGTTTCGGAGACACAAAATTGGAAGGCTTGCAGTGGAGTAATTGGACAACCACGTTGATATCACTTCGATACCTGTCCTGCTCATGAAAAAAAGATGAGATGGATTAAAAATAGAAGAACCATACTAATTAATAGTTTATTTAATAAATACGTATCGTATTTATGTACATTTTCATCCTCAAGTTGGTGAATATATAGTCTTGCTTCAACTAGACGCTGGGTTAACTCATGAATTTGGTAGGACAATCTTTGTGTCTCTGAATGATTATTTTCAGCCAACTTGAGTAACTTTTCCTCCAAATTCTAAAAGGTAAAAAGTCAATGGTATTAGGTCAACATTCTCTATTCGTTCACGCAAAAATGTTTTAGTTATTATCCAAACCAATAATCAATTATTCAAGATGTTCAAGTATTAAATATAAATTACGTGCCTGATTCAAATTTTGAAGCTTTTCATGAGCTTCTAGTAATCTGCAACAATGCAATGAAAACATCGTACTTACAAATGCCACAGGAAGTTTTTTAGCAAAATGTTCTTGCAACATTAAGTACCTGTCATACTTATTGCGCCAAGGATCCATCAGTACCACCAACTGTTCTTCCATCATTATCCCCTTGTAACTTTCGTTGTGTTCGCGTTAAATGCGGATTAACTACCCGTTGAGCTTTATTTCTTAGTATTGCGATTTTCTTCACCCTTTATCCACATGATTTTGCTTCGCTATATGCTAGTTACCATATCGTAGTCCTCCCATATTTTATTCTACGCACTCTACTACTAGCACATACTTGTCGCGGATGACGAGTTAGTAGTGATCAAATATTCGCCACAGCAGAAAGGGTACGGAAAATGTGAGAACAATTGTTTCAATTCGGTTTATGCAAGCGTTCCCACAAGTCACATTTTTTTTACTCGCTTGGACACGCAACTCTCAGACTACATGTCTATCTTTGCACTTTGCTATTTCGCAGTGTCGTGTCGTGATGTGAGAGGCGAAATCAGGACAAGTCAGTTAAGGGCGAACGAGTGTGTGTGCGATTGTGTGTGTGCCAATCTCATCCGAACGAACCACAATGAGATGAGAGAGTGACTAATATGAACCCTTACCACGTATTGATCTGCGGAAACCGTAATCGGAGTCATAAGCAAAAGCAAGCAACCCTTTTCTTTCTACCCTCTCACTGCTCTCTGCCTCTCACTCCCACTTTTCTCCAACTGAGAAGAAAGCATATTCCATCGTCGTTGATGCTGCACTTGGTGTGTGTACCTATAGCACGGGGTAGGTACATGTATCGGCGTATGCATGGCTAGGTGTTGGTACCAGGGGCAAATCCCGTAACAGTTCTCCAGAGTTCACTTCACTTTCACTCACTTCCTCCATCCGTGCTTGTGCATAGCGTGTGGTCCGACCTATTCCTACAATTTTCCTATCCGAATCGGGTATTCTAAGAAGAGAAACTCGGAGGGAAAGCACCAGCAGCTCAGCCTTTGGTTGGTTGGACGACAAACACTCATGCGTCACTCGGACGGCAAGGGTGAACTTATTTGTGGTACTAAATGCAACTATATGGGTTGTGTTCTATTCGGGATGATACATTTCTGGACAAAGGACAAGTGGGCAGCCAGCAGGATGGAAGCCAGTATCTCATTTCATCATTAATGATGGTGGTTAATATTAGAGACACATATAGTGAGACATGGCTGGCAAAGTGATAATAAAATGGAACGATTTAATGTTTAAATATGTATTGATTTATTCGTTCAGCAGATTATTTATTATTTCACAAATCCTGACATACTGCCATGCGATGCATATATAAGATCAGTCATCGTTCGTAATGATACAGACACCCAGTTATATTACTACAACATAGACAACAGTATTAGTACAATAACATTGCTGCTTAACTTGTCTATGTATAAATGCATTGGAATTCAAGTAAACAAGTAACAGTGGACGAAATTGTGGGGAGAGTAAAAAAAACAATTGCTATTATGACTTTAAGAGGGGCCCACGTAGTAAAAATGCCAACAAAAAATGCTTTAGAGCATATATTTAGTGGTTTGAGAAGAGGATTTAAACTTCTTCAAATTAAAAACAACTTTGTTGGATTAATGCATGCAAACTAATCCAAATAAAAACAATTTTGATACTTGTGTAAAATCAACAAATAAAACATTTCGAATTACATTTGGTACTTCAATAATTAATGTATTTGTAAATAAATTGAAATGTGAATTACAGTTATATATCAGTTGACAGCATAATGGCTATTGTTTAATAATTTATAATAACAGAATTGGAATTTGTCACTTGCAAATTAGTTTCATTTGTTTATGCATATTTATCCCTGCCTGCATTTAACAACTTTTCTTGGAGTAGATTATTATTATTACCTCGCTTAATAGTTAAAGATCTAACAAAGAGGATGTTGTTGGTGTTTGTGTTGGTTAGGTAAATAGTTGATTATTTCACGATTTTAGTTTACGGTATTATAAGTGTACCTATTCCTTTGACAAATATCTGGTGTCCAACTTAGGCCCCAAGAGCTACACAAAATAGAAAGATTATTAGAGGAAAGTTTGGTACAAAACTGTATTTTCTTTTCAATTTGTAAACCTGTAGCAGCCTCGTTTGCAAAGTACTTGACATCAATGTCCTGATCTTCCTTTAATTTATCTAACACTGGCTTAATATTGGTGGAAACGATCCTGAAAGTATCATTAGTAATGAGGACTCATGACTCCAATGTCGAAAAAATTATTCATAACTCTCACGTTTTATCAAAAATTGGCCCAATTTTTTGCAGAGTCTTTGCAACGTTGAATCTAACATTGGCCACCCCGTCGATTCCCATTTGCGTCACAACAGGTAGCATTTGTTTCGCAGTGATATCTGGACCGCAAGCTTCAGCAAGAACCTGCAGCGATACATGAGCAAGGTCAAAATTATTATACAACGGTAGACTATACTGCATAATACATAGAATATAAAGTACTACAGTGACATAAATACTTTTACGAGTACTTACGTTAATACAAAACAAACAAGTCATTCTGTGAAGATAGTTGGGATCCCGAGCCATAGCTGAAAATAATAATATGCTTATATGATGAATTGAAAATAAAGTGTGGATACGTTCGAGTTTATAATAATTTTTCGATTTCTTACCCAATACTTTTGGGATAACGGTATTTTCAGCCCAGTCAGCTCCAAATTTTTGGACGAGTTTCTTAAGATTGACGGTAGCAGCTTCTCGGATAGCAAAAACATGGTCGACTAACCACGTCATGCACAAGGTATTTAATTTTTCATCAAAGAATTCCACACCCAATTGACCAGCCAAAAGTGGCATGTATTCAATGATGGCTAATCGAACTCGCCATTTCGTATCTTCAGCCAACTCGACAATAGCGGGGAGTAGGGATTGGGACAGCTATAAAGACAATCCAATTTATTGTGTTGAAGTTTAATGAATAATTATATAAATTCATCTAACCTGTTGTATTCCAATGACCTCGTTAACGCAATCCAAATTTGAAATGATATTCAAACGTACTTCTGGACACTCATCTTTAAGTTGGGATAGGAAAAGTGGTAAAAGATGTTCTACAGTGCTAAAAAATCAAAAATAATTTTAAACCAAGTCCATGTAATACATAAATAATACCGGGTTCGAAACTTCATAAATCTGATAGTAATTAATTTAGTCATACTTGTTCTTTCCCAAAATGGGGCTCAATCCCATAATAACTGACGCCAGAGCAGACTTGACGTGTTGATTCGGGTCGTTTACCAATTCTTTCACGCAGGGGAGAATGGAATTCATGATGACCACTTCTTGGACGCTGGGGTCTAAAAGTTGACAGAATTCCTTCACTTTGTTGGACGCTGCGGCCCTAACTTCTGCCTCGCAATCTTTCAACAGGGACTGAAACGCAGGAACCAAATCCGTTTTGGTAATTTCTGGGCCAACAGCCTAAATAAAAACATAATTAAATGCAGCCCAACTGTTGAGTAATTTAAATTCAGTTAGGTGGACTATCAATTTTTAATTTAAAAAATATTTATATACTTTTTGGAGATCGACAAATTTATCTGCGACCATATATCTCACTCGCCAGCTTTTATCTTCAGCTGATTGCCTCAAAGTAGGCATGAGGAGTTGTTCCGTATCTTCTTGAGGGAGAAGAGAAGCTATACTAACGCACGCTTCCACGGCTAAAAGTCTAACAGAATCCTGAAATTAAAAAAATACATTGAATCATTGATTATTTCATTGTAAACTATGTAAGTATATGTTTTCTATCATAAAAAACTTACTTGTTCATCCTGCGCAAGGTTGATAAACATGGGAATAATATCTGATTTTAGATATTCTGCCTCCACCACTTTTGCCAACTCTCCCAATTTACTTGCCGCAGCACGACGAACCTAAAACAATCGAAATAATTGTTTAATTATGAGTATTTAAAATTTACTAGGCAAAACTATTATAACCGAACCATTGGGGTGTCATCCTGGCACAGACTTCTAAAGTGGCTTCTCAAGTCACCTAAATAATCAATACAATAATAAATGCAAAATGTCGAAATGTGTGCCTATAATAATCTAAATATCATACTTCGAATTGTTGGCGAAACTCTGGCGTAACACACTGAAAACAGCCCACAAGCCGATGTTCTTGAAGTAAACCAATCGCCAGACGCCAATCGCTTGACCAGGGGAACAAAATGTCCTTCTAAATCGGCAACTGAATGTTGTTGGGAAATAATTCGTAGAGAATCAACGGCTTTGTCCCGAACAACGGTTTCCTCCACGGTGGCCAAAGACTCAAGTGGTGCCTACGACCATACAGAGATTTATATTATCTATCACAATTTTTTTTAAATTTTACCCATTATCATTAGTCATTTAACAATTTTCACCACATAATGCAATTTGTTTTGCTTACCAAGAGGCAATGGACATGTTCTGGTCCACCCACCAAAGGAGTAAAGTTTCCCAACTGTTCTGCAAGGGCTAACAACACCTCGTCCTCGTCATAAATGGTGTCCGCCAGAAACGGGATGAGTTCGGATCTTGTCCTCTCCACTCCAAGGGCCAAGGCGATCGTTGACAGTTTTTTTATCGAGTTTAGGCGCAACTAGTATAATGGATAAAAATAATGAATGATTAAACTCATACTTATTACATATTTCACAGAAATATAGTTTGGTCCTTGTTTTAAGCAGCAAGTCAGATAATAAACCCAGAAAATCATTACTAAAAATTCAATTATTTTGCCTAATCATCCCTGGCTTGTTGTGATGCTACGAGATATCAATGCAGCACATACAAACATTTTTCCTAACCAGTCGAATAAGATGTTTACCTGAACATCCTCATTTCTCAGTTCGTCAATCAGGACGGCGATGGGATAAAGGGATTCATCCCCACAAGTGTCAGTGGCGGCCATTTAATGAATCCTCCGGTTTTACTAGACTTTTCAATATAACGACAAGAATTTAAACTCTCCAACACGTATTAATATTTATAGTCACTCGGTCACGTAAGAAATCTGACCAAATTTTGACTCTTTAATTAAATTGCTCAATTGAATAAGTTTATTCCGCAGGTAGTAGATGATGATCAACCAGTTTTTAATATTTGGTTGACTTTTATTTTGTGGGCTGAGGCTGAATCTGTTAACGGTTTCACTTCCTCCGATTCAGATGGCTCTCACTATCGTACAGCAAATCCAGTCGGTCTCAACTTGCCTCTCACTTTCTGTCTGACGAACGATGAGATGAGACGAAAATTCTCAACTGGCAAGAATAAATATTGATAGAAGAATTAATTTCATATTGCATTATGAGTGAATGATAGCTTAGATATTTTCGGTACATGCTTGATGAAAAAGTACAGATCCTTGAAATTAGTGTTAATAAGTAGAAAATAGAAGTTCTTTACATGGTGAAAGCAAGTTACTCGAGCATTGCTACTTTTTTAATTTCCAGTAGTTAGTTATCTATAATTGGAAGAACAAAGGGAACAGAATTTCTATTGTAATATTTCTGGTTATGGGTAGAAAACAACTTATTCTTGTAGTGTGGGCATTATCCACATTTCCACACTGAAAATGAGATTACATCTACATACATACATACTAACGTACATATATTTGCTACTTCTTGCTTATGCCACTAGTAGCACGAGCACAAAGTTAGAGTACCATGAGCTGGTGCCGACGGAAGAGGCGAAAAAAGCAAGCCCCGTTCCCTGTTTGCCGAACGGTGAAAGTATCGACCGACCACTTTCTTTCTTCAGCCTGGGAAAAACAACTTTCTCTCTCGCTCCTTGTGCTACCTCCTCTCCGCGAGAAATTAATATGTGTCTTAACGATAATTAGATTTTATTCCCCATCGCACACACTCCATTCAACTGGGTCATGCTCACTTTTGCCAATTTCGAAAAATGCATTCCAGGAGAATGTTAAGTTCATTTTGTGCGCGTAAATGTAAGAGTGTTCCACTTTGATTTGATTCCCTTCTCTGGTAATAAGTAACCCAAACAAAATTTCGTAATGGATGGGCACGATATGGAGGTGGGGTTTCATGATCACACTCGCACAACCAATTCTCAAGTTGTGGCCAAGTATGGTGCTTCTCCGAATAACAGTGGTCAAAATCATAATCGGACCGCTGCAGGCGGTGGGAAAGTAACGAACAACGAGAAAAAATTGACGGTGCTGGTCATTTTAATGTCCATTTTGTGCTTTGGGCTGGTCGCGTACGTTTTGGTGACGGGGCCTTTGGCTGGATTGTTACAAAAGGTTAAAAATGGTTTTAATGTGAAATTATATGTATATGCACAATATGCATGCATGCATATCTTTATAAATTATAATAGGTGATTTTGGTATGGGGAAATTAATCTAGAGCTTCGTTTTCATAGGACTCTGGAGGATACGTTGGGATTTGTGATTCCACAGAATGCGTCGAAATTTCTCATCGAGCCATTGAAAGTGGTGATTTCGACAAAGATCCTTGTGATGATTTTTATTCGTTTGCCTGCTCAAAATGGCAGAACAACAATCCTACTTCTCAAGAATTGTTCCTTTCTGCTGCCAATATTCATCAGATCAAGGATGGGGTGGATTTTTATATTAAAAGTAATAAAGCTTGCTTTAAAGAAAAAATTAATTATGAAAAAATACATATGTACTATTGCCAATTTTAATACAGGGTTGTTAGAAAAGCCAGAAGAAATGAGAGTTAATGCAACCACGGGATTGCACGTATATTCGTCGCCCAAAGCCTTTTATGAGAGTTGTTTGCATTTTTCTCCTCCAGCAGAATCACGCATTAGTAAGTTTTGTTATTTCAATTTCTCAGTTTGCCTCACATATGTACTGCATTGGTTACATCAAAATTACAGTAAGTGACCTCATTAAACCTTTTGGAGGATATAAAACCTTAGCCAATTGGTCAGAAAAAGACTTTGATTTAACTTCAACGGTGCTTGCGTTTCTTCGCATGAATGCAGGTAAATAAGGATTTTCCATACGTAAACTCGTCACACTTTACTATAGAAGTGAAAGTCAAGTATTCATGCTTCAATTTTTCTTTCCAGCTCCACTGTTTGATCTCACACTTGATATAAACCCTAAGGACAAATCAAAATATGCATTGATTGTTGAGCTTCCTAGGTAAGCAAATGTTATAATGATGAAAAGGTGCATACCATGAATATTCTGATTTATCCTTATTTACCTCCAGACCCACGAGTCTTGTGCCAAATTTGTTTCAGCCACAAAGTCGACAAGAGGACATTCTTATGGTGAGAAAAAAATTTATACATATATATATCCAGAAAACCATCGGGATGATTTATGATAAGTTTGAATGATACGAAAAAATTATAATTGCAGAGTGATAAGCTGAATAGTGAACTTACAGAAGCTTCCAATAATAATAACGCGTTTCCGTTCAATGGTAGTGGTGTCGAAGTGTTAAATGGTGAGGACAATGGTAATGATCTCTACCCGACTACCATGGATCGGCAAATCTTATACAAAATGATTACGGTGAGACAATCAGTAAAGAATAATACTGTAGTTGGTTTTTAAGTATTGAAGAAATGTAATACGCCAACTATGCACTTACTTTCTTTTAAAAGCATATTTCATTTTTCAGGAGAATGTCGAAATAAAGAGAGTTGAACGATTGCAAATTTTGACAGAACAAATTGGAAATATGATAAATATGCCAAATGAAGAAATTCAGGACGATATAAAAAGCATGTCTGTTCTTGCTGCGACAATTGAGAAGGTTAGAATTATTATATAATAATTTATATGATTAACTTAATTAACGGTGATTTGACGGTGCAGATTAAACCAAGCCACCGAAGTCGGAAATTTTGGAAACAGCAAAATAAAGTTTACAATGCGTTCTCCCTGGAAAGTCTTCAAAGACTTTTTAACAATGTGGATTGGAAGCAATTATTGGAAAGACTGCTGAATCAAAAGAAGGACGGAATCAGAAAAAAAGTAGACATTGAAAATTTTTCTTGGGAAAATATTACACTGTATGTGCCATATCCAGACTACTTGGTTAGTATACAGTTTAATTGCAGGTTATTAATAGACAGGAAAGTTACTCTAAAAATCAATTCTAAGACTAAAATAGAGTAATTCATGAGAACGAGCAATAGCATGTCTTATTTATAAAGCTTTATTTGTTTTCAGCGTCGACTTTCTCAAGCAATTCAATTCACAGATAAAAGGTATGTTGTACTTAAATGACAAATTGGCTATTGAAAAAATTTCAACAGAAGAAAAACTTGTAAAACGTCTTGTGCTTTTCCAGAACGTTATTAAATGGAATGCTTGTAATGTACGTAAAAGACATGTTAAATGACATCAACCCTAAAAAGAAGGACACAGAAATTGGGAATCCTCGTTGGAAATTTTGTGTTCATTCTACAATATCTGGTAATAAACATTTTGCTTCAGAAGGGCATGTACAAAAATACAAATTAAGGTGCAATAGGATGATGCGTTGATGCGTCAAAGATTATTTCGTCAATGTCTCACTCTTGAAATCGATGCCATTTTAGAAATTTGTATTTAAAGAAATTTAATAGGGATAGAGTGATCAAAGCGTCATCCTAATACCACCTTAAGCATGAGAAAATTAATCTCTTGTATTAATTCCATTCTTAGTTTTTGCAATGGAGATTTCGAGCTTATGTAAGGTATGTATAGTATATATAAGAATATTCTATCGAGGTTTTCCTTTAGTGAATGACATCCCCTCGACACCACAATCGCACATACGCGATTCTGTTTTAAATTGGAAAAGTCTACTAAACACCTTATACTTATGCTTTCAGTTATTCACCGTGCCCGAATGGAACTAGAATTCAAGATAAAATTAAGACATAACGCATTTTTACATATTTCTGATGTTCACATAAAAATGAGTTTTGGTGTCTGTTTTTAGACATGCGTTCTTTTGACCCTGCTCTGCTCTCGGGAATGAAGGACGATGTATGAAAACAGATTTACCCTTTACAATTTTATCGTTATATTCACGCAACTAATTCTCGTTGGTTGTGTGATACAAGGTGGAGAACATTTTTGAGGGAGTGAGAGAGACATTATTGGAATTTTTAAATCAATCTCATTGGCAAGACACACGGAGCAGAGAAGAATCAATTAAGAAAATAAAATCTATAAAGGGAAGCTTTATTGGTCCAGATTTTTACTTAAAGTCTGATTATTTGGAAGACGGGATAAAGAATGAGGTATTAAATACAGACATATATATTTACAAAAGAGTGCATTTAAATTAATAACCATACATATATGTATGTACATACATATTTTTTACTAGATCAAGGTCCAGATCGATCCGAAAAATTTTATTGCAAACATTCAACTAGTTTATAAAGGTAACCAATTAGATGTGATATGCACAATCTCAACCTATTTTTTAATTAATTAATTGCTAATTTAAAAATATTTTTTCAAGTTTTTCGGAAGCAACTGTATGCATTGTACTTTAAAAGAGTTGATGTCGAGCGTGCAACGTGAGTTCTACACTTGGTTTAAGTTATACTTTGTCGTAAAAAAATATTTCATGCCAATTTTGTATTAATTTCAGTTGGTCTTTCGTGGTAAGATATTAAACCCAAGCTATCAGTTTGATGTGTTTGGTTGAGATACTTACATGCATTTGCTGCTAGACTTTCCCCACAACCGTCAACGCATTCTACATTCAACAATTTAACAGCTTGGTTGTGGTAAGTTCTGTTTTGTTTATTTTTATCATGATTTCATAAATATGAACAAATCAAAAGTTCGGTTTTTAATATTTACACACAACTCATTTATCTATTTTTAGCCTCTTGCCTTCCTAAATCCTCCAAATTACTCGTATGGTGCTCCAAAATATGTTAATTATGCAACAATCGCTCTCACTATAGCCCATGAAGCGTTGCATTCTTTGGACAGCTCTGGTATTTTATTTTATTAACAGAGTAGAATTATTCAAAGTATTATTTGTAGTAAATTGTATTCAAATTGGGAATTTGATAATTGGTAATTGTCATTAGGGAGCGATTTTGATGCAGATGGAAAGTTGAATCATAATGGCATACACACTGAGCAGCGTGGATTTCTAAAAGAGAAAAGTTCGTGTGTGGCAAAACAATATTTCGACATGTTTAGGAAAATTATTCCTTTTCATCATTCAAAAGTCAACATGTATTTTCAGGTGCTTTTTACATAATCCATTTGGTTTGGAAATGGCTTGCCTTTAAGCGATGTTGAAAAAAATGAATTTCCGCAGGTGGACGGGAATCTGACACAAAATGAGAACTTGGCAGACATTGCAGGACTGCAAGTGGCTTTTTCAGGTATGACTCGATAGAATTTATGGTGCGTGAAATATATAAGTAGACCATATATATGTATTATAAATACATATGTAATGTAGCGTATCAAAAACACTTTGCAAAGTCTGGTGGGGAATGGATGGAGAAAATGAAGTTGCCTGGATTGCGCTTTTCCCGTGACCAAATGTACTATCTGTCAGTAGCTCAGGTGTGTAAATTTGTACATATTTAATTGTAATAAATAACTCGAATGTACTTATCGTCTGAAATTAATGTTTTAATTTTAAAGGCTTATTGTGCCAATATTTCTCGTAAGTTCGTAACCAATATCCTCGAATTTATGCATGGAAAAGGTAAAAACGCAACAAAATTATTAACTAATTAATTTTGTAGCAATGGGATACATTTTCTTGTTGGAGATGGACGAACACACTCCACATCCTGAGCGAATTAATGGGATGCTAATGAACATCCCTGAATTTTCCAACGTCTTCCGTTGTGGGGCCGGAAGTAGGATGAACCCTGATTTCAAGTGTTCCATGTGGTAGATCCAGATACATATTATTGGATTATTAATTGGACTGGATATATATATTCCAGCCAGTTGCATATGTACGTACATAAGTATGTAACGAGTAGAAAATTCCCGGTTCAAGAATGACTTGCAGCAATATTTAATAGGTGAGATAAATTGAAAACACCCCTGATCTCATGCCACAAACAAAAATTGTTGTGCTAATCAACCACTCAATACAAATATAGAAACGCATACATATCATTTTATGGCAATAAAGTAAAATCCACTGAATAATATGTAAAAGTAATATTATGTGAATAAAAATAATACTCAAGTACGTATGTGATTCTATTTTCAGTATTAAAAGTGCATTTTTTCACCACCATACCAAAAAAATTAAAAAATCTGAACATACATTTTGTGGAGATTTTATGGTATTTTATTATCCAACAATGCTACTACAATATGAGATTACAACATGGTATGAATTACAAATTACATTGGAATTTCGATAATTAAGTAAATTATACAACGACACTTATACATACAACATGCGGTTGGAAATACAAGTAATAAACACCAAATGTATTCATGTTATTACGTTTAAAAATGGTGTTTTGTGCATCGAATCGTGCATGGTATATTTTTTTGACAAGGTCGTCAGCTATTTCACGGTTTAGTCGTTGTTAATTTCATGCAGTAATAAAAAGCATGATAAACTTAATCACTTTCATTCCAATACACACATATGTTAAGATTAGGAATCTATAACTTCTATAGAGCGATTAATTATTATTCAGTACACACAAACAGTTATTTATCGGAAATGACGATTCATTGAATACATCAATTACAAGCAGCAGCAGACAAGCTAACAATAATAAGAGCAGTTTTTGAGTGTTTTCATTAAAATCAGTTCTAGAGTTGCATAGTATGACTAATAAATCTATGTATTTAGTCAAGTCAAAAGTGAGTGAGTGAGTGAGCACAATTTAATATTGTATTTAAACAGTTCAGTTTGGTTTCGTTGATTAATTATGGAATATTAGGAATCATTATGCAATCAGAAGCTATTGCAGTTAAGTAAATGAGAATGTGGAAAAAGTCAATAGCTTATGGATTCTCAAAGTTTTATCAACTATGTATCAACTCAAATGCGCATCCGCAATTACTTTCACTCTAGTTTGGCAATCTCATTTGTGAGCAATCAACCACACATACACATAATTAGTTTCAAGCAGAAGACAGTCCACCGGTGTACCCCCTTGATAACTTGGATTTGAATTTAAAAAACTCCTGATTATGCAACATTATTATTAACCAAATATGTACAATACATATACTAATATGTAAGAATACAGAAACGCTCATAAAATTACACAAACAATAACAATTTTGATTAAGAATAAAATAAGTGGACAACATCATAATAAATAACTTTTAATGAATATTTTTAGTATAATTTAAAAAATTGGTAAATAGGGAGTACACCCAAGCGATACATCACCTACACACAAATGCCTTCAACAACACTTTTCTGTATTACTATGTTCCTTTACAGCGATCTACTTACCACAACACGATAATATCATTAGATGCACGTCATCATTTGACTAATTGATTAGATTTCTAAAGAAGATGGTTTACTCACGAGACAACACTACACGAGACGACAGTAAAGACAGAAATTGAATAGCTTATCATTATTTGCGATGTCACTGATGTATGTTACTGTGTTAACAACTAAGTTCTAACGTTCTAAAATCCTATTGTGCTTTTCCCAAATATTAGCGTAGTGCAAGTTTATAAAGTGAATCAACTCATCAGTCAACTTAAGAAAGAACCCGACGGGAAATAATATTAAAATGGCAAGTGATGGCTAATGAATGATTCTTTTGATTACTAACATAAAATTGGAATCTCACTCGCAATGTGAGAAAATCCAATCCCCTTATTTCTTGCTACGTTCGAGTCATTTAATTCGCGATAAAAACTATTCCGTAAAAGTCATTTAAAATCGAAACGTATATGTAATAAGAATATGCGATGATTAGACTTGAAAATCTTTGACAATATTGAATCAACTTATAAATAAACCTACTAATAAGCTTAAAACTAAAATCACATGAAGCTTATACGCACTGATTCGATCAAACATTTACATGTATCTAGATTACTAGAAGACTATTTTTAGTGCACAAGCGATTTGGTTGGTGTTGTCCTATAATTATCGAGACGAGACTTTGAAAATCGATGTAATGTATATTAACTTACTCACTTTCTTACGCTGTATGTATTTAGTTTGGAAATACCCCTAAAGTTTTCTTGCTTTGGTTTCTAGAGACATTTTTAGATCTAAATAAATCCTTAAGTGACTTGATTCTTCGCTTCTTTAGTTGACGAGTACAGAATTACACATTGACTGTGTCATATGGAGTCAGTCCGTTAGGAATGGAATGAGCCTCGTTTCTGTAAGATTTAAAAGATATGCTTATGTCCAAAAGTAATCATAATAGATACAATGGTATGCAAGTAAATAAATAAATAATTCTGCATGCAATGTTATGTACATATGTAAATGTAAACGGCAGCACACAGACACAAAAGGGGGTTATAAAATACTTACTGATTCCTACTATTGTCCGAATCGCAGCGGAAGGAAACAAGAAAAGTAGTATTAGGACAAATTCAATGAAATCACAAAGCTTGGTCATAAATTTGAATACTTAAAAATTCGAAAGTATGTAGTAAGAAGCATTCAAAGTTATTTTTCCAATTGTCGTGAGTTTTAACAAAGAATTCAATATGGTATCAATTAAAGTACATACTTTTCAATAAGTCGTCGCATCTCTTCAGTGGACATGTTTCCAGGAGCTCCACCACTGACAGAGTTACGATTCCGGATCAGCGGATCACGGTCTGGACAACAAAACAGGACATGTAAGATGTGAATATATTTCAATTTGTAATGAAATATATATGTTTAATTACCACATTCAGCCTCAGAAAGTTCGTTGGATTCCTTTGAGTCATTACTTTGGTTCATTTGAGAGTGAGAAGGGGTAGAGTTTGGTGAATCCGAGGGGCTAAATTTCATAAAATCAGTTGACAAATAATACTTTATTCTAAATTCGAATGCAAAATCATACAAGTATTACTCAATTGATTGGTGATTGATACATAATCTGAGGACCCCAATCACCTCTTAATCAATGATCAATAATATCTTACCGTGGTGGTGGAGGAGGAGGAGATGGGCTCTCCGGAATTGGAACAGTTCTCATTGATCCTAAGAGACAACCACAATATCGTTAACTTTTTAGAAACTTTAAATCCATTTCTTGTTTTATCTTTCGATACCCATAGAACGACGTCCAAGAGAACCTCGGCGATTAGGGCTGTTGTAACCATATTCGTCCTCAATATTTGCAGGATCATCATATTCAGGGGAGAATACATGGTTAGGCGGGTTAATAATTCCATTAGGGCCGACGGTTCCCTGTTTAAAATTTCCAGAATATATAGATTGTAAATTTATCGTTTTCTTATATGAAAAACTGAACCTTACCCCTCCAGCAACTGACGACACAACGCCTGATCCCACAGGTCCTCGTCCATACCGAGTGGTATTTGAGCCACGAGGCTACAACAGAAAACATATTATTTTGGTCAACATATTCGAAAATATGAATGCAAATTGACGAGCTAATATTATGTATTAGTAAATACTTACCGCAGATTGCGACCCGCCACGATGATGGCCATGTCCAGGTGGAGGAAGAGTTGTGGACCCTAAATTACGCAAAAAAAGATACAAAGAAGTACATACAACTTCCTACAATCAAATTATTAATTTCAAATACACTTATTTACCATGAGGAAGAGTTAGACCATTTGAGCCCTTTGAAGGATCCATTTCTTCGCGAAAGCCAAGTAAATGGAAGGTTGCATATGGACAAATTTCTTCATCCTGACCAGGCACTAAGAAAATATACTTTGTGTTAAAATACCAGCAAACTAAATATCATAGCTCATAAAGAAAGTTCGCAGATAGAGGAGAAGTACAGATGCAATAAGCCGTCATAAGCATTACAATTTGCATAGCATAGGATTATGAAGAAGTGAAATATTTAGTTGACAAAACTGTTGACCATATAGCTCGCTGCTTCACCACAATTATAGTTGTTGGATCAAGACTGACCATGAAATAAGCTAATAATATAAATAGCAACGCCACGTACGGCTAATTTACTGTCACCATGATATAAGAATACCGTGTTACAGAAGAAAGAAAACGAGGTTTTTAAATAGAACATGATGGCCACAATAGACTGTAACTAGCTAGCGACACGAGGTTCAACATATGTAGTTGTTCAATTACCACCGTTGGGGGGTTTACTATAAAGCGAACTATCGTCAGAGTGGGCATGGGGTGGAACAGGAGGGTGGTCATCATAATATATCCCACCACCCCCATTCGCCAACTCTTCGTATGTATGAGGCACTCCTGTGGCGGCAGCAGGTCTTCTACCGTTCCAAGTGGGGTGATCTATTCCATCGACATTTACATTGATTTAACATTCCAAGCAAAATAATAAATACCTTGATAATATTTCAATTAGTCGTCCATGATTCTATTTTTTAACTCAAGTGATTTGTACCGATGCGATAGTGAGAATGCATTCAAAATAAAAGTATTTTTGTAACATCCAAAGATCGAACAATGAGTAGAAAATGCTTACCTTTTGTGTTAAACAAATATAGCAGATAAGTAGAAATGACAGTGCAAATTTCATAGAGGAGTGAGTCTGACTTGACTTTTACACTAATTACTATAAACTATACCTAGATAATTTTAAAAATTAAATTGTACGTACTCATCCCTTTCTTGTGACGGTCGCACGTACTATAATTTGATCCTGGAACTGGTGGAAGTTTCCTATTGGGAGGAGCAATGTATCCCAACTCATCTCGGAATTCTTAGAAAAACATTACATGAAAACGATTAAATTTGGCTGGCAATACAAATTTGTATTTGTGCTGCTATAACATGTTGTAACATTTTTTTTAAATACCTCGTTTCAAAGTCATTCCACGCATATCCGGCTGAGCATACAATCCTTCATCTGTGAAATAATAATCACGAGAAATGTATTACTCATTATTTTGTAAGGTTTTAGCACTAAAAACAACCACAGGACAGGACAAGACTTTCTCGAGAAATGATACAATTTTTTGTAAGTATATTTTTTGGTTTCTTCAAAGACTTCAAATAGAGAGTTCCCACAGCGCAACTTGTCAGCAACATGAATATTTATATAAAGAATATGTACATACATATGTAAATTTATGTACGGTTTGGGGCTTTGGAAAAAATTCTCTTTTTTGTAGCCTTTTGACAGAAACTTAAAAAAAATCAACCTCGCAGTCGAAAACTTTCTGGTCCTCTATTTCGTCTGGATACTGCGATACAAATTACCGCAAGTCCTACAACTATGATAACAATCATGGCACATCCGGCCACTATCATATTGTAATCCACCCACTCTGGCAACCAAGGGAAAACCTCGAGTAAAAGTCCGCGTCCATTATCATTGGTTCTGGCCGGGCCCACTTGATCTAAATTGTGGAGATAAAGAAACAGAGAGTAAGAGATTTTACCAATTACCTTTATGCATCGTATCTGTCTTTCCGCGTCGGAGAGCGCAGATTGTAATCAAGACAGTAAAAATTACGATGCCACCGGTAGCAACGGGTACTACTAGATTGAGGTTTCCACTGAGAAATGCTATCCATTCTGCCGCAAAATCTCCGTTATCTATCGTTGGTGGAGCCAATATATCTACCAAGATCATAAGGAATGTATCATGAACGACTTAACCCCACGTCTTTTTTGGACATTAACGAAAATTAAACAAAAAAAATACCTCAATGACATTTGAAATTATAACAGTAAACAAAAACACTAAAGAAAATCGGGTTGAAAAAAATCAAACATCAAAATCTGAAAACTCAAAATGAAAATCAAGGATGGAATTGCATGGCAGAGAGAGAAATGCATTGCATTGTTATCTATTCTAAATGCTATGTACTAAATATAGTAAGTATAGGTTGTAGGTAGATTGCTTAAGACAAATCTGAGATGAATCCTTCAGCATCATGTCATATATTTTGTGTAGGTTCAGGTAAAAGCAATGTAAAGATTTAAACTAAATACATAATGCAAATTCAAAAAGATAATTAATGATGGTTGGTGGGTATTAAATAAACGTGTCTTACTTCCGTTCAGCGTTAGGGTTGCAAATTCAAATTCTGCTTGGGTGAAGCCGACATTGTTGTGAGCGGTGACTAAAAACAATTATAAATCGGTCATAAAAAATCATCGACATGTACAATCAAAACCATACGATTAATAATCTCTCTCAGTGATTTGCAGTTCTCTGTTTTACCTCGAAGTTGGTACCAGGTTGCAGGACTAAGATCCAAAACAACATAATTTCCACTGGGTTTTACGCTGTTGGAAACCATTGTCCATCCATCGCTTTGGTGTCTATGCATATGTATTAACAAGGTACAAATATATTTTCGTAATTATGTACAATAACAGCAGACGAAAATGAGAAAAAAATGTCTACCTAGCCTTGTACTCGACAACAAAGTACAACATTGGACAACCACCTAATAAATTATTCATTTGAACATGTTGATTAGATTAATGTGTAGTTTTTATGATGGTAAAACGTGATTATTCTTTGTTACCATCATCCCAAGAGCTCAAGTGTAAAGTTACACTATTTTGTGAAACTTCTATAAACTTGTGGGCTGAGGGTACACCAGGTTTTTGACCCTTTATTGATTGAGAAAAGATGAATGAATAAATATACTAATCCTTATTAAGTATTATATTAACAAATAAATAGATAGTAATAAGACAAACTTTTGTCCTTGTATTTAGTATGTCGGATGCCTCTCCAGTTCCAATACTGTTATAAGAAGTTGCGTAGATTTGATATCGAGTTCCACAATTAAGTCCTTCCAACGTATATTCAGACATGTTTGGTGGAATTTGAGTGGCTGAAAACACGACAAGAAATTGATTTTAAATTATCAACACAGTCTTGAAGCTACTTCTATCAACTATTTATTATTCGGGTAATTGAGTTGTATTAATTATGCGTATAAATCACTACATGCATACCTTCCCATTCTCCAAAGTCTTGTTTGTAATGAATGGTGAGACCGTGAAGTGGGGCCGAGTCCGATGGGGATTTGAGCCGAACAGTGATTGCCTGTAATTTGTTTTAAAAAATTTCAACTTGTACGCAGACAGTGCCGCTTATATTTGAAGCTCATACCGTTCCCGTAGCTCCAGCCAAAGAAATGCTTGGGGGTTGTGGAGGCGCTTGTACGACTAGGGTGTGCATAATCGTGTCATGTCCGTTCGAATTTTCTGCCTTGCATGCATAGTCTCCTGCATCTTTACGAGTAACTTCTTTTATCAGTAGACTTCCATCCGGCAGCACTCGAAGTCTGTTACTTTGGGTTAGCATTTGTCCCTTCACCTAAAGCAATTTACATTCATGAGTTAATTAGTAGTTACAAACTTACTACATGGGTATTATCAGTTTTAACTGATAAGTAGTTTTGCACACCTTCCATTTAATTTCAGGAGCAGGGACACCTGGAAGGAATTTATCATATTAGTTTACTATTTGTTTCCATATGATGTTGGTCACCAGGTCCTTACCGACAGCCTGGCAGGGAAGTTTCACTTCATCTCGATGAGTAGCAACAATTTTTTCCGCTGCAGAACAATCATTTTATTAATAATTGCTTGATTATAAGGAACATATTTATATTGTTTCACTCATGCATGCTTACCGAATGATGCAATTTTAGCAGGAACTTTGTTGGATGGTGAGGTAGTAGCAGATTTTGAGGGTTGACCTTCTCCAATAGCAGTGTGTGCCGTAACCCAAAATTCGTACCGTTCTTTTCTTTTCAGTCCGGAAATTTCATAAGTTGTCTGGAATGAGGGAATCTTCTGGGATGTGGCTTCTGACTCTTTGGGTTCGACCGTCCGTTGATAAACAGTGTATTGGGTGACAACGCCTAAGAACATAATAACAAAAAATTTAATCATGGTTGATGATACTAAAAATTAAAACCTACAGTGCAGACTCCATATAGCCCGAGTCAGGTACATGTCCCTGACTCAATAAATCACAAATCAGTATGGGTCACCCCATAGGGTCACTCTGGTTGCACTTTGCTCACTTTTAACTTCATATTCTTTAATTAAAAGCCATTAAGTATCATTGTGCCGGATTTCATCTTTTTAAAGTAATTTCTAAAAATCGGTATGGGTCACCCCACCCATAGGGTCACTCAAGATGAAAATTTTACCAATATCATTTCATATTCTTTCATTAAGACCCATAAGCAACCTCTCCACCAAATTTCAGTTCGATAGGATGGTTTTTAAAAATCGGTATGGGTCACCCCATAGGGTCACTCAAGATGAAAATGTTTCCAACCTGAAGTTATTTTTTTCTATTAGGAGCCATTAGCAACCTCTGTACCAAATTTCAGCTTTCTACGACGATTTTTAAATTTTGGTGCATAATACCCCACCCACTCCGATGACCCCCACTGGTCAACCACTGGACCGATTTCGCCCATCTTCGAACTCGTTTCCTAACTTTGTCCAATACGCATATGGTAAAAATTTCAAGTCAATCGGTTCAGCCGTTTTGACTCTATCGTGCCGGACAGACAGACAGACAGACGGACGGACGGACATGACGGTTCCATAAGCCCTGACTCGGGCTAAAAAATAATTAGTTTTTTATTACCGTTGGGCTGAGAAGGTGGTTGCCAACTCAAAAGGATTGCATCTCCAGACATAACGCTAGCCTTTACAGCCGTTGGAGGTCCTATATGTAATTTTGTTTATTTAGATTCATATAAATATTCATAAACACTTTAAACCATATAGAGTAGTGTCATACCAGGGACATCTTGTTCAGTGTGGCAGCTTACAGCCGTGCTCGGAATACCGTCACCTCCATTGGTGTATGCGAGCTAAAAAAATAAATTGAAAATTAAACTACAAATATCCCATGTTGGTTTCAAAAATTATCTGATGTGCATATAAATTCTCAAAACTGTTTATGGAGGTAGAAATGAATATGTAAAATACTTACAATGGTCATGTTATAGTTTGTGTATTTTTTCAGTCCATGGAGAATGATTTCACTGGATGGCGTGGCTTTGATCTCTTTTGTTTTTTCGTCTTGTTATTAGAAATTGTGATAATTTACATTAGAAAGTGTTTAAAAGTAGGAATATAAATACATGGAATATGATTTACACTATCTACTTACCATACCACGAAGATGCTGGTCCAAAAATTACTTTGTATCCCTTAATCACACCATTGGCAGAAGCTAATAGAAAAAAGTAGCACAACAATGATATTTTATTCGGAATTCGAATTTGCACCATGTAACAATTAATGTAATACCAAGTGGAGGCGATGTCCATGAAACTCGGATTGATTGTGATGTGAGCGTGGTACAACTGATATCCTAGAAACGGAATAAAATATTTAGCACGTGTCTATTTTGTTGTTTATGTAAATCCTCTCCTATTAATCGATCAAGTGCATTTAAATTACCTGAGGAGCATGATCCGGTTTCCCTTCAGCAGTATGTTGAGCAACTTCCTTTGACATTGGTCCTGGTCCAATCCTATTAAATGCTTGCACAACGACAGAGTATTCCGTGTACGTCCTATGATTAATGAACAAGCAATAAAATTAGGACAAGTTTGCGTATTGAGAGAGGTATGATGTGAGTGAATTACTTTAAGTTTGAAATCATGAGATGATGCTGTAAGAAAGAATAAACGTTATTAATACTTTTGTTCAAAGAAACAAGTACTTACAATGGAGAGGTGTCAGGTGGTTATCGCCAATGTGGACCGGACTAATTTTAAATTGTTCAGGCCCAGAAATAAGCCCACCCGTATTTTTTCGTTTTCTTGAATGGGCATATTTACGCCCGTGGCGGAATTTTCAAAAAAAAATTCAGCCAAAATCCTGATTTTTAAAAACGCTGTAACTTTTCGAATTTTAGCCCGATTTCAAAAATTGAATACAATTTGTGTTCAGAATTACTTCCCTGAAAATATAAAATTTCATTTTCAAAAATTTTTTAAATTTAATATTTTCATGCCATTTCTGAGTTTTTAGAAATGAAAAAAACGATAATTTTTTGAAAATTAAAAAATTTTTGAAAATGAAATTTTATATTTTCAGGGAAGTAATTCTGAACAAAAATTGTATTCAATTTTTGAAATCGGGTTAAAATTCGAAAAGTTACAGCGTTTTTAAAAATCCGAATTTTGGCTGAAATTTTTTTTGAAAATTCCGCTAAGGGTGTAAACATGCCCATTCAGGAAAACGAAAAAATATGGGTGGGCTTATTTTTGAGCGTGAACAATTTAAAATTAGTCCGGTGGTTATCGGCGATAACCACCTCACACCTCCTCATTGTTAGAACTATAGGTAGTTGTCGTATAGTATTATTGTTATATATCGGCAGTTGGAAAAATTAAAATATGAAATAATTGCCAAACCTCCTTTCCAACTTCCCGAGAGAACTCGACAGTTTCGAATAAATATGGCTTGTCAGACGAGGCTAGTTTGTAGCCAACATAATATCCCATTATGTCTCCATTCCATTCTTCTCTCAGTGGGGGCTTCCATGTAACTTTGAGAGTATGTTGGTCAACTGGTTCAACCTGGTGAATATTATGTAATCATTGCAGTTATAAAATTTAAATTTAAAAATAATAAGGAATCATACCGCAATTCCAGTGGGAGGTCCAGAGGGAGCTTCTTCGGCAGTAATGATGGTCACCTAGAAATATCAAAAAGCAGGTGTCATTAATTGTGCATAATAAGCTACATACACAGGTAGGAGGTACTTATTCTTAATACGAATAATTATTAAAAACTTACCGACTGAGATGCCTCACTTGTTCCAACTTCGTTTTCAGCTACCAGTCTCAAATGGTAGGTGGTTGCGGGGCGAAGATTGTATACGCTAGCCATAGTTTGACTTCCTGGACGTAGCCATAAACAAGAGTAACTTATCATTAGACTTAATTAATTTAGATAGGGGACAGGTGTCCATCATAATTTTTTGAGCATCATCATCGAAGAAGAGTTAGGAAAAAAATTCTAACCTGGGACAAGCACGCGATCTTTTCCTGAATTCCAGTCACTCTTGGACATTTTGTATTCAATGTAAAATCTTGTAATTGGTGAATTTCCTGACTGATATCAAAACACACAAAAAAATTATTACAAAGTAAGGGCACAACGCGTCTGAAGCATTACGATTTGGGAGTATACAATAGATTCGTAGTGTCAATCTGTCAGTTCCTCTGCCCTTCATCGTAACCTTTAAAAACTATTGCTGATTGCTTATTATATTTAACCAGGTAAACAAGGACAGTCTCGTTAACGAAATGTTTTTGCTGACTTATTTTAGTCCCATTTCATAATGATTTAGACATTACATGAAAGTGTACATATGTATAAGAAATGTATGAATATGACATACAAAACTCTCGCTCCATTGAAGTTGCACAGATCGTCCAGATTTATCCAAGACTTTCAACCCGAAGGGTACCTCAGGGGGTTCTATAAATTAAAATTTCTTGATGTATACATTTTAAAATCAGCATTAATACGCTTAACTCACCTTGTACAATGAGGTTCAAGCTCGTTTCATCAGATCCAAAAGCATTGGTTGCGACGCATGTAAACAAAGCAGAATCCGTTCGTTCAGATCTTTTGACACTCAAGTCACTCAAGACGCCATTTGACAGAATTTCTTCACGAATAGTGTATCGAGGGTCTGGTTTTGGGTCGAGTCGTTTTCCATCTCGGCTCCACAAAATTCCAATCTTAAAAAGATTGCACATGCATGTAATTTTAAATCGCAATATTCATTTAACCTTAATTCCGAAGACCTATCATTGTGGAAACAAAGTATCAAAATATATTTATTTAAATTACCGGTTTTTCTCCTTTGGCTTCACATTGCAATACGGCAGGTTCTCCCTTTCGAGCAGTTTGATTTCGGAATTTAATTTCAAATTGTGGAGGCGCTATTAAACACAAGAGATAGAAATCGAAAATCGTCTAAAATTAATCACAATTTATTAGCATGTGCCCATACCTTGAACAGAGATGTAGATAACGGCAGATAACCCCTGTTTTTATGCCATTTGATATTTTATTATTCTTTGAGCATTTTTCAATAATTTGTAATTCTGGAATAAAATAAAATGACTCACGGCTCCAATTCCATTGTTGGCTTCGCATAAGTAATATCCTTCGGCTTGCTTGGGGATTGCCGAGATTACCTGAATTGGAAATGTACATGAATGCGATACATGAATAAATACTACCCATGACCCATATCGAGTCACAATACGAGGGATTAATAAAAAAAAATATTACCAAATTTCCATCCTCCACGCGCATCCCTGGAGCAGATCCTTTCAGATCTCTGTAGTCCATTGGACCATCGCCTTTAAAACAATTCCAATTATAAGTACATTACGTATCACTAAATAATTAGGCAATCATATTCTTTACCTGCTGCTTTCTTCCAGGCGACACTGGGCTTTGGAAATCCGTCACTTTTGCACTCAATTTTAGCGTCACTACCTGTGAAGGATTAATAAGTATGAATTAAAAATGAATGTCTAATTCTCCAAATATACATACTGGATGCATAGTTATTTACAACGATTTGGCATACCTTGCGCAAATGCCCGATCAGTAGGCTAGAAAAAACATTTAGACATTTCGATTTATAATATGTATTTGTATGCAAACTATATTAAATTAAATATTTTTTACTAAAAACTATTCTTAATTTTACTCACCTCTACAATCCACCTTGGAGGTACTAAAATTTGTAAACAGAATTTTAATTTGTGCTCATCCTGAGTTGATCATAATTGCTAGAAGCTGAAAGCCATGCTGCGGCAACGAAAACTTGTAAGGGATTGAGTTTAAAATACATAAAATAGGTATAGCTACATATACTTCTTTACATGCATGCAAAAAAACAAACGGGAACAAAATAAAAATATAAAAAACTAGGATAAAGTAGGTAAAAGTGGGTGGAGAAAGGAGGAATGGTGGGGAACCCTACATTGGATTATGTCATTCCATAGTTCTTCATTTATTAGATGTATTTATCATAGTGTGCCTATTTTGTAAACCATGTTTGAAAAAGTACTCGTTACTCGCAACATAATAATATCTAGGATTTTTAGATGGTTAACGCATTAATTGCCTTGCAAAAGAAAGTCACGTGTCTGTGAATTCAGGACAATAAAACGAAGAATATTCACCGAAAACTTCCAATGCGGCACTTGCATTTGCGACTCCTGCCGCGTTTCTCGCAGTACAAGTATAGATACCCTGTCATGGATGCGTTTTTTTTAAATTAATGGCTTGTCATTTTACTCAAATGAATGATTAATTGACCTGATTTCCGAGGGACACTGGTTCTACCAAAAGCATACTGGTTCGTGACCCTATCAAAGCGGTTTTAAGACCAAGATGAGAGCTAAGATTTCCTCCTTCGAAACTCCATGTAATTTGAAGAGGAGTATCCCCTGTGCAGTTTAACATAGAATTAGAAATGGTAAACGTAGTCGAGTGTTGAACTAATAAGATCCTACCATTCGCCACGAGACATGTAGCCTGAGTGGCAGAACCTGCAAATGCCGTTTCGCCAAACGACATAAAAGAGATGCTTGGAGGGACTGGAAACACAAAGCAGAAAAATCATCTACTTACTTAGAGCCAAAACTTTAATTTTAGTATCAAGTAAATTCACTAAGTAGATAAGTGTAGCAGCTATGCATTTAGCAGCTTGGAAACGTTATGTTGAAAATTATAACCATTCACTGTCAGAGATGCAGTATAGTTTGAACTGCCAGCTGCATTTTTTGCAGTACACTGATAAAATGATCAAACGTATTATTACTCAAAGTGTGGTATGTCATTGTAACTATTTTGACAAACCGTATAATTTCCTGAATTTTCAGCAGTCAAGGAATCAATGCTTAGGACACTACTTTTCTGGCCTGTTTTAGTAATTTCGACTCCATTCAATTTGTTCAGGGCTGCACCAAAACCAATAGACTGGAAAGTCCATGAAATTTTGATTGGAGTGTCACCATTTGCCGAGCATTGTATTTCTGCAGAATCTCCAAAGAAATTCTGGTCTCCAAACGAGAACGGACGTACGTAAGGGGGGGCTATAAAATATAAAAATGCAAAATATGCTGAAAAAAGTGTCAAGTTTGGCAAGGGACCTTTAGTCTTACTCCGTTTGTATCTAGGTAAATATGTTAATAACTTTGTTAGCAAAAAACATGTACTTAATTGGAAATAGATGTGTAATTAGTAGTTCCGGGTTTAATAGATACAAAATACATAAAATTTAGAAGACACTTGTAGCTTCTAAATAAATAGTTACAGGAAGCTTGACATTTTGTTGTCAATCTTGCCTATGCATGTCCTAAATGCATACATACTCTCCATTCGCACACAATTGAACTTTTACAGAAATTGAGAATTCTGAGAAACTACGCCACTGCCAGTCTCAAATTCCCTCAAATTATCCTGAGGGGGGACTTTGAGACTGGCAGTGGCGTAGTTTCTCAGAATTCTCAATTTCTGTAAAAGTTCAATTGTGTGCGAATGGAGAGTATATACATACTCGCATTTATCATAACAATTTATACATCTATCCTATGCGATATGCTTTAAAATTATCCTAATAGGTTGAGAAGTGGAGCAAGCAACGCTTTTTGACAAAAAATTCATTTTCCAATTTGTGCTGACAAACCTCATCTAACAAGGAACATTCCAAGGTGTCAAATGAGTTAAGACACCCATACCAAAATGAACTACTTTTTCAGTAAAAAAAATAAATACTCCCCCTCAACACTTATTTAATGTCACACCTGCTGGCTAAAGAAATCTATTTCTGCAAAACACTCACATTCCTAAGTCTTTCCTAGTTCAACAAAATTATAGCAGAAATATGTGTCAAAATTAACCATGAAGATTTGATCCCGAAATCGAGAATAAATATATGCATATCATTTGTAAGTGTTGTCATTTGCAGAGCACATTGTTTGTTCTTACTCCTTGACAGCAATAAGCACATTGCAATATATGTATGTATTCATATAATTTATACGATGAATAAGTTTGCATAATCATTTCCAAACTTTTGGAGATGATGAAAAATAGGCACATATTAAAGTGTGGAATATTTTTGAGACGGAAAATAAATAAAAAATCAGCTTAGATTTTTTTAAATAGTAAAACGGTCAACCAGATGCGCTTTTCAGTTTAGAAGCTTAAACTGCAATAACGTTAATGTTATTGTGTTTCAAACCCTGGACAGTTAACGCGGTTGTGTAATTTGCTGTTCCGGCAGAATTTTTTGCGGAACACTGTCAAATAATTTCATTTAGTATTGTTTTTAACCCGACCGGCTAAATTTGTTATGTGCATGACTATTTTTACCGTGTAATTTCCCGAATTTTCTGCAGATAGGGATTCAATATTGAGTAAACTACTCTTTTCACTAGTTTTAGTAATTTTCACTCCTTTCATCGAATTTAATGCAGTGCTGAAGCCTTGGAACGACCAGCCAATTTTCATTGGGGTATCGCCATTAACTGTGCATTGCATTTCGGCAGATTCGCCTGCAATTATGTCCTCAGGAGGGGAAAATAGACGAATTTTTGGGGGAACTGGAAGAGAAAGCATAATAAAGGAGGAAATTTCAATAAAAGTAAGTAAGATAGTATCTTAAATAGATAAAAAATAAAAATTTGTTATGGAGCTTTGGCACATTGCTTGCACGCTAGGCAATTAACGCCTACATACACAGTTAATTAAAATGATTTAACCTTTGACAATAAGCTCTGCCGTGTGATTTGCAGAACCGGCTAAATTGGAAGCCAGGCACGAATAGTTTCCAACATGGAACGGGGCGATGCTTTCAATTGTAAGAATATTTGCCCTCTTGCCTAACCTCGTGGTTTCAATTCCCATTTGAGAGGACAGCTCGACGCCATGGAATGACCAACTTATACTCATTGGTAAGTCACCCTGATCAACAGAACACTGTAGCGATACATGTGTGCCTGCCTCGAGTGGTTGGTCGCCGAAGCTAAATTGAACCAGACGAGGGGGAACTGCAAATTTTAATATGAGATAAAGCTGATTGATAAGAAGAAAACCCTAAAACCATTATTTATTTATTATATGTATGTATGCATACATACTGTGTCTCACTCATTAAAGAACCACTAAGAAACTATGTAAATCCACTTGGCTAGCCATTGTATTGTTTAGACACAATTTATAACCGTTCATTGCATTATAAGATCATGATGCAAGAAATATATATAGACATGTGTGCACAAATATCTCATTAAGGCTTACCCTCAAGCTCGGAGGAGTGAATCGGGTTTGGAGCAATATCCCAGTTTCAACCTTCTCTCTCGCTTTGCGTAATGCATTGTAGTGCCTATCTCGAAACTTCGCATCGACCCTGTGGGGGGGGAGGAGTCGACCTCAGGGTTCATAATAGTGGAATATGTTGCACTCGTCTTTCTGCGTCTGATGGTATTTTTTCAAATTTTTTGGACTCGCGCGAGGGGCTGCAAATGGTTTACCATCAAGTAATGTAACCTTATGTAGACTGGTAAACCATTTGCAGCCCTTCGCGCGAGTCCAAAAAATTTGAAAAAATACCATCAGACGCAGAAAGACGAGTGCAACATATTCCACTATTATGAACCCTGAGGTCGACTCCTCCCCCCCCACAGGGTCGATGCGAAGTTTCGAGATAGGCACTACAATGCATTACGCAAAGCGAGAGAGAAGGTTGAAACTGGGATATTGCTCCAAACCCGATTCACTCCTCCGAGCTTGAGGGTAAGCCTTAAATTCTACGTTAAAGCAAGGACATGATTCGAGGAGAAGGAACTTTGAGTGAAAGCAGGATAATGAGCTTGTGTATATTTCTTGCAGGAACAGTTAGGATGGAGGATAAAAGTTATAATTTTTCGAGAAAAACATACAGAAGAAACTAGTAATACGGTCAATCAGATGCGCTTGTCAGTTTAGAAGCTCAAACTACAATAACCATAATGTCATTGTGTTTCAAACCCTGAACAGTTAATGTGGTTGTGTAATTTGCTGTTCCGGCAGAATTTTTTGCAGAACACTAATAAATATATTTCATTTAGGATTATTTTTTAACTCGATCGCCTGTGGACAATATAAATACTCATGATTATGTGTACCGTGTAATTTCCCGAATTTTCAGCAGACAATGATTCAATATTGAGCAGACTACTCTTTTCACTAGTTTTTGTAATTTTCACTCCTTTCATTGAATTTAATGCAGTGCCGAAGCCCTGGAAAGACCAGCCAATTTTCATTGGAGTATCGCCATTAACCGTGCATTGAATTTCAGCCGATTCGCCATAGCCGAATAACCCATCACCCAGCGAGACGGGCCTAATTTTGGGTGGAACTGTAATATAGTTAAAGTTTTTAGCTTACAATTAGCTCCACTAACATGAAAATATATTTCCATATAGTTTCATTACACAAGTTATTAAAAAATCTAAATTTTATACTGTGATGTAGGTTCATAATTCAACAAAAAAAACAAAGAAGCAAGCGAGCATGTGCACAGGAATCAATTATTGCTCTCATCTAACCATTCACTTTCAATGTGGTCGTATAGTTAGCAACACCTGCAGCGTTTGTTGCAGTACACTGAATAAACCCATTACGGTAAAAGTTTCAAATCTCAATTGTACGTGGTCAGTCTTTATGTAAAACCCATACCGTATAATTTCCTGCATGAAATGGGGCTAAACTCTCAATGGTCAACATATTTGTTCTCTTTCCAAACTTAGCAGTTTCAATCCCCATTTGAGACGACAATTCTTTGCCGTGAAAAATCCATTGAAGACTTAACGGCATATCCCCCTGATCCACAGAACACTGTAGCGTTGCATGAGTACCAGCATTTAGAGCTTCTTCTCCTGGCCCGAATGAGAACGGCACGATCCTGGGAGATTCTGGATTTTGGATTGGGAAATTATAGGAATAGAAACAATACATTGAGTTGCAGTGTCAGTCATATAACATGCATGAAAATTTATACAAAAAATAGAATGCAATGCGATCGGTTAACCTGCTGAAAGCGTACACCTAACCACAAAATTATCTAACCCTGGACAATTAATGAGGTTGTATAATTTGCAATTCCAGCAGAATTTTTGGCAGAACACTACTCAAAGAAAGTATACATAAATGATTATTTTCAATATGTACATGTGCAGTACTATGAGCTTTCTTGGACACTTAATGTTATTTAGTATACCGTGTAATTCCCCGAATTTTCCGCAGATAAGGAATCAATATTGAGTAAACTCTTCTTATCTCCGAGTTTAGAAATTTGAACGCCTTTCATCGAGTTCAGCGTTGTGCTGAATCCTTGGAAGGACCAGACAATTTTGATTGGAGTATCACCAGTAACGGTGCATTGAATTTCGGCCGATTCGCCCGCAACTATGTCATCAGGAGGGGAAAATAGACGAATTTTTGGGGGAACTGGAAGAGAAAGCATAATAAAGGAGAGAATTTCAGCAACAGGAAAGGTTTTCCAGGAGCAAATAAGGGACATATATGTACATGTACATACATGTCATGTGGTCAATATGAAACATGATTGTAATATCTTGAATTTACATAAATAAATACGCAGGCAGCGCTTATATACATAATATAGCCTCGTGTATTACTGCAAAATTTAAAGCAAATTCCAACCTCTAATATTTAACACGGCTGTATAATTAGTTGAACCCACTGCATTTGTCGCTATACATGAATATTCTCCTTTGTGAAACGGAGCAATACTTTCAATTGTAAGAATATTTGTTCTTTTTCCAATTTTCACAGTTTCAATTCCCATCTGCGACGACAATTCTTTTCCGTGAAAAGCCCATCGAATGTTTTCGAAAGGTAAATCACCCTCGTCAACGGTGCACGTTATGGTTACATGAGATCCCGCCATCAACGGCTCGTCCCCATTTCCGAAGAAAAACGGCACGATTCTGGGCGGGACTTTTTTTGGTACATGGAATACAATAGAATGATTTAATAAAATAAGTAGAATATACTGGAATTTTTGGCAGTTATTTCAAATACAATTGGGATGACACAAACAATTGCTCAAAGCATTTTCAAACAAGCGCTGCGGTTCCAGCTTATATATGTCGATCTATAAAAGTAATAATAACCATGGACAGTAAGTTCCGCCGTATAATTTGCAGAGCCAACAGCATTTGTCGCTTGGCATGTATAGTTTCCCATGTGAGATGCAGCCACAGAGTCAATCGTTAGTAAATTAGTTCGCTTTCCAATCTTGACAGTACTAATGCCCATTTGAGAAGATAACTCGACGCCATGAAACGACCAAGTGATGCTCATTGGTAAGTCACCCTGATCAACAGAACACTGTAAAGATGCATGTGTTCCTGCCTCAAGTGGCTCCTGACCGAAGGTAAAAGAAACCACGCGTGGAAAGACTGAAATTTAAGTATAAGGGTATAAGCGGAATGTACACAAAAAGAAGACACAAGCTAGATTAAACATAATCATTATTAACGTACATAACTTGTATTTCTTAAAAAAAATGGAGCAAATAAAACTATTTAAATTGGATTGGTGAGCCATTGCATTAATTGCTGAGGCACAATTTATATACACGTAGCTAACCATTTACTACCAAAGTCGTTGAATACTCATCAGTTCCAGCATCGTTTGATGCCCGACAAACGTAGTTACCAGCGTGATGTGCTTTCACTGAATCAATCATTAGTACACTGGATTTTGGACCAAGTTTCACAATGTTCACGCCCTCTTGATTTTTTCCGGAATTCTGAGCTCCATTATTTTGATGGAATGACCAAGTTATCTGAATAGGTGGCTGGCCCACGCTAATTATACAGTTTAACTGAACATTGTGCCCTTCGTTCACTGAATCTTCAAAGCCTAACAAGGGCAGGATTTTTGGAGGAACTGCAATTTTGTTTGTTAAGAGTAAAGACAAGAATTAGATATACAGAAGCCCCCCGTTAATTAATCAACCAGAAATATATTGAAGCGTGTATAGCCGATATCATGAAGACGAGCTCTCAGTAACCGTTCTAGATAAACCAAAGTACTGGTAAACCCGTCACTCCCACCAATGTTAGATGCCTTACATCGCGTGAGTAACCGAGTAACTGGTTCCTGTCCTTTGAACTAAGTTTCATTATTGACCACCCCTCCTGAGTCTTTTTAATGGCATCATCACCAACAAATGATCATATGAAGTGTGCTGGCAGGGTAGCAGAGGAAAACATTAGACAGGCGACTTGTGCAGTATCCTCAAAATGTAATGGATTCTCAAAGTCGATCGGGGTTATTTTTGGTAAAGATATCAACGTAACCTATAAATATAATTGATTAAAGCATTTACAAACATATAAAGAAAGAAGCGTTGCGGTGCCACACCATGTAGGTTATATGATGCTTAAAACTAATAACCATGAACTGTAAGTTCCGCTGTATAATTTGCAGAACCGACGGCATTTGTTGCTTGACATGTATAATTTCCCATGTGAGATGCAGCCACAGCGTCAATCGTTAGTAAATTTGTTCGTTTTCCAATCCTCACAGTACTAATCCCCATTTGAGAAGCTAATTCGATTCCATGAAATGACCAAGTTATTTGAACTGGAAGGTCTCCTTCTGCAACGCTGCATTCTAGCGTTTGGTACTCTCCTGCAGGCAATGGCTCATGTCCGAAGTTGAAGGGCGTTATTTTTGGTAAAACTTTTGGCAGAATAGAATAGATTTTTTTGCAGTTATTAAAGGGTGGCATAAACAAATGAGGATATAAATGTATCAATATAGTCATTATATGCAATGGATTAAAGCATATACAAATAAGTAAGCGCCGCGGTGCCACTGTATATGTAAAAATAATAACCATGAACTGTAAGTTCCGCTGTATAATTTGCAGAACCGACGGCATTTGTTGCTTGACATGTATAATTTCCCATGTGAGATGCAGCCACAGCGTCAATCGTTAGTAAATTTGTTCGTTTTCCAATCCTCACAGTACTAATGCCCATTTGAGAAGCTAATTCAATTCCATGGAATGACCAAGTTATTTGAACTGGAAGGTCTCCTTCTGCAACGCTGCATTCCAACGATTGATACTCTCCCGCATGCAAAGCCACATTTCCGAAGGAGAATTCGGAAATTCTTGGTGCAACTTTTTTTAGAAAAAATAAGCGAAATTAGGACAGAAATGGATATAGGATTTCAGATACTAAAAAACTTAAACAAATATTACATTAAATATGTAAAGCTATGTATGCTGTGCGGAATTTCGGAGCAATATTGAGCAAGTCTTATTATGAACACACTTTGGACGATAAGCTCTGCTGTGTAATTCATAGAGCCTCCTGCATTCTTTGCACTGCATGTAAAATTCCCACTTTGAGTGACAGGATCGATTAGAAGGATGCTACTGCGGTGTCCAAATTTTGTTGTAGAGATTCCTTTTTGGCTGTCGGTGGCAACGTCAGACGCATGGAAGGTCCACGTTATTTGAATTGGAATATCCCCTTCAGAAACTATGCAGGTCGTCTGGGCCTGCGAGCCCCACAATAATGGCTCCTCTCCGAAGTTGAAATTTTGAATTTTAGGGGGAACTTTTCAGAGCAAAAAAAATATCTATGAAAAGCAAATAAAGTATCCTTGCTGCTGGCAGAATTTGCACTTAATTAGATCATAAAAATGATGAGCCTTGCCATTAACAATTAGCTCTGCAGTATAATTTGCCACCCCGACAGCATTCTTTGCAGAACATGTGTAAAATCCATTGTGCTCAAAGTTTACACTGTCAATCATTAACAAACTGCTTCGTGTGCCTATTTTCATTGTAGTAATTTCTGATTGGCTTCTTTTGGAGGAATCCATTACATTATGAAAACTCCAACTTATTGTGAGCGGCAAGTCGCCAAAACTAACGACACAACTTATTTGAACATTTGCTCCAGCATCGACAGCCGTCTCGCCAAATGTGAAGGGTACAACGGAAGGCAAAACTGACGGAAAGTTTTTTATGTAAATAGTCATTAATATTATACGATGGTATATGTCACCATTACTTATGATTTCTATGTATACGTAGATGATCCTTCCTGAAATATGGAAAATAAAATTGAAAGTAAAACCATACTCTTACCCATGACTTGGACCTGAAAGAGAAAGATCAATTAAGTGTTTTGCTGGTAATTGATCGTTTCGTTGTATATGCTTTCGAACAAAACTTACTTCCAGATTTCCCCGGGATGTATATCCTTGAGCATTTCTAGCGACACACGTATATGTCCCCTGGTCCATATTTCGTTGTACATTGTCGATCACCTGTACGCATAATATAATAATATAACTGACTTGGAAATTGAAAAGCTCGCCCCAAATGAAAAATAATAAAATCAATTATACCAAAGTTCCATTAGGGAAGACAGATTGACGACGATTAATCTACACAATTAAAAGACATTGATTTATAACTAGATCATAATTAATTTTTAAAAAAAGATTTTTTGCATCGTTGATAAACATGTCATTACCGGAAGAACTCGATTATCTTTTTCCCAGATGACGGCATCGATTGGATAACCAGCAACTACATCAGTATATTGTATCATCAGTACATATTTACTTGTTGATTTGTTGAATTAATGATATGATGAATTTGATTCGTATATTGTATTCGTATTCATTTGTACCTGGACATGTTTTTACCATTCCACTTCCAGCAACAACTTGAGCTTTATCCATGCTTTTTACTAAATAAATAATAAACATAGTTAACCCATTTGTAGGCAGTGTTCATCTCACAAATATTGTTAAAATATTAATAATCATACCATGTGGCAAGCCGTGAATATTTAGCCTTCCAGTATGAGTTGCACTGCCCACCTTTGAAATGGCTGTACATCTGGGAAAAAATAATTAATTGATCACTAATCAGCCATAATACTAATTTATCAGGATATACATGTATTTTTCAGAATATGAATTAAATCAATGCATATGTATGCATGTATGTATGCACCTGTATACTCCTCCATCATTGCTGTGAACATTGGTGATATTTACATGAGAGACAACCTCTCCATTTTCACCAACAAATTGTCCAACTTGAACCCTGAAAATCCCATAACAAGAAAAAAATGATTTATTTAGTCTGAAAGAATAATTATGCGTGGACAAATGAACCTGTCTGCGTTAGTGACTTTCTTTGAGTCCAACTCCCAAACTATTTCCGGTGAGGGGTTTCCTGTAGCTTTACATTTAAGGGAAACTTTAGGTCCTGGTTGAAGAACCTCCTCTCGGAACTTGAATGTTAATCTTGGTGGGTCAACTGTTGTAAAATTAAAAATTCTAGTACTTTACATTTTCATGGATTAAGGGTGCATATTTTACATACATCGTCCTCCCAATTTCAACTCAGCCGTGGATTGTGCAGAATCTTGATCATTGCGAACAAAGCTGCAAATTTATTAATTTAAGAATTTTTAACAATTGTTAGCAAGCATTTCTCAATCATATGATTAATCAATTACCATTGGAACATTCCTCGATCTTCCCTTCGAACAGCGTCAATCCGAATTACTGCTTCCGTTTGGGGGAGTCGTTTTCCATTCTTCATCCAAGTAATATTCTTGACTGGTGATCCCTGCATCAAGTATATTAAATGCTTCAAGATATTGCCCTTTAAAATTTCCTGATAAATTTCCTGTTCTGGATATCCATACCTGGTAATGGCATGTAAATGTAGCTGGTCTACCAAAATCGACCGTCTGAACGGCAGGTTCAACAGTTGCGGCCAAAGGTGCTATACATTGTTATTATATGGACAGTTGTATTTGCTAAATGTTTTTAATATTTTAAGTGATTATTATATAATTTCCTACCGGTTACAGTTAAAACTGTCTCCACGCTTTCTTCTCCAACTGAATTGCTCACCACGCACAGATACCTTAAATTTATCATCATCATCATAAGCACAAACTCATGTATATAAGATTTCATAAGAATATTGGTTATTACTTTCCAGAGTCTTCAACCTTAGCCTCACGGATAATCAAAGTTCCACCAAGTTGTTTCAGTCGATCGTCTAATTGTACCGGTTGTCTAGAAGACCCATCTGTGAACTTGTACCACCTACGAAAAATGTGTCAGAAAAATTAATACGCGTCCGATGCGAAAAAGAATACAAAATCAATAGGGAAGGAACGCAAAACGTCAAAAATAACCTATAATGCGGTTTGGGAAAAGCTTGAAGAGAACAGATTGCTGCTAACGCCTGTCCAGCGCTTGCTTCACGAGTTTCTACCGTTTTCGTAGCACCTCTTGGTCGACTAGCTCCACTTGGTTCTGAAGAAAATTAAGTTGTCTCTCATAGTGTATTACTTATTGCTACAAGTTATTGTTGGACTTCAGACTAACAAGGGATTAAGTACTGTCACATCTCGATATCCTTTCGGATGGTCTTAATTGATAGATAATTAAGTGTAGCTAAAACTTTTTCATATGACATACGGTGCAAAATCACGTTTTTGCGAAATATTGGCGAAAGCTGCACCATAACGTGCAATTTTTCCAACGGTGTTAACATATGTGTATATAACAGCCTTCGGAATAATTAAATGAAGTTTATAAATTATATACCTGTCCACAATTTCATGCTGATCACCAATATGGAAAAAAACTATGCAAACATTGGCCAATTTTATTTCAAATAGCGAAAATCTGCAAAATTTTCTAAATTTGAATTTCGTAGTTTTTTGAAATTTTAACAAAACTTAAATGCTAATTAAAACTTCTTTTATTCAAGCATTGCAAAAAAAGTTTTCGAAAAATATTTTTTTTTCTGATCACAGCAAAATGGATGAAAATTTTCGCAAATTGAAACTCGCAATTTTTCACGAAAACAGATGTAATGACCAATGCTAGTTTATAATACGTATTTTTCAAAATTGCATACGATAATAATAGACGGCATAAATATAGGGCGCCCTATATTTATGCCGTCCTACACATAAATATGTCATAATAGAGGGACCCCATTGGGTCCCTCATAGATGAGATTTTTTCAAGTTTTCCAAAAGCCTTAAAATCTCGAACGAGGTATGGAAAAGTTATTTTGTTGAATTATGTTAAAAGCTGACGATACAAATTTCCAAAAATTGTTTGCAACTTTCAAAAATAAATATAACCAGCAATTTTGAAAAATACGTATTATAAACTAGCATTGGTCATTACATCTGTTTTCGTGAAAAATTGCGAGTTTCAATTTGCGAAAATTTTCATCCATTTTGCTGTGATCAGAAAAAAAAATATTTTTCGAAAACTTTTTTTGCAATGCTTGAATAAAAGAAGTTTTAATTAGCATTTAAGTTTTGTTAAAATTTCAAAAAACTACGAAATTCAAATTTAGAAAATTTTGCAGATTTTCGCTATTTGAAATAAAATTGGCCAATGTTTGCATAGTTTTTTTCCATATTGGTGATCAGCATGAAATTGTGGACAGGTATATAATTTATAAACTTCATTTAATTATTCCGAAGGCTGTTATATACACATATGTTAACACCGTTGGAAAAATTGCACGTTATGGTGCAGCTTTCGCCAATATTTCGCAAAAACGTGATTTTGCACCGTATGTCATATGAAAAAGTTTTAGCTACACTTAATTATCTATCAATTAAGACCATCCGAAAGGATATCGAGATGTGACAGTACTTAAGGTTGCCTTGTGAGATTGCACATACATATTTGCGTAAATATGTGCGATTAGTACGATATAGAGTATGCTGGAAAACGGGAAGTTATTTTTGACGTTTCACGATTAATAGGAATGCAAAAGAATCTGTCTGTTGAAGCCTTTTAGTTTTTTGATCAATGGAATGAATAAAACCTGGAAGTTGGTGGTGGATAGGATTGCGCTTGACATGGTAAAGTTAAAATATTTCCTGTAGCATCAACCACGCGTTGCCATCCATCACCGCTAATTCTAGGTCCAGTGTGACCCGATGGCTCTTAATTTGTAAATGATTGATACATATTTAAGCATGTATATATGCACGTGTAACATTATTATTGGCTGTGAATGTTTCGAGACGGGAAAATTTGATAGTTTCTTTCGACCAAATCGCTTCCTACAGACAGATTTCATTGCTCGGTATCCAAAAAAAATACTTAATTGTAAAGGATAAAGGAAGAATGGTGAAAATAATGTCATATCTTAATAAGAAAAGACAGGTAGATATAGCTAGTTATGCGTATTTATGTATGTATATGTATAACACTATATGCACGCCATGATGTCTAACAACCTTGACCTTTCCTAAAATTAAGTGCAAATCTTAAATGCTAATTGAAGAAATATTAAGCATTATTATGTGCCATGACTTTTTTCTCGTGCTGACATACAACGAATAATTTTTGTCTTCTGATCAGAAGGAATTAAAGTACTTGTATTTTGGTGGGGGAACGCCTTGGCCCTCACAACTTAAAACTGCTGCATCTCCCATTTTCCCGATTTGATGAGCTTGGGTAAGTTTAGGTGTTTTTGGAGCGACCCCAGATAATGGTTCTGTGATGATAGATTTGACTTATTACAATAATGAATTTATTATGTATGGTAAATATGTTCGTCGTAATAAATTACGAGTGAGTGCTATTTGGAATATTGGGAGAACGGGAAGATATTTTCAAGGCATCGAAATTATTATAAAACGTACTATAAATTTGACAACCTAAAATTTGGCGGAGGATTGCCTTGTGCCTCGCCAGTCAAAACAGTTGATTCTCCTATTCTTGTGAAACGATGATTTCTGGTTAGTTCTGGAAACTTGGGAGCTACTCCAGGAAGCGGTTCTAACATTGTATGAATTTAGTGTTAATTGGTTTCAAAATATTATGCAGACGCAATATGTACCATCCATGTTGGGAGACGGGAATAAAACAAGACAAGTGGACCATGTACGAGACTAACATAACTTAAAATTCGGAATAGAAAAGACTAAAACTTCAATGAAAGGTCACGGTTTCTGTACATATGTATTATACGCCATATGAATAATTTATGGTTTAAGTGATAAACTATATATTTATGTATGACAGTACAAGCTAATATGAAAACAAAATGCATAAATATTTCTAGTTAATTGTAGAACTTGAATTGATGACCTAAATCGAGGAGGAGGATGCGATTGGGCGTTGCACGTAAGAGCGACCCCAGATCCTACAACTTTCTGTGAGGTTGCCATTCTTGATTCGGTTGGAAATTTTGGAACAGAGCTTCCAAGTGGTTCTAAGACATTTGATTATATTTAATAAGAATAAAATAATATCCTGCTATTTCGCATTGCATGTACATGAGCGCCATTAAAAATGTTTGGGAGAGAGAAGTATTTTAAAGCATAAGGCCAATAATAATGACATTTTGCATTATATGTTTAAATTACTTAAAATGTGGCGGAGGCGAAGCTTGAGCCGAGCATAATAGAGAAAATGCGGTACTTTCACTCTTCATAAACGTATGAGAAAGAGATTGCGATGAAAATTTTGGACTAAATCGATTCCCCAAAGGTTCTGTACATGGTTAACCAGATCACATGGATTACGTATTTATGCATTTAAATATTTACATATACGATGTAAGCTAAATAAACATGAGAGACGGGAAGTAATTCTTACTAACGTTGTGCTAATAATTTTGTCCCCTTGTTTTCATTTCTACAAATTTAAATTACCTAAACTTTGCTGGAGGACTTGACTGTGCGTCGCACAAAAGTGCAGCCGTGAGTTGCACCTCAATTATTTTTCTTTTCAATGCAGTGCTTTCACCATCCCTGACCCGAGGCATTATGCTGTTTTGTGGTTCTATTTAAAAATTTGCAAATGCATGTGGTATTTATTTAACTCGGGACGACAAGTAAACTGATGATGAGAGACAGGAAGTGTGAGTTTCTACTGATATTCAGATACATGCACTAAATAAAAATGGGTGCGTACATTATTTATTGTTAAGGAGTGCGCTTTATCCAATCCTAATTATACATTATCTACTACTAGATAATGTAAGTCACGGATGAAAATATATATGCAAAGTATGTATCGAATGGGAGGGTCATCTTAACTTTACCTTGTTAATGGTGGCGGATTACCCTGACCATTACAGACAAGGGATCCTGCACTCCCACTATTAATGAATTTCTTTCTTCTTCCAACCTCCCCATCTCGTAGTTTCGGAACAACGCTAGTTTGCGGATCTATTTTTATATTTCCCAGACAGAACTGGTTAAACTTTTTCTTGTGAGTTCAAAAATGTGAATTAAAAGAAATGAATGGTGGGAGACGGAGAGTGATATTAGCAATTATGGAACACCATTTTTCCATGTTACCCTATACATCTAGATATGCTATATCATGTTCCATATTTAAAAAAAACATAGTTCGTACACAAATTTGGGAGCTTTATTTCCTTGAGCATCACACAAAAGTGCAATTATTCCCTTGGCCTGCACAATCTTCTTTGACCCAATGCTTTCACCATCACGAACTCTTGGAGGAACACTTGTTTGTGGATCTTTATAATACAAAAATCGTGACTTGACAAATCTATTAGAAAATACCATATACGTATTTCTTATACTTTCAGTTGGGAGAAGGAAATTGAGTTGAGAATAAATGACTTTGAATGATTGTTTCTAGTGCAATTTTAATTGCATCTTTGTATTAGATACAGGATTTCTCAACAACGACAACGAGTCTGGATAGCCTAAGGAATGTCTCTTGCAGTAAGTACATACATATCCCCGTAAGGTACTTAGCTCTTGAAAATTTCAAGTTTAGCTACTTATGGCTCCAATAGAAAACATGAAAGTGAAAGCATATTCCACCTCTGACCTACTTATTTCTACATATCTTAATGTCGAAGTTTTGCTTGAGCAATTTTCGTAAACAAGCACATGAAAAAATAAGGGTTAGATAGTCTAGTTCTTTAATTTTGTTAAGTCAGTCAATTAATGTTGATTAATAACGCATAGTATGCACAGCATGTCAGTATGTTTGAAAATATACTGATACGTATTGATATGGACAGTAAGATGAAGTTCTTATGAGAACAGTAACAACGAATCCTGCCTTCTGGTTTACATACTTAAATTTCGGCTTAGGTTGGCCTTGAGCCTCTGCGACAAGAACGGCAACATCTCCTAATTTATAATTGGAAGGCGGTCGCAACATTTGAGGTGCTCTTGGAGCCACTCCAACGAAGGGGTCTAATCAAACAATATTTTTAACCCCATGACCTATACATAATTTGGCATTTCTGCATTGCTTCAAATGTTGCGAGACGGGAAAATACGGTGATTTTGTATACTGTAAGAAACTTATAACCACCAACCTATATTTTGGAATTGGATTTGATTGTGCCATGCATGACATGCTTAATGCTTGTCCACTAGCAGATTCGGCCATTTGAAGTCGAAAGTGTGCGGGGACACTTGGCGCAGTACTGCCTATTGGTTCTTTTTAATTTGAAAAAATAAACAGTTGTCATATACTTTTTTCAATCAGAACAAATATCTTCAATGGCTGAACAGAAACCTGAATGTTGGGAATGGTTACGGTTTCGTGAAGTGAGTTATGCAAACTTACGCAAAATTTGATGGAGGAAATGATTGGGCCGGACAAAGAAGTGCGAATGAAGCCCCATCAATTTTAACGAATGAGTGAGAATGTGCCTGAGTGGAAAATCGAGGGCCTGTACTCCCTAAAGGCTCTGTATTATCCACAAATTTATTGAATCCATGAATTAGTACAAATTATACGATACGACTGACTATGTATGTAAACATGTAGGTATGCGGAAGTGATTTGGTGCTAAATACACATAATATTGGACTCTGGAGACAAATTTGTCTCCAGATACCTTAAGACCTTTTTATTAGACCCTGAAGGGTCTAATAAAAATGGTTGTGAATGTATGCATGCACAAACGATAAGTGATGATACTGGCATCGCCGAACCGAAAAGTTATTTGTGCCCATAGTAGTAACAGCATATGCATATTGTATATATGTGTATTACATATACATTTCGATTACCTAAATTTTGGAGGAGGATGAGCTTGTGCAGTTGAAATTAGAGCAAATGAAGAACCCTCTACTTGAAAAAAAGTGTGGGATCTGGATGCAGTAGAAAATCTGGGACCAGTGGTTCCTACTGGTTCTGTAATTTTAATTGCATTTGAATCATTGGGTAACAATTCACAGATATCCATACTTGCAATATGAATATTTGACAAAAGATTGAGAGGAGCGGCACGAATAACTATGTGTCACTACTAAATCGACATAGTTGGTAGTACCAATTAACCATATTGATTCTAACTTTGTCGCACTAAAGAATTAGAGCTACCTCTTACATAAAATTTGCCGGGGGAAAAGATTGTGCTGGACACAAGAGAGAAAATGAAGTCCCTGCTTCTTTTACAAACGCCTGGAGATGTGACTCTGTGGAAAAGCGAGGTCCAGCTGCACCCACGGGTTCTATAGAGAATTCATACTTGGGTGATTGAATACTATTTTGCATGGGCCTCAAATTTTTTACGTATATTGGAATGTGACGATTGTGCATCTAAGAATTCTTGCATGTGGCTATTAGGTGACAGAAAGTGACAAAGTTGGTTGGTGAACATTTGTGTTCTTACTTGAATCTTGGGACAGGGAAGGCTTGCGAAGAACAGGAAAGTACGAATGATGCCCCTATCTGGCGAACTAGGGTGGTTTGCCTCTGTTCTGATGCAAAGGTAGGACCAATGCTCCCCATCGGGTCTACAGGACAAAATTGTCCACCACGTTATGGTTACCTCATTAAACGGACACCCATTATACGAAAGTTTAATGTGTATGAGAGGGACACCCCGAAGCTGAATGTTTTTTGGCATGCGTCGAATTAATTTGCTACAATAGACTAATTAGCGATTTCATTTGAAATGCATACTTAAACACTGAAGGTGGAAAAGATTGTGCTGGACATCCCAACGTGAGTGCACCTCCTCCAGTATGCAGAAATCCTGACATCACCTGAGTACTTCCAGAAAATCTCGGTTTCGTAAAACCAAGCGGTTCTGGCACAAGATGATTTAGATTAATCGACACGAAAAACTCGACTGAATGAATGATTTGTAACGTATTTATGATAGACGAGAAGGCGGCCCGAATGAACTATGCAAGATACATGTACGTGTACGATAAAATATGTCTTAATTTCCAATTACATATTTCTTACTTAAACTTTGGTGGAGGGAAACCTTGTGAAGCACAAAACATGGCCACAGCACCGCCTCCATAATGAGAAAATCCAGTGAGACTATGTGTATTACCAGAAAATCTCGGCTTGGTCAACCCAAGTGGTTCTACATATTTGATAATGCACATTTAAATGTATGGAATTTTACATAGTGATTAATCCGCCTCTATTACGGATTCGTAATAATTAGATACTGTGACTGTAAGTCTAACGCTTGACCACCAAGGAACGACCCGATGCCGGAATACATAATGCTTACTTAAATATTCCAGGAGGAAAAGATTGTGAGGGGCAAATTAATCCGAATGTTGAGCCTTTCATTCCCATCCTCGCAAAACCAGAAATTTGTGTGTCCCCAGATAATCTTGGAGCAGTCGAACCTTGTGGGTCTAAATCCAAATGAATGCAGTAAAATTATGATCGGCATGTGTATATCGATATGAGATTTGCAGACTTTATAACTATTATGATGTGAGAGGTGCAAAACTAATTTCCCTCATACCGAAATCTGGGAGGCGGAAAGGATTATGTCAGTTTGTGGACAAGATCTGGGATAATAAGTAATGCATAAATCACTACGTTGTGGATGCATTTTTGTCGAACCTAAAACTACGAGTCAGGCAAAATGCTATACATATTGGATGTATGTGCAGCTGAAATTCTTTGAAATGTCTTGTCTGGAAAAACGTACTTCAGTTTCCAACTGCACAATAATGCTTTTAAAAAACTACAAGTTTGGAATGGGAAAAAATCACGTACAATTATTTCACAGTAAAAAAACATGATCTTAAATTGTTAGTTGTTTACCGAAATGTTGGTACGGGATTGCTTTGAGCAGAGCACATGACTGCAAAACTTGTCCCTTGACCCCATGTGTAGGCAAATGTTTCTGACCCTACGGAAAATCGTGGTCGAATACTCCCGACCGGTTCTTTGAATGAGATGAAATATTGCAATGCATTTGGACAAGATCAAATATGACATGATTTGAAAAGTGACAGAATTAATATTTGGAGGAGCCCGAGCTGTGAATGTGAAATTTTTTTAATCTCCTGAATGAGGTGCAAAATGGGGTTAACAATAAGTAACGGTAACATATTTATGAACGCATGAAATACTGATAGTTTTATTGTCGAATTGCAAATGAAGATAAAAATACGCAGTGTCCACCGCTTTATGTAATGTATATAGACTTGATGTGTTTGACTAACAATGATACCCAAAAATATGCATTAAATATTCAAATCGAAAAGCATTTGTTGTGTTACTAAGACGTAGGTCACATGCAATCTCTGAATTTACGGGAATCTTGGGGAAACACCGGCTCTATTATTCGAGGTTCGTTTGCATTTATGTAATTACTCTTCACAGCCATCAGTATTATAAGGGAGACTATGATTCCGATATTTACACAAATGCGTATTGACTTGAATTAAAGTATTAAATATGTTAAGTTTAATAAGTTTGTAATGTACTTAATGAAACTTGTCTGTTTCTTGTTTTTTTTAAATTTACGAATGAAAAGTCACTCAAATCACTTCCCGTCTCCCAACATTCTCAGGCTTCGGGCCGCCCCTCTCAAATGAAGCTGGTCTCAATCATTTTAATTTAATAATCAAAGATTTTCGATTTAATAGTGCCAAGATATTTTGCCAGACCAGATTCATTGGATCAATCGTCACAGCCCAAACGGCAACCGAGAAATGGCTTTCACTTCATTTTATTTGTTTGAAATATTTAGAAATTTTTATTTTTATTACAATTAAGACCTTTCTACATTACCAAAGCCATTTCTCGGTTTCAATATAGAATTAATAATTTAAATATCGAACCTGTGATGACCAGTTTACCAGCAGACGCGCTAAGGCGAGTTTCTCCAGTAAGTCGGTGCTTGGTTTGGCATCTACATATAGCCATGATAAATAAGTAGAAATCATTAAATATCAACTAATAACTTTTTCTTAATTTTTATCGTTGACTTATGTATAACTGTGCATTTACATAAACATGCATATTTACTGTTACCTGTATTCCTTAAAACCATCCTCAGGCCGAACATCTTTAATATACAACACAATTTTATCTCACTCATTGATTACTTTGGCTCCATTTGAGTTTGAACAAGGAATTGTAAAATTTTGTTTTGATTTAATAATTATAAGTTATAAAATAGATTAAAATGTTACCTTTAATATGCAACTCCCCAGAGGGCAACACGACAAATTTTCCATCTTAATAAATTACAGGTAAATATTAGTGTTCAACTCAATCTGTGTTAAGAGTAAAATAATAAATGTGAAAGAACAATCGGCATGGCGGGTGTACTCAAAGGTCACAAAGGGTCAGTTTAACATTTGAATTGTGTAAAAAGTTTGCAGTACCAACCAAAGCTATTCTGTGGAGTAAATTCAGTGCCGGAATTAAACCAAGAGACAACATGTACGAAGTCTGCGACAAAAGAAGGTAATTTGCAGCCAATGATCACATTATTCGCTCGAATAACGTATTCGTTCTCCGCTTCACTTTCATAAGGTTGAGCGACAACTGAAATACACAAGGAAACAAAAAAAACTGGGTCAGAAATATTGTAGCAGAAACTATCCAGAAACGGAAAAGAAGTGATCGTTACTATATTATTACTTATTTATGACCGCTAATAAATCTGTCCTGACAGAATATACTATTTTCCATACACATGCCATGACCAAGTGTTCCTTCTAAATTGCTTAGTTTGAATGGCAAAATTAAATGACCAACCCTCAAAAACTCCACGATTGTCTAATTTGTAAACATTTCCATCAGAATCATGCCAAGAAACCACATCCAAATAATCAGCAATGAATGATGGAATTTTGCACCTAATATAAATTTCATAGTTTGATATCTTTATAAATTTTGCACCTAATATGTATTTTCACCTAATCGTCGCCGAGTTTCCTTTAATTATGTACTCTTGGTCACCGTGAGTGTCATAGACTTGGGTCACAACTACAGATAAAAATAAATACCGCAAAAAATATATACTCTAATTTTAAAGTCATCATTTCCTCATATGCAATATATGTACGTGTGTATGACCCTTTAGACTCGAACACTCGCCATGTACATAGTTCCATATTTGAAGAATTAAATATACCATCAAATCTTTTAGATTCTGCAGAATAAGTGTTTCCGTCGTTATCCATCCATGCAACAACTTCTAAAAAGTCGGCCATGAATGATGGGATTTTGCAACGTAATATGCCTGCATTTCCGCGTATGATGTCTTCTTGGTCTCCATAAGTGTTGTAGTTTTGCTTAACAACTGGACAAAAGTTAAAAACGGTTATGCAAGTAATAATGACAGTTATGCATCTTTGGAAGTTTGACTGCAATATACATATTTATGTATTTATATGTACTTAGTAGTGACCCGCCATATCTGATGTATTATCCTGACACATTTATTTTGTTTGAAAACAATCATGTGTAAATGTATGTATACCCCTTGCACCCATTTCATAGACTTGGTCTGTAGAATCAATCCAACTGATTACAGAAACGTAATCACTAACAAAAGCAGGAATACTGCACCTGAATATTTCATCAATTTTATGTTTACATTCTAAACTTTACTTTAAATCAAATAATCTTGTATCACTTGAGTGCTGCGTTATTTCCACGTATGACATATTCCGATATTATTTCCGTTGCGTAGGATTGGGCCACCACTGAAATTAATCATCATGAATAACTTACAGTTTCTTACACTGATACAATTTCCATTACATTGACCTCAAATCTTGCCATTTGTGCAATACATGCATATTTTGCCACGTGTATTTGTCGTAAAATTATACAAATGGTTCATCATCTGTGCATGGCTCACTTAGAATTTAACATCTTCTGCAACTTTTACCCAAGATGCCCAAATACGTCAAATGGAATGCTAAAGGACATGTTATCAGCATTTTATCATTTTCAATTGCAAAAGTAAAAGGTGACCAACCAGTTCCTGACACCTACATGCGTACGTTGCATACAGAGGTATGCCTAATAAGATGAGGAATCATCACCACACCCACCCGCCCGCCCGCCATTGTCGTCAATTACATTTTAGTATCGTTTCACATTTATTATTTGTCATTTAAATAATAACGTCAACCGACTAACCATCTGGGCTTTTCGCAGAATAAGAATATGAATTCCCATCCCCATCAACCCATGCAACTATATGAAGAAAATCAGCTACAAAAGATGGCAATTCACAACGGAGGATCGCAAAATTCCCTCTTATCACGTAAAGGTTGTGCACTTCAGTGGCATAAAATTGGGCGACGGCTATAAGTAATTAATGGTCATTAAATGTATTTAGTAATTTGTATAAAAATCAAGTTGAAGTAAATATCTATATTGTAAAGAAAACAATCGTGTTTAAAAACGATGAAAAAATATTTGAGTAGTGACTCGACGAACACCCACCATGATGAACCGACATTTCTTTCTATTTTATTATGGTAATGCTGAACATTTGTCTAACCAAATTTATTGTCGGCCATTGTGAATGAAGTTCCATCAGAATCAAGCCAAGATGAAACACTCACAAAATCACTGGTAAATGCGGGAATGTTGCACCGGAACGTAACACAATTGTTTCGGATTACATGTTCATTGTTCACTTCCACAATAAAGTGTTGGGACACCACTACATAAATACGTAAATACATGATATAAATGTTGAATAAAAGAATATATCTATGTACATATGTATCAGTATCGATGGTTGTGTAATAATGAATTAAGAATTATCATTTATGCTGATTTGTAACCCGGTAAACCCACCATATCCGATGATCTATACAATTATGTATGCAAATGGTATCTAACCGAAATTTTTTGGATTGTACATAAAAGTTTCTCCTGTTGTAGTGTGCCATTCTGTCACAGATAAGAAATCTGCAACGTACGAAGGCAACTGACACTTGAGAATCACGTTATTTCCACGAATAGAATGTTCCTTGATTGGGTCCACTTCGTAAAATTGCGAAACAACTATAAATTAAACCCAATACATGTCGTGTGAGGTTACTGAAATCATAATGAAATTACGGAGCGTGATTCGCAATTAAACTAAAGAATGTTTGTATATATACATTTACTACCGAAAATATACTAAATAACTTTGGGCTTTTATTGATGTAACCCTGGTCCGATTATTCCTTCATCTTTTGCACAATCTATATATTTTTTACCGTATTTATCATTTTTATGAATTGGAAAATCGTCCTCAAACCAGGAGTCTATATCCAAGAAATCTCCAACATAGGTCGGCGTCAAACATTTAAATATTGCAGAATTTTGTCGAATCACATCTTCATCGTATACTTTAGCTGAATATGGCTGATTCACCACTATGATATGGAGAAAGCAACAAAGAATTATATAAATAATAAATATGGTGATCTTAGATATTATTGTATGACATTATTTTAAGAGTTCTGCCTACTAGTATTTAATGACTGTTTCCTTTTCTACACACCCTTTCATTCCGATTATTCCCCCTGACATTGCTTATTACCATAAACGTCACTCTTTTCGATGGGAACATCATCCTGGAACCATGCATTCACTGTGACAAAGTCTGACACAAATGGGGGAAGGTTGCATTTCATGGTCGCAGGATTAGCACGTATCACATGCTCTTCCCAGACGTTTGCAATGTACGGCTGACTGACAACTTTGGGACACAAGATCAAGATTCATATTTAATGTCATTAATGGGTATCCCAGCATGTATTGTTTAATTGCAAAATTATGAAGTTAAAGATGATAGGACATAAATATCTATATACATATTATGTATATCTTCTATCTATATGTACCTCCTCCTTAAGTACTGTATGTTGTTAATTTCCACCCTGTACAATACTTTCAATTCTTAATCTAGTTTATGATTTTTTTTGTTCGTCATAAGTACGTAAGATGTTTGCTTAGGATTAGTTAGATTTACCATTTCTTGAACAATGTGTTCCCGAATGGAAAATAATAGGGATCATAATACCTGCACGAACGTGGACATCGCGAGAGTGGATAGTGCCGATGGAATTGCGGGCGAGACAGATATAAGTTGCACTGTGAACTTCTTGTCGATAGTCCTGCGAGCACAGACAAAAAATTGTAAGATTTTATATGTTGTGACATATTTTTACATATAGCGTTCACTTACTTCAGCACGGAAAGGTGGAAACACCAGTGCTCCAGAAGCCAACACCTATAATAAACCGGACAAGTATGTAGGCATTGTTAAATAATTTCATAGTGCTAATTGAAGTTAAATCGGAAACGATATATTGATGGGAAGTTAAAATTACATGGCACATTACTTTCGAACCCGTAGTGCGTAAAACACATCCAATGTTTATTTAGCAAAAGGATCATTGCGTGTTCATCAATTCATAAATTTTATAATCGTATACATACGTAAGCGCATACATACGGATTATGTCTATATTAATTATATTATGCTGTAAATCGTGCGGTATTTAATTTTCATGCAATTTTAAGCAGCCATGAAAATTATGGAATACGTAGTTGAATAACTTGCATACACGACGTATGTATATTATACATAGTGTATCGTATCAGCAACAATATAGTTCAACATACTATGTTTCTCGGGATGAAAGAAAATCCAATCATTTAAAGGGAGCGACCCAAACAGCAAAAAATGCATCCTTCCTTTCGTTAAACGAGAAATCTTGAGAAATTGTGAGTAACGACGACGGCTCGACAGCTGCAATATCATGCCATGTGCCTCACTGCATCAGAGACTTGAGACGAGGAGATCAACAAGTTGTTCATTGAAGAAGCAAAAGGGTCGTAGTCGTGATCGTCTGTGGAACTCAACCAGTGCCAGGTGTGCTGCATTTCTTAGGATTAGTTGGTGGAGTAAGCCTTACTCGGAGGGCAGATGTGTTCCCTATGAGGCCAAGTGAAGCTATTTTTTTGCCTGAAGGTCTCCTTCTTACCCTTCTTCCTGTGCCATTGGACACTTCCAGACTCTCACTTATAATATAATACTACCCTTATTTTTTTGTCTCTGGATAACAAAATGACTCATTAGACGGTTCATCCGGTCAACTTTTGGGCGTGGGTTTTAAATTCATTCAGGGCTCTTCCAGTTTTCCATGGACATGATACGCATTCAAGTTTGCTGAATAATAAATCTGTGACAAGTGTCCATCGCCCGTGAAATTATGTGCATCTGTATGTACTTACTTATAAGCTTGTTACCCAGCACGTTTCATTTTGCATGGTTTATTATTAGAGCAAAGGGTAAAAGCGAAACAACGTTTCATAATTTAAGACGACACAAATATCGTGTAGTATAAGTTAAATAAAAATACAACCACTACTTAATTCCAGATTTTCTCTATAAATGCATTGGATGTGCATATGTATACATTCTCTCGAGATTCTCTTTCATGCTAAATTACCCCAGCGTAGAATCCATGTTAGTTTTCCATGCAACTGCATTTTTCATGATATTAATGCAACCGTAATGTAATTACCTGTCGTAGTCCGGGAACATCTCCCACGGCCGTTCCATCTCCACGAAGCCAAATAATTTCTGGCTGGGGCGTGCCGCGTGATTGGCACGGTATTTCGGCTCCCGTCGAGTTAGAAAAGTCCACCTGGGTCCAACCAAGAGATAACATGAAGAAAACATTAACTTATTCGCAATTTGGGCTTCCTTACTTTGGATGGGGGCTCCTTCACAAAAACAGGGCCACCCTCCTCATCCGCGTTACTTCCAGTGTTTGCCAGTGCTAAAAATCAAATAAGAGAATGAATATTGAAAATAATTGTGTACATATGCTTAATTCGTCATATGTAAATACATGCATATATTTATGTGCATAAATGTCAAATGATTCAATTTTTTACATTTATGTAAATCCATTCCAATTTAATGGGTTGATTCTATGGTTGATTCTATTAATGTAAAAACTGCACCCATTTAAGTCGTCAAGCTTGTTCCGTAAAAAACTAAAACACTCCAAAAGCAGAGTTTGCATAAATATCAATGATGTGACTGACATTCACCATGTATGCATATACTTACTTAGGATTAGTGATGGGCCAAACCAAGTAACACAAATGAGGGATACTTTTGAAGAATTTTAAACGTAGCAAAGTAGAGTGCTGGCAAACCAAGCGATATTTCCCAACGCTTTACCATTTCAGTCTTAAAACCTTTCTTATACTCAAAAAGGAGGGAGTTCAGTTCAGAAATAGATAGATAAACGCAGAGCAGAATAATGATGCATGGCTTGTAGCACGTGCAGCAGAATGAAACCTTGTCCTATGTAACTAAATGCCTATGAATACAAGTGATCGTGACTCCTTGAATTGAATAATTAAGCATATTATAAACTGATTCAAATGTTAGTGAATCATCATGAAAGCATTACTGAATCTAGCCAAATGATGTGTGATTTCTTACTTATAATTTTTGCAATGTATTAAGTAAAACATGCTCCCTTTGTGTTTATGCTTGTGCTTTGCATATTCCAGAAATCGAAAACTGTTTCACTGACCGAGGATGAGAAAGCTGTGCTGACTGACTACCATAAAATTATACTTCCTTTCCCACACCCATGTCATTACAGAAAGGGGTGTTCAGCATGAATGACATGGGAAACTATACACATGCATAATGTGTATATACTCTTCTGCATGTATTTACTCTGGAAATTAGGCAGGTCCTGCTTTTCTGGCTGCCCACTTTCCTTTTATTGAAGGCTTGGAGTCGTCTACCCTCTTGTATGTATGCACAAGTTGACTGGCCAAATCTGGATCTCGCTGGAGGTTATAAAAATTCGAAATTGGAAACAAAGAAACGATCCAACCATCTGTTATTTTTGTCGTACTCACACTGTACATATGTACCGACGCGATTGAGGGAGGGGAGAAAAAAAGCGTTTCTAACATGATATGGCAAATATACATAGTTTAAACTGAAGTCTGAATGCTTAAATCCAACTCACAAATATGTTTACGAAAAATGGGACATAAACTCAATTTTGAATTGATTAAGTTCATATCCTGTCTTTTTTTATAGTAGCGCATCCCATTCATCCGTTTATGCATCCATAATCTAGTTTCTGTTGTTTTGCTTTAAGCCAATGCTATGAGAAGGAAAGGGATTCAACTTCAAAATTCCATAAATTTTGCATTTAAAAATATTACATTTTGCGAGTTGGTCTATTTAGGAGTTTTTACTACTCTGCAAATTGAATTATTTTGAGAAAAATATTTCTCCATCTCCGCAATCTACTAATTTCCTGTGTTTCATGGATGTCATTGACTCATTCATAAACGTGCTCAGATATAATGAAGGTTTCATACATATTCCAAGTTTCAGCAGACTATCGAATTCCAATGCAATACATACGCATAATCTGTGTCTCAAATCTGTACAATAAAATAAATGGAGAAAGAGACGCTATATTTTGACATTCACGTGAAAAATGTCTCAAACTGTGCCGGTGTCACAGTTATTTGGCATTGTTTCGTGTTTACTAACCTTTCGACGCACCACAAACGATAAGTTTAACAACATGTGCCATGTGCCGTGATTGGAAAACTGCCATGCACTTCATGCAGCCGATTTGTTTCCTCTAATTTCGCTATATGTATGTACGTCGAGTCCTCTAATCCACGCAGAACAAATATTTTGCAAACTCCGAGACCTTTGTGCGGATACATCAAGCAAGATTGCAATATTACGCTCTTATTGCATGCATTTTCATTGCCCGGTATGGGTTATTGCACTTGGTTTGGTGCGTATAGACCAGTATGATCTCCCGGATGAAAATGCCAGGAAATCTGGCAAGAATTTCCAACCCGCTCCGGGTACATGCCCCGGTTCCCTATTTTCTAAAAACTATTTTGCCTCGGTGCGTGCATATGTAGGAACAACTTCCTTATAGTGTTTCACTTACCCGAATCGATATTCAATGCTAGGAGGGCAACGACACTGCCCACAACAAGACACAGGATCTCCAACTTTAAATGTCCCATGATTGATTACGATTACGAAGATTGACTCAAATTAATGAGCAGACGTTAACAATATGCACCACTGACTGATGCTATATGATGATTAATAACTCTTCATTCCAGGAACGTCACAATTCAAAAAAGAATTTTGAAATTGGGAATTATGAGATGATGATTTTCCGTCCTGGAAGTCGATTTTTTAACACTATTTTTAATTACGCAGAATATTAATATTTTTAAACGGATTTTGCGAACTAGATAGCACACGACAAATCACGACACTGAAACACACTGACACTGATTTTAATTAATATGTAAAACTTCGCGGAAAACTTAATTATTTTTTACAGAAATTTTTCAGGAAACTTTTTAGAAAATGACGAGATGACGACGACGAGTCTGAGTAAATTCGATGAGGTTGTTCAAGCGTCGAAATGACTGACGGCAAGAGTTGCCCGAAGAAAGTGGAAAGAACTTGTTCCACACACGTCCGACAGACTTTAAACTACATAAAACAATAAACAAATCATCAATGAGTTCATTTCATTTACAAGATAATAATGTAACAAGAGATGAGTCAGACAGCCAAAGTCGGTTTAAAATGTTTCCTTTCTTATAATTCTGACGAAGAGATGCAATGAGTAACTTATTTCCGTTTTACGAATTATATACTCCAACTTTCTTAATTAGACCAATTTTGCATTAGTCTCAAATTAAAGAAATAGAGTAAATATAATAGTAGATTAATTTTACGCTGGCAAGATAACAGATGATCAAACAGAATTAATTAGTCAAAGTTGATTTTGTGCAGTGTATAATATTGTATGTTGTAGTGAGCCTTTAGAATAAATCTGCTATCACATGTTCTTTGTTTGGTCAAATCAATTAATAGTAATTATTATTTATTTGACCATGCTAAAATTACAGATCATGCATCAAATCAAATCATACATAAGGTGCTAGACAAATCCAATTCAAGTGTGTGGTTAAATCAAGTTTATTTCAAAAGCAAGCAAAACAAGCAAAATTTAATTATAAATCAGGCAAATTAATACACAAACTAAGTAAAATAATGAAAATTACATCAACGCAGCCATGAAACATTCACAGCACAAAATTGTGATTAAAGCAAATCACCGCACAACAACAAAAACTGAATGTGTCGGTAATTACATAACACTCCACGTGCAACGACCGACAACCTAGTATTTTCACCGGTAATTAGCATAACAACGAATGAATGAGTGACCAAGTATAGCTTCACTTAAAGTTAACACCGCCTCAACGGCATGATGATAATGCATGAGTATTAAATAAAACTAAATCCTTTGTAATTCGTGGTATCATTGAGGAAGCTTCGTTGTATAGGAAAGTGTAATCTGGTCGGTCGGACAACAATTTACCACAACTCTAATAAAGCACAAACAGTTTATATTATTACCCTTTTTAGTATTGAATGGTTAGATAGTAGAGGAAAGTTGAGTTGATTGACAATTTTGTTTAGGAGAAGAGTTGAATGAATTACACAAGCCGGAGGAGAGACTCTCGTAAAAAGTCTCACCTGGCAGCCACACTTCGAAACACAGACTGACAAAGTCTACGACTAGTACCCAAACAAATCTCTGACTCATTCACTCGCACAAAATTTTCTCACTATTATTGTGCACCAACGAATATCACTTTTGCCGAAAGAAACACAGGAAATTCGTATTCGTGTCCGGGAAGACGGAGAGCTGATATATGGAGGAAAACAAAAGTCTTTGTTTTGATTCGTGTGAAGACTTAATTAAATTTGTGCTTATAATTTCCACTAGTTTTACTATAATTTAAAAGAATAAGACGACTTATTTGTGAATCTCAGCAGAGTAAAGTAATTTGGGGCGATGGACAAAGGCAACAAGAGGACGACCAAGAGGCGGTCAAGATACTCAAGGACGAGAATTTACAAGAATGCGAAACACAATTGGGACGACGAATATGTCGATATCACGTCGGAAGATAATATGACGATGAGTGGGTCAGACGACTGTGCATTAAATATCACCAAAGAATTACACAATTTGGCAGCAGTAATGCAAAATGTTCCTCTTGGAGGAGATATTGACTTGTGCCCTAGTGGATCAATTCGACAGAGAAGGTTAAATAAATTAGCGGATGATATCCAGTTTGTGAATCAGGTAGGTGTATATGGGATTCAAACTGCATTCTATATACAACTTTGTAGATTCAAATTAATAGTTAAATATTATTTATAACTCATAATAATTTATGCTTTCTATAGCTGGCAAGTTCCGACTCTGATATCAGTTTAGATTTGGATGAACTTGACGATCCTGGTAGGATTCAAAATACAGCTCGAATAGAAAAATTTTCCACTTTGAGTAAGTTGCATATTATTATGGCATATGTATTAATAATGGGTTGTTTTAAGGCTTATTTTGTATGTTATTATAGGACGAAAGTTTGAAAGGTCCCAGGGTTTAGTGGAAAGCAGAAACAGTAAAACGTGGACTGAAGAACTGATAACGAGTAGTGAAAAGTTTACAAATAAATATAATGGTAGGTTCATATATATATATATATATACGTTATTGTCTCATTTGCCAATTATTACTAGGTATTTTATTGAAAGGATTCGTTCTGGTTAAATTAATATGGTGATTATTGAATTGCAGAAATAGAAAATAGGACTATGCCCATCAGAAAAGATTTGGAAGACTTTGGCAAAGAGAAAGTAATCGTTGATAAAAATTGTACCATAACTCCTTGCGTACAATTAGATGTTAAAATTTCTGAGAAAGTGTGCACAAGTGAGACGAAAAAATTAACAAAGTTGAAGGTATTAATATAACAAGAGCACTACTCGTAATTGTCAATTATTCTAGGTTTTATTTGTTTATGTGTGTTGTAACTTATTGATTATCAATTTCAGGAGGATCTGTTCTCCAATTTCTCCTTCCATCTCATTAATGACAAACCCTATAATGCAGTTAGTAAATTATCCAAAAAGTAGTTACAGTTTTAAATATAAACATCCTTAGCAATTGTTTGTTTGCTTTGAAACTTTACCTTACCCAAAGTCTATTCGCGCATTTTATAATAATATAACTAAATATTTCTCAACGACTTATTTTTAGTATATGCAATTATGCAAAGGCGTATCCCTTTATTTCATTCATATCGTGTAGACAAACAGATATACTTTTTACTCGCTATTTGTAAGTCTATTGTGGTATGCGATTGGTAGAGTTTTTATTTTTAATCCCCCGTCCGGTATATAGCCTGGAGGAAGTTCGTCTATGTCGTCCCAATCGTCCGAAGCTTCGTCCGTTTCAATTTTTATACACTTGCTGCACTCTTGTAACATTTTTAATTTCAGAATATTAACTCCATCAAGTTTTTGCAGCCGAGGGAGTTCTGCAATGACCCCTTTCCAATAGTCTGACTTGCAACTGGGATTTCCTAAAAGCGTTAACTCTTGTAATTTCAATTTTCCTAGTCGACTTATGTCTGTTAAACTCTGTAAATAAACAAGTTAACCTCTTGTATTCACAAAATGTACATAACAGTGCTTATAATTAAAAATTGTCATACATACACAAGAAGGATAATGATGAACACATTTTCTATGTTATTGATCGATTCTCTCACCTGAATTCTGTTGTATCCAATGTGCAAGGCTGATAGGTTATGCAAATTTGAAAGTCTAGGCAATACTGATATTCGATTATGTTCCAGGTGCAAATTTTTTAGCGAGTTGCAACCCTTCATGGATGAGAAGGGGATGTGAGTGATGTGATTGTTGTCTAGTACAAGTGCCTTCAACGTGGACAAGCTGTCCAATCCTTCAAAACCTTTGATTTTATTGCAGTTTAATATCACTGTCCGTAGAGTTGGGAGTGCATGAAGATGTAGGTTTTCTATTGACGATATTGCTATATAGTAGAAGCATTGATAAAACCACAATTTTAAATAAAGCACGATTCTACCAATTCTACTGGTGTTGGATGCATTATCGATCTTTACCATTATGTGATAACACAAGAACTTCCAAGTTGGGGAATAGCGTCTTTTGAATATCTTGTCTGACCATGACACCTCCTAACTGCGTTGCGATAGTTCCATTCCCACCATCTCCTCTGATAAGCGACTGGTGATGTTTCTGCGACATAGACCTGGGCAATGAAGTTTTAGAGGACTCCACACTAGCCGAATTCTTGATCGCACCCCCTTGAGCCTCCAACATTTTCTCAAAACAGCAAGGGCAAGGATCTCCCAAGGATTTTATCCGATTATTACTAACGCATAGTACACGCAATCTGCACAAGAACATATATATACATACAATATGCTAATAACTACATACTTAATGCATATATTTATAACATCAGTATTTATACAATAAATTGAACGTGATACTTTAAGAGAACTGATAATCCGGCCAAAGTATGCAAACAGTTTCCCGTTAGATCGAGACTCAATAAATTTGGAAGGCTGTGAGATGGAAATTCGACTTTGTGCAGGTCACAATGTGGAAGAGAAAGTTCAGTCAAACTATTCCAGTTTTGTGGTCCCAAGCTCGTTTCCAACCAGTCATGCGACATAATTCCTCCTATATTGTTAATTAATTAATTAATTAATTAACCATCATACAGTATACGCATACAAAACATCAAATGTTGATTATCATCACCTTTATTCCCAACTGCTTTCATTGTATTCCACAAATATAATCCAACGCCATCCAGGATCTACGAATAGAATTTCGAACTTTGGTTTTATTTTTGAAAATATCGTACTTATGTATTTTAATGTGTGTGCATGTTTTCTTTGTTACCTGAACGGTCAAATTTGATCGGACATATATTGAATATTCTGGATGGGTAGCAATGGGTGTTCTAGATGCATCCAGTGACATTAATTCTTTCAAATACTTTAGTGGTTGTAAAACATCAAAGTTGCAAGGAATTGGGTTTCCACTAATTTGGAGATGTTCCAAATTCGGACATGAAAATCCCAGCGCATCCAAGTCACTGAGCTGATTATTAGACATATTTATGATTCTTAAGTTTGGAAACAACCCATTTCCCATCCATCCCAGATTTGTGACTGCATTTTCTTTGTGAAAGAATCAAAGTAACTTGTTAATTTTTGACTTTCAACTACATATTCCAAAGATGGAATCCACGGAATGATGGAATCTTTCCACATGAAAAACCTGTGGCACAATGTAATTGTGGTGGTCATTATCCTGACCTTCGTACCTTGCAGGTCAAGTTGCACCAGAAATGATCTCCATTCGGCGTTTTGCACAATGGAGCTTGTGAATAGGGAGGAGGATGTAATGTAGTTATTCGAAAGGTTCAACAGCACCCCGATCCGATTTGAGGAAATGGTTTCCTTCTGGTGGGGGAAGGGTGGAAGGAAGTCGAGGTTTGAAGCACATTGTCCACTATAGTCCATGCTTGTTACATTGTCTCCCACTGTGAAGATGAACCATAGTGCATGTCATTGTCATATTTAGATAAATGCACGCCTTATCAAGTAAAGTTTTTAACTGGCAATGTACCCCATGTAAATTTCAAGACTTCTTTACTAAAGTTTGCATTTATGCATGATAGTTCAAGGGAGGTGGAAATGGGACATTTTGAGGGTGGATGAAACGGTGCGACCCAAGCATCCACGCGTTGAAGGTATGGAAGGTAACCATTCGCCAGCACTGGAATGTGACCATAATCCCGAACATCCTATTCATAAATAATGCAGAAAATATAAATTAAAGAGCATCAGATGGTACGTATTTGGACAATACTAACAAGTATTATCTAGATATTATTTGTATGTGTGCAAATATGTATTACATACATGCGTCGTTATTTAAATACCTGAAAAGGATTAGGCAAGATTTCCAGCACTTGTAATTTGCTACAAGCCCAAGCTAAAGTATTGAGATTTGAGTGAAAAAATCGCAAAGAATTCCATCCGGTTTTTAATTCCTTTAGCTAGAAGTAAATTAAGCATGACATGTAGTCTGACTCTGAATTGAGTACCTAAATGTGCAATGTCTTTCTTATTTTCTTAGCATGTTATGGATGCATACCTGGGGCAGTTTATGAAGGCCTGATAAAGTTGTTAAATTGTTATAGGAAAGATTTAACTTTTTCAGGCTAATCATTCCTTCAAGTCCAACGGCTAGACCAAGCCGATTAGCCGACAGGTCAAGCGAGGTAACGGTATCCAGTATGTTTGGCCCCAAGAACTTGGTAACGCTCAAAAGCTCTGCACCATTTCTTGTTGGTTTGATCAAAGGATCTCTGTGCATCATACAATTCAAGTAATCATTTCATGCATTGCGTGATTGATTTAAGTTAACGTGTAAGCATGCACATAAATATTTAGTGGTAAAAATTAAATATCTAACGTATGTTTAGTGGAGAGAAGCAATAATTTTGTGACGGCAGTCAAATCCGCCTTGACACCATCATGGGTTCGATGTAAATAATACGGCACATTTCTTCTGCTTTGGGCAGCCCCCAAATCCACGATGCGATTGGAAATGACTTCCAACATTTTAGAGACGCCTAAAGTGACGTCACTATCATCTGCAACACTCTCATACCAATTGCCTTTCTTGTCGTTGGGAATATGAGAAATGTACACAATGTATGCTGGAGAATAGCAGAGAGGTCTTCGGAGTGCAAATATCATGCAATCTTCATTGTGCTGTTATACATAAAAATGTAAAATATCTAATATAAGACTGCAAATGGTGAATAATATGTAATAAACATTTCTATTTACACTGGTCATTAAACAATCGTTCGATTTTCCAACAGAAATAAGACACTCTTCCAAAACTTTCACCACAAAGAGTATCGAGTGAGAAGCGTCTTTCGGTGATTTTGCCTGGTTTGTCTGTGAGTAATTTAATTGAGTTGCAGTCCAAATACAGTTTGTGAGTCGTACTTCCTACGTGAAAGAAAAAGAATACATAATAATGAATACACATATAATAAATAATAGATAAATAAAATTTATACATGACGCAGACTTGTATAAATTAAATACTAATTGTGGTACCTTAAAGTACCTAGACTTTTCAAACAACAAGTTATGAAAGTACTGGAGTGGATCCTTATTATGTTTCACAGTGCCACATGCACCACTTCCCGTGACAAGAAATAAAAGGAGAGGTTGGGATCGCTCGGGAAGACCAGGAACAGATTCAGGATAGGAAAACAATGGGGGTGGTGGTTTATAATTTGGATCCACGTAGGTCGGAACGACTCGAATCGGTTGTATCGAAGGGGGCCCATAAAATGGCTGACCACTTAGTAAATGCTGGATATCAAGTGAGGTGGCTAAAGCCACGGGGTCTTCTTCCAGGGGTGGTGGTGGTATAAATTTAGGTTCATTTTTTCGGGCATAATTGTCTTCAAAAATTTTCTCCATTCCAGCCTCAGCACCTCTATCTTGAATTACTATAATGGTCTCTAATTTGAGCAATGTGTTGCGTGGCCATCTGCAGAGGACAGCAAAAATTCATATCACACAAGTTCGTACGGGAATTAAATTTCTCTGTACTTTACATACAATATAATTTATAAGCTGGGATTAAATTGTACCATTACTCACTGCTTTTTACAGGATAGTGCACTAATTAATTGGTGCATAGTGTCACGAAAATCGTCCTCATCTTTGGAAGAGTCAAGATCAGTCACTGATTGAGAAATGTAAGCTCGAATTGTTCCAAATGACTTGAATTCCAACCATTTTGTCCACTCATCCATCTGAGAAAATAATTTCAAATTACTGTACTACAATTCCATGCGTAAAGTTATACCCATGTTCCATGAAAATAAAATATGTACACGTATTACCTGTTGTTCCCATCGGCTGATTCTGAGGAGAGACTCGATTCGTCTAAGAACTACCCTTGTCCATTGTTTCAGGTGGCTTAATCTTGTGTGAATCTTTAAAATGTACAAAATACTGAATTTCATAGGTGAATAAATTTTGGCAAGCATAAAATCACCTTTGACACATCAAGCATAAGTTGGTCCTGCATCTTTGAAAACATTGGGAGTCCATTCATTTGATAATCGGCTTGCAGGCACTAAAATTAGCAGACAAATATATTTTTTTACAGAAATACTATAATTCATGTTGCTGTACCTTGGCAGAAAATGTGGCTAAATCAGCAATACGGTCGCCTAAACTTTCCAACTGCTTAAATGCAACTTGGACAACCGCTTTTCGCCTTGCTGTATAAGAGCTTCCACAAGTCACCGAATCCGCATAGTAGTAGAGACACTTATGGCTGATAGTAAGCTGGTTATTCAAGAAATGTTTTAGTTGGAAATTTATCACCCATATGCACACTTTTTACTGACCTGGAGTTCTTTACGTTCTGCATCCGTTACGGGTTTTCCATTAAGCATTTGCACATATCGCAGTCGATTCACGAGGAAGGACCTACTCTCGCATATTGAAGCTACTGGACATTTCCCATAACTTGGGTCTATCAAATAAAATTCTTTGACGGTTGGAACCACATTTAGATTTTCCACATCCTGGACTGTGCACAATGGATTTCCAGAAACGTTAAGGTTTTGAAGGCAACTGCATTTATAGAGATCCTCAGCCTCTAAGCATGTAATTTGATTGTTTGCAACATTCAGCTCTGCCAATTGCAGCATTCCGAAGGTTAAAAACTGGAAATAAATTACTGAAATTATTTATTGAAAGTTTTCATAAAAACAGAATTTAACAATGTATTTTATACATTGAGAGAGGTCAACTTATTATTTGAGAGCCATAAAACACGAAGGTTTTCAAAGTGAAGGGCTTCAATAGTAGAAATTTCTCCACCAAACAGGTACAGACGCTGAAGAAGTTTCAAGTTCCTGAAATCTTGCCATCTTAAATCCTAAAACGAAAAAGTACTATATATCAGTACATACATAATTACGAACCTTCATATTTCCAGCAATGGTCACTATTAGGTTTATGTGCTCACACTTATATTGCAATTCGTTATCCAAGCTTCATGCAGCTTTTTAAAATTATTCAGCCCTTTAAAACTTGTCAATGGATGACCAACCAAACATAATTTCTTGACTGCACAGGGATCCACCGTTGAAGAGAGAGGATTTGGAATAGCTTCAAATTCTTCTCTGTCGTCGTCCAGTTTTGTTGGTTCCACGTTTTTTAGCAGGATATCATTATTATCTTCTACGACTTTTGTGCAGTTCATTAGTTCTTCTCCTTCCTCGTTAACTAGGCCTTCGACTTCATCGTCATCAGTTGTTTCGTACTCTTTATCGCTGTCAATTTCTTTCTCGACATCCTCTGCCAACTCTTCATTATTCTTCACAGCGAAATTTTTATATTGCTGGAGTCGTGCGGCCTTGCTGTACTTTTTGATATGATAGCATGGAAAAGTTTCCAAACAATCGTCAATCGGTGGGACCGAGACAGGACGAGAGAGTTCAAATATTGACATTTTCCTGAGGTTGACTACGTCATCCGAGTCCAATGATTTTTGTGGAACATCAGACGCATTATTAGCTTGGAGGTGCTGTTGAACCCCATCGTGAGACATTAGGGGACTCTTATCCGTATTTCCATTTCCTTCATCATCCACCACGTTATTGTCCGAACCCTGTGGCTTTCCGGACAGAGAGTTACAAAACGTCCCAAAGTTAGTGAGATTGCCGAAGAATATTTCAATACTTCTGTTGGAGGAATCTTCTGGTTTTTGGCGATGTTGAGGTGGTTCAGTAATTCCCTCTGTGACACCATCCTTTACATGATGACGATTTCGAAGATAATTTTGAAGTGAGCCAGGTTTACTACTAGAAAAGCGGGATGTTGTTAAAACGTTGGCCAGACTTTTATCGCCAGCTCCACCCCTTTCGATTTGAGAGGCATTGATATTTTGGAGATTAGCTTCTGAATCCGAGTCGGAGGTATCATCAGCAATGATGAGAGATTTGAATAAATGGCGTGGCTGGGATTTTAGAATAGGACGAGGTGAGGACGAGTCTGACCGTGACCTGGAGGGAGAACCCCTCTCTTCCTCCTCAGAGTCCATTTGGATAAAGTTGATCAATTTATGAGTTTCATTTTTACTAACGTTTCAAAGATATTAATCAGCCAATTTCTTCAAGTATAATATTTAAATAGTTGGATGGCATGAATAAAGTTACTGAAGGTTTGTCTGTCTGGCTGACTTGAATTCATGTCAAGGGACGCTTTCTCGATACCATTTGTGTATCATGGTAACGTGGTTAAAATATTATTACTATTTATCTCAAGGCTGAATCATGACTGCAATTGTCTTGCAACTAAACAATTGATAAATTATATGTAGATCTGCATTGGGCGAATTTTATGTATGCATCTTCTCTGTACATGTGCATAGATGTACATACAATGTGTGTATTTAAAATATTTTGTATCACTAATTTTATAATTATTAGTGTCAACAAATTTCGTTGAGTGCACAAAAAATAGTATACTTGAGAATAAACAAAAATTTATTTGATAGTTTAGGTCGAAGTTTATACTAAGTGGACGGAAGAACTAAATTGATCAATGTGATAATTGCATAATAATATAACAACTTTTGATTATTAATAATTATTTCTAAAGGAATGTCAGGAAGGCATAGAGCTAATATATCATTATTAACAGGAAAAACTTTCTGAATTACACTAAATTGGTTTAAGACACATGTCCAAAACTATTCTGATTACTTAGGATTAGATTACGAAGGATAATTAATACAAAAATATGTAACAATAAATGACAGTAATAGAAGTGTAAATCGATAGGGTACAACAGTAGTTTATGGCTATTTTTATGTGACCGATGACGAGTTTCAAATTGTATTATTCGTCATTCTTATTATCTTAAGTTGATACAGATCGTTATCATTATTTAATTTTGTTTTCATCGTAATATAATAATGATGTAATTGTCCGTTATTACCGCTATTAGTTAATTTGTGTAAGATAGTACAGTGTCTTGAGCACACATAGTAGTAGTATATATAGTTATTATAACCAGTCTTATCTGATGTTGTCGTAAAGATTGAGTTGTGATTTACAATTTTCTTTCTGTGACCTGCGTTTCTTGAAGACATTCCAAAAACGGAGAGTTTCGTCTCCAGCTCCAGTGACTATATTTTCGCCATCCGGAGACATTGCCAAGTACAAAACCCGGTTTGAATGTCCCGTTAACTCTGCAACTTGCTCGAGCGATGGGTATTTCCATATCCCAATCTGGTTCTGAGAATATCCATGGGTCGTTACAAATTCTGAAGAATGCTTTGACCAAGCAAGATTGCACACTTGGGATCCTGTGTGAATGCACTGCATTGGCTGACCGGTGACGGTGTTCCAAAATCGAATGGTTTTATCAGCCGTTCCTCCTCCACTGGCCAAAACACCGTGATGGTGGGGTGACCACGCAATAGCTTTGACGGCAGCAGAGTGTTCCTTGTACGTTTGCATAGGTGTGGTCGAATGTTTACTCCAAACGTAAAGGCGATTGTCGTTTCCTCCAGAAGCCAAAAGCTGGTTATCCGGAGACCACTTAAGACCACAAATCTCTTGTGTGTGTCCACAGAGTTGTTTTTCAAGAACAAATGGAGCTGTGCGGATGTCCTTTTGATTTATGAATTGGTCCTTGGAACCACTAGAGATAACATCACCGGACCAGGCTACAGTTCCCACGCGCGCAGTGTGACCACAAATTGTCGTCACCAACTTTTCTACGGTGGCATCCCATACTTCCACGATTCCACTGTGTGTTCCAACAGCTACATGGTTTCCCTAAGATAAACAGACACCACATGCTTGAAAATAAGCTAACACATAATTTCTTACTCATTTTTGCAGCATTATTTTTAACTATTCTGATTCTGAACAGTGATCACCTTTTCATTCCACGCAACCGAGGTCACTGCATTCCTACTTGGACTTATATCACATAGCCTGACTACATTAGCAGTTGAGGCTGACCACAGGTAAACACAAGTTCCTAAACCAACGGCAATGCTATTTTGAGAAGACCAATCAACCAGATTCAGGTAAAAGTCGTCCTTTAATTCGGGTGCATCGAGAATCTACAACAATAAAAGTCCCATGAATGAAGAATTCTACATTTCTATGCATATACATTGATCGAGTAATTGTTGCTTCGCCCAACCGGCACTTACCTTAAAAGGGACTTTTGAGATTCTCCTCGTAGGCTTCCTCGAGGAACGTTGTAAAAGCTTCTCAGAATTTTTACTGATTGGGGATAAAGAGTAAGGCGACCACGGCGAATTAATGAAATTAGTCCTTTCTGAGCTATCAAACTATCAAAGACCATTTGAAATTTTACTTATCACACTGATTTTACTTTTAGAAGAAGCTATGCCCTGCCCTCTATTTGGATTATAACTTACATTAAATAATTTTCTATTCGGCGTTAATTTCTTTTCAGGGGTCACATCTTTGCAGTCTTCAATTTGATAGCCAAGAACTTCATTTTTCAGCAGACTTGCATAAACTCCTAGTCTGTCATTATCTTTCGTGGCCTTTGCTGCTGGTTTTCTATTCGATGATCCAAGAGGTCTACCTGCGTCCTGTATCAAGTGTGACGGGATCAAAAATCCTTAAGTACAGTCTGTTATCCATGTAACTAGAACAATGTAGCAGATTATATATATATACGATCTTACTTTTGGAGTTGACAATTTGAGGCTGCTTGAAGGAGACGATATCGGGAAGGATTCCCATGTGTTTCCGGCTCTATTGGGGATGAATCTATCACCATGCCGAGGTTTTGTAGGTGTCTGATGGACATTCATTTCGAAAGTCTTGTATGTGTATAAATATCACTTTATGGTTAGGCTTGCAGATCTAATCAACAAATAAACTTTAGCAGAAACTCAAAATTTTATTGAAATATGAGAGTGGTATTATTTGTCTATAGAAAAGTGTACGTACTATTTATCAGGTTTAGCACTATAAGGTTTAGCAGTTAAATATTAGCATCGTTTCGGGGTCAACATCACAATTAAACTTCAAGGTTGAAGGTCTCAGATGATGAGTCAATCAATCAATGCCACTGGTCATTGGGAAGCTTGATACGTTGCCATATGCCCCATAGACTGAAATAAACACTTTTTGTTAGAAATTGTGTATTCCATCTTCCACAATTGTATGATACAATTTGTATCACGATAAATGTGCCTCAATTTGATTTTTTGTTAAATATTATACAACAAAAAAACCTCACTCACCACCGTTTACTATTGTGGAAGCTCAAAATTAGAAATTTGCACTGCGAAGTCTTTATCAAAATACTTTACTTTTGGGTTATATTTCTCTACCACAACTAACTAATTTTGATAATACTAAAGTTTTTATACAAAAAAAATATTTTTTTTTCGCCGAGATCGAACAACGGGTGGACGGAATCTGTTGTTGCTTCGCCCGACTTGAACTCTACCCGGTTTTCAAACCAAGCTTCCTGCTTCTCCTCGGGGCAGTCGGCTCCATCTCATCTGATGCTTTGTTCTCTTTATTCCAAATTCATGCCATTATGCTACAAATTCAAATATATAATAACAATTTTTTAATGCATTATCAATAAGATCACGATTTATACGATTAAGTTACGTGCCAAAATTAAATCGTAACATGTGAATAGGTTAGAATTCTGGATGCAAATTTGGCTTGGTTTTGTGGAAGTCGGAGAGAAAAAGTGTGTATTTATATTGAGCAATGGCTTTTTGGACTTTTGGAAGCTTTGAGTGAGTAGCAGGTTTGGTCGCCTTTAATTTCTTATTAAAAGCTGATCAACCAATCTTTCATTCGTTTGGCTGGATTCTCGTAGGCCGTCTCAACGTGCCTCGATGCTGAGTCCTTGTTTCACGCTTTCACCCGTTTTATCCTCGGGATTAGAATTCGTATCACTTTATTTAACATGAGGTGCTTCCAATAAACGGCAGGGCTAGGTGGCCCTTTGCCTTTTTGCTCAAGTTCAAATTTCACTTTTTGAACTAGCAGCAAATACTTTTTATTTTTTAGCGACAGTAATGATTGCAAATGCAAATTATGTTATATAGTAAGTTCATGTGAGATTTTGTAATCATCTATGTACGTAAATGAACATTTGCTCATAGTCTGTTTCAGTTGCATATTGTTTGAATCGCGATTCAGTATGATAAAAGTAAATTCCAAATAATACATCATCCGAGCAGTAATTTAAAATTCCGTTTAGGTAAAAGAGAAAGGGCCGAAATATTCTCTTTGCATATGAGCAAGTTTACTTTAAAAAATCTTGATGACGTATTTACTAGATTGAAATATAATCCTTTTACGTATTTTGCAACCTAATTTTCTATAAATATTCACGGGAAATCCTTTACATGCTATACCTAATCTATCCCAGAATTTGAATTTATACAAAATTCGAAAATCCGAGGTTTTTATTTCTTTTATTACAACATAAATGAGAAAATTATTTAAACCACAAAACACATAAGCTGTCGGCTTAATTTCTCTACACGGAATTTGTTTACAGCACAGAACGTAAATACGTCTATGGTCAATTTACGTCAAATATCCATATCCCAGGTTTCACCCACGCAGTGTACGTAGTCATCATTAGCATGGTTTGACCAGACAAAATAAGGAAAGAGGAGACCTGTTTTGTCCCCAATCTCCAGTATCATTATTGTTCTGAGTCTCTTATTTTTAACATTTGCAGGCCTGTCGGGTTGGACGGATCGATTATCTATACTCGGAGCGAAGGAAGGAGCCTGACTGCGAGTGGGTTGGTTGCAGAATCTTGGTCCGATTTCGCAACTGTGTGAAATCATTCAGTTCTATACACCATCTTTCCCCCACCCTTTTTGCTATGTTGTGTACATTCATATGTATGTATGCCAGTCAGCCATTCAGTTGTGGAGGAAGGGACAAGGAGATAGTGCCGTCTTCTTTTGCTTTGTTCGTAACAACTCCATTGGAGATATGCGATATGATGTGGCTGTGATTTCCGCTTGTCCTTTTCATGTGTTCCTCTAGGTTAGATTAGGTCCTTTCACCATCCAATTAATTAATCGCTAGACATTTTAGTAATGAAGTGAATGATCTTGGATGCGGTGAAACGTAAGAATTGAGTGAAAATACTCAATTCTAAGTGAGAAGGTATTTACATTCTTGTTCTTGTCAGTCCTGATTTGTTAACTTGGTTTAACGCTCTCATTAGTATTCCTGAGTCTTGATTATTGCTCCTTAGTTATAATGGAGTATGAATCATTAGGCGCAATGATGGTAAAATTAAAATCTGAAACAGAGTGAAAATGCCAATTCTGCTTATTGTGGAATTGTGATGATTGTACTTTATTGAGAAAAAGTCTTACGTACAGCATACATATGGATTGTATTTTTGTAGTTTGTTTGACCGTCTCACCTCACCCAGGTCCACCCCACATTCTTTCTGTTCTTCTTAGCCTTCCAAAGGGCAAAGGTCCCCCTGCTCGTCGTATTTCAACGGTCCTACTCCAAATTCGGAGGCGTCTCAGAATTTCTCCTACAACCCACACAAAAGAACCTACCAAGCCAGTTCCAAAGACGAGAAAAGTGGAGTTTACGAATGAGGACAGATAGTCGTCTTCCCACGGATTGTGTAGCGTGAGACATATGATTAAAAGGAAAACTAGGTTAACAATTAGCTTCAAGCTAAAATCGTACTTTTCTCTGCACATTTCAGGTAAGTAAAGTGTGGGAGAAACACGAAACGATTGTTTATTTGGTATAACGATGCAGAGAATTTATAAGAAAACAAAATATTTATTTGTATCACGGACGTCAGAACTGCGCGTCAGAAGGAGGCATCTGAATGCAAGTAGCTACTTCGAGGTATAAAATTTGTTCTCCTTTATTTACTGTTATTGAGGTGAGGAATATTTTCGGGTAACAGCCGGTATCGATAATCGATTGATTTGTGTTGGACACTTGCAACACCATGGGAAAACAGCCCCTTGTCATGTCATCATTGATTATCATTCTCTGGTAAACGAGAGCAGTTGTGATAACTTAGAGTCGCCTCAACTCCTCCACTTAGTTTCATTTAAGGTATAATTGTTGATTTTTTTAACATCGATATCGACCATATCATTTTGGAAGACTGAATTTTACGAAAATACTTGAAAATGTTCTAATGTGCGCTGTTAAAAGTAAGAAATTTTTACGAAGAATATGCTCAGGAGCGTGCAAGCCATTTTATTTCGATCTATATTTTTTATAATTCTATAATATGTATATTTCAGATGGAAATATAACATATATTTAAGTTTCCTACAACATTGGATTAGCTCTTTTGGAAGCTTCAACGACAATATGCCTACGATATTTCCACTTTTATGCAAGATGTCATAAACTATGCCTATGTACATATGCACGCAGGATACCATAGTCATCATAGATAGTTCAATACATATATTGTAGGCCGTTGTTCTTTAATCCATAAAGGAAATTAAATAGAAGGGAGGATTGTCAGTTGTGCGAGATAAACGTCAGGTTTCATTTTCTAATTGCAGATTGTTATGCGTATATTCTTCCTTCCTAACTGTCCTTTAAACGGGACGAATGACGAATCGACAAATATCAGCTTTCCAGCCTGTGTTTCTGTGATAACCCGCAACTTGAGCCGGAATGGGAGGGATCGCGTGACACAAATTCAACCTTACTTTCACTTCAATTGGGATTGAATTGGTCAATTAGGAGCGGTTTAGCATGCTCGCCCATCTACTATCTATCCATTCCAGCCTTCCCCTGGGGAGAATTCGACATTGGTCAAAGGTCCCTCGTTTTATTGACCAACACCGAGTTGTTTGATGTCTCAGCTTATTATAGATCAAATAATTTTCTCATTTTATGTAAGACTAATATTAATGGCGATTCGTTCCAAATTAATAAAAGAAATAAAAATCTCAATTTCTTAAATCTTGTACAAATTCAAATTCCGCGATAGATCAGACATATTGATAAAGCGTGCAAAGGATTTCCCGTGAATATTTATAGAAATTACGTCGCATATGTAAAAGGATTACATTTCAATCTAGTATATGCATCATCACGATTTTTTAAAGTTATAAGTAAATTTACTCATATCCAAAGAGAATATTTCGGCCTTGCTTCTTTTCCCAAAACGGAATTTTAAACTGCTCGACTGATGTATTATTTGGATTTTACTTTCATTATGCTGCATTGTGATTCAAACAGTTCGTATGCAACTAAAAAGAGTTCAAGCAAATCTTCCTTTACGTAGATTATTACAAAATCTCACAAAGCTGGTGTTATCTTAATAAATAGCTAACTAACGTAACCAACCTAACGTTTTCCATGTTCAATATAACTACTTACTACTTTCTGTTGGTAGAAAAAGTGAAATTCGAATTACCTCGTGTTAAATAAAGTGATACGATTCCCGAGGATAAAACGGGTGAAAGCGTGAAATAAGAACGCAGCATCGAGGCACGTTGAGACGGTCTATGAGAAACTAGCAAAACGAATGAAAGACTGGTTGATCAAGCTTTAATAAGAAATTTAAAGACTGGCTCCTATTGATAATGTGAAGATATCATTTGTTTTAATAAAATAAAATTGGACAAAGCCATCAATACTGGCATGACGATTGCCATCTATTCACCCCTGGAAGCAAACAACAATCTGAGTCCTTTATGAAATAGGCACAAAGTTGTATGCATTATTTTGACAAATTAAACTCGATACCAACTTTGACCACAGGTATGACTAGTGCTATCCTTTTGTAAAATGGAGTTGAATTTAAATATGTACAGGATTTGCAATGTATGTGCGTATGTTTTTAAAAGGGGAAAAAGTATGCTTATAAGTCTATGATTCTCGAAAATTCTTGGAAATTATAACTAAATAACTAAAAGTCATTGATCATAGGATGATCCATACTTACACACACTTGTGCACAAGTTTATACGAAAAAATTTTGTTCTCTATTTTATCCGGTCCATTTTGTGCTTCAAGGAAATACAGAAAGTTGCGACGTGGCGAGGAAAAAATATTTCATTTTAAGCGATGACGGGTGTGCATATCTACGTCCGTACATATGTATATAGAGTTCTTTTGAGGAGGATATTTTTCCTCGAGTCAATGCTATCTCAACCAAGTGCGATGTGCAAGTGAAAAGAGGCTGGAAGTAATGGGGAAAGTTGAGTAATAAGAAAACCTATACAATATATGATTGTGTGACTGTTGGTAAAAATTTCCACAATTTGAATGCGAAAACTTGTCAAATCCAAATAGTACATATGACTTTTCTTTCCAAAATTGAAGAGTATATTTCGATGAACGAAATCTCTCAAAAAGAAGAAGATTATGAGTTGAGTTCCAAGTGGTGGTGGAAAGAGAAAGTGATGGATCGCGAACAGGCGGCGTTGGTGGTGTGAAAGTTGGACGCTTGGAGAGAAGTGGGTTTCGGGGCTAAAATCCGCAAAGTCTTGACCTGGTTTAGAGTTGCTCGAGCTCGTGGAGAAAGTTCCATAGTCTAACATCCCACATCTTTTGCCATCCCGTGGAATGGACCAGCCTCCTCCACCTCGACGAGGAGCAGAACCAACCTATAGACTCAGAAAATTCAATCGTACTTACGACGTTGTTTTTCTCCGTGTCTTTCTCCAGCACCCAAACTTTCACTTTCTGCAATGCCCCTCCATCCAAATTCTGCGACTACTTGTGATGACATTCGATAGAGTGTGGGTGGTGGAAAGGTCTGCATGCTTTCACTCTCACCTTTCCCTTTATAGGAGTACAGGATTTCGCTTTATGCATCTCTTTATTTAAACGACGAGCATGAGACAAAATACAAATTGGCTGAAGTTAAAAGTTCTTATATCTACGTTTCAAAGGTTATGATTGTACCCAGCATTTTAAATTGACTATGTATGAATGTACATATACGACACTTGTATAGTTTGCTTTTGGCTTAGATTTCATTTGACTACCACCCAATCAATTTATCACACGTGAGTTGGCTCTAACTAATTCTATGTACAAAAGGCTTTCGTTTCGTTATATAAATTTAAGCTTATGGGTTACTCGTTTGTGTATCCTACCCAGTCATCGAATGCATGTAGCTTTCACTCTACATGCACTCTCTCCTTCTCCATAATAGAAAATAATGGGCTTCGCCCCATGTATGTTCTGGCTTTATATATTTCGATGATTATTCTCCTCGCAGATACAAGTTCCACTGGACGGACAAGGGAACATACTGAGGTGTCAAAGGAGAGAAGGGTCAACTAATGCCGTAGAGATTAATATGCATAATATATGTTCACGATTGCAATGCACTTATTGTTCAGAATTCCGTCACGGAATTATGAATTCATAATTTGTTTTTCAAGTGACAAAACGTGAAACATGACCGGGACCATGACAAGAACACACACCATGTGAGTTCAAAGAGCATGGGACAAAAGTATTATAACTTGAACATTTTGTATACATTAGAAAATCCAGCCATGCTTGCAAAATAAATTCTTAATTCCGTGACGGAATTTAAGCACATGTCATTGCATTTGATGGTTCTTGAGATTGGAGTGAGATACATAATATGTATGTTACAAATATTAATAGTAAATCAGTTTGAATAAATGAAAATTAAATATTCGATGGCAGTGAATAATATTAGCAATTCGAAAGTTCAAAATAGAATTTTGGGACGAACAATTGCAAAATATCTAAAAGCATTGAGCATTGTCATCCAGTCCAATTGTGAGTTCAAAGAGTTCATGAAAATGATCCAAAAAGTAATAAAGCTCGGCCATCTTCATGTGTAACGTTTTATCACTTGAAGAGGAAATTGTGACTTTCCTCTATCATAGGCTGGTCAGAAATATCGTCACAAGTTGACGAAAATTGAATTTGACACAGGTATTCCTTTAGTTTGCTCAATAAGTCATGTATTGATATATCTATTCATATTAATTTTGAACGAACAATAGGCCTCCCCTCAACTTGTTTGACACCTCAGTATGTTCCCTTGTGAGATGTACATATTTGAACAATAAGTGCTTTCTAATGCACTTGTTTGCAATCTGAATAATTAATTCCATACTTTGGACTAACAAAGTCACTTGTTTATTGCTACATATGTAGATATACCATGTTTGAGTACCACAGTCTGACACATGTTGCCAAACATCTCCGCAAAGCTTAATAAGTTAACTACTGGTGAAAGTGTAATACTTTCAAATTGCTTTACAATCTGGTGAAAACTGGATTAACATGTCTCTTTCGTTCAATTATAAGTCAATTTTACTGTGTGTAGTCCTTTTGTACTCTTGAAATATTAAAACGGACTACATGCATACATATGATTTCTTTGTAATATACATAACTGCTGCTTCTAAATTTCTAACAAGAGCATTGCATTACAAATTGTTGGCTTACAGGAAAATCCAATATTATGAAGGCTTTACATATATTTGTTAGCCAACGATTTCACGTTCATATTTTTTGTACACAATAATTGCGTCAGTTTGCTTCAGAACATCCAAAGTAAAACTTGGAAGTATGCAGTTAATATATTTTAAAAAGACCTGATGGTTGATAAAAGGTAAATAAGGTGTTGGGCAATCTTGGCATGATATCATTAAGAATTCCAACGACTTGTTTACATTCCTTGGCTTTCTCTCTCTTTTGTGAAAGCAGTTGAAAGCACGCCACAATCACCGTCGTCACTGCTGAACACAGAAGCGCACGTCCTATACTCTTCATCCTCTCGTCCAGTGCCGCCTGCTGGGTCGGATCAATTTTGTACGCTCTTCGCAGGGGACTTTTCTCCATCATCCGTTCTGGATTATTAGTGGACCCTACTCTCTCCCCTTCGCCACTACCACCCAGCAATGCTTTCCCCTGCTTTCTCTTTTCACTTTATACGTATGCTCATGTGAATCCATGTAAGTAAATCAACTCCAACTTTCACCAAAGAGTTTCTTCACAACCGAAATAGAATTATTTCTTGCAACCCATCCATAAATACGTGTTTTGCTCAAAAGGAACGAGAATCCCTTCAGGAATATACACGTATTATGTGTATCTCGGCGTCCTCCTAATTCTCCTCATCTTCCATCTGTTCCATTGGAAGCAAGAAGGAGGGATATATGACAAACTTTAATGTTTTCGTGCATTCAGCCACCCACCATCATTTCCTATGCATGCATCCACCCACCAGACCACCACCGCTACGACGACAACAACCAACGTACAACGCAAACTCATCTCATGAGAAATACATTCTCAGAGGAAAGCAATAAGTTTTAACTTTCCCCCTGCTATTTATATACAGTTTAAGGATACATACATACATAAGTAAACAAGAAACTTCTGTAGAGTTGTTGGTGTTCTATATAAACTGACGGTGGTTTAGTTTTCATGCATACGTTCCTACTTTCACAAGGTCTCATGATGTAGAAGGACAGATGAATTCTTAAAAGCAAAACAAAACATTGGTCGATATGTTTACCAAAAACGTTTAACCAGTTGAATTTGATGCATTTACGTTATTAACATACATAAATGCATCAAATTGGTATGAACATCACTTCAAACTGGACGATTTCATGAACTCCTCATGAACGTTTTATATGTGACCGTAAAATGAAAGTATATGGGCAAAAAATCAAATTATGCATTTAAATGTCAATTATTTTAAAATGTGCACGTATAATTTAACCAAAAACATTATTTCCATCCAAAATGTTTCAACTTGTAAATTGGATTGGGAAATCAGGATTTAAAGACTAGTAGGAATTTTATTTTATGGATCCCGAAAAGGAATCTGAACTTTATTTTCGCGAGCAAACGGCACTGAATATCAAATCTGCTACCTTTCTACCCTTCACCTTGACTCACCCTTCAACCCAATGTCCCTTTCCAGCAGATACATACACACACGTATGAATACATACGAATGTGGAATCCGAAGTACGGTCCATATATAAACTTATCTCGATCTTAACATGAGTATGTTATGTGATTGTGCTGCTGGCTTCAAAGAATTTCGGAGCAATAATAGAATCCAGGGTTGTCTGTGAAGTGAAACCCTTTGCCTACATACATCTCTACCCATCTGTGTATGTATGCATATAAGCAAGTAGGTACGGTATGTCCGTGTTGTTACCAACCTAGTACTCCACTTTCCCCATGGTGGAAGGGGGTACTAATGGTGGGAGAGCAATTTTGGCACATCAGGATGGATCCAGTACCAGAGAAACTGCAAACTTTTCTTCTGCTTCTCTCTCAGGGTGCGCATTCGCAGTGGGGAAAATCGAAGAGGAAAAGTGGGCCAGAGGAGAAATTACGTCTTTACTTTCCCCAACCAACCAAAGCCCCATCCCAAACCAACCAACCAACTGACTCTTCACCTTTTCCTCCAGTTCTGCAACAAATGAGGCTGCTCCGTCTCCCAACCTTACTTTCTCTTTGTGTCAACCCAACGCTTCACAGCTACCATTCCAAAAATAAAACATAGTACGCAACCACCAGCAAGATAACAACAACAAAATCTTGAAACCAATACGCATAACCTGTCCAACTCATACATACACTCATCGCATTTAAACCTGTGTACTCAATTACTGCCGATTTCGAGGATTATCTTCAATCATATATGGGCCATACTCATACCAATCCACTCCGATATCTGAGGCCATTATAAGTAAAAGCAATTGAGGCAAGTGTCCATTCCAGCGTGGAAAAATTCTAAACAAGCCCTCGTAATAGCAATAAATTTAATAAACAAAGCGTGCATTACATCATCTCTATTAAAGACCACACGGCAGAAAAAACTAGTGCGTTAATAAAAGGACTAAATAGCTGACCTTGACTCTCGTATACATATAAACATATATTTTTCACCCATAAAGTGACCCCTCTCACTCACACTCTCCATTTGTTTCGGATTCTATCGTGATTCAGAATCAAACTGAGGCTTGAGCTTCATTGCATTCGCGTATTTTTGTGGTTTGGATACTAGTGTGGGTCGAGCGAGGGAGTAGAGCGGATTTCCTCAATTAGTTGTTGCGAGCAAGTTGTGAACCATTCTGTGAAGCATCTGCGGTACTGAGCTAGCTGCTCTGTGACCAGTGAGAGGCTTCTCAATCTGAAGTTACGCTATAAATATTCGGTCCAAATCTAAATTGAATAATTATCTTTCGAGTTGTTCCATTAAACTAACTGACACATTTCATTTTGCCAGACCAAACGCAAAAGGAGACCATCAACGAGTTTGGCTCAATTGGTGAATTGGCTGTGCAGAAGAGTGGTTTTTGCAAACTGTTGTATATTGTGAACTAAAGTCGACGTTCTCGACTCTGCAGATATCCATCTTCTTTGTACTTATAATAGGAAGCAACGTGTCTCAAGTTGTTGGGTGTGAGGTGATAATTGATTTGTGGACTTACTGCTAATTCCACCTTGTACACGTGATTTCTCTGGGGAAAGTTCTTGGTCTGAAAGTGGTCGAGTGTAAATATATAAATTGCAGCAAACCTCTCGGTTACTCAGGAGGAAGAATAAAAATGGATTTTATGGTCAAGTTGGGATTACTGGCTGTAGCCTGCTTAGGTAAGTATACATATGTACACTTTTATTGTGATACTTCTATTGTGTATGTACATTTTACAAGATGGATACATTTAGGGAAATTTCAACGGGGTTTGCTCAACTTGTTATCGTTTAAAAAAATTCTGATTTAAATTTTGTATTTATAATGGAATAGTTTTTCATAGAAAATAAAGTATGACAGGGTGAAAACAAGGAAATACCGAGTTTCTCAGTTATCCCCATTTCACAGTTGCACACCAGTTTCCTATTGTTTCATCCAATTGATTGATAGAATTTAGGATATTATTTTCGGTCATGATTCTTACTTCTGCATTTCTGAAATACAAATACATGTAATGGAAGTTTGTGTGTAGGTGTGCCTTTGTTCGTGCTGGAAAGAATTATTAAGTAGAGGAGCTTGGGGCTGCACAGTTCCGTCTTGTTTTCTTGTTTGTCGAAAGAAAAGGCTAAAATATGTCTTTCCAAATGTTGAGTGTATCCGTAGCAGGATAGATAAATGGTGGTAGTTGTGGTATGCGTGTGATTGAGAAAGAAAGCTAGGGAAGTTAGAGGGAAGAAACGGGAATAATTGTATGAGACCAAGTCAACTTTATCAATATCAGGCTTTTCCACACCCCACCAGCGTAGCAGTGAGAACTGTATCCTCATTTACCACGAATAAAGCTTTATCACTTGAATCCTAAAGGAAGGAAAGGTCCTTGAGGATGGATAAAATAATTCAATATTGTTGCCCACCAAGCAAGTCGAGGGGATGAGAAGGAGGAAGGGACTAAAGCCTCGAGAGTAGATTTCCATCGAGCGCACAGTCACAGATGCCAATTCGATTACGATACTTGACAATGACAAGTACAATATTGGTCTTTATTCTACAGTATGCAACAGAAAGTCTAGACTTTTCCATGAACGAATCTGCTGTCATTTTGACATGTGGCATACCTTTAGCATGTTCTAAATCCAATTATAACTATGTGTCCCATAGACTGATGAAATTCTCTACATGTAAAGTGAAATGTAAATAATGCTTTCTAATCATTGAAATTATATTGAAATGCATAAATCTTTTTGAACTGATCCCTTTATGGAGATCCTTAAAAAGAAATCTTTAATAACGACAAAATCGAAGCAAGAATTTGATTCAAGAATTCAGGTAAAAATAAGTTTAGCTTACATTCACGTCAGGCGACCACTCTTTCCGCTTAATATTTTTAGAAAGGAGAGTTTGTTTAGCTTTGCCTTTGCTTTTGGTAAAATTAGTCACGCTTCATTTGACCACACTTTCTTCAATCACTTTCTCCACAAAAATGGAACCACGTTTGATGTTAGTCTCAGATCTCAATTTGTTCAGAATTTACTAGGTTTGTTGTATGCGCAGAGTAATGTAGCAACCGAACACGAAACGTGAATCTCAATGAAACTGGTTTTCTTTGCATTTTCCTACACGTTCTTGTACCCGTTTAGTTTATGGGCACTCCAGTTGACTGCATGCAATGTTTAGCAACTTGGGATCAACACAATGTAATCAACTTAACGACTGTAGGTACACATGCTAACCAACGTTTAAGAGGGAATTAGAAAGCATTATTTCAAGTTGCAGTCACACATTGAATGTCATTCCAGAATAAATACTTAAATATATAGCTTGATACCATGCTATGGGAATGCAGTTGAATTGGTACGAGGTTTGAGCACGCTTGAATCTTGGTTAGTATAGATCAAAGGCATTTGCCCATCCAGCAAATTAGATTAACATCAAATTAACAAGTTGAGAAAAGTTTGGTAGAAAGTCAGAAGGGATCAGGCGTGACCATGAGACAAAGGATCTAATCCCTGCGGTATTCCTCAACAGACATAAACATTCTCCAAGATTCTATTTTCATGGGTTTGTTTTATTCACAAAATGTACACATTTAAGCGCAGCTTATCAAAGGGATACACATGGAGAATTGACAAATTAATTAAAATCCTAAATTATTGCACAATTAAGTGTCCCGAGCTTTCACTTATTAGAAATTCACATATCACCCGATGGTACATTACCCAGACATGCAGTGCGACACACACTAATTGTAATTGAAAAGTAAGAATTGGTCAAAGAAATAGGACCCGTGATTTCCTTACCTCAACTTATTTGACCTTCCGTAAATATGTTCATGCAGCAATATCTTGGTTCCTAAATATGCATTCATCCAGCCATAAACGTCAGTCCACACGTGCATTAAGCTCACGAAGGAAACATAGTCTACTCTCCCTTGTCACGCAATGCGACTTGACTCGGAAATTGAGGAAAAATAACAAGAGTTTTGTTTCCAACTGCAGAATGCATACATAAATATTTTGGTGTGGATCATGGATCACTATTTCATACATATTTATTTACACTCTGCATTTTGAAAAGGTACACGTTGTGAATTTTGTGGTTTAAATAAGTGGCTCAAGGACATTTTACAAATCTTTATTTAGTAAGAGTGTTTTCATTTACTCGTGCCTGAGACTTTCTGTTTTGTATGATTTCTCCGCTTGATTGTTACGTACGTAGTTTATTATAACCAGCCATATGTATGTACACATATGTACGTCCTGCGGTTGTCATAAGTGGTTCGTTGTCGTTGTTTTTCTCGGCTGTGGAAAACAGCCTTGACGTCTCGAGGTCTTATTTTCTTTCTCGTTCTTCTCAGAAAAGTTTGGCACTCTGCCACATTTTCACGGGTTGGGTTCTGCATTTGGTTGTGAATGGCTGTACGAGTGACGAGTAGGATTAAGTCCAAATGAAGAAATGCATTATTTCTTCGATGGACTGAGCTTTGATCTTTGGCTGCGCTTCTCGTCAACAAAACATGCTAATCTCTGATTTAGTTAATTGCTACATATAAGGAGAACCAGAGGACATATTTATATACGTACATAGAGCGATGGAATGGATGACGTAACTCATCACGTGATTACAAAGTTCAGAGATCCATAATACATGAGAAACAAATTCGAGATTGAATGAGGTCATAAATATGTAAAGCATAGTTTCAGTATTAAAGTAAATATGCAGAAAACACTATTTCTAGCTACGTTCTTTCGGTAATTAAGTAATTACAATTGAGACATTCCCTTTTAAAGACTGTTTTTTATGTCACCAAAAAACTAATATTTGATCGGAATTTTTTCTTAGCCTGGATGCAAAATATAGACTTCATCATTCTACATTTATATGTTTTTGTTTTTGTATTGTTTTATTTGTACCGCTTTAATTTGCTTTCACAACAAAAATTGTCACCCAAAATAAACCTATTATCAATTCCGTCTAACAACTAGTGCAAACTTTCTCCGTCGTTGCCACTATCTATCCAAATAGATAAACCAAACTCAAAATTGGATTCGTCTATAGCCTTAAGGAAAGTGGCAGCATAGAAAAGTGCATGCAACGCTATTTATTTATTTGGTTAACCAACGATGGAAGGGGCGAGGGAGAGGAGGTTGTGTGATAACAACCAAGCGAGGGAGGAGATTAATTAAGGCGACAAGGTTTCTTTCACCGTTGAATGTTTCCATACATTTTGCCACAATCGGGTCGACAAATGTCATGTATGCAATACTGCTAAACCGTAGTGGGTTGTATGTAGCAATGGCTGGTAGATAATCCAAATCCCCAATTTTCGAGTGCCTACTGCTACTACTCAACCGCTGACAAAGATAGGATGCATATGTACATGTGGAGTTTGAGTATTTGTCAATTTTAGAAGAGGATTGATTGACAGTTGGTAGTAGTTCTAAGAGAGATATGATGTTGCCTTGCAGTGTGTATCATCAAACAAGTTAATAAATGCTCTCAATTCTGTCCTATGTATTTAATAATTCTCTGTTTGGGAGGTAGTCACCCAACTGGAAATGTTGTAATTACGCAAAAGTATATATTATGTCACAGTGGTTCTACTACAAATTAATTGCCCCAATAAGTATGCCTAATTTGGGACACTAAAACTTAATTATGCATTTGCTACATACATACACAGGCATGAATATACATATACTTAATAAACAACAATTGTGGAAATCAGTATTTCTCATCAGCTTGCACAGTTCCTCCCCTATCAAATATGTATATAGATATTTATTCCTACCCTTTCAAATTGGCAATTCGTAAAGTTTTATTTGTACTGATATCCAGGAAAGGGAAAGCTCCACATTTTTAGTGCCATATGTAATAATTTATCAACATGTTCCTCAATGTTATTGCAGTGCTTACAACAAGAACCAATGCAAATAAGAAGCGTACGAACTCGTGCGACTATTCTAATAAGCAACATTCTAAATTGCTCCATAAAAAGTCTGAAAACGACGACAAATAAGGGTGCGGAATTAAAATAGGAATTTGTCGTTTTGTGAATTACGTGTGTGCCTGCGTATCACTCTGGATGCCAACCCAGTCGTTTCATCCAATATTTATTCATGTGTCATTCCACCCTTTCGATATTGTACCCGTCATAAAGGAGTTTGAGGCTTCATGGCCTATCGTATTAATAAATAAATAGTGTCATTCCCATTCATATTTTGTTGTCATTATCTGGCAGAACATTTTCACTTTCACTTTGGCCATTTCACCATCATTTGAGTAGATACATGCCCATTGTGTCAGCCACAAAATTTTTACGACTTGAAGGGAAAATATTGTATTGACGATTGTGCTTTTCTGGTTCTTTCTAAAGTAACGTATGCTTTTAGTTGAAGACTTATCTATCTCTGCGTGCATTGTCCATTCGGTTCGTGTCCTCATACATATGTACATTCGTGAATAGATTACATAATACAGTACATTTTTATAGTATTGTAGTCACCAGCAAACAAATATAGCACGAATGATGGCTAGAATATTTTTATTTATTTTACGAGGAACAATCAAAAAGGTGGGTAAAGATCTGAAAATTAAAATTAGGCATATAATTCATGTATAGAGTTTTATCTGTACCGAAACTAATCATCCTTTCCGAACAACCACACGCTGCAAGTAAACTAGAATTCTGCGTATTCAAAATTAATGCCCGAGCGTCAGTTTGGCCGCACCAGCCAGTGCCAATAATCAAATGGCCAATTCTTGTTTCCTAATTCCTTCTTATCCCGTCGTTCATGTCGTTTCCATTTGTGCGAGTGAATAATCATTTGACCAGTGCATGAAAACCCAGCACGGTAAGAGTAACACATGTAGAGTGAATAAGTAAAAGTCATTTGGCCTAAACGGAAACGCCTGCATAGCGAGCAAATTCATGTAAAACGAGGGGAAAGGTAATTGATTTTGGCAATTAGGTTGCTTAATGGATGACACTAGGACGGCTGAGCAACATGCACGTTTCGTTTTAATAAACGGGTTAAAAAAATAAACTGACGTTTTACATAAACACAAATGTCCCCTTCTTATTGGCATCATTTAATTATTTAAGTAGATGCAATTTTATTTTATTAAATCTCAATGTTCAAAATTGTTGTTGTTTTAAAGGTTCATATCATATCGCATAGGTTCATGTGAAGCAGCATCCTGGGTGCCACAGATTCTATTGCATTGTTAATGAGGAGTGAAGGATTGTTTTCTTTCCAACAAAAAGGGTTTCAGCCGAACAGCCCAAGTTAAATCTTTCTGGCAGTGTGACGTGTTGGCAAGTGGGGAAAGCATATAGGATTTTATTACCACTTTAGTACACCGAGTTGTATTATGAGCACAATAAAGGCCGCTTCACGTAAAACTATGTATGGGCAGTCACTTTTATTTCATTTTATGTTTATCCTCTTCTAATTCTGCACACGGTGATTTGGTTTGTTCGATACAGCTCGTGTAATGTACAAGTAACACAAAAGGCTGGAAAAGGATGAGAAGCAGAAGCAATGTACATACATACAAATGTTGAACAAAATGTATGTATACGTATCACACGCTGTTCGACAAAGAATAAAAATGAGGATAAAAATAGCCTCACGAACCTTTTATTAACTATTTTATTAACTATATGTTTCCGTTTTAGATAAGTTCACGCCAACTGTTTTTCATTCGATCAAAGATTTGTAAACAATTCTTTCAACGAATGAATGACAATTAAATGCATATTTATTATAATTGGCCAAGTTTCTGAAGCTTCCATTCATACTTAGAAATAGTACGTAAGTTGGTTTTTATATGGTTTCTACTACGATCACTGCACTGAAGGCAAAATGTGCATTTTTACAGAAATGTCCAAAATGTAAGAAAGTGAAACATTGAATACACGAATACGCATGCACGAATCTCAGAAGCCGAGAAATCAGTCAGTTGACTCGATCATTCATTCTCCTCCTCTGTTTGTCAAGCCAAAGTGGACTATGTAGGCTGCAATATTAAGACTAATTGATTTTAATCAAGTGCTCTTTCTCATGCTCATTTGAATTGTGAATCCAGAAGAATGATGAGATGAAGTCAAGACAATACAGATTTAAATGGCTTTCATGCGTTAATATGAGACTGCCATAAATTTCGTCGTGTGTGTGTAAATATGTATGCACATCTACGCATGTATACATAAAGTCGCAGTAATTTCAGTTATATAAACCTCTTTCATGCAGCAGGATATATAATGATTCAAATTAAACTGTGCCCTAAATTTGAACTTTAATCGTACTTACATAGAAAGCAATTGTATGAAATGCTTTGTACAGTTTAGTTTCCTGGCTATTCTGTGACTTGCCAATTGCATGCCATGTTTACCTCCAACATCTTTGAGCTTATGTAATTAGTAAGGTCTCCTTGTATCGGGGTACATTTTAGATCTTCCTCTACGATTCAGCATTAATCAGTGAATATTATTTTTTGCGAGAAATGTCAAAGAACATTATCAGAAATTAAATATACATACCAACCTTAAGAGTTTACTATGAATTTATGAACTGATGACCTCTATTGAGGCACCCACATATACTTGATCTGAGCGATTTGTATGTACAGATTCTATGAACATACTTCAAAGCTTGAAGTTTAAGTCAGCTAGAAATGTGCTGAGTTTTGTCTCTTGGAATTGATAGCCACGAATTAAAGAATTAATATCGTTAATATGCTTAATATACGTTTTACTTATTACTAACTTGCAGGTCTCGTTGCGTTAACCAGCGGTCAGCAAGTCACATTAATTCCAGGAGAGAAAAACGTAAAGAAATTTATAAATGAATCCTACTTCGTATCGTGTCAAACTCCAGACGGTTTGAGGGCGGACTGGTACAACTCAAGACAACAAAAAATAGATGGAAATCCACAAAAGTGAGTCGATTGACACGATATATAAATAATAGCTGTGCAATTTATTCGATTTATAAATAATATGACCTTTTTCTCTTTTTTAGTCGAATCCGTGTCGAAACCAGTTTTGCTGTAGATTTGTTCTTGACCAGAATTACATCCCAGGGTGAGAAAAAGAAATTATGCATTAACCGATGAAATGATTAATGAGCAATAATGATTAGAATTCACTTTAATAATGAAATTTCAACCAAATTCTTGAACTCACTCAGATTAGATTTTTATCCTATTGTATTTAGAATAATAATTTGGACAAAACGAACATATTTCAGTGCTACTTTCTCTTTTCAGACTCTGGGACGTACACATGCGTCACCAATCGTGGTGGAAGAGCATCTTTCAATCTCAATGTCCTTCGTGAGTTATTTAAATGTTACTTTAGTCCAAGTCACTGAATTATTTAAATTTTGAATTTTTCCCAAGGTCCGATAACATTTGACCTAAGTTATGCGGAACAATCAGCCTCCGAAGGAAAAATGTACACCATGAAGTGTGTCGCAATGGGTCAAAATGCTCCAAAGATTTATTGGAAAGTGGACAACAAAAACCCAATGGGTATGAAAAATCCACAATAAAAATAAAATGCAACTGCGAATCTGCGATTACATATTATGCATTATGCATACGTATGTACATATATACATGTACATGTGTATGCACGAAACGAGTACAGTAGACACGTATTTATATGCATTATGCGCTTTTCTTTGTTTGCAGCACCCAAATTCAGGATCACCAAAGAAAATCACTTGATTATTCAAAATGTGACCAGGGAAGACGGGAAAAGGCAATATGTTTGTAGAGCAATGGATATGGAATCTCCAGTACCAGATGCCAAAACCATGAACATAACTTTGAAAGTTAAAAGTAATAATAATAATCATATTAATTACAAGAATTTTCTTCAAATGTTAATGAAAATGTGATAATAAACGATGCACTTTTTTCCACTTGCAGCGAAGCCAAGAATGGTTCATGGAGCTCGACTTGAGCATTGGGGAGTTTTGGGCGAGTGGGGTAAGTCCTTTCCCTTTTTTGATAGTGGAGAAAGCAAACTTTTACTAGGAAAGGGAGTGACTTGACCCATTATTGTCAATTATAAAAACCTATCAGTACAGCTTTGCTTAGCCCGAACCAGGAATGATTAGTAAACCCATGTTTGTCAGTAGTTTTCTGTGAAATTATATGCTACTATTTTGCACTAATTCTTCCATCAATCCTTCGTATTACTAGGCTCCAAATTCTAAAAATATTTACTATCCCTTCCCTTGACTACTTCCTAGTGGAGGTCGTCTCTATAACCCCCTGGTTAATTTTTGTTCATATTTAACTTCATGTTATTTCGTGAAAAAGCAGTATGGATCTCTGGTCCAAATTTCAGCTTTCTATTTCAATTAATTTCTAAAAATCGGTGGGGGTCACCCCATAGGGTCCCTCTGGATGAAAATTTTACCAATTTCACTTCATATTCTTCCATTACGGGCCATTAGCAGTCTCTATACCAAATTTCTGCTCGATTAGATGATTTTGAAAAATCGGTATGGGTCACTCCCTCGGGTACCTCCGGTTGACAAATTTTCCAATTTCACTTCATATTCTTTCATTAGGAGCCATTAGCAACCTTTGTACCAAATTTGAGCTTTCTATGACGATTTTGAAATTTTGGTGCATAATATCCCACCCACTCCGATGACCCCCACCGGTCAACCACTGGACCAATGTCACCCATCTTCGAACTCGTTTCCTAACTTTGTCCAATATGCATATGGTAAAAATTTCAAGTCAATCGGTCAACTCGTTCGAGAGTTATCGAAAGACAGACGGACAGACAGACGGACATGACAATTACATAAGCCCTGGTTCGGGCTAAAAATTCAGCTCAATTATATTTAACTCGAAATTAGTCTTTAATTTCCTACCGCCGCTGGCCGGACTGTCTCTATTACATAATTAATAGTCTGGCCATACATACATAAGTTCATACGATACATAACTCGAAATTATGTACATATATGTATAAATATACGATACGAGTCACTTTTTAGAGAGAAAAGTTTTATAAAATATCTACACCTACACAAATAATCTCTCAACTTTTAGTATAAAAATCATTAATTTGTTCCTCGTTTAATTATTTACTTAGCAAATTTGACATGTGCTGTTAATGCTGAGCCGCCAGCAAGATTCGAGTGGGTTTTCAAAGATCGGACAATCACTCCAAATGATGAAAACTTTATTCTCTATCCACAAGAGAATACTTCGATTCTTCAGGTATGAAAATAATCATAACTCTAAATCGCAATTTCCAAATTCTAAACCTTCTTCCTGGGTCCGAATATAGGTACTCGTTAGGAACGAAGTGAAATTCGGCCAGTACATTTGTCGTGCTCGTAACGACCAGGGTTACATGGAAAAAGGGATGATTCTTCACAAGGGTCAAAAACCAGCCACTCCGGTTTTGGAGGTATGCATAAACAGATTATAAGTCGTGTGGTTTTATTGCAATATTGTATGTAAAATTACGAATATATAGTGAAAGCAACAAAGTTATGATTATTATTACCCTTTTGTGGGGTTAACTATGTACCTTTATGATTTAACATCAATATTTTTTTCGTTCTGGAGATTGATTTGGTGGCTCACGATGGCGCAAGGATCCGTGTCAGAGAATTTCGCAACCCATCAACCCGAGACCCCGCACAAGAAGAAGGCCGCAAAGGGAAAGCACTTCCAATTACGGGCTACGTTGTTCAGTATAAAATGATGACACGTAGTGACTGGAAGCCTGCAAATTCCTCAAAATATGAAGAAGGTACAGAGCAAACCGTTTTAATAATTAATGAGCATATACCCAAGTAGAAGAAACACATTGTGACAATGTGATATATCACATGTTGGATCACAGTGAATGACGGCCGCTTTTTGCAAGTTGACATAATGTTAAAAACATGACGTTGCTCAAATGTGATTTTGGCGTGCATATCACGTTTATGTAACGTTTGTATTGCCAAATATCACACGTCTTGCACATGCCAATAATGTGAAATAGATTTCATTTAGTTTATGCACAAATTTATTAATTTGATCAGTTAAGTGTGAAACATATTACAATAGCATATACATAAACTAATTATTCATTAGTAAACAGATAATTACAAGAACATAATGAAATTATATAAAATTATGCCGCTAATTTGTCTGTCTAAATCGTAAATTCATACAAATAACAATTGGTTTAAATACGTTTAAGACAACAAAATGGTAAACATAAGTACTCATCAGAGGAATCGGGCAATGGCAATAATACGGCTTTATGATATAGCTCAGATTTAGCAACCCGTTTCGAGTTATGGGACAAATTTCGAACCTGACGAGTGTCCCCCTGTGGACTATTTTCATACTCATTATCAGTTCTCGCATTAGTAGAACTATCGCCTAATAAATTGCCCGATTCCTCTACCTCACTAACAATTTTTTCGTCTAACGCTTCTACCTCGCACAACAGAGTTTCAAAATTTCCTTGACTAATTCTACGTATGTTTCTATTTGAGGACATTTTGCATGTGTTGAATAGTACAAATGGTAACTTAAATAGTTGATTCCTGAGACACTTTCTTTGGCCTGGAGTAACGGAAGAAGTTCGTAATTATTTCCCGTATCGCCACATCAGTCTTTTCAGCTTCGACAGGGATCCGCTTATTCTTTTTGGTTGCACCTTCATACATAAGAAATGGATTATATTTTCCGTTAGATAGTTTAACGAGTAGAATTTTACAAGCAATTTACGAACCTGTGATGCATTTAACAATTTGTGTATATATATTGAATGGCTTTTTGTTCTTTCCGTGACCAGTATATATAGCTCAATTTTATAGCAAGATCCTCACTGATAATTCTCTTCAAAATCGTCTTCACAGTTTCATCCAGCGATTTGCCCCTTATACCGACGAGATAACGCACCTTTAATTGAATTCAAATAAAATTATTAAGCGAACTTAATAGAATGTTTTGAATGAATGGTGGTGTAGCTTTACAAATAGTTTTCGCTCGTCCTCTGCCGCCAATTGAATGTCCAGTTGCTCAAGAGAATTCTCACTTTCCAGCGGAAACGACGGTAATGTGGAGAAATCATCGGCTGCTTCTTCATCCGTTCTCAATTCAACTCCTTGGCCGGCCCTGCTAAGAGTTTGGAGAATAACTTCTAATTTGTTCAAAATCGATTTTTGGGAAGTTTTGATAGCTGACAACTCCTTAAGCACCACTCGTTGGAAACCTGATTAAAATTATTACACCTAAGAATTTGTATTTATTTATGAGATATCTAATTGTATTCTACAAATATATCACCTTGCGGATGAGAAGTGGAATGCGTCGGTGCCGTTTGAGTCGGCTGTGAACTGCTCTGCAAATTAGTAAAATTTGTGAGAGGGTCACCGTCGACGTAGAAATTTACGCTGGGTTCAGCAACACTTAAATTCAGCTGCCCGTCGTCTGAGGAGAGGGCATTTAAGTAAATAAGATGAGGCGTGTCATGATTTGTTGTGGTATTTGCCAAGGTTGATTGACCTAAATCAAATTAATAAGAATTATACTTGGTGAATTATACACAGAATGCCATCACTAATTGCATATTAGGAAGTTACTTTCATTACTCCCAGTTGGGACGACAGTGTCTTGACCAGGCTGCGCACCCACAGATAAGCTTGTACCTAGCATAATAAGTATCAAATTATGGTTACATATTAACAATACTTCATATTAATTTATTTTAAAAACAAATAATGTTTACTTACCTAATCGAAATAAGCTGCTAGGAACTGAGGTGACGGCAGACGAAGAACTAATCCTCTTTCCTTTAACCGGCGGCTGATCGTTATCTGATGAATCAGGGCTGGATTCTCGTCTCCTTGATATTGTTCGTTTGGTTGACGAGTTTATCTCCAAGTCCGATGTATTTTCGGCTAGTGCGGCTGCTTGTTGAGCAGCTTCAAATGTGTCTAAAATATATTTTTTTAAATTTAATTTAAAGGAGTATGTAAAATTGATCTCCAAATTAGAAAAATGTAAACTTACCGAGCGATCCCAAAATTCTGCACTTGCACTTTCCCAAGCTCGGATCAGGTTGTCCTTGTGCTCGTCGCAATTTAGTCAAATTTGATGATTGACAGCGACTCGGCCAGTAACATTGCGAAGTAGAGATAAGCCAGTTTTGGGGAATGACATCCACCGTTTTTGGTTTATCGTCAGGAAATTCCACAACTAGAAAATTCATTGTGGACAAGAGGAAAATTGCAACGTCAGAGTTCACTAAATGAACAAGATTGATTATGAAAGAGCCAGGAAGGCGGTAAAACTTTCCGCCATAGTGCGTTGACACAATGTGCATTGCACATCGTGACAACTTTCTACACACATTATATTTGTGTAACCGAACTGGACGCCAAGTACGTTGCACTAACGTTGAATGGAAATGAAAAATTCTCTTTGATGTCAGTTCAACATGATTTTAACTAAGCAGCTCACATGTGATTATCGTTGAGTAAATTCACATGTCCCTAACGTTACAACTATAGATTTTTTCACTTTCTAACGACACTCACTTCAATCCAACAATCGGAGTGTTGAAATCACATTGTTATAACATGTCTCTTCTACTTGGGTACCTTTCTAGGATGTCTCATTTTAAAAATGTGTCATTGTTCTTCAGGTTTCGTCATAAGAGATCTCCAACCGGGTATCACTTATCAGGTAAAATTACAAGTCTTGTCCAAATGTCTTCTACGTCCAGAATTCTTTTTAGATTTCATGCACGAGCATACTGCGAAAATTCATAACTTTAGTGCATTTAGTAGCAAGCAGTGAATTAGTCATGACAGTGATTGCAGTTTAATAATAAATTTCTCCACTTATTCCCAGGTTCGTGCAGCGTCTAGGAATCAGGCATCGGTCGGAGAGTACAGGTTATTATAAATATACATGCAGATATGAATTACGTGAATATGTGTGCCTCTCTTCGCAAATGATGGAAACAAGAAGCACCGAAATGAAGGATAATGAAAAACTATTTATTAACTAATTCATCAATCTAGACAGTTAAAAACAAAACCACGTATCATAGCAAACTCTAAAAATTGAGTAAAACGTAAAATTCATAAAATTCAATTCATAAAATATTCAAACAAATATTAGTTTTGTCCAGTCATAATCTTCTCAACAAAATCTTCAGGGGTACATACGTAATTCAAGTCATATCGGTTGGCAACATCTATAGCTCCTGTCTCTTCGAATCGGATCAGCGCAATCCCAGCATGGACTAGGTTTCGAGCTGTTGCCCGCAAATCGGGGTCGATACGGAAGTCGGTCTTCTTGTTGATCATTTTCATGGAACACTTTTCTTCTTCTTGTTGTGCGAGATAGTGCTAAATTGGAAATGAGAAAATGTAGTAAAATATATAGTACTTAGATGCAACTTAAGACTTACGATAATAAACTCCTCCAAATCCTTCCGTTCATCCTCTGAATCCGTGATGACGACACCCACTTGGAAACATCTATCCCCAGTTTCACGCAAATGCAATGTTAAAGAGGATGGCCTTTTTTGACATTTCTTAAAATGACCATATCTAGCTCCGATGACATCTGAGAATGTTTCGCCAACGTAGGTTCCTCTCGGAGGGTTTTCTGCTCTTATCCAGTTCCAGATTTCTCGTGACGACATTCCTGTTGAATACAGTAATATTAAGCAAAAACTATATATTTTATTCATAAAATAACGGCGAGTAAACCATTTTGAAATTAATTTAAAAGTTAATTAAAAATATATCGTTACCTTCAATCTTATCCTTCTTCAAAGTGATGCAGATATAAGTTTGGTGTTTACGAGCACCTTCTGCTTCTCGTTTGTTTTTTCTTGTCGCCCAATTTTTGATATGTATTTTTGTAGTATTAACAAAGTCCAATTTACTCCATTTATCGACGTTTTTGTATTTCAAGGTGTTATCTTCCCATCTAAACATTTCAGTCGTCAAATGCGTTCGTTTGGCTTTGCTCCTGATTCGACTTTGACCATCCTCGATGATTTGGGCGAACCATTTTTTGTCCCGGAACTGGTCCTTTGTAATATTTCGTAGCGAGAGGAGAAACTCACCCTTTGTTTTGAACTAGAATCATATAATAAAAAACTTAGTTAAAGAACACGAAGTTTAGATTTCACATTAAAATTTTGTGGTTAACGAGATATAATGCATAAATGATGTTGTTTTACCTCTTGATTGTTGTACTCGTGTTCATCTTCCTCTTCGGATCCGCTTTCGTCAGTCTCCTCCTCCTCCTCAGACGGTTCCTCCTTTCGTTTTAATGGTCCAGGATTTTCCTGTTTGTTGCCGTACATTATGTCAAGAGCCTTACTACTAATTTTAGGAAAACGTGTCCAAGAAACAACACTGGGAAAGTTGATGGTGACTGGCCAACGAGCACACAAACGAAAACGAATTTTGCCCAACTTTTTGGTTTGCAAGAATTGCCAAGCCACAGGTAAGAGGCCACGCGAAAAGATAAAATCCCAAGCCACGCTTCAGATGCTTCTGACGAAAGAAGTTGGTTTTACGTAAATTGTGTTTTGGTAAAAAGTAAACTATAGATAAAGAGATAACGCTACTTGGGCGTTGTTTACCCGACCTATGTAAAATAAGACCAGTTTTGCAGAGATGTCACGTCTACTACATCATAAATTAAATTACCAATTCAACATATATAATTGTAGTTTTTTAGGAACTTTATGAACTTTTTAATTTTTTTTTTAAAACAGCCATCCCATCACGGTCCTCACGTCAAAAACAACGTCGTGGAGCATTTCCCTGTCGACCAGCATTTACATGAACTCCGTCATCTGGACAATTCTCAACCTAATAACCCTTTCCACGCTCGCATTAATAATTTAAACCCTATAAACAATGTATATATTTATGTATATTATTATTATTATTCTTAGTTGTAATTATATGCCATACGACGTGTATACAGTGCAACATCGCTGGGTACAATTACTTATGTAGTTCTCGACCCCATACTCAATCTCTCGATTTATTTTATAGCCCATCTCCATAGACCTTTATTAAACAAGCGAAAATGTCACAAATGACAAACAAATTCAATTAATTCAGGCCAATGGTAGGTACATAGGGCATGTTAAAAGTGATTGTATTTATTATACCCCCTCCGTATTGTTGTGTCATAAGTAGTCCATCTAATACATAATCGAATTTCACTCGCAGAATTAATTATTCAATCCAATAATAATTAACTGTGTACTATTTACATATAGTATATTATTACCTATCAATCGATCGTATATTATGCAGAGGAATATTGAGTCCGTACCAAACACCAAAAGCATTGTACATATGTATGTACATACACAGATGCATACATAAATATAGTGCCAGCATGGAATAGCGTTAGCCATCGTAAATATGCATCCATTTGTAGAGGATTATGATTTCTTGGGGTTGGGAATTTCTTCGAAACTTGCAGTTGAAATCATGGGGTGTTTATCATTTCAGCTTTATTTCAGCTAGTTTTGGTAAATCAGTTAGATGTGTCATACGATAAATGATTGCCATACTATGTAATGTTATGAACATATTTAGCACAGTATCTAGTCAAATCTCAGCCTATATATGTATACACACGGTAGTACGTAAATACTGTGTGACAACTCCATCAATCAGTTAAATATTCCATAGATATGTAACGTACGTGATCATTGTTGTTATTCCTGGATGAATAAAAAGTGAGGTGTACAATACAAAATACACGATGAACTACAAAACAAACTAGTTATGAATTACTCCACAAACCAAACCGATAATTCTTATGTCTACGATGTACTGCTAAGATTATACGCCAGTGTTCATTACAAAATGTAAGACGAATGTAGAATAGCATACTCATAGCATAACTCATACATACATATTTAGCGTAAGTAAATTATTTGATAAGAAAGTAGACATAATAAGAAGCTGACTCAGTAATTGATTAGCCTCCAGCGGATCACTATTTAAATATTTATAGTTATAACTTTAAGTAAATTAGATAAATAATCCTATTAATTATTTTCAATTAACCACTATTAATAAATTTGAAAATCTGCGTACGGTGTGTGAGTGAATCTTTTCTGCTAATTACTTGTTAATTATTGTTGGTTATTTATTTAACAAAAAGTGTAAAAGCAGACCACGGAATGATTCCCAAGTGTGAACACGTACCTATATGGAAGTACCTCTACACCCACGACGAGCGAGCGTGTAAAATGGCCGAAATAATGTTATGATGGCTTGATAATAATGTTGCGCATGTAAATCCAAATTCAAACTAAAAGTGTAATACCTACATTATTCCAAAATATTATAAACTTGCAAAAATATACTTTACAGCTACAATAATACGTACAGTCGCCGTTGCCAAATCATAATAGCTTCACTTAATTGATACATACATGCTCGGCGTATAAATACATTTTTCGGTTGTACTATATAATATTAAGGCGAAGAAAAATTATTAATGTATTCAAGTACATTCAAATCTTTAAAAAAACTGAATCAAAACTCAAATAATTGATCTGATTTGCAATCTCAATCTCAAATTGTATTAAAAAATTCGAAACAGCCCAAATTATAAATGTATTATTATAATTTAGAAATAACTTGAAATATCTGTAAGAGGTTTGAAAATGTGAAGTGTATGGAAATGTCACTAAAGCTTTCAGTAAACGATATGATCAGTAGCATATTTAGACAGGTATATGTACGCATACTACGTATATCGGTGTAATTGTGAAGGGTTTTAAATTTCATTCCAACGCTATCTTTAAGGGGTGAAGCTAATCTGTCTATTTATGTATAATTACTCAATTATTGATGATTAAATAATGCATGCTTTCAAAAAATAAATAAGTGAGTGGTCATGCAAGTTATGAAAAAAGTTTTGAAAGGGCGAATGTATGAAGTTCTACAAATTGTGATGAATGGTTGAATGGAGTGGTCATTGTTTCTGTAGCAGATATGTGTATCTGTATATAAATAATATGTAAATAAAAATATCCTTGTAAAAATATGTATCTGCTCCAAAACCATCCTATTGAGTATTTGTTTGTAACTTTTGATTTGCCTGACGATTGAGTGCGGATCATAAACATATGTAGAATGCTAATCTTCTAACTATTTAATTTAGTTAAAATGCCACATGCTGTTTGTGGTTTACCTAACATGTAATTTTTAATAGAAGCTTAGCTTTTGTAATAAAAGAGAATTGCGACGTGAAACCGAGACGCATTATATTGCTGGAGATGATTTACATTTTGTGTTTCATTCGAAATCAACTCGAGCATTTAGCTCAAATAAGAGTGCTGTTTTTCTTTAGGAAATTATCCTAAGTTCGGGTAACAAGTAAATCTTGTCTGATCAAATAACGTATGGATGTAACTTTGATTTATTATTCGGAAACCGCTTAGCTAAGATTAATTGCTAATTTGAAAAGCGTATAAATTGGTGAGTAAAGTTATAAAAACACATAATCCAAATGTAACAAAATTCGTTCTAAATACGCATGTAAGTATGCATTCGGGGAAATATTAATTGTTGATGGGACACAGAGATACTCGTTAAATCTTAATAAAAAACATTCCCTAGAAATTTCCATCAATATTCTTCCATATGCAGCTACTAAAAATTAGCACATATTCATTTATTACACTTAGCCTAATCATTTAATGTACAATGCATTTATTCTACATTATTATCATTCTCGTTTCATAAACACTAGAATTTGTGAAGAAGAAATGTACACACATACATATGTACATATTTACACAAATTTGTTGCATTTTTCAGCATTTGAACATTGGATAGCATATGTAGGAGGGCAGTAGATTATTATTTTGAACGATACATATTAAAATTACGATACATATTAGATTTATTAAAATTATAAATTTATTTAATATATAGGGACATGAAAGCATATTACGCTTTATTAGATTAACTCGCTTGCATACATAAATACATATTGATTTTAATCATCGACATGAAAATTTTCAGATGTCTTCCGTTCATGTATGAATATGAGTCAATAAGATCATGGTTTATATATCTTGCAACCTGAGGCAAAGTGAAGATGCAGAAGTATTTGTAGAAGTCCTATGATCCTTTCAGCCATTAAAAATAGACTTGACAATAGAATGCAATATAAATGCATGCCTATTTATATGTATTAAAATATTCTGCGTAAAATACTTTATTAAAATCATTCGTTATAGCATTGTATTGTAATATAAAGAAAGCACACGAAACTCAGATTTGTGGTTGAAGTTGTTGCTGCACCTCGTCGCCAACTTCATAACCTGGTTTTTCTTTTTTACTGTTTCCTGTTTAAGAATCAAAAATAATCAAGTCATAAACGATTAACCAGTGCTTATCATGGAAAAATTACCACTACCATCTAGCATGACATAAATAAAAAAAGCACAGTGTATTAAGAAATCAGTACCTATCAGTTTTGCGAGCAAGCAGCATCGAATTCCAATTGCTACAATGCCGACCAAGGTGAGAAGTCCTATGAAGACATTAATTGCTATTGCAAATGCGGACATTCTGGCAAAATTCATAAAATGATCGTTTTTATCGTTTCATGTCCATAACACTGGATTACATACATATGTACATATTTTTATGCGTAAAAGTGCATACCCACAATCGGCTTGCGCATCTAAACATTCTTGAAACTCTGGATTTGTACGGTTGTGAAATTCTTCGACACAACTCCTGACAAAGAATAGTGCAGTTAGCGATTAAAATTTATAGTTTCTGGTTTTGTCCAAACTAATCTAATCGCGGATGGAGAATTCAAAATGATTATCCATACACATACTCGCTAATATTGACTATCAGTGGAAATACTTGTTATTCAAAATAGTAAACAATTATGGATATTACGGCAATTAATTTGAAAAAATTGCCTATGTACCTGTTGCAATATATATTTTCTTCAGCTACAGATGTAATTGCAAAGACACTCGCTACGACGAAAACTGAAAGCTGATAATGTGTCATTTTCTATATTCCAAGATTATTTTTTGTAAGTCTAAAATGTGTAACACTGCACTGCTTCAAAAAAGTGCAACTTGTATCACATTTCTGCATTTAGATAAATAATAAATTGTAAAAAGTACTCGTACGTCGTATCATTCGCTGAATTTTGAAAAATGGACAACTGTGTGTTTATACCAATGTTTTGGTATTTTAGCAAAGTTTACTCCAGTTCAGCAAGGATTCGCAAATACTATGAGATTATAGTGCTCACTATTCGTATCGTGTCGGAGATTTTCTTGTGACGTCAATGAGAAAGGGTATTTATACGTACTTATGTATCAACATTGAACTGCACGGATCTGTGGGATTGTGGTTGAATGTTATCTTATTAGATCATTCATATACTTATTCATATTGCTATATACCATAGATAGTGTATTAATAATATACAAATATGATATTTTCTTATGAAAAGGGAGATCACATTTGTTCAAGTTGCATACATATATGACATATGACTCGATGTATGTATGTGTCTATCTAGATATGTGCAAGATGTGAAATCTCTGGTTAATTATCATATACATGGCTGGATGAACAAAACTATATTTGAATTATTTTGAACAATTCAATATATTTACTGTTTATCAAATTATGAATGAACAAATCTAAAAACAGTTGTGATACATGGTTGTGCTTGTGCAATCAAATTTATTATTTTCATAGATTAACGTTAGTCGTTATATAGATAATTTGGCATATTTGTATGCAATCAAAATTATCAAATATTCAGATGGCACATGTACATAAATACCTCCGTTACATGGTTTAAAAAGTTAAATAGTGGTTAATTTGTTGGTCAATTATGTTGAGATATTTTACTCTGTCTCTCGCTTCTTTTTCATCATCATGTTCATATTCATCGATGCGGACATTGCATCCATTTCTTTTTGCATTGCGGCAATATCTGCATCCGAAGTATCGCCACCACCGTCGGTTGCAAATGCCACGGCGTCCTCGCCACCAGTCGCGACGACATTTGTTTCCACATTACCGTTGGTCTTATCGACTACTTTCATCACGTTGACATTCCCATTTTCTCCTTAAATTAAGACAAGTTGCGAATTAGTACATTAATCAATTACTTGGAATATAGAGGGAAACCTACCAGTTTTATTGGTGGATGGGGTCATGCTAGTCATAGATGGGAAATCCATGGATGGCATTTTCATGTCCATCATGTTAAAATCCATGGAGGGCATCTCCATCGTCGGAAAAGGCGATGCCGTACTAGTCAAATCTGGTTTCTTAATACTGGTACTAAAAGGGGAAGGTGTAGTCGTTTTAGATTTTGATGACGAATCTCCGAATCCGGACATACCAAAGTCCATCGATGGGAAATCCATCTTAGGAAATTCCATTTCTTTGATCATTGAAGAAAATTGTGTTGTTGTAGCAGGTCTGCTTGTAGTAGTTTTCGTAGCTGGTGTGGCAATGAGTACAGAAGCTGGAGTCGAAAGAACTCCAAATTTTGATGGGGGTATCGGCGTGGTTGTCTTTGAGGAAGCCCCAAAATTACTCATCCCCATGCCCATATCCATGGACATCATTGGAAAACTGAAATCCATTTTTGGGAACTCGGGTTCTTTAGATAAACTTGATGGAGTAGTTGTCGAAAGACGTCCAAAGGTTGATGAGGGTATCGGCGTGGTTGTCTTTGAGGAAGCCCCAAAGTTACTCATCCCCATATTCATATCCATAGCCATCATTGGAAAATTAAAGTCCATTTTGGGTTCCTTAAACAAGCTCGCTGGAGTAGTTGTGGTAATCGGAGCAACAGTGGTTGATTTGATTGATTGCGGCAATGTAGATGATTTAGAATTTTCCTTAAACATGTTCATGCCAAAGTCAATGGTTGGAAACGTGAAGGGCATGGCCATTGAAGAAAATGGAGTTGTAGTTCGTGGAGGAAATGCGGTTGAGGAACTTGGAGGTGGTGTGGGTGTGGTAGTTTTCTTAATTTTCTCACTTCCTTTCACAGGCCCTCGCCCAAACGCACCTGTACAGCGCAAAGTAAAGTTTCTGTTTCGAACTTTTCACACAATTGAGCGTACATATGTAAAGACTAAGGACACATTTTGCACAATTTACCATGAAATGGAAAATACGAGCCATCATCATTAACACATTTGTATAGTGCACCTCCACAACACGATTTTTTATTTCCCTTTGGTTGTTGGATGCTATCATCAGACTTATCATGTAGAGTACATTTAGCATCATTTGGTGGAAATTGGCAATGCACTTCTTTGCATGAAAAGTTTTCTTCTTGTTTTTCCAATGTGGGTGGAGGTTTAATTGGACCTTTGCCGTATACTCCTACATAGCAAAGAAGCTACATAACATATTTACAATTGCACCGTAAGTAAATATTTGTCTAAAATCGTATTTAGTCTTCTACCATGAAATGGGAAGGAAGAACCATCCTTATTTTTACAATTGAACAAATTACAGCACTTTGCTGTCTTTCCTTTGGGGCGCTTCACATTTGTGTCTAAAACGTCTACAATTGAGCATTGAGAATCAAAGGGTGGAAATTGGCAGTGCACTTCAGAGCAGACGTCATTAGGTGATGGCGTTGTTGTTTTAAATTCAAACATAGATTTTTGTGACAGAGTAGTCGGTCCTCTCCCAAATGCTCCTGTAACAAATTTTGCATAACATAAATGATCTTGTGGTCCCACACACTTTGTCCAGCATGCACAAGAATTTAATAGTTACTAGCTACTTGGATAATTAAAGCATATATCCAGATGATTGGAATTGAATAAATTTACCGTGAAATGAAAAGGATGAACCATCCGAATTCTCACACCTAAACATTGGACAGCACGTCGAGTGTCTCCCTTGCGGTCTTGGAAAAGTATTATCATCAGGGTCAAGCATGCGACACTTGGATTCCATAACAGGGGCTTGTTCACAATTAACCTTTCCACACGAGCTGCTTTCCTCTTTCCTAACAGAATCCGATTTGGGAGCCAAGGACGATTGTTGTTCTTCCGATTCCCTTTGTCTTCCCTTCGACAAAGGAGGTCCCCGTCCAAATGCCCCTGATTAGTAGATTAAATTAAATTAATAAAAGGTTGGAACCATAAATTCATTTATCTAATAATTTTGTACTGCCTATAAGCCTTAGTTAACTAAATACCTCCTTTTGCCTTGGCTATATGAATTTACAGAATAGTACACAAAATTTACGAACCATGAAATGGAAACATAGAGCCGTCCGAGGAGGTGCATTTATACAGAGGGCAACATCCAGCCTTCTGACCTATATATTCATAGACAAATTTCATAAAAATTGACACCGAATCTTACGCAAGCAGGTGGGAAAAGGGGTATTTGGAGGGTTGGAAAGTCGGATTGGTGGACAAGAATGGAGAAAGATAAATCCTCCAGTACAAAAACTGAAGGGTATGGACACTACCCCAAAGGTTATATAAAAAAACTTCTAGCCAGGTCGAACTCCAGAGGTCATGGATCACAGTCCAACTTAAGAGTAAATAGGGTATAAACGCAACCACCTTGAGGTTGTATTACTATTTTGTGATTTCGTGAAAATTAGTAGAAAGTGAGAATTGGGGAATGAGAATTGTGGAGTGGAAGTTGCGGGGTGAAAAAGTGCACAAGGACCTTTAGGGTGTGGGATGCTCATGTCAGACTTGTCAGGTATGACACAAGAGGCATCATTTGGTGGAAATTGACAGGATACTGAAGAACAGGAGAAAGTGTCGCTTCCGGTAGCCGATGATTTCGATAAATTACTATTTTCATCATTCTTATTTTTGTGAGGATTTTTTGATGGTCCTCGTCCGAACGCTCCTAAATAAGGCGCATTAAGTACTATGCTGTTTCACCAATTCCCTTCTTAATTTACCGTGATACGGGAAGATTCCATCCTTGTCCCTACACTTGTACAACGGACAACACAAACTTTTTGGGCCTTTTGGCCGATTAATGCTCTCATCGTGCTTATCGGCTATGGTGCAGTTGGCATCATCCGGTGGATAAGTGCACTTGACTGGACGACATGAAAAAGGTTGTGATGAGTCAGTGCTGTCTCGTTTCTGTCGTCTTTTTGGAGGAATGACCTTCATAGTTTCCAGGATTTTCCAGTATCGCTGTAATTCGTATACTCGTTCCTGCCTAATAAGCTCGAGCAAGCTGCTCCCTGTAATTTTTACGACGGTTAATTATGTGAAATATTTATGGTCTTGAAATTTGGATTGCATGCTTGTTAACCTTGAAATTTATATTTATTAAAAATATAGGCGAAGAATGTGAATTTTCAACTAATTTAATGTGTGTATTAACCTGATGACTCTTCCGCTCCATTATTTGGCTCCTTGAAGACATTATTTGTAAAGGTGGACAAAGTTGTGGTAACATTACTCACCACTAATGTCACACAAAACGCTACCAACGTCAACTGCAACATTTCGCCCTCTCATTATTATATTATCGCTATTAGTGGGTCAATCAGTCGCCAACTATGGACATAATAAAATATCGCCATTATTATACTGACCTGTGTTTAATATTTGCACAATGGTCACAATTGTTGTAAGTATCATTTGTAACAGAATGGATTGTTCACACTTGGTCCATGTATATGTAACTTGTACATAATACGTATCTTGACTTCCAAATAATTTTATGAATGGCTAAGCATGAGCATCAATGACTAAATAAGCAATATGGACGAGTGAACGATATTGACCATTTATTTCTGAAACCTATACGTCGTAAGGTTAAAATATCTTCTAAAACTTAAACTTATTGTTTACGCTGAAAATAGCAACGATGGAAGAAGCTTATTTATGAAAAAGTCTTAAGATAAAATCCTAGTCTCTCTCTAAAACATCTTTATCATGGAAGGAAGGAATCATATTGATTGTAATGGAAGGTACGTCTTTTTCATGAATAATTATTTTTCATTACGATGCAAGGTGCGAGGTTTAATGATTGTGGATGCGAATGAATGTCAAACAGTTTCTTCAAATATTTATCAGTACAAATAAAACTTTCTTAGTTAATTTAAATAGTAACAATTTATTGAGTACTCAAAATAAGATAAAATATCTCCAAATTTTTAAATAATTTTCAAATAATTGTAGGAATAGAATATTATAATTAAAGCTGCCGGATCAAGAGTATTTAACCAACAATGATAATATTATTGTTGAGATTAAAATAATCAGTTAAGTAACTACACAGAGACGACAGCATATGTATGTATGTAATATGTATTAACTCAAACAATTTCACGCATTTCTAAGAACATGCATGTATGTAGAATAACAAAAACACTACTGTCTATGAATATATAACCTGCTGAAAATAATATAGTAAATGATGATTTTAATAATTTTATTTCTGTAGAGCTAGAAAACAAACACGAGAACAATAATTAATTATATCATTATACAAAATTGAAGGAAACATCCTACAGTTAACACAAATAGACAAGTTGAATCATCCCTATAATTGGATGGAATATTATTTTATGGCTGCAATTAGTAGTATATATAATCGACCTTCGCGTCGCTCGTCGTTCTTCACATAATAATAATTCACGACAGTAAATAAGATAAGTCACGATTGAAAGTTGTCAAAAAACGTGTGGCACACAAATATAACGCAGGATTTTAGAAATACAATTAACAAACACATTTGTCTATTTAGTTGGGATAGCAGTTTAGTTAGTAGTAGCAGATAATCCTTGAAGCACAACAATATTTATAAAAAAACGTAGAATATTTTATATACGCTGCTTGCACCTATTGTAACACGATTGAAACGAGATCAACATTAAACACTTTGTTCAGCAGACGACAAACTGAAAATTTGCGAAGATTTCGAATGGGGGAAACATTGAAAAGTTATGATGAGGACTGATTATCAGTAATTATAATAAATCATGTAGAAATGAAGAAACAAATAAATTAGTATTACGTGGCTTGATTTTCTTCAAGTCGGAGCGATGATGACGAGGTATAAGATGAAGTACATCGAAGTCACGAATCGAAGGAATCAGTCAGTCTGTGCTTTTTAACGTTCGAAGGGAGCGCAGCGATGATACAACTGTGTAAATCAATCAAACACTGTCCATATTTTTGCATTTCACAATACTTTCATATTTCATAATATTAAATGGCATTGAGAGATCACAGAAAGTCAAAAAGTAAAGTAGCGCATGGGTCCTATTCTTGGTAATAATTGCTGTTGGGACAATAATATAAGGGGTCGAAGGAGAAATGTTAATTGTGGGGACGGGAGTGAAAAGGGTTGTCAAAATTGAGATCGATTTGAACAATTGATTAGTTCTTTCACCACAATGTCAAGTGAGGTTTATTATAGAACTGGATAAACTTATCGGGACAAAATTTTGTGATGTGACTAGCACCTGACAAGGAATTTTAATGCAGGTTTGATAGTGAATGGGGGGTGGGGTAGGGTAATCGAGTGGATAAGGAGACATTAGTTGAGAGGGCATTTTGCATTTTGCGGTGAAAAGGGGTAATATCTTTTGTGAAGTTTGTAACTGTTTATCACAGCGAACGAACACAAGATTTATCACAGTCCAGTAGTAAGCCGAGATTTCTTTCGTTGTTACATTTTTATGCAGTCTTTTCCAATCGAAGAAAATTCGACGCGAAGTTAATTTCGAGAAATTTCATGAATAATCTGAAATTGAGAGCACCGTAATATAGCGAAGAACTCGATTGGATTTTTTTGCCTGTGACTGCATTGTTTCAAAAAAGAGAGAGAGTGAGAAATTGATTATAATAATACGAAGTTCTGGCTTAATATCGGAGCGGAGACAAACCAATTAAAGAATAAGACGATGGCAAATGGCAAATAAACAGAAGAAATATTATTGTACGAAGAACTAGCTGACTGCGTGCGAATATACGGAAGAGAGGGTTTTTGATACCTTGGTTTTTGCTTAATGTAAGTGTCTCTGTAGTAGAACTAAGTAGTAGTGGTAGTTGGTACTGGGGGTGGGGGGTAATTAATAGCTTCCATAGCCATCACCACCACCGGAACTCCGAGAATACCCGCCATATCCGCTGGAGTCACCGTAGCCGCCGCTGTAGAGGTCGAAGATTTAGGATTGCATAATTAGTTATTCATTGCCATTAAAATCATGTGGATATATCGCAGTTCTCTCTCTCTCTCTCTATGTATGTATACGTATAATCTGCTGTCTTGAATATGAGATCAGTTGAGTAGAAAGTGTTCAACTTTTGCAGGTACATGTAAATATAATCTTTGGTTTACTCCTGAGATCTAAATAATATTTTTCTTTTGTTCCAATACCGTGATGGTAAATCGGTACTCAACTTAACGACCTAAAATCTAACCATCATTAACCATTATATAATCATCGAAATTCCTTGGTTATCATTCTTCGCCTAACGAAAACGGTCCGTAGCGTAATTTCTGACGAGCTTTTTGACTATTATTTCGCAGAGTGCACTCTTTCCGGTGATTCCAATTGTTCATTCATTCCCCTTCCGTAAAATTCATTCGAATATCTGTGTATATATCGTTAATCACAATTCACTGTCTTGTATCTCTTGTAAAAATTCTTGTTAAAAAGTCTCTCGTTTGTTTTCGATAAGATTCAGGATACGTTACGACTCAAGACGGGAAGGGTATTATCATGATGGATGGCGATGCTTGTGCGTATTATTATTAATTGCAATTCGAATTGTATTATTGAAGTACCCCCAGCTTAATCGGAATCGTACCTTCCGCGGCTTTGGGGCGAGCGACTACGATAGCGATCACCACCTCCGCGAGAACCTCCACCACGGGAACCCCCACGAGAGCCTCCTCCTCCACCACCAGAAGAGCGGTAGTTGTCGTAACGGCTTCCACGATCATCGTCTCGACGTCCTCCTCGGAATCCTCCTCCTCCTGTTCGAGGCATATATATATTCCATCCAATGTTAATTTTGACTTGAATCAATGAGCGAAGAATGAATTGCTTAGTTTAAACGTGTACACAGGAGTAGATAGATTATTGTTATTATTATATGAAGATTTTAAAAAACTATATAAAAAGTCCATCCCTTTCCCTCCCTCTCTCCCCCATTCAGTAGTTTGTCACACACAAAACAGCCAGTTTTTTTCACTAGTAATTAATTACACTAATATCTCGGTCAGCAGTAGTTAATTATCTAAACCCTTCGAGTCCTGTCGGGATTTGCCAGTTTAGTACCAAAAAATGCAACAAAGTAGTATATATAAACATTAGGATGAGATCTCATGAAACGAGGTATTGTTATAGATGGATGGTGCAAAAAAATATATCTAATATGCAGTTTTGTTTTCAAGTAATCAGCACTATCAGCAGCAGCAGCCACGAATCACATCATCAATCATCATCACGCATACAAAAGTACTGGTAGTATTGTACACTGATAAGTATCACATGATATCGCGTATGGTGATTTTTTTAGAAGTGCAATGCAAAAACAATACAAACTGGGTGAGGTGTGAGGAAATGGTGGAGGTGACAACAGTCGAGTGGTGTAAAATGTGCGGACGAGGCGGCATTGCATATAAAATTATCAATAATAATAATAACAATAATAAACAAGGTTTTTTTCTCCAGAAAGTAGGATAAGTGAGAACATATTGAATTGAGTTTTTAATCTATGAAGACGCTTTTAGAAAAGGTTTATAACAAAATTAGATTTTTTAGTTGTAGATAACAATACAATAGAACATTCATCAATCGGTGGAGTAGAAACATTTTGCAACGACGAGGAAATCGAAGCAAAATGCAACTTTAACAGGTTAAATTTTGCGGTTGGTTGTTGTACTTTTTTGCACCGTACCATATGAAACGTTTTAGTCACAAAATGGAAACGGTTTAGTATAGCGAATTTCTGCAGGGTAGGTAGGTAGGTTGGGTAGTGATTGTTGTTGTGGTAGGGGGGTGGGTTGGGGGGGGGTGAAGAAACAAAACATCAACGGAGAGAAAATCAAACAAGTCCAGCGATTTTGATTTGACGAAGAGAGAAGTGTGTGTATGGAGATTTTCGATTTACCAATCATCTTAAAAATGAAAAAGAAGAACAAAGAAAAATGTAATAAAAACTTTCGCTTGCTTGTTTAACTCAGCCCACTGTCGATATCACATCCATGCTTCTAAATCTACTACGAGGCTTTTTGTCATATTATTCTTCTTGTTTTCGGAGGAAAGCTATATAGGAAGCTTATTTCGTTAGATAATGAGAAGACAAAAACAAAAGCAATAAATAACAATCATTCAAAAAATTCACCAGTCAAAATTAGACTGTCAAATCATAATATTAAATTGAGATTTCTTCAATAAAAAATGTTTGGTTGAACTTTGAAATTAAAATGTGGTGCTGCTAGATATTTTATAAAGTTAAAAAGCCCAACTTGTTTGAAATTTTAAAAAAACTAGCTGGTCGTTGGAAGCACCACAATTTTCATACATAATATCGTAGTCAGACGGAGCAGAGCAGATTCAAAACTTGGAACATCAACATCGACAATCATAGTCAACGAAATATAATATATACATGTATATAATATTATTGGTTGGAGACATAACAAATGACACTAAAAAATAAAGCAGCACGTAAGAGAATCGGGTGGGCCAAGTATAAGTTTAAGCAGGAAAGCTCTCATGTAATTAATTCCAGCCACCACCATCTTGCATGTTTTGACGATATGGGTACATACCCCCACCCCCTCCTCGACGCCCTCCTCTTCCTCCGCCATCACGGTATCCTAAACCATTCAGTACAACCAAACCACATCAGCCAAACTTCTCAAACCAAAATAAAGATGAGGCGATTTAATATGAGCGAGTCAATGAGAGGAGTGAAGTATTAAGTGAAACTAGGAGTGAAAGTGAATATAATCATAACAATGATACTAGTAATATATGGTTTGAGCTTCTAAGCTCGTCGCTTTTTAAAATCAAAACTGAATCTATCTATATTGAATAGCGTTGCATTAATATTGAACTGAGTGAATCCTAATCCTCGTGTCTGAAACATTCATCATTACTTTTATGATCGTATATGAGCCTAATCTTCTTCTTATCCATCTTTCATACTTCCTATCACTGGTGTATATACTGGTGTGTGTGTGTATGTACGTGACTTTCTCTACATATGGACTCTTTTTCAAGCAAGTTTAGGATGATACTTTGCTTTGAACAAATAACATGCATGAAAAGAAGGTTGCTTTTTGTGACAATAGTTTACACACAAATTAAGTGAACCTTTTCACAATTTATCATGCAACACATCAGTCCAACAATGAACCCCTTACAAAAATATATATATAATATCCCTTCACCACACCTTGACTAGTGTTCACTAGTAATAGTATTAAGTATATACCCACACTACAGTAATACAGAAACATGACAGAAAAAGAACAATGATAATGGTGAAGAAAATATAAGCTTACCGCCACCGCCACGTCCACCTCGATAACCTCCACCGCCACCACCATCATAGCCTCCTCGACCACCTCCACCTCGGCCGCCCCCATATCCGCCTATAGAACACCAAAGAAAACTAGTTAGTTTCATGTTCAAATTAACCTTCAAATGCAAAGGTTCTAAATCAAATACTATCGTTAAAGGTATTTCTGCGTGAGTTTAATGGTCACTTACGACCCCCACGATCCCTACCACGTCCACCTCGACCGCCTGGGGCCCTTGGGCGAGAAACTTCAACACGGAGCTTGCATCCCATGAATTCTTCTCCATTCAGAGCGTCCACGGCATCAGTCGCAGATTGTTCGGTTTCAAAGTTGACGAAGGCGAAACCTGGGGGGCTGAGAACAAGTAAAATTTATTAGTTTAATTTTTCTTCCCAAAATGATAAAAAATGTAACAAGTTATCAATGCTTACTTGAATGCAACCCAAACGTGCTCGGTCTGAAAATGTTACAATATCATAAAATTAAATTCAAATGTCATACAAGGCTTAAAAATCTACAAAAAAATCAACTAAAGATTAGCTCACCTTGCCATACTTGTTGAACAAGTCCTCCAAATGTTCACGGGTAACCGTGTCATTTATTCCACCAACGTAGATACGGGTAGCCATCTTATTTCACGAAGAGAGGGGGTGGTTCTGCAAACAAAATTAATTCCAAACATGAAATACGTTTCATTGCATCATTCATCATCTTCACTACTTCTCAAAAATGCATCTAAAAATTCCATCAAAATAAGATAACCCCCTCCTGCTCCCTTACAAGAAATACCCCCCTCAATAACCAATTATTTGTATTCCTACTCATTTCAAAGCATTCTTATTTGTTTTTACTATTTATGAATGAATGAATAAGAAAGATGACTGGTGTCGGCGGCCATTGCTCGCTCTCACCATGCCTTCCCTCCACCTCGCCGTCACAAACAAATTTCCTAAAAATGCTGGTATTTTGTGTATAAAAAGAGGGGGACGAGCCCTTGAACGTACCTGGATGACCTGTTTTGACGACGACGAAGGGTAGTAGTGGGCTTGTAAGGGATGGGACTGGGAGCCCAAAAAATTACGCGAAAAATCGAAGAAAAACGAAGACGTAGATTACGACGTGATGCTCTCGCCTCCTCTGCTGCTGCCTGTCTGAGAGAGCTTCTCTCCGGTCTTTGCTGATGCTGCTGCTTCTGGTGGACAAACGCGGCGCCCTCCTTCCTGTGGACGCCACTTTCGAGAGGAAAGTGGACTCTCCCACCCTCTCCACCAATCGCCTTCTTCTCAGACGCATCCAGCCAGCATGTTCTCTCATTGCATCTCAAACTTGAGTTGGCGATATTCGACAGGAATGGTGGACGAATCCTCCAGTGCCAAGAACAAAGATGACGAGTTCAAGATGTCAGAAAATAAGAATTTCATGAGATCAACATATTATTGTGAGATCTTGAGATTTAAAAATATTGGTACTAAAAAATGCAACACATTATTGTAATATTTATAATATTTCATAGCATATTACTGGAAGATTATTATTTATCCATTTTAATACAATGCGTGATCACTTGATATTTTTCACAATTTTTCACAATTTTGATTTAAAAATGAAACTTTTTATTGAACTTTAGCTTCAATGCATTATTCCAAATCGCCTAAAACAGCCATTAACATTTCGATCTTATTTAAAAAGTGCTTCCCTTCAAGTCTGTCTAATTTTACGGATTTGTAAACAATTCCAGATCCGAAATCGGTTGTCCCGTCGTCTAGGGAGGGTTGATTCAAGTCAGATGTCTGGTCGTCAAATATTTCTCCAATACCTTCAACTACAGAGTTTGGTGGGTAGCCAATGAATACTTGAATACCACAGTGGTAGAGTTGAGGACTTGAACGAATAGCTAGTTGTCTGAAACATGATGAAAGTAAATTATTACCATTTACCATAGTTCATTATGTACATACCAATATTATGCAAGCAATAGTATGTACCTTTTGCCATTGGGGGAACTCAATAGACATCCAGCCGCATTACCAATCGTTTCACAAGTACCAACACCAAGATGGGTGCTACAGAATTATTTAATTTGTATTATAACACTTAAGTACAATGCACTACTAAAAATTTACGTATCATATTTAGTTTCCTAACTACGCTCTTACTTGCTCGAAAGGACAGTCCATCCCATGCACTTCGAGAGGGTTTGAAGTGCCATAACTTGGTGTATAGCAATCTATAACATATATTACATTTATTATAATAAAGTATTTCATAAAATCCCTTCAACGACAACTAATAATTTTGTATAGAAAAGTGTATCTACCTGTGCTAATATGAGATCTCTAATTTCTTGAGGTTCGTAGCTCAGGTGAATTGCTTTGCCATCCCTTAAAATTGCCTTGAGAGACTTCTCCTTGACATGGATCATTAGTGGGGTTCTTGCTCCCATATCATACCTGTGCATGTAAATATATAATATGAATGAGAATCTAAAACTGCTACTAAAGTAATTAGTAGTAGGCTTTTAATCATTAAAAGTATGCTCACCCTGAGGAAACAAGAGTTAATCTGACACAAGTATGTGTCACTGCATTCAAAGAAGCCCAATGAGCAACAATCAATGGATCCTTAATATCCCTCGATAACGCATCTATAACCACCATTGTCCGAAGCCTGAGTACAACATGCTGGCTCTGTTTTATAATTTCCTCTAGTATTCCATCCTTCTTCGTCATTGTTAAAAGCGTCTGTCTATCGTATGCACATGGGCCAGCCAGTCGCCTTTTTCTTGAGACACCAATGGGCGCACTTGCAGGATGTGGAAGAGGTATACATGAATTTGAACGATGAACTTCTCTAAGGAGTTGGTGAAGAGAGTGCTCCAAGACGTGATTGTGATCCAACTTTGGAGTAACGGGAGGAGTACTTGTTTTCCCATTTATAGAGTGACAAAGGCTGATGATAAGCAGAATACCAGGAAATAATGTCACCGTTATTTGACTACCAACTACCAGAGGAGGAATTGGAAGGGAGTGTAAGGCAACAGCTTCTCTTGCCAAGACGGAGAACAACTCTTTGCAAAACAAGACATTTTGTGCAGCCTCTAGTCTTTGCTGCCAATACGCATCCAAAGGTGCGGGTGAGGGAGAAGGTAGTCCAATATTTGCAAAGCTCAGAGTTTCCTGATCCTTTTGAATGACAACTTCAATGTAAGCTATTCCCTGTAGCTCATTTGGAACAATAACTTTTAGGGCAGAGCTAGGTTTTGTAGATGGAGGTTGTTGGTGTTGTGATGATGATGCTGCACCCGAGGATGATGGAGCTGGAGGTTCATCTGCTACGGAATCTGTTTCATCTGGCGCATCTTCAGCTTTCTTCACTTCAAATATTCCTGTTTGAGGAAACCTACTTCCTGCTGTACGATACGACAAGTCTCCCAATATGGAATTGCCCACTTTTCTGAGTCTCCAATTCTGTCTCAACCTCAATAATTGAATATGAAAATCGGGCAGAGAAGAAATTGAAGTTTTAGATTTAGCTTCATTCATTGATGTTCTTAACCTTTCGGATCCACTAATTAGCACTTGTGCGGCTGCTGCCAAGCCCTATAAAACAAACAATCAACATGAACTACTATATGTTAATCATTAGTCTATATGCAATAGATAGTAAATTTGTGCAAAGTACACAGGCATAGCACATAGCTCAGAATCCCGAAAATAAATGGACATACCCTTTTTTTGTATATCAATACAGCTCCAGCTTTAGGATCTGATGGTTCGGCCGACACAGGGTCCAACACCAAGTACTTTTTCTGCTGGGCGATAGAAATAATATCTCCCAGAACGCTTAGTTCTGTTAACGCCGTCCTAAATTATATAGTGAGACTCTTAAATCAATTAACTTAAGCTAGTTTCAACCGACTTTGAACTTACTGTAATTTATTACGAGCCGACTCCCAAGGCCATGCCGGCGCGGTTTTAAATGTTTGCTCCTCCGAATTCCCCTGTGTCGTCCCTCCACCGGAAGTAGATGATTCGTCCATCGGCTCTCCAGCCGCAGATGCAGCCACACCAGAATTATTTCTACCCCCCACCTCGTCATCCTTCCCAACAAAATCAATCCGTTGAGCGAGTCGGCTCAAGTTTTCCGACATGGACAAAGGTCTAATTATGAATAAGCAAGATGCACAATTAAATACAATCAACATTATTATTATTATTATTATTAACAAACTTTTAACTTTTAGTATCTACTTACGGTTGCTGTATTTCTTGCCCATCATAGGTAATCTCAAACACTTGATTTTCCAGTGGAACTTCGACTGAAACGTTAACTCCACTCATTGTAATTTTTAAGTTTACTACTATTTTTTCGAGTATGATATTGAAAAAAAAATTAAAATATAAAATTTTTGTCAATCAGAAAAGTGCGAGGAATTTGTTGACATCGGCACATTTAATTTTTCTTCCCGGCTCATGCGTGTGTGCCATCTGTGCGAAGGAAAGGAGATTTTTTCCACCACCATCAGCAGAACGTGCATGCTGCTCGGCTGTTGCCTACTTGTCCCATTCTCCCGGAATTCTCGATATTTAGACAAGAAAACGTGTTGGAGAAAGACCGACAATGAGGTAAGTTTTTTTGGAAACGTTGGTCAAACCACACCCACTAATTAATATTTATTTCTGCTCTTCCCTTGAGCAGTAGCTCGCTAAAGTTGCAGAAGCGGTTGGCCGCCTCGGTCCTTCGCTGCGGAAAGAAGAAGGTCTGGTTGGATCCCAATGAAACGGCCGAGATCTCTGCTGCTAATTCCAGTAAGTCATAAGTTTCAATTATGTTCATATTTTATCGAGGGGGATGTTTTAGGATAGATGTAGGAGATGATTACTTGTCGTTTTTTGCGACTGGTTAAGTGGTGAAAGTAAAGTGGGTCGATAATATTTTATTGTGTATTGAGAAAAGTACAGTTTGGAGTTTCATCAACTACGAACTTTGCAAATTTTGAAGAATAATATAGAGTTAGTGTTTTACTGGTTTGGAGTTTTGTAATGATGAATATTTAGTTTACAAGTGGACGAGTTATTGTTTTGGGATAACAAATTGCAAATTGTGTTGTTGGTCGAATTTAAATTAATACTGAATGCTTGTTTTGTGCAGGACAGTACATCCGGAAATTGGCCAAGGATGGTCTTATCATCAGAAAGCCGGTGGCCGTTCACTCGAGAGCACGCGTCCGCGCCAACACGGAGGCGAGGCGAAAAGGGAGACATTGTGGCCCCGGAAAGAGGAAAGGTACCGCCAACGCCCGCATGCCTGAAAAACTCCTCTGGATCAAGAGAATGAGAGTCCTCCGTCGCCTCCTTAAGAAATACAGGTAACGCTACACACACCATTGTTAATTAGTTGTGATCTATATTTATTGTATCTATATTTTGCTTTGCAATTGCAGAGAAGCAAAAAAGATCGATCGCCATCTGTATCAGAACCTTTACCTCAAAGTCAAGGGTAACGTATTCAAAAACAAACGAGTTTTGATGGAATTCATTCACAAGAAGAAGGCAGAAAATGCCAGATCTAAGATGTTGAAGTACGTTTAGAAATATTTCATTTTTGGTCTGATCTTTGTGATGTGTTGGTTTGTTATTAATTGATTGCGTTGTTCTTTAGTGACCAAGCCGAAGCTCGTAGAAGTAAAGTTAAGGAAGCCAGGAAGCGACGTGATGAACGTAAGGCAGTTAAACAAGCTGAAATTCTCGCTGCTGCCCAGAAGGAATAAATTGAATTGTTAATTAAACTTCTGATAATAAAACGTCGACTCTTTTATGTTGAAATGAATATTAATATGGATTTGTTAATATCTCACTTTACATTTTACTCGGTAGGGTGTATAATTCTCTGACAAAATCAGGTAGTTTATTTAGATTGCGATTACTTTAGCTTAGCAAAGCGTATTATGTGACCTTTGTCACTTGATCTAGTAAATTTAAAACGCTTGCCAAATTTTATTTGTTGTGGAGTCAACAAAACCTAGTGAGTGACCTTTATAATTTTGTGACTCATCTTTGGTTTAGCATCATCATGTATTAGCCAGCCTGAAAAATGGATATAATTGCAATATCATCTCTGATTATAACTCGTTTTGCCAGTAAAATCACATTTCATGGTTCTGCATCAATTCCGGAATTTCAAGTTCCTGATTCATCAGTAAACCACCACGGCACACAATAACAGATTATTTATTATTTCATGAGTACACAGAATGACGACAATAACCTTTAAAAATACTGCATTATACTGACACAAACTATAATACACACTTGCAGATCAGAATAAAAGGGACATTTCAACTCAAAGTTTAATCAGTTTTTCCAAGACGCTGTAGCAGTCCGATTGGCATATTGTTTCTCCTAATTCAATATGAATACATTGAAATGCGTCCCCTTTTTTGGGGGTCTTGTCTTTGTCTTGTTCTCAATTCAAAATGGCGTTGCATCTGCGGGGGTCACTAGTGTCACTAAGGGTCAAAAGAATATCACCTCGAATTCAAGATTGCTTTTGACCCCGTACATAAAATCGGGGCGACTGGAGGAGGCAAAAATGGAAGCGCTGGTCAAGTGGGGTCGTGACAGCCTCGAGGGAATTCCAAGCTACACAGGTTTTTTCACCGTGAATGAAACGACCAACACCAATTTGTTCTTCTGGTTCGTTCCTGCAATGGTATGTGATTATATTTATTGCGCCGAATTAAAATTTTAGTTGACCGTGAATAGTAGGTTCTTATCTGGTTACTTGGCATATTCCTCATTAAATTTGTGCATGTACTAAGGTGGAGGACCCCGAAGATGCCCCTGTCATGGTTTGGCTTAATGGAGGTCCAGGAACATCTTCCATGTTTGGCTTTTTTGTCGAGAATGGTCCCTTCAAAGTGAAAAAGCGTGGTCGCATCCCAAAACTGGTCCTTCGTGTAAGAAAAGACACTTGGGCTAGGAGACACAACATGTTGTACATTGATTCCCCTGTGGGCGCAGGTATAATTCAGACGTGGTTTTAAGTGTTTCTTTTGCTCATAACATTGGGATGCTTACAGGATTCAGTTTCACGGATTCGGAAGAAGGCTATGCAAAAAGTCAGACAGACGTTGTAAGAGATCTCTACACTTCTCTGCAACAGTTTTATGCACTTTTCCCAGAATTTGCTAAGCAGGAACTTTACCTTGCTGGAGAATCATACGCTGGTATTCATGCAATGAAACATGCTACTTTTTGAGTCTTTTTGTAGTGTGTTACTGTTACATTTTAAATTTACTTCTTTGTAGCTAACACTATTCCCCGTCTTGGCATTCATATTCACGGAGAAAACTTGAAGGACAACGCCACTCGCATGAACTTGAAAGGTGTCATTATGGGTGGGCCCATGACAGACCCTCTCACGCTGACCAGCTCCTATTCCGACTACTATTATCAGCTGGGGATTATTGATGAGCAGGCCAGAGCCTACATGTCAAAACAGGAACAGCTCGCCATCAATCTACACGCGGAAGGGAAACTTTCTGAAGCTCAAAGAATTAAAAATGACCTTCTCTTCTCCCCAAATTCATACCTCTCAAATGTCACGGGCTATGAAAGCTTTGCCTCAATTTTGGACACAAGGATACACAAAAAACGAGACTATTACACTCGCTTTTTAAATCAATCCTCTACTAGAAAACTTATCCACGTAGGAGACCAGCCATTTAACAATGTCAGTGCCAGAGTCGTTGCCGACCTTTTGGATGACTTTGAGCGTTCTAGCAAGTCGGAGCTTGAATCCTTGTTGAATCTAAAGTACCGAGTACTAATCTATGTGGGTCAAATGGACATGGTAACGCCTCATGTGGGAGTGGCAAACTTTATCAGATCAATGAATTTCGAAGGAAAAGCGGAATTTGAAACCTCGGAGAGGAGAATTGTTCGAGAGTTGAAACGAGGAGAGGTTTCCGGCTATGTGAAGGCACATGGGGGTCTGTTCTACATGGTTGTGAGAAATGCAGGTCACCACGCCCCTAGCGACGAACCTCGATGGTGCAGAGAGATGGTGGAACGATTCATTTCTGGGACAAGTGATGAAGATTTCTGATTAGATGTTATCATTTTAATCTAACTTAATTCATATTTATTTATTTTGAATCTTACATTCATATTTATATCTGCAATTCGATATGCTCGCATTGGTCGTAAAATATATAAAATATAAAATATAAAATGTTTCAACCCTACAATAATTTGACTACGATACAATAGAGGGTTGATTGACGTTTGTACATGGTTTCCATTTATTCCATTTGAATGTGACAAGCTTGAATTCAATGATTAGATTTCCAATTTCAATCAATCAACCCCACCTGTAATTTGCGTGAATGAGAATGAGAGACATCGCTATACGGAATGCACATGTTTGTAAAGTAAGCTGAAACTTCTTTTGAAAGCCCATGTCCAAGCCAAACCAACCTCGAAATGTCATGTCATCGTCGTCACAAACGAACAAAACTAAACTCGGGGAAAGAAAGTTTGGACGACAAATTGATTTCCATGCAATATAGTAATTGCATTTGGTTTGGTGGTGGTCGATAGGGACTGCGCAAAAGGCATGTCATCGAATTGAGGGGAGGTAGGGGCCAAGACATCCTAATGCTACAAGTCAAGGGGTAAAAATTATCCGAAAGATATATTTATGTACGGCCCCAGAGAAAGCGTTCACAAAATCCTGATCCATCCACCTTTCTCTCTCCCAGATGAGACTACTGGGCTGACTGACTCACTGAGAATTGAGATCGTCTGCGGAATTGCAAATTGCTTTTGCTGGTTTTTGGATGGAAGATGTCGAGAGAGATTATTAGAGACGGGAGAAACATTATAGATTTCCAATCTCTTACGCTCCTCTGAAATTGAATGCATACGTAATTCAATAACAAATAATAAATTGGAAACCACTACTCCAGTCCTATTTATATTTGAGGATTGGTGTCTTGTGTCAGGGTCTTTTTTCAGCACACTCTCCGTTCTCTCTTCCAACACCAAAGTTGTCGGTCCTTTAGAAGAACTTCTTCTTATGAAGATAAAGTAAATCAAAAATTTAAATCTTGCATTGTTACATATTTTTATGTAAATACATGTACTTTTGTAGGTGGCCGGTTATTTGGTGAAAGTTTTTCGCGAATAGAGGTGAATAAGGTCTGGAATTCGCTGTGCCCTTCTGGCAATGGCGACGGCGACGTCGACATCTGATGACGAACAGCAACTGAATAGGAGGTCGCCCAGTGAAAAAAGTCAGCCCTCACTGGACGAGGACGACCTGACTTCCCCAAATCCAACCAGAGACGCATTGGCTGAAGGAATCGTCTCACTGCTTTCACCAACTTTAAAAACGCTTGATCAGGGTGTTCTCGCCACAAAGTGGGTTTGAAAATATGTCTAAAGCATTCATCTTATCTTGATTACTACTAAATTACTGTGTATGTATGTTATTCTACCGATATATTTAAATCCCCCGTTAGACGAAGTCAAGAAGAACTTTCTGAACAAATTGCCCTACTGACGGACCAACTCAAAGTGATCTCCGCAGAACAAGTTTGTCCAATTGACTTGGACGGATACGTGACACGGTTGGGAACTATAAAGGGCAAAATCAATGTCATTTCTTCTGTTCTTCATGCAGCACAAGTACTTTCTCTTTCTCAATAATGATTTAGCAAGATATATGTATGTATCAGTAAATTAATTGTATTTGTTTTATTAGGAACGACTAAACAAGGTACACGAACAAGCTGTTAAAGAAGCGTCAAGAAGGAAACCTCTCCTTGAGCCATCCCCAGTTGCTTCGTCGTCAGCATCTGCACTGTCAAGTGTAATTGATTCTAGTCAAAAACAGCACAATTTTCCTGAAACTGGAAAAGAACCAGAACCAGAAGAAAATACGACTGATTCGTAAACTAGAAAACTTGAAGTTAGAGTAGAGAATTTAGCGCTGCGTACAGATACATAATAATTATTATCGTCGTAATTGTAACAATGTGGTTGTAGCGTGATCGTAGTACAATTCATTTGTTTAATTTAATCAGTACCAGTCAGTATAGTTTAGGCAAGCGTGTGTTCGTTTTATTTCTTTGAGTTGATAGCCGATAATACCGTTACGAAATGGAAACACCGATATTGACCCCAATGGACATGAACTCTTCGGTATATGAACCCGCCGAAGACTCCTTTCTCTTGTTGGATGCTCTAGAATTGGACCTAGATACGTTTCTTACTTCAAGATCCCAGGATCCTATTTTGGTTCTGGAAGTGGGTTGTGGATCCGGAATACTATCGACTTCTATCGCAAAAGTTCTCAAAGATAAGAATTCCTATGCCCCTTGCGTCTTCTCAATTGACGTAAGTTTAGTTTTCTCTCATTGTAGCTTCAAAATTCGTTAGCTAAAAGCAGTGTAGTATAGCTGTGGCATTCGTTGTGACAAGTTCAACATGTACATACATAATGTGAATAGTGTGATTTAGAAGACTTAAATAACTGAAGTATTTAAGTAATTGAACGCTTAATGTCGTCAGCGTTCTATTTAATTGCATGCAATTTATAGTGCAATGTGGGCACAAATATAATTGAAAATTTCAATTTGAAATTATATTATTCATTAGATCAATCCCGAAGCGACTCTTCTGACAAAGACAAACGCATTACTAAACGGATTAGATGACTTCATAATTCAGCCGATCTTATTGGGTAAGCTTTTTTAAATGATTGGTTTAAACACGCTATATTTATTTTCCTTAGCTTCATATTAGGAGTAATATCATATCAATCCTTCGAAAATATTTATTTTTTTAAGATGGACCAAACTCTGCTCCAAAGTGTTTCCGAGAGCCGTTTGACCTCATAGTTTGCAATCCACCATATGTTCCAATTCAGCCTGGGGAGAATTCTGAAGATAGCAAGTCTGGTTTGTTGGAAAAATCTTGGAGCGGAGGCCCTGATGGGAATGAATTCATTACCCCATTTTTATCAAATGTTGGACAAATGTTAAGGTTGGACGGCGTTCTCTACTTACTTTTGAGCAGTTGGAATAACCCAGATTGGCTTAATGATGAAATTGCCAAATCAAATGGACTCCAAGGAACTCTGCTGATAAAACGTACTGCTGGGAGGGAACGACTATCAATTTGGAAGTTTGTGAAAATTGCTTAATTAGGATGTTTAATTTCTTTTGTAATACGTGCATACTAATAATCGTGATAAACGATAAGTGAACTTAAAATGTACCCATATGAATTGCGACTGTGTCGTCATGTACTTGTATTGCCGTGCATTTGTACTTTGACCAAAAGAAAACTGATGCACCGTGTGTAAGTCGTATTCTGTAAGGCATATATCTGTCGTTGTTGAACCACCTGAAAACTGTGTCATATTTCTGCCTTGAACTATGTAAACTGTTAGCCTCGCTGTATTGCAATTCAGTTTTTGTACGTGTTGACATTTGACAACTAACTGACTATAAGCCTGCCATTCTATTGTGATGTGATCAAATATTCCAAGTTACTCAATCGGGAAATATGTATAAAAACCTTAATGTTTGCACCTATATTTATCTATCTATCTAGCTTTTAGTATATTACGACTAACTTTATCGATGTGAATATCCGTTGTTTGTTTTACTTCCTGTACACCATTCCAGTCCTGTCGCAGGTAGTTTTTTTGTATACACACTAAAAAGCGTAAACTAAAGAGGTATGTATATTTTCGTTATGCATACTAAAATAGAGGCACAATAAAATTGTTGTAAACGTTTACTTCTTGTTTACATGCTGAATCAAATCAAACAATCAACAAAAATATAATATTTTTTTTAAACCGCATAAGTGAATTAGCGGTAAGTAAATAATAATAATAACCTACAGAGGCTTGCATATGATCACTCAGTGATGACTTTGTTGATGTGTCTTTATTTATGTATTAAAATTTGTTATTTTTAAAAGAGAATGTTGTGTTGGTTTTGTTCTGCTCACATGGACCCGAATTTCGCGGGGCGATGGTGGTGATTGAAAATCGTATCTTTGCCTCATCTCGCCTCATAATGTAACTCCTTTCCTTTCTCTCTCTCTCACTTTACCACTCACTTTGTTTCGTCCGATTTTCGTTTGCATGCAGTGAAGCAAACAAGCATGAAATCACAGATCAAGAGTTAGAGTTTGCTCATAATTTCCATCCCTCAACTAACTTCACGAAAAACTGTGCTCTGGAAGACAATTCAAGAAATAAAAAATTACTACATTATTCAAAGTTTATTTTCATAAATTACATTCTACGGACTCTTTTGGTTGGATCAGGTGTGAAAAAAGGCTTCTTTCTTTAGTTTCCACTATGAGGTAAGACTTAATTTAGACTGACAATTCCCAGGACCTGGCTACAAGTAATATAATTATTGAAGATATCATCTTTACTCATTGAGGTTGGTTTTCTGTCTAAACTGTGTTTATTTCTTCCAGTGACTTGTCGTGTGATAAGTGTGGGGTGACATTCATTTCGACCCGTAATTTGAGAGATCACGAGCGAAGCCGTGTTTCGAGAGGAGGAATATGCCCCACTCCTCGCAGGTAATAAATGTTTTGGGTCATTTATGTTGACCCCTAACATGCACTAATCCCTCTCCCAAAATATATACAGGGGAGCTAATGAAAACGGGAGATACTCTTGCGCGATCGAGGCATGTGGACAGGACTTTGACACTGCTGACAAGAGGAACAAGCATGAGAGAAAATATCATCGTGCAACAAATGACAAGTATGTTTTTAATTTTACTCATCCAGGTCCTGGCTATTAATGAATATATGCTTATGCTAAACTAATAATTTATGGTGCTATTTGTATTTGTAGCGAAGTAGCAACTAGCATGCATACTTTTAACTGTCACATTTGCGGTGCCTATTTGGGGAATGAGGAGTCATTGAGAAGACACATGAATTCCCATCGAAACCCAGACTTTTATGGAAAATCCAAAAGAACGTATGCAAGATTATTTGACACTTTATCACTACCTTTATCACTTTAAAAATAATTATTTCATTTGTAACTCGACCATTTGTCGCAACCGTTAAGGGAGAAGCGTTACCTAGATACTTACGGCCGTATTCTTAATGCAAAATTTCCAACCTGAGTGTGAGTGGCCACTCCCACTCACCATGTTAAAGAATACAAAATGTGAGTGGCCACTCACACTCAGGTTGGAAATTTTGCATTAAGAATACGGCCGTTAATGTCAAGCAATCGTGGAACGTATGCGTTCAGCGTTATATAAAATTTTAACCAGGTCCTGGGATTTATCATGATTTATGTTTATGTTCATTTAGTTATGGTCAGAACAGTGATGGCGGATTAAATCTTCTCTGCCGATTTTGTCCGCTGACATTTAATCATCTAGTGGATTTGACAGACCATGAATATATATTTCACCGGCCAGTGGAGATGATGCGCCAATTGACGTAAGTTATTTTCCGGTATAACTCATCCTTATCCATTAGTTTTATCGTTTATGGATAATTTCTCGTTTTACAGAGATCGCTTCCTGAAACACAAGAATCCTCTTTTACCAGCCCATGGCTTTACTCCTCGTGCCCTTCCTCCCAGTAACCTGGCTAAAGCTGCAGAAGAGGAGAACTGGATGTTCAAATGGGTCACGGGTTACATGAACTTTAAGATCGAATTACTCGATCGAAATCCATACTCGGTCTACCTAGTTGGGGTTCTAGGTCTCAAGTATAAAGTGGGACAGGATATCAGATCCTTTATTAAAAAGAACCCTAACCAATTGTCGCTGTATATTGGACGAACAGTTTGCCAGTCCCTGGTTAACTACCACCACTTCGAAATTCTGACTCCCCTGTCTGAAGCAGCCTGTCGAGGACAAACTATTATTCTCCTAAATAGCACTAATTTTCACGGAGACTGGCGGCGGAAGACGGAAAAGATAAGGAGACTCGAAGCCAGAATGATTGTATGTTCATTTTTCTTGCGACCAACCATAATATGATTTTAATTAAACTGTCTATTAACAGGAGGTGGCACTGACTGACAAGGAATTTGAGCCAGTTCCTGGTCTGCCACAATATAACATCCTGAACTCTCGCAGAGAGACGTCCAACCTGGCCAATTTGGATGACGAAACTATTGCCGAGATCATCGAAAAAGGAGTAACAGGCGTAAAATGGATCTGTCTTGAAGAGACCTGTGATGATTGTGACGCGATTCGTCACCCAAGGTGGGATGAAGACCTGGTGATTGACATGTCGAAGGCCATGCATCTTAAAGAGAAGATGGAACAAGTTGAACTCCCAGGACGTGGCCACTCTTCTCGAGAGAAACTCACCCGACCAATAAGTCAAGCAGCTGTTCATGAAGAAGTGGAGGTTCGAGTACAGGAGTTCAAACAACGAATTAGATCCTCGACCTACTACACATACACAGTTATTGTAACCGACAATGACCAATTTGATCCAAGTCAAACTGCTGAGGAGATCTGTCGCCAGATTCTGGAGCGGAAAGAGGAAGAAGACCTCCAAATCCCAGTTTATTTTGGGGTCAAGAGCACCGATGAAGCAAGCGCCCACCATGAAGAAGGACTTACCAGCCTAGGGAAGTTACTCAAACAAGGTGGGAAAACTGCCATCCAGATTTCGACATCATCCTTTGCCACCAGGGACCTGGCTAGAAGAGATGAAGCTCTGCGAATTGTAAGATAACTCCATTCTTTAAATTAAGATGCTCTTAACAGTTCATTTAATCCATGTCATATTTTTTTTTACAGCTGCATGCCTCACTCTCTATGAGATTCGCAACCCCAGGTGTTGAGACTGGGACACCAGGGATTAAGTTCGATATTTTAAATCAACGGATGGAGTGGGTATCCCTGTCGCTTTGCTCGGAACAGGAAATCCGTTTCTGCATCCATCTCGCCTGGCTCGGGGTTCCGCCCGTTTATTTGGGGGTGGTGGGGATGGGGGAGGGGATGAATATGCAATGGAATGGAATAGAGCTGGACGATGTCGAGATGGACGAAGCGATGTTGGAGGAGGCGTTGCAGGAGGCGATGGAGGGGATGATGGGAACCGAAGTTTCAGAATTTCCATTGCTCCCCGTCATGAAATTCCAACACCAAGGATACCCTGTTGATGTCAAAGCCCAGGTCCTGGCAGAGAAAGTCATAAAGGTGTTTGTATAAATAGTAATTTTGTTAATGAATTTGTTGAACACAAAACCTGCATATAGTATAATTTGTAAAAAAAAATTAAGCTCGTTCACGGATTTATAATTACCCACAAATTCAAATTATTCAAATTTATTTAATTCAATTATTTAATTCAATTCAATTTAATTCAATTATTTAATTCAATTCAATTTAATTCAATTATTCAATTCAATTTAATTCAATTATTTAATTCAATTCAATTTAATTCAATTATTTAATTCAATTCAATTTAATTCAATTATTTAATTCAATTCAATTTAATTCAATTATTTAATTCAATTCAATTTAATTCAATTATTTAATTCAATTCAATTTAATTCAATTATTTAATTCAATTCAATTCAATTCAATTATTTAATTCAATTCAATTTAATTCAATTATTTAATTCAATTCAATTCAATTCAATTATTTAATTCAATTCAATTTAATTCAATTATTTAATTCAATTCAATTAATATCCACATCTGCGGATACACACACTTCTAACAAAGAGCTGTCGGTGTGGTAAATGTACGCGTAAAATTGGATCGTCTGTCCGGAGAAGACGTCATTTGGAACGATAGAGTATCTGTTTATGCAAACTTACTTATATAATACGACCTTATTAAGTTGTAAGTAGTAAATATTATTAGTATTGATATTTTACTTGGCCGTATAGACGAAACCTGGCTGCACCGATGAGTTGGGGATCTCTGCGGTCAAAATAGTAAAACACAGTGGCCGGGCGCATACCTCAACCCTGAGGGAGAGAGACGTAGCCGGCGAGCCTAGAAAACAAATAGAAATTTTTCTTATCATTTGATCGAAATTAATATTAAAAGATATGTTTCATTTAGGGCGGTTACGCTAACGCGAGATGACCTCTCAGAGTTTTTTGCATATTTTTGAACATGATTTAAAGAAATTCTGAAAAAACTACTAACTTGGCATAAAATCTTTTTCGCAATCGTACACCGTTCCAGGTTGGAAACGACAGTATCCTTCACAGCCTGAAATGCGCAATTGGAGTGGCGTTGCAACTCCCCCGCAGCGAGTAATTGGGGCGACCACCCCCCGCGTTTGACTAACCCCCAGCCATGCGGTCATGGGATTATTCGTCTTCCGGGAAATTGCGACTGAAGACGCCGAGCAGGCGACAACCATGCACAGAAACACCCCGACCACTTGTAACGACAGCCTTGCCATATTCAAAACAAATATTTTCAAGCTGCTTGAACTTAATGCGATGACTTGCACAGCGGGTGTGTTGTCCAGTCCAGGAAAAGTGTAGAAAGTTAATAAAGCGACCTTACTTATAATTGTCTATATTTATTGTACGTTATCTTGGCCGGTTGTATCGTGTGGTGTGTGGCATTGATTGATTGTTGATATGTTTTACCATTGTTCATCCGTTGATAAGATTATACAGTGCTCGCTCGAACAATTATCCAATCAATTAAAATGATCATCTTTTTACAGTGTGTTTGAGGCATGGAGGGTGCTACATACATATTTATAAAATGCATAATTCTATTGCTGTCACCAGAGTTAATAGTTAATACCAGCGTCATTGCAATAAAGTGCTTCATTTAGGATTAGTTTGGGTACATGACGATGGTCAGGTCCATCTTATCTGTTACGTTAATATTTACTATTCAAAGAATGTTCAAAGTTGTGAGTTTGAGGGGAGTGGATGCTGTCATAAAATTATGAATACGTACTTAATTGCTTTATGTTTCTTTTTTCAATATTTGCAAACCATCATATTTACTTAGTCATCAGCAATAATTTAGGGACAAATTTCACCATTGAATTTTATTTGCAGAATTGGAAAGTTGTCCTCTAATTTATACAATGTGTCTGTAAAATGCGTCATACTAACATATATTTCCATATGTGGGCAGAATATGTGAATCATGGCAAAAATTCAAGATCTTCCTACTATTAAGATGAGCTTTTGTCAATTTTCTCAATTTTAAATGTCCCTAAGCACTAATATGACATGGACATTGGACATACAGTATATATATGCGTGTAAGTATGTATGTAAGTATATCTGACATTAATAAATAACTGACAGTGACATTGAACCTTAAAATATTTATACATAATGGGTGAAAGAAAGTGCATACATATACATGTAAATATGAATGTACTTATTTATGAATCACAAATGGTCCACGGGAAATAGTCACACATAATTTCTTTATTTAACGGCTTTCTTAATGGTTCGTCGTCCCATTCTGTTCTGTATTTTATTGTTCATTCTCAACCTTTGCGCGTATTAAAGGTAAAATATGCCGCTGATTTCACTTGAAACTTAATTTAACCTACTAATGCTAATTTCAACACTACATATGCAAGCATTTATTGATAACGTTTAGCCTTTTCCAAATAAGTGATGTACTACCAAGCGAGTTAGTGAGTCATGCTGTTCAATTTTTAATTCGAACAATTAAATGGTTTTTGAAATTATTTATTACACTCCAATTTCATAATACACAAACATATGACGTATTATACTTGTGAGCATATTCATCCATGTTGGCAGAACTATGACTCACAAGTCACATGCACAAATTAGGCAGTAACATTTTCTGGACGGATTGCAAATCAGTCAGTAGGGTATGACCTAATATTGCTTGAATACTAGTCCAAGTCATATGTCATGAGATTTATGATCTAACCTGATTTTATTTCGACGTCCATCCTCAATTGACGGACATCTCGTTTCCTTTTCAACAATGCATTAATGTGTTCTTTTAAAAAAATAGTCAATGGGACTCGTCCCCCATTCCATATAATCACGAATATCAGACTGCCTTTCCTTTTCTCATATCTTTAATATAAACGCGTATCACGTACGTGTATGCAAACTGAGCGAGACTGACTTGTATTTCTGCCACCTTAAAATTACAGTTGCAACAAAACTGCAGCTAAATCTTGTATATATTCCGTTTAATAATATGTCTGTGGTCTACTTGAACCTATGTTTGCATGCCAATTTATTAGAGTATGTATGTAGGAGAACGCATCCTCCATCCCTTTGCCAAATCACATCACGATCTGCATGTCATTATTGCACCGCATTACAGATTGCACATTTCTTTGAGAAAAAATCCTACCTCGAGTCAAATCCAACCACAAACTGCTATCCGTAACAGCATAAAGTGCATGCATTTAATTTAATTCGGTTTAGTTTAGACTCGTTTGCTTCTCCGCTGTGGATCCTTTGGCCGACATTGCACCACTTTTTGAATTCAGGTCAACTCGACCAAGTTTAGCTTGGTAACTGACGAACTGGCCCCGAACTGAAGTAGTGAGTGAGGTAAACTATCAACAACAATGACGATAAGAAAAGTAAAGCAGTGAAGTTGTAGTGGCGCAGCCAACCAGCTAGTTTTCCTTCTTTCTCTGTCTCCTTCTTACGTATCCACCTTTCCACCACTTTTCAATATTACATATTTAGGAGAACGGAAAACAGCCCTACTTATTTTTTACTCCCTTTTTTATTACCGAACCAAAGAAAGCACAGCGTCTTCAAGACTGCCCTTTAAGCTCCGTTGCACTAGGCTTGAGAATATGAAATTTTGGACTGGACTGAAGCCCAAGCACTTGAGATGAGAGGACTTTTTGTGAGAGAGATGGAAATGAATCCATTATTATTACATGAAGAATGATGACGGAGGGTGGATGATGGGACTGCCTTTACATAGATATCAAGCTATATATGCATGTTCTCATATATAGGGCATTTTCCACAAAAGGTTTTTAAAGGGACGCAAACAAATCCACCCATCCAGAGAAAGGTACAGGATTTATTTGTCCAGGTCATGAAGTTCATTCACGAACAGTTTTTTTAACATTACAATTTGCTAGATTCTTAAATATTTTTTACCTAATTTTAAGTGCAGATGGGAAATTAAAAATTGAATCACATACTTTTAAAGTAGTGCATGAAGGACGCTAAAAGCAATCAACTTTTAAAATCTCCAGGCTCAGAAATTAGTGTCAGTTGACCAGCGTTATATACACACACGGATATGTCTAGGCATTTGTACATAGAAATACACAAGTACCGCTGGAAATAACCTATCATAACATAGCAATACTTTATTTGTAAGTATTTATTTATATGGATTGTATACGGTGCAAGTACAGAAAATATGTACATGGTAAGCAAGAAATGAAATTACATAGACGTTATGTTATTAAATATGTTACATGCAATATGTACATAAGACTGGACTGGACCATGATGAAATTCGTTCTTTCTTTGGTTTGGTTTTTTTGTTATTTTGTATGCACGATAAATCTTTTATATTGCTCAGCCGTTGACTTTGAGTACTTGACATTATTGCTGCAATATGAGATTTAGGTGATTATAGTGATGACATGTACATATGTACATACAACATATGCTTGTACATACAAATATATGGCATCGGTTATTGAAGTCGTAAGTAATTTTGTGCTCGTAGGCAGTAATGGAAAGACCTTCAAAGACTAATTCCTAGCATAATATAAAAATATGTGTCGTGGCCTACTACTGATCCGATGTATCCGGTACAGCACAACATGATACCTCCTCCTCTAACAAGTGTTTATGTATAACCATTTTTATAACAATATGCAGCAGCTTTTTTAACGGGATGTCTTCAGAAAGACTCGCTCTCATCTCATCGACATATTCAGATCGAGATCACATCGTCGCATACATGCATCCTTTGACCAAAGTACACCACACGATCACAGACAATGTGGCGGTCATCATCACATAAAGATATATAACCTATTGGCAATAGTCCAATGGTGGGTGATTTGTAGATATGCATATGTACATATGCATACATGCAGTTATATACAAAAGGTGCTAAAACATGATACCGCAAAACAAAGCCCATTGTAGTAAGTCAATGGGTTCACTCAGCTTCTATGTATCTCTCAACCAGACCAACTCTTGGGAGAAATTTGCAAATTGGAGTGGTGCACAACAAAGTATACGACACCACGAGGGAGGGAAATAGAATTTGCAATAAAATTGGCACAATATATATAGAGCCTGTGATCAAAGACATTGTCACTAAATTGTCTAGTGGAGTGCCATAGTCCACCTTGAAAAGTCGAGTGGATTTGAGTGCAGTAGTCGTCTTCGAACCAGCATCAGCACCACATTACCACCATTCCTATATATTATCCTAGTCTTCATATTTAGCTGCCTGGCTGGCTTACTTGCATACACAGGAAAAAGCAGAAGCGAAGAAGACACAGAACCAACAATTGGATTCGGCTTCGACTTTTGATTCTCAACTTGATTGCTGATTGTTGTGTGTGTGTATGCAAGTGTATGTGTGTAAGTGGGAGATGCAAGAAATTTGTGGGTCAATCGGTTAGTTGGCTTCGAGGAGCTAGCGAGACAATGTCCTCACGTCCGTGCTCGGGAAACGCTTCCTCCTCCTCCTCGACGGCCACCTCTTCCGGCGTCAATCCAGGATCTGCCCCCTCCGGAAACAAGCCCAGTGTTCAGGTGCACAATCAAATCATTATTTGGAAGCGTTATGAATGAAAATTTGTTTGTACACCAGTCTACATATACATTTTGCTACTGCATCTCATGGTATCCATATCGTCTGTTGTGTGATCGTGTAATAACGCTTGTGATGAAACGATTATGTATTATGGTGACTTTGTCGAGTGTCGAAGATTTTGCATGGACAGTGGTCGCACATCCAGTCCTTGTGTTTTGCTCATGTGTCCAAATTATGGGTTTCATGTTTAAATATACACAACTTTTACATGTTATGGTGCATTTTGTGTGTGACTTTCAGGTCACAGCTCGAGTCCTGTTCGGCTCTGTCAATGCCATATCAACTCTGCAAGCTGAAAGGAAGCGGAGGAGATGAAGTGGGGGCTGTTGTGGTCGCCCCTTCCAAAGTCAACAACATGTCCACCACGTCCCGTCGTACTCGTCGCCGTGCTGCTCCTTAAATTCAGTAGCAGTTCGACCCCACATTATTCAACCGTATTCACCAAGTTTCCTAACGTGTCCCTCCATTCGTCTGAGACGCTGCCTCAATTTGACTCCAAAGTTCGAGTGGAGGCAGACGTCTTTGATGAGGACATTCTCCAATACGACTTTCCCATCCATTATGCTGCATATGTACAAAATGCAATAGAAACTGGCGTTAAAGATGCAACGGAGTTGTATGAAAAAATTGAGCCAGAACTGTACAATAAAAGTGAGTACCAATATTAATGTATGGTGTTTCTGTATGAGTACTTCAGGATATGGGAAAATTGAGACATTCAGTGTCCAGTATTAATAATAATCTTAATACGGTACATATTGATGATCAGCGTAATAAGTGACGCGTAGCATGTAATAAATAATCAGGTCGTGATTTATATTCGGGATATTTCAATATTTTCAGATATTATAATTGAAAACGGTCACCCAGCCTCTTATCTGGCAGCGATCAATAGACAGGCCCCAAAATCAAAAGAACTTGCTCGAGTGGCATACGCGACCCTGAGGGCTACGACGGTTTTAAAAGAACAGTGAGTACTCTTGACTATATGTATGGAGGGCTGGAAAATTCAGCATTTAGAATTCTCTCATTTGAACCTCTTGGTTATTTTTATCTAAAATTTACAGGTTGGCTCAATTTAGAGACGAGATTCATGAGAACGACATTCTTCGAAGAACTGTTTTTCAGAGATCTAGTTGTCCCACAAAGTACTTTAACCAACTTTAAGCAAGCTTGTCAATGTGCTGTACTTATTAAATTATTTCACATTTTATTAGACGTCAGTCGGATGAATGTTCGGTTTCCACCCACCAATATAGAACACTTGATGGCACATGCAACAATTTAAAAAATCCATATGTCGGTTCATCCTTCCAACCATTTGCAAGATTCCTTCCACCAGAATATGATGATGGTAATTTCATAATTTAAATAATTACCATTAGTAGACAAGCTTCAATTAAATAATGAAGTTATGTTCCTAAATTTCCTTTATAATGTTATATTGAAGGCGTTTCTACTCTTCGTAAATCCATTTCTGGAAACGAACTTCCATCCGCCAGACTGGTGTCATCTTCAATTCACAAAGATGTATCAAGGCCATCATCTACGTTTACATTGATGCTTATGCAGTAAGACACAATAATTTAATGCCACTCTTAAAACCAGTAAAATCCAGTTGTGGTGACAATTGATGTCCAAGAAATGCATGGTTTATATAATGGTTTATGTTTTTCTTCTCTCTAATGTTCAATCTTGCTATAAAAATCATAGCCAATTCTCATGGGCATTCGGGCACTCGGGGCATCATAAACCCGAAAGGGTGAAAAATTCCGATTTGTTCACTAAAATCTACCAATTTAATTGGTTTTGGTGGACATATTTTCATAGATTAGTGCATAATAAATCCCAGACAAAAGTATTCAACTTAAAACATTAGTCTCATCATTTCAATCTCTAAAATGTTATTATTAATTGTAATTAATGTAATTTTATTATTTTTGACCTGTTTTACAGATGGGGACAACTAGTTGACCATGACCTAACTGCCACCTCACAAACTCGAGGTACACAAGGAATTAATATTTACAAAAATATGTACTAGTTGATTTATATTCGCTCACTAAAGTTCATATATTACACAAAAACTTTCAGCTTTTAACCATTCAGTTCCTAAATGCTGTAATGTTAGTGATGTTCATCCAGATTGTCTCCCAATCAAGGTTATAATTTTGTGAAGCTAGATAACTATTATCCCAAATTTAATTCATGCTAAATTTTTGTATATTTCTATGTACTCCAGATTATGCCGGATGACGCGTATTTTAATACCACATTTTCAACTTGCATGGAATTCATCCGTAGTTCTCCTGCTCCCGTAAGTTGGTTAGCCACTGCTATTTTGTATACCTGTTCCCATTTGAACTTGGGAATGAAATTTCATAATCTAACTTAGATTATTTAAATCGATCCTTTTTGCAGCGACCAGACTGCACGCTTGGACCAAGAGAGCAACTTAATCAAGTTTGATTGACACTAATAAATTCGCAAATAAATATTTGAGTTAAATTACCAAATCCCTTATTTTTGCCCATATTTGTTTAGTTAACATCATGGCTCGACGGCTCTGTAATTTACGGGTCGACAGCAGGAGATCTGCAAACCCTTCGCTTATTCGAGAAGGGTTACCTCAAATATTCCAATATGCGAAATCGGAAAGCCTTGTTGCCGCAGTTGGTCCATCCCGTCGAGAACGAGTGCATTATCTCGTCCCCACGCCTGTTCTGCTTCGCTGCTGGGGATGGAAGGGTGAATGAACAGCCAGGACTTACAGCCATGCACACAATTTGGTAAAGTAGACCACTTACACAACTGCATAACAAGTACTCCGAAGTTATATAAATCATAGCGAAGTACATCGTAATTATTTCATAGGTTGAGACAACATAATCTGATGGCAGATAAATTAGCAGAAATTAACCCTCACTGGGACGAAGTATGGACCAGCAGATTTCTCCATTTAATTGAACATTCTATTAAATATAGTATGCATAGTGTTGATGTAAATAATTGTAAATATTTGTATTATTTGCACAGGAAAAATTATTTCAAGAAACTCGAAAAATTATAATTGCTCAACTCCAGCACATAACCTACAGAGAATTTCTACCATTCGTGTTGGGTCCTGACGTTCTGAGAGTTTTCGGAATGAGACTGTTGAAATCCGGATATTATGAGGGATACAACAACACGACAGATGCAACAGTTCCAAATGTAATTTTTTGTAGTTATTTCAAAACTTCGTAAAAAATAACTTCACGATGAATTTAAGGTTTTTGGAGCTGCGGCCTTCCGATTTGGTCACTCCTTGGTGCAGCCTCAGCTCCATCGATGTGATGAAAATCACCGAGAAATGCCGTATAGTGAGATCACATACGTATTTATTAACCTTGATGTTCTCTCTTAAAATGAGGTTATGGACGCTGAGAATGATAACTCTTATTTTCAGAAATCGAACTCAGTCATGAAATGATGAGTCCCACGAACATACACAACTTGGGAGAAGTGGATCGCATATCGTTGGGGCTAACGTCACAAAGATCTCAGCGTCGAGATGAATTCATAACTACACAACTTACAAACCATTTATTTCAAACTCAAGGACACAAAGGTCTAGACCTGGCTGCAATAAACATCCAACGTGGCAGGGACCATGGACTTCCTCCATATTTAAGGGTAATGCTTTGATAACATGATACATATGTTCGTTCAATATGTAACTGATACACATTTTTCAAAATTTTGTAGTGGAGAGAAGCTTGTGGGTTGCTAAAACCATTGAATGGGAAACAAAACTCAACTGTATCCAATTGGGATGATTTTTCAGAAGCAACAGAAATTCCAAGAGGTTAATTATATTGATAATTTATGGCTACTAACTAAAAATTTAACATTTTTGCATGTGAATTTCCAGAGAAAGTTGAATGGTTTTCCAAATTGTATGAAAGTCCTTGGGATGTGGGTGAGTTGAACAATATGTGAAATATGTACATATGTGTCCAAGAGATATGCACAACTAATATTAACATTTACTTGAAAAGATTTATTCCCCGGAGCAATGGTTGAATATCCTGTGAAAGGTGGATTATTGAGTCCCACATTTTCATGCATTCTCGGACAAACATTCCTCAACCTTCGGAGAGGGGATCGTTTCTGGTACGAGAACCCAGGACAATTTAGCCCCGTTCAATTACAAAATATTCGGAACATTTCCCTATCTCGAGTTATTTGTGACACAAGCGACGGAATTAGAACGATGCAGCCCATCGTATTTCTTGTTCCCGACGACATAAAAAACCCCAGAGTCGACTGCTCAAATTATAGTGTGATTCCAATAATGGACTTTAATGCTTGGAAGGAGGAACCTTTGTCATTCAATTTGAATTCAATTTCAAGGTTCGTTTTAAAAGAAAACTATTTATACCTCAAATAATTAAGAAAAAATCATTTTATACTTATTTGTATTGCAAATACACAGAAAGGATTTGTTGGATGCAGACATTTACTTTGACAACAATAAACCAACAAATTATTAGAATTCGTTGGACAACCTCGGGATCTCATCCGACTCAGATTTCAAACAACATTTCGTCATGGCCCGTAAACGAAAAATGTTACATAGGTTTACACAAATGACTAGGTTGTACGCAATACCTTCCTCAATACCTTAATTTTTATTACATAATACATGTATACATATTTATAATAATGCATGCTCATTTTTATTTTCATATTTTGTAAACAAGTACTAATAAATTTAACTTTACGAATATTACAACAGTGTTACAGTTATTTCAAAAAGTCATGAACCAGCATGATTAATATGAGACACGAGCGAGTTTTTTCTACCTAAAAATTACCACCGGAAAAGGTGACTAGATAATTAATTCAAGCAACAGGAATCTGCATAACCATATTTATTATTGGTATATAGATTTATGTATATAGTTTCCTACATGGAGAAGCGTGTAAATATCCCATTTTATTTTGCTCATTATACATACAACGTATGCAACGTGACAAAAATCTTATGCCACATTGATTGAAGATCAATAACAAATAATTTTATACCTTTCTAAGATTATTGAATTACTGTCTACGAAGAGATGAAAACTCTTGTAGTAGAAACCCATAGAGTCGTTTGACCTTTCGTCTCGAATGTCTCACGAAATCGGGGAGAACGCTTGTTTCTTTTACTGCATTCTTCTGCTGGAGCCTGGACGGAGTAAATGCAGAAATCTCACCTCCCCCACCTATCGCATTCGGCGACGGAAACGGATGGAATTCCTCGCCATGGTCGGGTTTGACAATTGAGGTAACATTGAGATCATTATCAGTATCAGTATTTTGAGGATCGGTGGTAGTATTATGCTCATACATCAAATTGTCTAAAGTAACATTCATTGAAGTAGCAGTTGAGGAGAAGGTAGCAGTCGGAAAAAAATCGTCACCATCTTCAGTGGTGTTTGATGTATTATTATTGCTAAAATCTAGTACTCCAACTGCTAAACCCTTATTGTTATTATCATTTGTGTCGTTAAGGTTGTGCTCAGGCTGGGCTTGTGATGGTGGTAATGTGATAACGTGCAAGGAAACAGTGGGTGATCCTTCCGGCAAGTCGTCTGTTGTGTTGGGTGGAGTGGGTGTGGTCGTGGTTTTCGGCTTGGTGGAGTTCGCTACCCTAAAAGTTTCCCTTAATATGAGACCCCTTGGGTTGATTCCCCCATAAATTGCTACCATGCATAGGATGAAAATTGTAACAAAAAGAGAAAACACTGCACAAATGGCTGCTCTTCTCTGGAAAATTCGTTCATTCTCAAACTCTTCGCTTGTGCTCGTAGAAGAAATCTTTTCCAACATTCCTCCAAATTCGATAGAATTTAGTTCTTTTGCGATGATTTGTCGCCGTCTTGGGGAATAGGCAAAAAATGTGTCAAATATGGGGTAACAAGTACGTTGCACATGTACAAGTATGTGCATATAATGTGTCACATGTAAGGTTAACTGTTATCATGCACTTACCTACCTTTGGACAGCGTTTCGCGTGCGGGATCGGTTTGCATTGCTGGGGGCTGCTCGGCCCGTCCTGCTCCCACCATTAACTATGCGACCCTGTATCAAGAAAAAGATTTAAGCAGACATCGGATAAAGATCTACATTTTTGCGATAATATAGATGATATGTGAGGTAATATAGATGTGTATGTATGATATGTATGAGACAAAATCATGATTTAATATTTATTGTACTCTGCGACTGCTATTTGCCGAGTCCCTTGAGCTTGAAGAATAGCCGGTGTCTTGGCGGCATCGTCCATGACCCTGGTGACTACTCGTTTCGGAACTACGGCTTCCAGAAATCTTGTAAATGCCTGGATTTTCGCTCATCCTATTCAAACCATACCCGCAATGAATTATTTTTTAACAGAAACCTTTCCAAGAAAATGGTGTACCGTATTTTTCTATTTTTGCGTGTGGGTCTTTCGCTAGTGAATGAAATCTCGTCCAGCGGGACGTCCGACTCTTCTTCTTCCTGAGAATCGTTAGTTCCAGAAAGTACAGATCCCGACATTGCCATTTCCAGATCATCTTCCTCAACACGGTCAGTCTGGGGAGGAATGAACGCTTCTTCGATTCCGGTCGGGAGGTTGCTGGTAGAAAGTGATTTTCGTCGACCAGTCTGATTATTCGTGAAAATATAAATATAAAATAAACACTTCTCTGTAAAACATGTAGATAAAAGCAATTATTTTTAACATGTACTTTTGCCCTTTCTCTTCGGGCGGCCTCAAGGACTCGATTATTCGTTTGAGCTTGGGAAGTAATCGAGTCCTGTGATCGGTGCTTCTTTGGTTGGCCTCCGGAAGATGATTGCTGTCCTTTCTTAGTGTTCGACGCACCTATGAAAAAAAGTTTCTCATGCAAAATGATTTTTTTTAGCTGGGTTAAAATTTGGAGATATAATTTCTCCAGCAACCTGCTTTTTTTCCTGACGCCGCTGCCGCCGAAGCCACATTTCGACCAGCTTTGATCTTAGGATCTGCCGTAGGACCCATGAACGCTGCTCTTTCAACCGCTTTAGCTAAATTTCCTGACACGGTAGCCTTCGCCATTTTGGATATCTCCTTGTTCTTTTCTTGCTGCACGACATAGAGTCTGTAAAACTGAAGTATGATGACCAGGGTGTTTTTGCAAGTGAAAAATATGTTCATATAACTGATGATTTTATACTAGAACAAACGGATATAAAAAATATTGTTTATAGAGCAACGAATGTTCATCAGGAGTCACGATATCAATGAATTATTGTAATTTATAAACTAACATAAGTTATCAGCAACATCCTGAAAATAAGAAAGGGCGCATCCTGCGCGAGTATGAAAATATAATGAAACTTAAATTGACCTGTCAATTTCAATTTAAAATCCTTCAAAATATTGCGATAACTGTACCTGCAAAATAATGTTGATCAAGATTCCCCACACGTCAATGGAACAACAAACCTCTTTCACTTTATAAATCCCATTCACAAATTTTGGTTTGGGGGGATCAATGTCAGCAGTGATTCGAGTTCTCCTAGATTTGGTAGCGGTGAGGACGAACGTAAACTGAAGTAAACTCCAAGACCAAATGGATAAAATGAGAAGACACAATATTCGACGTGACGCGATCTTGTCATCCTGAATGACAAAAGAGGCGACATAAATTATAAGCGAGTCATTAGCCACACTAACTGTACATGTTTTATGCAATAGCTGCATGTTTATATGTGCTCTGGAAAATGACATTGGTTATGTAAACTGAGTTATGTGCATATTTATTAAGTATCGTACCTTGAACGAGTCAAAGAATTCAATGATATCTGCAGCAGTGCCAATATAAACCAGAAGCAATTGTGAAAGTTGATCTCGGGTTAGTCCGCCCTTGATGCAAATGTATATTACATTAGTTGGTTTAAACTTTTGTGCCAATACTTAAATACCTTCGGTAACATCCATCTTCCAATGATCAAAATTAGCATGAGTAGCTGCTCGATTACGGTGGCCCACGTTTCTTCGTCCAGATCTTTAAGAATGTCAAGTTGCACCTGCGTGCATGCGAATTTATAAGATTATAGTGTAATTCTTTACTTCTCTGTATGCGAAATAATAATTTAAGTTTCAATATAGCAGTTAATAGTACATCGATAAAATCATGCGATCCACATATCAATACAAAATCTATAATTCTGTCATTTTATCTCAATTTCAACAAAGTTTCTTTTGACTCAACCAAGGTTGCTGAACCTGAAATATCAAATAAGGCATCATCCATAAAGGACTTACAGCACTGATTTTACTTTAGTGAGGAATATCAGAATACTGGCGCCCCATAAAGTCGAGAGAATGCATCATTTCTAAAACCCTGCCTACAAAAGATGAGAAATATAACTGATTCCACTTTCACGAGGCAGACAAAGGTAAAATCAGTGAAAGTGGATTGTAGTTCGACTTTTCTATCTGCGGATACGGAATTTCCACCTCATTAGCCTCTTCCTCCTTCCCGATAATGTGTTAATAATGGGATTCAGTCGTAACACCTATTTGTTCATCCATCCATCGATCCAATCCGGTATGATGACCACACTTCCACCTACTGCGCCATTTCCCATCATCGATTGAACCGCTTTTATTGGAGTTAGCACACAACGCTCGATATGAATTTATTTCACGATTAAATGTCTTCTATACAACAATCACCTATAACGTAAATATGTTTACACAAGTACATACTTATGCAATGAATGTACTTATGTATGTACACAACAATGCAATGAATGCAATTGTATCAATGAAATGCAGCATGCGAAATATTCAATAAGCATAATTCAAATTTAGTATTATTGTTTATCAACATGTAGACTAATAAACTTGCCAATCATTAGAGATAATACAGAAAGTTGTAAGTTTGAAAGCTTCTGGCGTAAGAAAATTACATACAAAAATGGCTCGACTTTTCCTACACGTTACTGTTTTCGTCAGTGCATTAGTAGTTGTAAGTCATCAATCTCCGCAAAGAGGTTTGTATACAATCCGGCTAATTTATCATCAGTATTTAATAGTAAAGCGTAAATTTACATGTGCATCCCTTCCAGACTATTCGAAACCTCAAATTACCAGTTTTGCCAGCCCATTTGCACCCCCAATGCCAGGGTCAGGAATGGCACAATTTTCAAACCCTTTGGAGAAGAAAGGACCAATTGGGAACGTTATTGCAAACGCGAAGGGCGAAGGTGGCAGTACATCTGCAAATGGCTATTCAGCAATTGGTACATATGCATGAAAAACCTTTTGAAAATATTCAGACATGTAAAGTCTTAATCAATTTTGAAGGTGGGAATGTACTGTCGAATGCCGTAAGTGCACCTCCGCCAGGATGGAAACCATAAAGAAATTCAAAAAAACAAAAATATACGGACAGTGGAATTATTGGATAAATCCAAAACAAAAACAAATTTGGTCATACTTTATGACCACGATGAATTGAAATAAACAAAAATATTTATTTTCTGTATATGCTAAATTGAGCTGGTTAGTTGTAGGTAAATGCAAAATTCAGCATGTTTTATTAAGTTTTGTGCTGCTAATTATATAACTCATATATGTACCCACATGTTTGTGTATACGTATGTAAAAGCACTAACGACTGAGGAGTGCGTACATATGTCCCTTCAAATTGTTAATTAATATGCTTATTCTAAATATGATTATTTTTAGCCAAAATTCATTTGCATACCCCGAGGTTCAAGTTTTCAATGGCTGTAAAAACTTCAGGTGGAAGCTTATCTTTATTGATGGCTGTTTGATTATGTTTTTCTGCCAATTTTAAGAGCAATTTCTTGTCGAACTTATCCACTTCTAGCAGCCAAATCGCTGGTACAACGCTACAAAGATAGAAAAAGACGCTGGGACAGAACCTGAAATTTAATAAAATCAGTAGTTACAAGCTATACTTTATATGACATATATTAGCAATATATTAACTATGACCATATAACTTCATATACAGTGTGTATGCGATCATTGCGATACTGTAAACTGTAGGTACATATGCAATTTCCACACTGAATGTCAACTTCAGATTTCTGGAACAAAAATGTTCAGATTTGCAGGCTAACAATTAGATTTTGGCGTTGAAGTAAAAAAAAACTGCAGTGTAGATATTACATAACCCTGATTAGTAATTTTCTTTGTTTCCTTCTTATGTATAAACCGTTTGAGCCACGCTCTTGAAAACCTAGAACAACCTGACCCCCTGACTAATGAGATGCCCATTTTCGAATTTAATTCTTCATTTGCCCCATACTCGTCGGAACCAAGCTGATCAAAATTGTTTATCTGTAAGCGTATTACACAGACGGATACGACAATTCATGACGACAAGCCGCAGTACAGGATGTATGCACTACATATACTCTACCCAAGTAGATAATAAGATGAAAATGTCACAATTGCACTTATTATGTGATGTAGAAAAATGTGTTAATTGCGTGCATATGTATCTATGCATAACGCTACATAATGTGTTGCGTTCGGAACATACTTTTATCGAGTCGAAGTGCAGTTTTGAATCTGCATATGAACATTTAGAGACAAATTCACTAATTCAAAGGTTTTTGCATTGAATTTCCCAAAGTCAGGTTCAAACTTTTCTCAATTGTGGAAGCAAATTGTCTAGCGAAATTTTCACCCTAAGCAGTCCTATCATATCCTTACATAATTTGTTGTCTGCTATTTTCAATATGTATGCCAATGATTAAGTGTAATTGAAAGTTTTTGTTGAGAATTTCTTACCATTTCCACTCTTGATTCTTCTTGATGGTGAGGGTGAAGACACCTTCAAACATGAGTGCGAGGATTGAAGCGCAAAGGTACCAGTAGTATGGGTCATTTTTGATCTGGGTGACCCTAATCCATAAAAATCATGTTAACAACTTTTGTGATAAACCATAAGCCGATGGGCACTATCCACATTTCAAGCGACTATGACGAGAAACAGAGTTTTTTGAAACATATTTTAATATTGAGGACATTTTAATTATCGAATAGACTTTTAAATGCATTTATTATTACTCAACATAATATGAACAATTAACCAGGCATAAAATATTTAAAATATAAATATAATATCTTACCTCCATATCGCAACGAGCCCATGTGTCGCGAATATTACACGGGTTAAAATTGCCTTAATTACCACGATAACTTGTGCAAATCCCTTTGCCATTTCCTTTCGTCAATAGCAGTTTACATTTTTAGTTTTCAAGCAAACTTATCCTAAAAAGACGCAAGTTGGTAAAAGAGAAAGTGAGAGGAAAGTGAGACGCTTTTGCCATTCCAAAATGAGACTGCTGCTTTTGCTCCTGGCAAAATTCCTTTGCACCAAAGATGATTCAGTATCAAATATCAATATCACATAATTCATTCAGACGCATTATGCATGATTTCATTCTCCATCTCCACAACCGCACTTGAGTAATAGCCAGCGTCCCATTTGGATTCAGAGGAATGAGAAAAGGAGAGTAAAAGGCTTTCGCTCCATTCAGAAGAGAACTTTTCCTCATCCTCCTCCCACCACGGCTGGCTTTCATATCCCAAACGAAATCCACATTTATTATTATGTTACATGGGCTCATTATTATCGGCAAGCAGGTCAATTCACTACCACTTTCGCTCTCATTATCATCCTTAACAACATTCCAGCCCAGTCGTCCCACTCAACTAATGTAAAGGATCGATGAAGAAGATACATAGATATTTAGCTACGAACATGATTTTATACAGATTTCTGATATCATAAATACGGCTCGAACGTGACTCAAAATGTACGACTAGAAATATTGTGGGCCATTTTATCCTGATAAATTTCATGAATGTATTGCCGTTATTTTATATAGTAAGCACATGAAAGTTCCGTCATTTCGCGTCACATTTTCAGTTTTTTTATTTGTTTAATTTGAGATAATATATAATTTTTTGTTACTTCTTGATATCATAAATTATTAGTTTAATTATTATTATATATAATAAACGAATCGAATATTAAATACGTATTTATGTGGGAGTAGAGTATTTATATACTGTGAGAAGCTTAACAAAATTATTGTGTAGCAAATAGTAGCGAATAAGTACAAAAATGATTACTGACTAAATGCTTCTTCAATAATTAACATTGCTCATGTAAGTACTAAATTTTTGTATAGGTTCCGCATTTCAATGGAAACCTTTTCTAACTATTTTATCAATCTTGGTTCCTGGTACACAACCATTTTCATTGTCGAAATCAAGTTGCCACGTCTTAAATTTTGAGTTTCGAAATTGAAATACTGAAATTGCAACTAACGATCGTTTACATTGGTCTAAAAAATCTGGTTCATGAGAATATCACTCTAATTAGGCTGGTTAAAGAGGCTCTAACTTTGTTGTGGTGTTTCGTTTTGACTTATCAGACCACAGCAAATCTAAAGCACCCAGACTTTTTATTGCAGCGAGCATATATAACTCTACCAATGCATAGACAAATTAATAATATTTGGACATATTGATATTTAGCTGCGACAATGAATTGCACATAGGTCTTAGTGTATGAGGATAATGTAACAATAATGTAGGCTTGATAAACTTTTTCTGCGAGACAGGTCAATTAATATGTAAATATTATCGTTTCATGAAGAATTAAATATATGAGATTATAAGTGTATTGCTAAATTGGTACAGATAAATTGGGTCGCTTCGCTGCACTATTTTATAACAAACTAATTATTATGTTTTACTGCAGAACAACTAGAATGACACAGTTTAGATTTAATTAAAGCCCGACATCATAAAACTAATGAACGTGCATTGCATGCATGTACACATTTTCTACCCTCAACATCCTTAGTATTTTTGGTATGTTATAACTTTATATTTTTTGTTGGTATAAAAAGCACACAACGTATTTAGCAACCATCAACAGACCTATAACATGTAGTACCTATTACTTATTACCTCTTGATTAGACAATTAGATTTGACGTTCAATCAGAAAAATTACTAAAACAGTGAGGTTTGAGCGTTGTAATAATTTGAATACTTGGAGGTTTGGTTATTTTTTGGTACGGTCATTCACGCTTAAAGAGAAAAGCAGCATATAAAACTTTTACCTTGTAAATTGTGCGAGTGATCAATTTTATCCGTGTACATGCCGTGTATACGAATTATCATTTATATACTAAATATTATGCGTACTTGTAAATTCATTATTACTATTTTTATTATTATGTAGTTTAGTCTTGCAGCACTCATTAGGATCACAGATGTAAAATTCTTCACCGTTCTTCATGTTATGTCTGACTTTGACTCATTCGGTAACTTTAAAATACCCGTTATTTTATTCCGCCCCGTTTGATAAGGAAGACGCCAATTGGGAATGACCATTGGTTAAATTTAATTTAAGACCATCCACTGATTCCGTCTTTGTAAGAGGAGGTTTAAAGGTGAGGTCCTCCAGTGGCGTTGAGGGTGGATCGTTGAAATTGTTCATTTGTGTATTCAGAGTGGAAATACAGCTTTGCAACTCCTTCAATCGGTCCTTATCACCTCGGCGGTGGTGGTGCTGGCGTTGTTCATGAGTATCTGATTCCGAGTCAGACTTATCCCCATCCGACTTGCTTTCACTGGTTCGTGAAGAGACTCTCGTTCGGTCACGCATCAGCTCCTTCTCCGCAAGGAGTTCTTGGTTTTTTAACTTCAAGGCCGAGATAATTTGCGAGAGATCAAATATTCGCTAGTAGAAATAATAAGATTAATTATAATTAAGCACAACGCATATTTACGTATATACATATTTAGATAGGAAGTTATTGCTGGCGAAAATACCTGACTCTTTTCGGCATCCTTAATTCTGGCATGAACTGATTCTTCTTTCAACTTGGATTCCAAATCAGAATATCTTCGTCTTTCATCTTTGAGTTTAGATTGCATATCTTTATCTTGCGCCCATGACGAGTCCAAATCCTGCAAAATATTAAATTGTGTATTTAATGTATAAAATATGTTGAATCAAAATATTAAATTTTGCAAACCTCTCTGATACGTTTACTATCATCTTCTTGTCGTTTCAGTTGATTTGATGTCACTTGCACCTAAATCAGATTTAATTCAAGTTATGCTATCTTTATTCGTCCCATTTAGAAGAGCAATAAGCATGCTCAGCTTTTAAGCTGAAATATTAATACATACTTGAGTTTCTAGTTCCATAATTTTCAGTCTCTGTTCCTTAAGTTCTATGATGGATTGCATTTCCCTTAATTTTAGAGTCATTACTTCCTCTTCTAATCGTTGAACCTCAACTTTGGACGAATTGAAAAGGTTTCCGAGGGGTGTGGCATTTGACTTCTTCTCAGTCGAGCTTTCATCATGATCCTGTAAGTGACGCTGCCATTGTGAAGTAAGATCAGCCACTTTCCCTCTCAAGTCTTTCAACGATAATGAGGCTGTACATGAAAAATTATGAGTTGAGAGATTATTATTACGTTATTATTATGACCGATTTTTAGCTTTGACAGAAAAAATTACCTTCAGCTTCTCTTAACTTTACTGCAATGAGTTCTTCTTGTAAGTGAGCTACAGAATTATCAACCACAGACTCCCGAAGTTTCTTTTTGTCCTCCTCCTGCTCTTGAATTCTACAGCGTAAATCGGACAATATGACAGAATTTTCGGCCTCTTGCAAGCGCACTTCGACCAATTCATTCTGCAAACAATGGATAAGATCCTCCTTTTGCTTTAAGAGTTCAGATTTTAACGAGATTTCATCCATTGAGGTCTGCTTTGTAGAGTTTGTTTCATCCAACACGAGCAGTAGATGCTGATATTGTTGAGCTACATTCTCCAACTGCTTCATTGTCTCCATGTATTGTTGACGAACTGAAGCCAACTCTCGCTTCAGTGTGAATGTCGTCTAAAAATTAAAAATGCATTTAGCGATTTCAGTTATTTTAGGTGTGTAAATTTATCAAGTTTTGCATAACGTAAGTAAAAATGTGTTATAGTTTACCTCCACCTCTTCCGCCCTGCCAACTTGACCCTGTATTAACTTATTTGCCAGTTCTGATGATTCCGTTTCCAGTATCTCAATTCGTTGTTTCAATAATTTGTTTTCAGTTCTCAGACGCTAAATTGGTTATTACAGAATTTGATTAATAGGGTTAGCAACAAAACTACATCGTGTCTGTCACAATACGTGACACATAGATATTTAGAAATAGCTTACCCTCAATTCCACCATTTCTTCCTGTTCTTTCGTCTTCATCGCTGCATAGTCTTTCTCAAGCTTTTTCATCCTCTTCGCATTATACTTTATTTGGGATGTGGCATTAAAAAGGAGTTCGGGATCAGCCTCTATTCTATTTGTGGACAAACCAAAGAGTATAATTAATAATCGTTCACGTAACACAACGTAATGAAGAATGTTGAGAATATTCCTTGTTTATCTCCAAAACGTTTAAATATTATTTTAATAAATGCTACACATAACAACCTGTCAGGAATTCTGGGTAAATATATCCATTATGTCATGATGTACATATGTATTATGATTATACATGCATACTGCGTGATAGTAATAAACTAGAGCAAAGCAATCGTGATGGATCTCAATATTAACCTGCTACCACAGAATTACAAACAAGTATTTGTTTGATACTGTCAAGTGTTATCGACGGAAAAGCACGAATAATTTTTTTGGGGTGAAACGAAAATTGACAACTCACCTCAATGGAAGTTCTTTTGATAAATTCTAAAAATAAAGATACAAATTATAAATACATAATCCTTTTCGATTATTATTATCATTTGAATTTTTTGCATACTCTAAGAACGCCTTCCATATCCAGAAATAGGAGTTCATTCTTCGCAATAGTTAGTAGAGCAAGCCCAATACGAAAAACGACCTCGATTCCATCCATGAGAAATTGATCCATAATTCGTGATGATATTGCCAGTGGAAGACTTGTCGTCTTTTAAAATATAAAATAATATAACACATAATATAATAATGATAACAATAAGATTGTAATAAGATAATATTATTATAATTACGAAGATTGTGAGGAACCAGGATGACGCATACATACTGGTGTGGACTCCTTGAGATTGGAAATGGACATGAAGGTCGGGCAGTTGCTCCTATGTAAATATTTTAAAATAGGTCAAGTTTAATCAACAACCAAGTTTATCATTTCTTTCTCTTTAATCCTCACCTGAACATTCATTTCCAGTTGGTACATGCACAGACCCAACTCGGCCATGCTAGGCTTAAACATCTCTCGAAGTCTATAGTCCTGTGAATTAAGTGTGGCATTGCATTATTGTATCCAATACATCATGTAAGTAATTGTGATGATAATTAGCCATCTTTTGCGGTATCAATACCTGCATAAGTTTCACTACCACGGCAAATGCTTCTTCTTCTGGCATTTGCATAAGCAAGAGACCTATAAAGCACAATTTTAACAGGAGGATTATTAGGAGGCTATGAACGTCAACTCATTTTACATTCAAAATCAGTAACTATTATTGTGTTTGTTATAATTATAATTTCCTTATGTTATTGCACCTGTATTACATATTTGTGTATACATATTTTTGAAGAACGCATTTTTTCAACAAATGTATTTACAAATACAACTTTTGAGTTTTGATCGATACTTACCAACTATGAAGGCGGATCCTTGACAGTAGCCAACCTAAAATAGTAAATAGACCGAGTATTTTTAATATCAAACTAAAAAATTGTTTGATTTCTAACAAAATAGACCAACCTCACGATCGTGGAGTGAATATGCTTTCATCACGTTGAACAGTGACTCTTGACCTAGACCGTCTTTCTCTTTAAAAAACTCATGTTCAGGATACGTGCGGGCAATATCTCTCCTAATCACCTATGAAAATATAATAAATACATCAACATGCGCCACTTCCTCTCGATATAAAAAATGGCGTGTTTTTCGTGACCAATAATTTTACACAAATAATTATTTATGTAGAATACCTTTTCACATGCTGAGGTAGCTTTAATGTAATCTGCATATTTTGCCTTGTCTGAAGAGTCGTGAGCACCACAAAGTAACTGCCATACGATTCCTCTAAAATGATGAAAATTCCACACAAATTAGTATTTACACGTTTGATGATAAAACGGTCTTGCAGTAGTTACATATAGATATATAGAAGATTTAATTGTTGTTGTAAATTAAAGAATACGAACCTAAAGTGATGAGGGATCCCTCTTCTGACCAATTCCTGCCATTTATAAATGCAAACATGAGAATTTATTTCAGAGTAAAATTATTTCAATAATTACAGCTTTTTTGCAACTATTTCATTATGTATTTAAAGGAATTGTTTAATAAAAATAAATTTGTTTGCATAATTTCTTGTACTAACCCGAACAAATGGATTTTTCTTTTTCCAAAACGTATCCCACTCATTGACAATCCTACCCCACGTAATCCACAAATCTTCCTCCGTGTCTTCCGATGATCCTTTGTCCGATCCTTGCTCTAAGGAGAGCTCGCTGGTGTCCGAACTTTTTCGGGAGTGGTTGCTGTTTGCACCTTGAAGTGAGTTGAATGATTTGGAGTCGGACTCGATTAACCTGGAATAGTTTTTTTAACGATAAGTAAATCAAGTATGAAATATGAAGTACAGATACATATAGCACATCAGTTAAAGAAACAATGGTTTTACTCAATTTCGCCAAGGAAATTCATTGTATGTACAGATTGTACAGAGGTCTAAAACCTTCGATCACTACATATACGAATGTTGAGATGATGTGACGGTTATTAGTGGGATGGTAATAATATGCATTTTTGTCTGTAGAAATTATTGATCCTTTCCACCGTGTCTACCACCTACATAACAAGCAATTTGACCAAATTGCAGACTTGTTCCTAATGCTAATGATAACAGGAGGGCGTCCAATGTGTCAATTACGGTAATGTATTTTTGTTGGAAACATACTCGCCACATTACATGTACATGTATTTTATCCTGTTTTCGTTCTCAGTAATAATTTCTCCTTCGGGACATACATACATATGTTACAAACATGAGATTTTTATATTACCATCGAAATATATCTGCAATCGTATTCCTTCGTCTTGCAATGGGTTTATCTACGACTTTGAGCCCACCACCACCATTGTCCCCAGCGATATTGTCAACCTCTTTATTGTTCTGATCCCTTTCACCACTGCCACTATTTTCCTCTGATCCATCCGAAAGATTCGTATGACTTGGAGAGGAATGGACTCTGTTTCCACTGTGATCCAAATACTCGGAAACCAATAAATCATCGTGATGATGATGATGATGCCCGTCGTCGTCTACCGGTTCACAGGAAACCATTATGCCTTCGTCTTCAATAAGCCCGTCAATTTCAATCAGAGTTTTATCCGAATAACCGGTACCACTTTCACTCAACTCCAAAAAAATTGAAGAATCTTGATCGTCTTCTTCACCACCTGAATCGTCTGATGAAACGGGTTCCACAGTGATTCGAATGAGTGGACGTTGAAAAGCCGACTGTCTTGGTTTCATGGTCGTAGGAATAGTTTTAGTACTGGCGGCATTACTATTGGATAAGTTGTTGTTGATTGAGGATGGCAGCGGAGTGTCCTTACCCCGCATATTTAATTGCGAATAAGAAAATGACCCAGATCTAGATTCACTTTCTCCGGGCGAGGTGCCTCCAGAGGATACACCTGAGTCGTCTGAAACGCTCATTTTCCTCGTTACGCTTTCTATAAAACTCTCCATGCTCAGTGCTTTCACCTCAAATCCTGTCCAATTATCGTTATATACGTCCCAATTTATTTCGTTACTTGGTCGAGTGGGTGGGTTGCTGAGAATGACAGCAGCAGAAGAGTGGCACTTAATAGGTTAGTGTTTTATTGGCAAAAGACAATTTCAATATTTCACCCCACACTCCGTCAGTCATTCGGTATAGCAGGACCAACCTCACTATAAATGCAGGTATGTATACAGGCCAAGGGCAGTGACCATTACTTGAGTTACTTTTCTCGGAGTGTATATACGTAATAAAGATGAAGATAACACGCTTCCCCACTTTTGCTTTCACTCATGTCGCATAACCCACTTTCTCGGCTCACTTTCGCTCAGGTTACAACAAGTTACCACACATTTTGTTCCAGACCGTCAGAACGACGCCTATGAATAAAATATGGGTTGGATCTCATTCGGTGGAGACATAACCATAACTCAGTAATCCATACACCTGAAGAGAAATAACCGTATCAGCCAAAGTGACAGCTCTATTATTTAGCTCTAGGTTTTACTAGCAAGGATCTGGACCGTATATATATTAGGTAATAAATTTCAATTATTCCAGAGGCTCGCTGAAGATAATCATGATTTAATAAAGCCACCGTGTGAAAGTTATGGTACGACCGAGTGAACGAAGGGCGTTCCAGATTTTACTGGTTAACGTTGTTTTAATGCTGGAAACTTGTCTGCTGTATGTAGCAAAGTCTAATAACTTTTCATGATTTCGAAGAGTTATGGAACAATTGAACCACTTATAAATACGTGCTTTCAAGAATCAGACTCAACCCCAACTGACAATAAATTGGAATCCAATTTCTCTCTGTGCGTACTTGAGTGGTGATCAGTAATCATTTGAGGCATTATTATGTGGACCGTAGTAGAATATATGAAATAAGTAATGCACGGTAACAATTGTGGAAGCGCACAATTATTCGCATTTTGAACAATTACCTACCCAGCAGCAGGAGCATTATCATGTGAGGCAGTCGTGGAGAGTATGCTACGCCTCCTCCACACATATCGCATCACACACGGAGGCGACATACATACAAACAATAATAATCCACTGGTTAAAGTATTACCATTATGATAATGCTCCATTAAAATTATTTTGAAACATTGAGCATGCAAATATTTTTAGTTTTATGTCAATACTTTATCACGTATCTACGTATGTAGGATAAGTGAATAGGTTTGATTTTAGCTAATAATTTTAAGTATATTACGAGGAATATGTATATACAGAGCTGATTTTATTGCTTTTGACATGACATGAAATAAATATCATACTTTACTTAATAACTTTAATGGCTAGTAATATGACAGAAATTATTGCATGCACGTTTGTAAGTAAATAATGCATATGGAAATGAGACGGTTACATAGCATATAGTAACGAGTCTTGGTTCCATGATCTTTCAAAACGCAAATTATGGAACATAATGTTCTGTAGTTATCCACTAATTTAAAGTACACGTAGGCTGATTTCTCTAGCCACATTATTGTGGGCAAGTGAAAAATAAGCAAAATGTGCATATGCATGCGGGAATATTTTATAAATTAACTGCAGGTATTTTGGAAATTTCTAAATTGGACGGAGGTCATTTTGACTATGTATCCAATTAGTGTGATCACTTTTAATTTCCAGGAGTCACTAACAATTGTAGTTGTAAATGTAATTGTATTCAAAAGACGCTGACGCCTCCACTGCGTCATGTGAATTTTGAAATGTGTATACTCTTACCTAATTAACCTTTAACGACTTGACTACGCCAATAAATAAGTTACGAAAACAAATCGTTTAACCTGCCTGATTTGTTGATCTAAGCAATAATTCAAGGTTTCGTTCGGGATATTTAAATCCAACCAATTGCGCTACATTTTCCATCAATTAGGTAATGAGAAATTTCATATATAAATATAGTGCATATATTTAATACTGCAACCAACCCCTCACTAATCTGGATAATTCAATTATGTATGTAGCATACTACAATAACCTGCATATGGGTGTATACATGTGTAGAAATCTGCAAAAGTAACAAAATATGTAATTTGACAATGAAAATCAGAGGTAGAAAACATCCAAACAACACACACTGAAATCGCCTTGTACCACTACTATGATTTTTATGACGTCAATGTCAATTTAAATTCGATTCAAAATCAAAATCATCAAAATTCGATCTAGTTCACGTTTGTCATTTTAATCATGGTTGATCATTGTGTGCTCTACAGTGTATTTACTTTTAATCAATAATCCAACTGATTCGACTAGTCGTGATAATGCATTTATCGTTAGTCCAAATATGAAGCTAAATATTCCAATATCATGCATATAACCCTCAACAGCAGTTTGAATAAAGCCAATTATGCAGGAGGATACAAAGTCATAATATTTAATAACATATGTATATGCATATTCAAGTATATACGAATAATATCAACAACGCAGTAGAGTTGATACATATAAAGTTTGCACTAAAAATCGAAATATGTCCTACTATTTACATACTAAACCGTTCAATGCAAAGTCAGACGTAAAAGCACAGGGCTCGAAATTTCAGATTTTTTCAGGACGAAACCCTTTACGTTGCTTGCCCAAATCCCATTTTTTCTACAGGTTTAACAGCACTGGTGGACTGTTTTATGAAATTAGGTTTTAGATTCCATGTCAGTTTATTCAGTCCAATTCCAGTATTACAGTCTTCAAACTGCTGAATAATTTTAGCTATGAATAAAATTGCCCATGTGATCTACGCTCGTTCATTATGTACAACTCGTTGCCTTCAACAATTCACCCATTCAATTGGCAATTCAATGACTATGAACACACACCACCACACACACCCAGGTCACGTCTGACGCTATTTAAACACAGGTTGCGTATGAGGACGCCACAATTAAAAAAATCATTTCAATGAGTACGTGACCTACCTATTTGCCTCCTCAATTTGACGTAACATGTCCATTTCTTCTTTGGATAAGGGGGCCGGTGGCTTTTTATCCATTCCCAGTATCAAGGTGTTGTTGTTGTTGTTGTTGTGGAGCGGGATGCTGCATGGCGCTGAGCTACTGTCCCCCAAATCCCCCAGAACCATTCTTTTGAGGGAGGACAGCAGAACCAGCCTTCTCCCGTTTTCCAAATCCAGCTCTGCGATTCTCTGCGCAGAAGTTCAACAAGAACAAACATTTTTTTAGTCTAAAATGTTTATCCAGAAAGGAATCTCAACATTAATTGTAGCTTCCTACAATTCATCCTCCAAACCGCAGACTTACTTTCGATCTTATTATTATGCATAATTCATTATAATACCTAAAACTACAACCAAGCAAGCAGTTTTTCGTATGATTCACTCCAAACCTCACCCAAATTTCTTTGCAGATGAACCAAGACGATGACAAATGAATGAAGCTGAACAAAGTTAGCTCATCACATCGTCATCTTCTACAGAAAAGCTAGTCTCTGATCATCCCATCAATAATTCCATTTCATTCATATAAAATAGAAAGGGTAGAAGTTAGTATGCATATACGTACGTACATAGTGGTTGAGTAGTAGCAGAGTTTGATAGAGTTTGAGGTTTTTAAAATTTCATAAATATTTGGGCAAGTGCATGCAAAGTGGATTAAATTGTCACACTCATTGTTTGAATTTGATGACATACATTCAAGAATTAAGCATTTCGAGAATTTGCTCACTCACCTAAATTCAGGCGAATCTAGTGTTCGCTGCCTGTATAAAAAGTGTACACATAATGTGTACATGTTAAATTAAACTAAACCAGAGTAATATGTACACAAGTCAGCACATTGCTAATGTCGTAAAGTTGAAGGAAAAAAGTTAGTTGAGTTCACTTTTATGTTTTTTAATGTTTGTATGCAGGGAGTATAAAAGTACCTTATGCATATGATTTTGGTCTTTGAGCGTGTCATTGCTATCTTTAGTTTAATACCACAGAGATGACAGGATGAATAGGCTCATTGGTGCAGTAGTACCTTTCATATGCACTTTTACTACACGTAATGTCATCATTTTGCCACTTTAAATCTTATTCGAATGTTTTATTTTGTCGAATTTTTCATTTGCACACCAATTGACACAAAAATGTGGCGTATTTTAACATAAACCGCAAGTTTTTTACAGATATTTTAGCTTATTTTTTTAACAACGACCTCGATAGTAGAGAATATTTATTACACGACGAGAGCTTTTTTACCCGGCCGGTGTATATATTTCAGTGTTAAATATTTACAAACGCTGAGGATGAGAGTAACTTTATTTTTTTTAATTTTTAAAATAAAATGAGTTCAAGGTGATTAAACGATTATTTAAAAAGCCTATATATCATTCATTGCCACCAGAAAAACGTACATTGCAATGGTAAATAAATAAATAGTGCTACTGCTTTTCTCCACCTCTTACCGGAAACCAGAAATGGTTTCAGGGACTTGTAATCACCTCTCACTCTATGCAAACAGATGTATGTGTTGCTGACTATGCCATCAAAACTGTATCAACAGTTGAAAGGGAAACTCATTGTTTGATGAAACAAACGTATCAATCACGTGACACATTCGAGTTAAATTGCTTTGTTTAATTTATTTGGATAACAGAGAGAAATTATTATGGGAACAACGAACCGATCTCATTCCAGAGGGGATGTGTGTAGTTGACGTTAAACTTTTATGGGGACAGATGGGAACAAACAAAGTTGAACTCGATTTTGGGTATTTATTTATAGCAGAAATGCATACGCTTGATTACCACCTCGTTTAGTTTATAGTTTATAGAAAATGAAATAGAAAGCTAAAAAGTATTTAATTGTACATTGAAATTGAAAGCAGTCAAAGGGAAACCAATCCAACTTATCGTAAATTTATAAATGAGACCAAATACACAATCGATAAATTATTTTGCAAATGTTAAGCAATAATCAGTGCATAAACCCAAATACAGTATGTGTGTTGTCCAACCTTTTGACTTGTTATGGAAGTTCATAAAGCCTCTATGTAGTCCTGTCAGTAATCTTCAATCTTAAAATCTCGAGTCACTTATTTAAATTAATTCGTAACTGCACATCTGCATTGCACTTTTTTTATCATACGAGAATGGAACTCCTTTGCAATTTGTAACTCTCAAAGATTTGCAGCAAGACACCACTTGAGAACCCATGCAATATGGAGTGCACGCAATTAACAATTTACAACTCGAGTCAACAAGTTCACTTTTTCTCAATTTTCAATCATCGTCACATCAGTCAGAAAGTTGCATGTAATGCTTGTAGATATTTATTGATGATCGAATCAATCCGCCCAAGAATAGCTTTTGGTATCCTTGCTTGGAAATTTTAACTTGAAGAACTTCCTTGTTTTGCGTAAAAGAAGAATCCAAGGGCTTGGATTCGAGTGAGGAGGGGATGAATTCACTGAGGGCGACTTCCCTCACGACAAATTCCTTCCTAATTATATTCACAAGATTCTCTGATGACTATTGCACAATCCTAAACAATGGAAAAGACAAATCTGTGTGTAGCCAAACTTGGCCTCGAACGTGTAAAACAAAACAATTCAATTTATTGTAGTTTTGTATGTTTTTATTTTTTATTTTAGTTTTATATGTTCTTTCTTAATATTGAAACTCTTGGAATGACTAATTTATAAATTTTGACTGCAAAATTACAATTATTGTTTCAGAAATTAATTAGTGAGGGATGATTTCTCCTTGATTTATTATTGAGATGATGATCTTCACTTGCAGTTTATTACTTAAGATTTTTATTATCACTTGTGCCGAATGAATTTGTTATGTAGTAGCGTTGCAGACTTGACTCGAACTTGAATTTTGGTGAAACAATTTGCAATTGTACAAATTATAACTCTTGGTCACATATGTTTATGTATATTGTTATTATTTCACTGCACTATTTTACATATGCAACTGTACAGTTAAAGTTAAAAATCAAAAAATCCTTATTATTAACACCACAAGTACAGTTCCTTTCCGTTCGTCGTCCTGTCTTAGTTATTTAGCAGAACAGAGAGTTCCATTATTGTATGTACATATCGTTGTCGGCCATAAAAGCTGGTTCACTTTTCCTCACCTGCAACAATAATACAATGCGAAATTACAAGTTGGAATAAACTGTTGAGCTAAAAAGTAACTGGGATTGCGATTAGCACATCAAGGATAGTTTTCAGCCTGATGCACAAAAAGATTGCTGCAGGTATAAGAAGAAGGAGAGTTAGTTGCCTTAAAAGAAAGAGTGGGTGGACGATGCATACAGCTTTTTTTAATTTAAAATTCTAACCTAAAGGTAGGTAATATGTAATAAGTACGATACGGTATTTGCAACAACATTACGAACCGCACTATAGCCAAGCTAAATTGCTTGAGGGCTGGGAGGGCAGTACTAACTAATAACAAGTAACTGACCCCGACATTCACTGCTACTACCTGTCCTGTGGTTTAAGAGCTGATATACTTATTTGCGCTAACTTCCGCTTACGACTACAGAACAGCTAGGATTTGCAAACGCCAACCAAACCAACAACAGTTGTTTAGTCGATAATCTTAATACTGCTTTCGGTCGGGGGTTTGTTGCTGCCTTCCACTAAATAAGTATGTGCAGAGCCTTATTCGATAGGTATATGTGCATGTGCATATGTATGCCCAACAATGAAGTTAAATCTGCAAACTAAACCACAAGATTGCAACTCTCTAAGAAGGTAGTAAGATGTAGAGATCTTGTTAATAGTCTAAAGATGCTGTAGTAGGAGTCTCCGTCTTCTAGTATTTGGATTGAAATTTAAAGTAGCAGGGGTATAGAAGCAAGGAAGATGATAAGTACCAGGTTGTCTGCCAATGTCTTCCTCCCTTCTTCACTAGCACAATTTACTAACGACTAATACACATTCTTGTCCATAGGATGATCATGAATGACGGTGGTAATGATAATTGTGGGATAGTAGACAGACACCGCTTTTGTGTTAAGAGTTTCACTTGCAAATTAAATCGCAAACAATCGCCCAAGTTTAAGGATTTTGGTTCTTGTTTAAACAGAATATGTAGCTCTAACAAATTTATGCTCTTCCGATGCAAACTGTGTTGTGCTCAATATTATTATTATTTCCACACTATTCACAACACAATTAAGGGGTAATAAGCCGTATATACTGTCACTAAGACCAACTGTACAACGGGCAGATAAGTTCATCCTCCACTTGAGTTTGTTTTTAGTTCATTGACGAATAGTCTTAACGCATATGCTTTTTTTATTAAATTTTTCAGACACAGTACACACGCACATTTGGTTGAATAAAACTGCTAATCGTATGCCACATACTTACATACGTACATATACCATACGTCTGCTTTAAGCAGGTTTGGATTTTGTTATGGGAGAGAACCGAACTCAAAATTCCATTCAATTCTCGGGAGTTTGAGAGGAGGCAATGCACTTTTTGGTCTGTATGTACATACACACGGCATAAGTATGAACATTTGTACATACATTGTACACATTACACATACATAAAGCACAATCAGCAATGTGTACAAGCTTATGTTTCTTGCAAACTTACTTTTTTTAGTCTTTATGCCAGCAAAGTTGCAATCCTCCAGGGGGAATTTGGTATGATGTGGTATTATTATTGTTGTTGTGTTGGTTAAAGTCGCATCATATTATGTAGATAAGTCTTAATGGTCGCCGGCCATGTCATCAACCACACTGGTATTATCATCATCACATTATTATCACCAGCAGGGTGGCATTACTGTGGGATACGCATTAGGTGTATTTAAATACTGTTGCAACATTGCAGATAAGTACAATATGTGCATATGGATTACGTACATATGTAGGATTAGTCATTAGTTTTATTTACTCATTTTATGCATGATTCGATTTCATGGAACTGATGGAGCAGGAATCAGAGAGAGAAAGAGCATAAATATTCTCCATCCGAAATGTAATTGTGTAATAAATAAAGCGCTAATAAATATGTAGGCGTAGGAATCGCTCAATGTGAGGAAAGTCAAGTAAGAGTTGGGCATTTAAAAATTCAGTTCATACACTGGAAAAACCCGAATCTGTCGATGTCCGAGTCGGGTACTTTGCTAAAAGTTTGCAGACTCGGGTTTAAAGTGTTGAACAACGAATGAGGAAAATGCAATTCTCCTTGTCTTTTTTCTCCATTAGAGAACAAGACAGACCTTTGTTCATTCTGCGTGTCTCTGTCTGGCTCAAAGTCATAATATATTTGTACAAATAACATGATTAGCCAAACGTTAATCCTGATGTAGAGTGAATTCGGATATGTATCAAAATCAGGCAATGTTGCATATGTTTAATTACGTTATTTTGCAAGTTTACACATGCATATTCATCCATTCCTATAATCCAGGTAATTTATATTTATGACAAGGAGAGGATGAGGATGATTTTAACGTTAGAATCAACATCCACTGCAAATATGTGATACATGATGGCTTGTTGTTTGACCGGTATCGGAGGGCATTTTTAATTATTTATTGATATAAAGTTTTCAGAACGAGTGCATAAATATGAGTAAGATAAAAATACACTGAGCAAAGTTGAATGAATTAAATAAATTCGCGAGTGAATAACAAATATATTTTAAAATATTGCAGCTTTTTAGCTCTAGTTAGAGCTTATGGGTCCGTAAATACGATATTTTTACCTTACGCAAATTGAACAAAGCTAGGAAACTATTTCGAAGAGCGGTCAAGTGGTTGACCGGTGGGGGATATTCAGTGGTATGCACCCAAATTTCAAAATTGTGAGCTGAAATTTGGTACTTAAGGTGTTAAGGGCTCCTAATGGATGAAAATGAGTTTAAATTGAACGGAGTTTAGAGGGTGTCTCATACCGTTGCTTAAAAGTTTTTATTTTCAGCTAAAATTTGGTATATATGTAGGGCAAAAATAATTTCAGTGAAACACAACTTTGGAAAAATTTGGTGCAAAATAATAGAAAATATTTAACAAACATCCGACCCTCCCTACCACAGGGAGTGGTAATTTTTAGTAATAATCGGGTCAATTGGACTAAATTTAGAAACGGCGGACTGTTCCTGACTCGGGCTAAATAAGGCTGCGGACTGGGCGTGTTTCATTTTTTAAGTGTTTTGAAAATAAATGTAATGTGTTAAAAGTTAAATAATATATGATTTTAGACAAACAATATGTTTCTTTAATTATCCATAATTTTTTTTGTATGATTTCATATATTTAAATTTAACACTAATGATTTCAAATATTAGCACTTGAATAATTTTGTAAGTTTCAGTTTCAAGTACAAAAAAGTACAAATGCAAATAATAGGTCATTAGAAATCCATACACTATTAGTTTAAAATCGTACATCAGTAATCATTGGTAACTTTGGCTTTTATGCCATGACTATAAACTAATTTTGTTTTTAAACCGAGATTAAGGCAAGATAAGTACTTATAATTACAGTTAAATTGCGTCTATTACTTTGGAAGACAAGTGAAACGCGTGAAACATTTCACATTTGCAAAACAAATCGCCACATACGTATGTATGGACAATCAAATGGTATTAATGCCTATTAAGTTTAGTAGTTTCATATAGACATTTTCTTGGTAAATAGGTGATCCTGTTGTTTTTAAACTCCTCTGTTGAGAGGGAGAATGGTATCATGTTTGATTCCAGTCCACGTTCTTTCATCCATCCGTCTTGATGGGACAAGGTTTCTCGAAATGTGTATTTTAACTGGGAGTGACGTACATAGGTCCCAACTCATTCAGCACTATTTAAAGGGATAGAATGATGACTAGGAATGACCGGGTGGATCGTTATTGGTGGTTCTGGTTATTGGTTCAAGGTCAAGTTCTTTGGACAAAAGTTCGGCGTTGTTTAATATTTCTGGTTTACCCACCTCGTCTGTTTCCTTAGAAGATACCCCATCGTTCAAAATTTTTGGCGATAATGGTTCCTGTCCCTTTGAGGGAAGGGTTATTGCTTTTGGAGGTTGTGGATTTGTAGGTTTCTTGGTTTCAGGTTTTGTTCGACCCTGGATGGTAGATTTTGTAACAGTGCTAGTTGTGGTTGCCAATTTTTTAACGCCTGGAGCAACCTTTGAAGAAGTAGTGGAAACAGGTACTGGACGACCAGTAATGGAAGTGGTCTTGGTAATCTTGGTACTATTTCCGACAGCATTAGTGGCTGGGACGGCTGGTCGTGTTGATGCTTTGGGTAAGGTTGACGTGGGTGGACGAGAAGAAGGTTTTGAAGGTGGTGGTACTTTAGCAATTCCTGCTACTGCAGGCGAGGGTCGCAGTCTACTTGAGACAGTTGTTGTAGTTTTTTCTGTATTTTGAAGTGGTCGAGCTGTACTTGCTTTTGAGACCAGTCCTGTTTTAGATATTGTGGACGTCACGGTTGTTGTAGTAGTTCGAGTATTTGAAATTGGTCGTGCACTAGATGAGGAAGTTACAGTGGCCAATTTCCTTGGCATTGTTGACACTGTACTTACGGACGGGTTTAATTTTGTCTGTGTACAATTAACCACAGGTTTTGTGGCTGGCAAATAATTCGTTGTAGGCCTTGGCTTCAAACCTCCTCCTGTCTTATTAGCAGGGGTTGCGCCAACAGCTTTTGGTTTTGGGGCTGGGTGCATTGTTGGAGGAATTTTTTGTGTGGGGTTCCTTACTCCTTGCTCTCTAATTTTGCTCTCAGGCTTTGGTATCTTGGGTAATGTCGAAGAAGGAAGAACGTCCACCACGTTCGGCTTCTGAGCAGCAGCCGGTTTCGGTAAATTCATCTTGCTCAGTGGTTGTTTTGAAGATTGTGGTACCAACAACGGTCGTTTGGGCGGTGCCGTCGCCAAGGTCTTTTTCTGAACGACATTAGATAAAATTTTCTTACTAGGGGCTGAAGGAGTTTGCGGTTTCGTACTATTTCCAATAGATTTGTGTTCCTTATTAACTTCATTCTTAGTCCTTAGGCTTTCAGTTTTGATAACAATTGAATCGTCAACACACTGCTCGGCGATATCTTTGCTCGTCTGAGAATTCCCGTTAATCGTAACATTGCTTTCTTGATTTTGCGTCGCAGTCAAGTCATTTATCTCGTGTGAGTGTCCATTAGACATAAAGTTGTGAATACCTACATACGAACCGTTTTGAAGGGCAGCTAAGTTTTGTCCAACAGTTTCGCCGACTCCTCCGCCAGCCTCATTTTCATTAATAAGAATCAGGTCGCCCTCCAAAACATTCACGACGGCCTCAACGTCATTATTATTTGTCTTGACGATTTTATCCACAACGAAATGGTCCCCAATTTGAACTAAATCATTATCGTTCTTTGTCTCATTCTCCGATTGTCTCAATGGACCCGTGGTGCTGGGAAGCTGGTGAGTTTCCAAGAAGAAGTTGTCTTCTAGCGATGAAATATCTACAAAATTCTGGTTGTCAACCTTCATATCTTCTGGTTTGCCTAGATTTTGGTGTTCTGAAGGCGAAATCTTTATAAGATCCTCCTCGTCATTCTTGGAGGGAACGACGTTTCCGTGAAAACTCCATTCGTCGTCGTCATCGTCACTTGACTCATCATCGTCGTCCTCATCTTGTAGATCTAAAATAGTGAGAAAATTTCAGTTATGTATTAATTAGTAGGTCAAGTGGGATAAAATGGTACGAGTTTTTGTTTACCTAATTGTGATGAAGGGTCTAAAGTAAACATGGCCACATCTTCAGCGTTGCTTTCAGCTCCATTTTCACAGTTTCTATTATGTTTAGTATGGACATATGTGTCGTAATGTTTGCCTACGTGATAATAAAATGATTGAATAGTTATTGGACTAGCTGGTTAATGATGAGTTTGTCATTCTTATATTTAATGATGCCTACCAATTTCACCGTCAAACATTGAAGAGGGTTGCATGCATCTCTTCATCAAGTCACTTAATGGCTTCAAGTACACGACAATAATACAAATATTATCTTGTGAGCCATTCGACTTGGCCTGATTTGCAAGTAACTGAGCTGCCTTTGCTCCCTCTAAGAAGTGATGAAGGTAACGAATTAAATAAAACAAGCGCACGAATAGAATATAAACAAGTAATTTTTTTACCGTTTTTGGCAATGAAATCCCCTACAAAATCCCCCACTTCCAAGGGACTAATCTTATCCCATAATCCATCAGAGCCTATGACAATGTATGCTTCGTTAAGGTCTTCTGACCTATCGACTTCTACGACTTCTGGATTGCTGATAACATATTCTTTAAAATCGGGATCGCCTAAAAAAATCATTAAATTATTCAGTATTTATATTATTGGTAACAATTAAACCAAATTCTGTCAACAAAGAAATGTATGTATATACCGATTGCTCTAGCGACAGCCAATGTTCCGTTTACTCTGGTAACCCCACCCATTTCGATAACCTCTCCACCCATTTCTCGTATTCTTTGTTTTTCGTCCTAACAAGTTAATCCGTTCGAATAATCAGTTTTACAAAATGGACAATTCTACAAAATATGTATTTCTAACCTCTCTTCCCGGATGATGACGCGTCACTAATTGTTTTACTTTTCCATTTGACATGTGCAGAGTCGCCTGACAGTCTCCTGCCCAGGCAAAGTATAATTTATGTCCATGTACCACAACGGAAACAATGGCCGATCCGCTTCTAATTTTCTCCTCCGCACATTTTGAAATAAATGCAGCATCCGTCCTTGTGAAGGCAGCTGTTAATGCGTCTACTAATTCCATACCCTCGTCAAGTCCACGAATGAAGTATTGGTGTAGTTGTGCTGCGCCATAAGAGGCAGCTTCTATACCGCCATGACCATCAAATACGCCAAAGTAACTCAAATCCCAAACTGGTCTCAACTGCATGATATCAAATATATTTATATATATTATTAATGATCACAGCAGGAGAATCTCCCAACTTAATTGCATGAAACAATCAAGCAGGTATTTATATATAAACTGAACTTACATGCTCAAAAACGTGAGGGAGTGCAGGAAAGACAGCCATCTTATCTTCCATTGTACGTCTAGCATTTTTCATACTGAAGTACGATACCTCAAAGACTTCAGGACTGTATGTGACTTTAGTGTTTCCAGCCTCGAGGTCCCTGATCGCATCCATGTCCGATATATCAAGACTGGTCGACTGCTGACTCACTTTCCCCAAATAATTATCGACCACACCCACCACTTCCCGCATTAATTGCAAAGGTTCCATTTCTAAAACAAAATAAAATAAAAAAAATAAATGCTACCTTCCTCAATCTCTTAATTACAATTAAAATACTTACCTTGTGAGCTTATTTTGTCCGGTTGGCTGTCATTCTTGGGCCCCAAATACTTTCGTACGTGTTTATACACTTGTCCTAGCGTTGCTTGCAATAAGCCCATAGGACAAGCGCTGCAAGCACATATTATTTAACCATTAAATTTGGCCTACTGAATGAAACGCGATTTCGGATATCAGCAAATCTGCTTTCGTATAAAACTCACTGGAAATATAAATATTCAAAAGCCCACTGAACGGCTTGGCCTTCCATCTCATCTAGTGTGATTCTACTTCGGTGAACTTTGATGGGTAAGGGATCCTTTTGTTATTTATCATTATTAAAACCTTAATTCATACTTTACATGTGCCTGAGGTCAATTTTACTCTGAATACCTTCTCCAAATCTGTAGGTTTAAAAGTATCCAAAAACTTGACAACTTCGAGGCGCTCATCAACTTTGGCCTCCTCGGGGCAAAGACCAGACGAATCATCCGGCACCGGTATTTGCGTTTCTTCCGAAGACATTCTTATTTATATATTTATCTGCAATGAATCACAGCAAGTACATTAAGAACGAACATAAATATCACATTACTCCAGCCGACCAATGCAATACTTATAAGTAATAATTATACTATACACTATACTCAACTATATTTAATACAGATGACAGGTGCAAAATTGCATAGATGCGTTAGATGTTGAACTTTGCCAATTAAGCTGTCGTTGACCAATGATTTTTACAAAGCACTACGTATAATGCTCGCACCATCATAAACTGTGACGAATAATAATATGGACGATGGAATCAGTAGTAGAATTGTACAGTAGAATTGTATGGAGAGGAAGGAAAGCAACAAGTAAAAGGTGCATCATCTTCTTCACGAGTTTAAAGAAAGCTATGGGGGGACACTCATCAATGAACGGATTTTAAAAAATCAAATTAATATCTGTTATGTAAGAAGGCGAAAGTTGGTGAATTTCGGTTAGATTACTTAATTTTAGACCCACATACTTCTAGACGACCATTCTACACCTGACAGGCAGATAGATATGTGCAGTATCATAGCTAAATAGTCATGATCAACTGATGAACATTGTATTTGGACGCATCTCAGAGGTCCATGACTGACTAAAGCTTTACACGTTTAGTAAAATCTCAAGCATCTTTCTTCAGCGAAAGAGATTCATAATAGTAAAGCAAAGTTACTTCAAGACTTGAACCGCATTCTCAAATCGTACGCACTTCTTTTAGTGGTTTCTGTGTCAGGTTATAATTTTGCAAATACAAATGCGTTCAGTATGCGAAACGGGGAAGGCATGCATTAATTATACTGCTTGTTTTTGGTTTTTACTTTACTGGATTGGTATGCGATCTGCATACATAAGAACATGTTATGCATGTGATGTGATTGACAACAGCCAAATAAACAGCATGCATCACCAACAACAAATTGTTTTTTCTAAACCAAATTAAACGATGACTTCACTGCTTCGAGTCCTATATATAATCTTGCCAAAAAGCAAGTCAATCAACGTTTATAGTATAGTATATATGTAATATAACTACTTAGCTAATACTAAATTCAAATGCAAAAAAAGTTTCCAGCCACAAATTACACACCAATTTGGCATTTCCTTTCTTTTATCAGGATTGTGGTTGATGAATCAAGAAATTATAGCGTCACGCTTTCAATTTACATATTCGTCGTTGAAGCTTCCAAAGGGGCTTGATGATCTAATGTTGTAAATAGGAGATATGGGAGCTTCAAATATGGTACAGAGGACAGCTAATTCCTAATTTTTCAAGTGTAAACTTCAAACATCATCAAAATTTGTCATTTGCCTAACTAATCAATAACCTTGTCTCTGATACAGGTTAACTTAAATAAGAAAACAAACCAAACCGCATCGTTGCAAGTCAATTATCTTATTTAGACCATATATTCTACGCAACAGGGGAATGCCCGAGCAAAATTGCGTGATTGATAATTTACACAATAAAAATTATAAATGAATTGGCTAATAAACATAATAATAAATGAGAAAAATTAATGTCCACTTAAACGAATGAATGACATTTTTCAAACAAGCCACAGGTCAGCCTACGAAAAACCGGCTTCATTGTTTGTTTACTTTTTGTCAAGTGCAAACTGGGTAATTCGCTCTGTTTATTACTACGATAACATTTCGCCAAGTTTGTTGATGATAAGATGACCAATATAGATACCATAATATCGAAAATTGAAATACTTACGGAAGAATAAATAGAATCTGAAGAACCGCAATTTGCTTGAATTTTGCTAAAACTGACGGAGTTCTTCTCAACCTCAACTCACTTCACTACTCTTCCCACTCGGTGTGGTTAGGGGCCATGTGTGCAAAAAATATCGCAGAACTATATGCATGCAAAAACTTGATAATTAAATTATTGAATTTGATTGATGAGAACTGCTTGTAGAATTTGAAGATACATAAGTAATATTTATTATTATTAATGAAACATGTACAATTGTTAATTTTTAGCCCGAACCAGGGCTTATTACACTATATTACATAAAGAGTTTTTACTAGGCATAATTCTTTGGTTTTTGCAAATTTTATACTGGAAGGAAATATGAGATTAATATTACACGTTATTAATTTAATAAATTGATCCATGTTAACAATTTGTTCAGGGCTAAATAAGCTACAGACATGCTGCACCTTCGTAAAATTTGTAATCAATTAAAAATAAGGCACCAATTAAAATCACTTTCATTTTCTCATCGATATCGGGAGGGAACTTGAGAGAAAAAACGTCATATTCTGAGGTAAACTCTCGACAAAGGCCAGCCCATTCTTTTCTAATTATCCCCAGAGGTTCAGTAGATGTCCAGGATTTCTTTATTGTGAAAGTAGAAGCTCCAGCGGTGACCACAGGACCCGTGATGGCAAATTGAGAGTCTCCTGCTATGAGAGAAAGAAATGCATACTTTTATTTGATACAGTAAAAATACATACTTAATATTTCCAAAGGTAAGAAATGATTGCTACCTTCTCCTTCGTAAACACGAAATAATGGAAGTAATGGGCACCAGAATTTCTTAACGTAGCCAAATTTCCTCCAATCAAATCTCATGCTTTTAAAGTTTCTGACCCAAACTTCGACTTTATCGTAAAAGTCTGTAAGACCACAACACCAATTACAACTTATGTGCGGTCGAATAATTTTGATAATTTCTCTGTTGAATTTGTCCACGAGACGGAGGGTGAAAGTCCTATTGCTGCAACAAATTTGCTGCATACACACGGCATGATCTTCAATAACTTTATATAGCAATTCTCCAGTGGATTTTTCAACTATGACATACCTACAAAATTCATTAATTTCAGTTACTCGAATTATTGATTAATTATTCCCATGTCTGTATGTATAAAGACTATAAACCCATTTAATTAAAATTTGGATTGCTTACTGATTTGGTTCTTCCGTGCCACGAGTCATTTCTCGAACGTCAGGCAATTGCCTTATCGAAATTTCGGAAACTTGGTTAAGATAACCAAGCTCTTGTGTGGTAGATGTTTGTGGTTCAGCAGGTGGCACAGGTCGATCTGATAAATCTGAATCCTGCTGGAGACCTTCATAATAATGAGTAGCGTCACTTGACATATGTGCCAATACCAATACAACGGTTTTATTTAAGTGTTCACGTTTTAATTAATTTCGCTAGATTTCGCCTCATTGATTAAAGAATTAATTAATTTTTCTTTTCGCATTTTTGTATAGAAACCTCAGCTGGAAAGTTTACGAGAGAATCTAGTCAAATCAATACCGTCATCACAATACATATGACTGATCCAAAGGTTACACGTGTATGCGGACGGCGTAGTTTTATTTGCATAAAAACCATTGTTGACCAAATTGTATGCATTTACAATACCATCGTACTCGTAAACCAGTTTCAGCATTGCTTTGCTTAATTTTTTTTATTCAAATAATAAATTAGAGAAATACATACAAAAGTTGGTAGAAAGATTGAATATTTGTAGACGTGTAGATTCAATTAACGTTGGACATCAAAACCATTTGTAGTTGGATTGACTACAGTATATCAGTACCTTTCACTCAGAAATACATTCATCAAAACTTTGCAAAGTGGGAAGTTCATCTGATCCATCAAAAGTCAAGGCAGCATTTCCAGGTCGAACTAGAACAGCAACTTCCAAACCAGCTTCTTTTGCAGCGTATGCCTCTATAATTGAGATAATACCCGTTAAAATAAGAAAGCTTAAAGTAGTAATAACCACAATATGAATTTTGAGATAAGCAAACCTTTGGTAATATCCGTAAAAAATAAAATATCTTGAGGCTTCACTCCAATTTTCGACGCAATGTTAATATAACTCTTGGACTCAACTTTCGAACCCGATGTGGTATCGAAATATCCAGAAAGTAACTGCGGATAATTACAACACATCAGTAATAATTTTATGGCTGACCAAGTTTGTGTATAGAATACTATTTTCAAAGTATGCAATTGTTTTTTTTACATTTGATAAATCACCGTTCTCAGTATGTTGAAACAAAAGAATTTGTGCTTCCACGCTGCCACTGGAATAAATGAAAAGTTTCCTGCCAGATTTTGACCATCGCTCAAAAGCTTTCGGAACATCTGGATACACTCTGAAATTTGAAATTGAAAAATTAACTATGATTCGGATTATCTCGTCGTGAATTTAAAATTCAAATTTGAACATGTTGACTCACTGGCTTTTCAAAATTCCGTCGACATATCCTTGCCACCAGATTTTCCCTTGTATAGTTTTCAACCCCGTTGTCTTCCTATCGTTATCCATTTGCCAAATTAGATTGTCCAGAACGCCACGAATGAGTTTTTCTTGGTCAGGCTCAGATTCTGGATCTGGCAATGGTTCCGGAAGAAGACCCTTCTTTGCATCGTAGTGAGACTAAAATGATAATTGATAATAGAAAGTATAGCCATTGGATATGGTTGGTTGTTGGATATTTGGTATTATCCAACGCAAATTATACATAATTATATCATGTTGTTATTTTTGTTAAAAAGTAGGTAAACTAACCTGATCTCTCACCAAGCCAATAAGTTCTTGGACATCGGAATTTGTCCAATTTTCCCTCAGAAATGGTTCCATTTCACTTCTGGCGTAGGGGAAAAGGACGTCCTAGTAATTAAAACAAAATGTAGGTTTAAATTTGAATTAGATTCAATCGCAGTTAATATTTTTTCTACATTCACATGATTAACTACCTTCACGAATGAAATTGACGTCGTGGTCCCCTCAATATCAATAAGTAATGTTGACGGCATATTGCTATCCTTCATTATTTTCATTTTTCGATCTTCACTTCAATGGGCGAAATTTAAGGACTTTACAGGACAGTGGACAATAATTGATAGAATAAATAGATATTGATTGAATATATTTCCACAAGATTTCTTCGAATTAATAACTTAATCTTAATTTAAGATATTCCAGCAACAGAATGTCGGCTCTTTTAGACAAATGAGTAAAGCGAGTAAAGCACTGCACTCTGTGTGCGGTGACTTATGGGTGTCTTTGTCTTATAGTTTAGTTCGAGTTCTCTTGTAAAATGCTCTAGTACAATGCAAATGACAATTTGATCTCGTTGGCCGCCAACAAGAGATGCAAAATGTTGTGTGGGAACAAAAACCCGTAGATTAGACGAATACAAAAAGTTGCTGTCCCGTTGCATTGGACCAGCTGCAAAACTTGCAAGTAACGGGCATACTTATTGTTTTTGTTTTAGTTTTACATAGTTTATTTATTTGGCACGCCAGTACACTAATTGCTGGATGGTTTCATCTGGTGGAAGATTATGTGTGATTTCATTGCTGGGATTTGATGATACTTCACTTGAACCGAACAACGTGTGTGAGTAAAAAAATGAATGAATTGATTAAAGTCTTATCTCAATGTCTCTACTGAGTAATGCTGATTATGTCCTTAACAGTGAATAGATAAATATATACAAAATTACAGGCAATCCATGCTAAGGATTTCAGTTTGGCATGACGTCCTCCATGAGAAACGGATCTGAAGTGTATTCACGAAGGCACAGAAGGGACAATTTGCTACAGGAGAAATATAGGAACAATAATGGATCTGAAGAATTGGGACAAGGTGATGATGGTACTGTTCGCAAAAAGGGGACAAAAGGAAATCAGAGAACAACTACATGCGAAGACGAAGAATTTGCAAATGTGTCAACGTGGTATCTCGTCGTCATTGCGGTCGTTCGTCTGCTTGCCTGCGTGGGATGGGGGTGGGGAATCTTATACGCGACATATCATGTGTACATGGCTGCGGAAAGTAATTCCAATATGCATATATTTTTATATAACATGATAATCAACGTGACTTATAAATTTATTGCATTTGATAATAGGGCATCTCCCGTTTCAACGTGAACCCGATATAAATCCTGGAATATTTTCCGAGCAATTGGGCCGAGGTCGGGACAGGTTAGTCTTATTTATTTCACATATCTCAATTTCTACCAATTAATATATGCATGACACATTTTGCAGTTCGGACTATGAATGGGTCACCTTTTCTCCATTGTTATGGACAAAGCTGATTATTGCTAATTTGACGTATCAACTACTGAAATTGCTTTTTTCAAATTACCAGCAGGTACCTTTGCATGCATTTTTAAATGTGTACTATAAATTTAGACCAAGTAAATCACAATCCTTAAATTAATAAATTTTTGTTTGTTTTCTTTTATTAATTAGATTATACCATGGATTTCGCCTTGCTGTAGTATTCTACTTTTCTGGAACACGGTTGGTTTTATGCCAACCATTCATATGATGACAGTCCCTGTCATTTATTGGCATGCGTTGCGATTTCGTCATAAAGCTTGGATTTGGATAATTACAGTTGTTTTAATTGTGCATATTTCTAGCCCATTGGTCCATGTAAGTATAATGAATAAATGAAATAACTAAACCTAATGATTTATTATACAGCTCTATGGACTAAACAAAATTTAATTTTCTCAAACAAGTAAACTTTTATGTTAAAGGTGCTGTTCACGCTAGATAACGGACAGAGTGAAAATTGTCTTTATATTTTCATCGTTGCATCCGCATGGAGTCTCTCTAGAGGAGTTAGTTTTTGCATGGACGTTTGGGACAGACCTGACAACAACAAGCTTAGCGTCCAATCTCTTTTCTATTTTGAACAATACGTGTTTTACCTGCCATTGTCACATTGTGGACCGCTGATAACGTATGAGCATTTTGAGAACGAGGTGAATAATACATATGTGCATGCATGTCTTTAGTTGCAGTTGAAAAAAATCACTAATAATTAAATTAAATTATTATATGTTAATATTGCAGATAATATTTAAAAAATTCAGGTCAAAATTCACACACAATTTCTTTGAGATTGGGAAAAAGATATTTAAATTATTACTCACAACCGTTCTGATTGAATTAATATACCACTACCTATACTTCCGAGCAGTTGCGCTTACTATTTCATTAATCTCCAAACTAAACATCTGGGCAATTTGTGGTACAGTTTATTGGCTAGGTATGCTTAATAGAATACAAATATACTTTAGCAAAGAAAAAGTATATTGTGAATATGTCATAATATAATTTTTATGAATTTTTTACGTAGGCCAAATATTCACTCTAAAATATAAAGTGCTTTACGGACTTCCGAGTAGCCTGGCTGAATTCGATGGACTGACAATGTATCCTTTAATTAGTTGTCCAGCTTATATTCATCGGTATTCCGTCCTATGGAAAGACTTTGATCGAGGATTATACACCTTTATGGTCAAGTTAGTGACGATCAACAGATCAACAAATTTTGAAGGATACACATTTCTATACATAGATGTTTTATTGATCACGTTACAGATACATTTACTGCCCATCTATACAAAAATTTAACTCATTGGATCCCAGTAATATTGTTCCCAGCGATCTTAAGAAACTTGCAGCATCTTTTATCACATTTTGCTATGTTTTCATATGGCATAGCACAAGCTTTGATGTGCTTGTTTGGACAGCTTTTAACTTTCTTGGGATTACATTTGAGAGATTTGGAAGTCTGATCAAGAGGAAGATGGATCATGCTCAGGTTGAACTAATAATTTATGATTATTCTATTCTAATTATGAATATAAATAAAATAAAAATGCCTATTCCTACAGAAATTAAGACCAATTTCGTGGGATTTCCTCATTGAACCACTAATCTGTGTGCCTTTGGCTGGGATGTCCATACTCAACAGTTCAATATTTTGTGGAACGTATGACGCAGCAGAAGCATTTTACAACAAACTTTCATCGACCTGTATGTACATCACACATTACATTATGTAAACTATAAATTAATTTAAAGTGGTTAAATTAGTATAATCTGCTTACAGGGACTGCTAGATATAACTACCACATCGGGATCTGCTTCTTCCTATATTGCTTCACACACGTTGGAGTAACTGTTCGAACTTGGGTCCCATTTTCTAAAGCAATATCGAAGCGTCTCATATTTAATCGTTGAATATTATGCACAATTATATTTTGTGAATCATTCATGAACTGTATCAGTTTTTTTAGCATGAAATGTTACCAAAGAATACTTTTACCATACCGCACACATTTAGGAATTCTAAAAATTCACTGTGATATATTTTAACAAATTTTATCTAATTTACCTTCATATCAGCGTCATTTAAGTTATTGTTTTTTATCCCTCAATATTAATTCTATATATATATATATGTATATATTATGGAAATTATCCATTGAAGTGTTTTTTTACGTATTTTAAATATAAATATAATTGTAAAATAAATGTTTTTAAAGAAACAGTTTCTTCCTTTAAAAGACTTTATTTCTATTAAGTATTTATATATTATTTTGATTCTTGATTGCACATCTAAGTTTCGCAGATCTACTCCTTGGGTTGCTCTCTACCTCATTAAACTCTGGTGTTAATACATGCTTATTAACAACTGACCAGTTTTTATTAAAAATTTCACCAACGTTATCTGGATTATGCCAGTTAAAGGCGTTACGATACTTTTGACTCATACTTTTGCTGGCAGGTTCGTCCATATCAATTCCTACCAAGTGTCGTTTGACCACACGATCCTAGAAGAAAATGCAAAACAATATGGCAAAGCACAAATTAGGGAGGTAAAATATTTAATACGTATTGTACCTCTAAGGAGTGAAAAGATAAAACGACTAGTTTCCCTCCAGGATTCAAGACTTTATGTGCAATTTCCATTATTTGATTCAGCTCATTAATTTCATTATTAACGAAAATTCTTATGGCTTGAAACGTTTTTGTGGCTACGTGGGTTGGACGGGCCAGTTTGTCAAGACGTTTCTCAGTGTCCAAAACAGATTCTACTAAATACGCTAATTCCGACGTGGTTTTTAACCGTTTAAACATGTAGCGAGCCTCTACAATAACAAGAAGATCAATTAAAAAGCATTGTTTAAGACAATTTTGAGAGTAAACTGTGTACGTCTACTAAATACGTATACTAAATAATGAATGAATACGGAAGTAGATTTACCTATAATAGCTCGTGCAAGTTTCTTGGCCTGTTTTTCTTCACCATAATACTGAAATCAGACCCATTCGCATATTAGTTTACAATATTATCAGAGTACATATTCAATTAATGCTAACTGTAAGATTTGTACTACCTTAAGAATTTTTGCTAAATGATGCTCTTCGATGTGTTGTAAAACATCAGCAGCAGTGGGCTGATCTGGGAATCTGGTACCATCCATCCTCATATCTAAAGGACCGTCACGGCTTATAGAAAATCCTCTGGACGCGTCATCAAACTGCATTGATGAACAACCCAAGTCCAGCAGAATTCCGTCGACTGGTATTATTCGAAATAGCAATTATTTTTTTAAAGTAGAGTACAATGCGAGAATAAGTAAAACAAATTGAGAGAATATTATGATGTTAACCTGACGAAATTCCATGCTGCTGAAATAATCTAGGCACTTCACTAAATCGCCCAAGAAGTGGAGTGAACCGCTGTCCAAAGTTTTCTTGCATTTTTTGGGCATATGAAAATGCAACCGGGTCGCGATCTAAGCCTATGACATTAACATCACCACAAGATTCCAAAATCCTCCGAGAATGACCACCTGCACCGAACGTCAAATCCAGAATTGTTTTGCCTGAATTCATAGAACTCAATCAATCATCAATTGTAAGGAAAGTATAATAGTAAATAAAACTGACGATACCTGGATGAATATCCAACATGGACAACACTTCATTTACCATTACTGGAACATGAGGTGTATCAATATTGTGACCGGGTACGCCATGTAGACCATCATTAAAAGATTGTGGTGACAAATATGCTTCAGCAGTTATATTTGACGAGAATTTGTTGCATGAAGAGGCAACAATTTGGCTAGTTTTCTGAAGCAAATTCCTTAGAGCAATATTTGACAACATCTTTGACATATTACAAAATTCGGAACACACACTCTTTAAAGACTTATGGATTAGATTAGTTCAACGATATATGCCACAATGGTGGGGCTTAAAAAACATACGAAAACTATCTTGCTAATTATCCTTATTTTCACTTTTTAAAAATTTCTCCTTCAACGTTTTGATGTTTCCTTTATCCTTCTCTGCCAACAACTTCAAAAATTCGTTCGAAAGAATTTGCTGGCATTCTGATTGAGAGAGTCCTAAAAGTGGAGATTCATTCAATAATTAACATCAGTGGTAATTTATAAAGCACTACTGAACTTACCCGAGGATGAAACAGCCCCCGACACGTAAAAGGCGTCATTATATTTATTGCTAGCAATTCGGTTGAGCGATTCCTGAATTTCTTGGCACTTGCTTGACTCGTGTGGGTCAGATCCTCGGAAAGCTTCTGCAACGCAGAGACGAATGTGTTGACCCAAATCCCTGAAATAAGTATGCAATTACATGAAACTATAGTTAGTTAAAATTAGAGTGAAAGATTTGTATTTTTTAAACTCGACACAATCAACCCACCGGCCTTTTTTGGTTGGCTCCACCGGCCACTTTTCCAAAACTCGGAGGAAGGACCGGTACAATGTGGAAGTCATTGGGAAACTACCCTATCATCAAAGTTGTGCCTAACCAAGTAACACCACAATAAACAGTTTAAGTTATCTTTAAATTTAACCATCAATCAATTCACGTGTGCTTCGGTCGTTGTCCAAATTCCAAATGAGACCGAGCAAACTCTCTTCGCTCTTCGTTCATAAAAATCTCATTCGGCCCAATTTCCAGCTCGTCCAGTCCAAAAGTTCAGTTGTTTGTAGAAAAAAAATCATCGCGTAAATTAATCTTTGATTAATCACGCCGAAAGATCTGACGTGCAATTAGGTAGTGCAGAATTGGACATCAACCTGCTGTATTTACGTCCTGTTGAATTTAAAAAGTGACAAATTCTAGTCAGGCCACTGGACAACAAACTGTACAAATTGAAGCACACTCTGCGTGAGTAATAATGGAGTCTACTTTATCTGACGAAAAGGACGCTTCGATCGCAGATGAAGTCAAAGCGAAGCAAGTCACAGAAAATGAAAATGCACCCACATCGTCCACACCATCAGTGCCACCATCCACCATCGTTGATGAAGAATTAGACGCCCTTCTCAACGGTAAGTTTAATAGAGTATCACTTATGAACCTTGCAAGTTTGAAATTAGTTAATACTTTCTTGCTTATTTTTAAAAAGATGCCCTCCAAGATTTCGGAAAAGTGCCCCAAGTTCAACCTCCTGCAAATAATTTTAGCAATAATAGCGTGGCGCACAGTTTTGGAGCTAAAGGCAACAATGAAGACATGAATCAGGTTTGGACGGAAGAATTTATTAAGGAAGCAACTGCTCAATTTGAAAAGAAGATGAGAGAGTGTCTTGTGGCCCAACAGCAAGGTCTATCGCTTTTAAATATCATGCAAATAAATATGCTAATATGTTAGTAGTTCTTGGTCAAGATTAGACCGATTCTAACTTGATGAATTAACTTGTAGGAGGGGCCTCGTCGTCGGGTACAACATCACTAGAGACAGTTGCTCAAGATTTGAATAGAGTTGTTGAAGCAGCCACAAAAGCCGCTGTGGGTAACGTGGTCGAACCTTCGGCAGTGATGTCGCAAATTAATGAAGCCATGAAAAATGTTAATCTAAATCCGCCAGTGGTAAGGCTGACAAATTAATGACTTGAGTGATAGAAATCGTATATGACTCGGTTAAAAATAATTATTTCTACAGAACGATGGTGATTTCAATGAAGATGAACTGGCTAAATTGATGAGCAGTTTTGGGATGGGAGGAGGAGGTGAAGGCGATGATTCTGAATTAGACGAATTTCTTCCCTTTATGACCAACTTTATGCAAAAGCTTTTATCAAAGGACTTGTTGTACCCTGTGTTAACTGACATTGTCGACCGAGTAAGTTAATTTTTTGTTTAATATTTTGTAATAATAACTTGTATAACCTTTGATGTCTGTGTTAGTATCCTGAATGGCTAGCAGACAACAGATCTAAAATTTCGGGCGAAGACTTTGACAAATACAACAACCAATATGGATACATGAAACTAATATGTGAAGAATACGCTTCGGAAACTCCTACCGATAACGATGAAACTAAACGGAAACGATTTGATCGAATCTCTGAGCTTATGATCAAAGTATGTATACTCAAACTTATCTTGTAACATTTTTTAGTGATAATTCGAAATATCAATAATAGTATGTAAGATTTTAGCAAGATATGGGGACCAGCCATGAATTTTCTTCTACCAATTTCATTATTAAGCAATGCATTATTTTTTCAGATTCAGTGTTGTGGATCGCCACCCAAAGATTTGATCGGAGATGATGGAGCCTTTCCAAATATGGACCCTGCAGCAGCATTTGCAAGCATGGGAATGTCTGGTGCAGGAGTAGGAGGACCTGGTGGAGATCAGTGTTCCATTGTTTAAAAATCATTATTTTAAGACATGCTCAGATTTGGTCACCCCATAATCCTATTCATCTCATTGTCGTTTCACATTGTTCCTTTTTGCAGCTTTTACTTGTTTTTATATCGTATTTCATTTAATTGTCACTTTTACTCTGGTCATGCCATTTTACCCTTGACTATAATTTAATTGCCATAATCGACAAATGCAAAATGTTTGTATCGTACTTTTTACGATAAACCGTACAACTTCAGAATTACATTATTTTATGAACACCGAATCATAATAGTCAAACATCGAAACAAATGATGAGTCACAATTTACAATGATGTATCACGAATAACTGAATTAATTTATTCGAGTAGAATAAAATAAAAGCAACACAAAAAATATTTTGAATTTACAAAATCATTATATGTGTGTAATCTATATAAAACAATCTAAACTTCTAGCATGGTTGCCATCATTAAATTTCTTATGTGACGCTACTATTAGTCCCTCCTTCTTCGCTTGTCACTTGAAGATGAGGAAGGCTTATCTTTGCTACTACTGCTACTTTCATCCCCACCCCTTTTGCTTGCCCTTTTGGCCTGTTGCAAGAACTGATCCAAGCCAAAGGGATCCTCCTCATCCTTCTCAAATTGAACAGGGCCAGACCGAGAAGAACCTGCCGCTCTATCCGTACCACTAAACTCCTTATCTGGCACGAACTTATTGGTTTTAATTAGTGTGTCTAGGTCTTCGCCATAAGCGTCGTTATCGCCCCCTTTCTTTGGTCGATACAGGCCCTGTGAAACGTCTCCACCTCCACGCCAAGCTCTGTAATGCAATCAAACATGAATTTTCAGCTTAAATCGCAAAGGTTTATATTATGGGGTTGAAGATTTACTTGTCGTAGACGTTGTATGAGTCTTCATCTGCAAAACCAGAATCCATTCCTTTGCTCTGATTAAACAACCGGGAATCGAATTGGGTTTCGCCACCGGTTATAGTTTTCGCAGGCAGTCCTAGAGCTATCTGTTCACTAATATCACGCTCCCTCTCTCTCTCCAATCGGTTTCTTTAAAATCCAGAAATAAACATCATTAAGAATCGAATATCCATATTAAAAACAAACTGATTAATCTTGTCACAAATTTAGACTTGTTGACAAACAAAATAATGTAAATACCTCTTGTCGGGTGCAGCGCGTTGAATATTTCTTTCCCTTTGTCGATCCTTATGGCGTTCATGCCTAAGCTGGTCTCGTTCTTTGGCATCATCATCTTTCTCTGGAAGATACAAATCAAAATTGGTAATTGTAATTTTAAAATTGATGATAATTCGGCAACATAATATAAAACTATTGCACATACCGCCTGCCATTCCCGTACGAATTCCAGCACGCTCTTCTCTCGCCTTTTGAGCCAATGTTCTCAAATGTTCTTCCTTTTTCTCCTTTTCTTTTTGAGCAACTTTCTTTTCTAACTGTGCTCTCATTTCTACAGCTTCTCTTGCTAAAATAACCAGTAAATACCCAAAGATTTGTAATTTGAATCAAATTATTTGATTAACAAATTTACCCTTAATCGAAGTACAAAACACTTACCTTTTCTATCTGCAATATACAAAGCTTCCGCAAGTTTAGCAAAATTTTCGTTGATATGAACTTGCTGCAGTCCACGCCCATCAGCAGCCAATCGCTTGTCCAAAGGGATAGTGTAACCCTTTGCGTTTTTCCAGTTTGAAATACAAGGAGGTATTTTCCACTCTTTCTGCTCCTTGGCTGTAACTTTCCTCGTTGGGGAATGCAGTACAGGCGCCGGTGGGGAAGGGGGACCACGAGGAATCTTTGTATTGATTTTAAATCTAGGAGGTGACATTGGATCCCTCTGTACTTCCACCATCCTTATCACTCTTTGTTGCGCACCAGAGTTGAAGGCTTGACCTTGCTCGGAAGGAGTGTAACGGATGAACTGTGTTTCTCCCTGCGTATTTATTATGAAATGTAATTTTATAATTTTTCAAATATGTTAATAAGAAATAATAAACCCTGAATGGATAATTTAGAAATAATTTATCTTATAGAAAAGATATTTCGTACCCTTTTCTCAGCGCATCTAACGGGCATTGCTGCGGCAATTTTACTCTGTGTCAACTTTTCTAAAGCTTGCCTAGTCTTTTCTGTGATCTCCTTAATGTTGTCTTCGTCCGGTTTCTGGAGCTCCTGAAAACACAAAAGGAAAACAAGAATAACAACTTTGGCCAAAATCATGACCAGATTTTGATGTGTTGTTACCGGGTCATCCTCATTTGTAATTTCTTTAGGAAGGAGATCAGTATACTTGGAGAAAACAATCTTATCCTTAGAATGGCCTTGTCGAGCAAGCACATCGTATTTTATTTTTCCTTCTGCATCTAACTGAACAGCCACGGCGTTGGATGCCTTAGCCCCAGAGTCGGGACCCTTCTTCCCCATTCCTAATGGAAACTGGGCGACATGGATTTCTGGAAATGCACCTCCATCACCAAAATCCTACAACATGAAACAAATCGTTCATATGTTATCGCTACTAAATGTGTACAAGTAAAAATAAAAAGTCTTGTCTTACCTCAGGAGTCCTTGGTATAAAACCCCTTCGAGCTCCGTAAGGAGGTGCTTTCGATTCGCCGATGGCCACAAGGGTCATCGTCGACTGCTGTTGTTGCTTTCGTACCAATAACCGCTCATCCTCTCGATCCCTTACGATATTTGTCGGGATGGGCAAAATACTAGAAAACAAACATAAATAAGCTGTATTATTACCTAATACTTTATAGAATAATTAGATTTCTAATTTAAAATTTAATTAATTAATATGTTCACAGCACTTCACTGTTCAGTTATTTTAACTCGAGCTTACCTAGTTAGCGACGACATTCCTTTATCTTTTACAGCGACAACTTTATCTTGCGGATTGGTAGAACAGAAACAAATGTACGATTTTATACTTGGTTGCAAACTGATGAAATTTCCAACAGTGTAAACTTTTAATTCGTAATTGGGGAGTTATTTAATAACCTGGCGTTGAGAAACGAAAGTCTTTTTTAATAGGAAGGCAATATGGCGCAATAGAAACGGCAGAATTCGAGTCTCCCGCACAATGTCAGCTTCCTCTCCTTCCTCGCTCAAAAAAAGTCAATGTAATCAAAATTCATGATTGTTTTTAAATGCTGCGTTTTGCAGGAGGCTGAAAATAATTTCCGATTAGGTTATTTTCGGATTTGTTGATACAAATCTACGGTTCTATCCACACGAAATATTTAATGTTTGCATAACCATTAGTGGATACATTACTTGAAGAAATTTAGTTTCATTCGTTTAAAAAAAGTTCATCCTAATCAAATAAGGAATCTGAATCATATAAATAAATACTACGAACAAAAGCATTAAACTTAATGATTATGGATTATACGACGGCAGTTATATGTACATGTCTGTAATAAGTAAGATGATTGAATGAAACATGAAACTGGAGTGCTTACTCCAGTTTCACGTCTCAAATTTCTGTTTCATGGAAAGTTTATAATAAGTTGACAAATATGTACATACATATTTATTTAGGCTGTATACTTCTCAATAGGGTTATCATATCATGGCACCGTGGTCTGCATTCATTCACCATAATATTATCTTCACTGTAACCTTTAACCGTGACTTCAGCTCGCATAATTGATTTGCGTGAAATTATTGCTTGCCAGCAGACAGGGTTGCAATAAATGTCAAAATGTTGACACATTTTAGAAACATTCTTCGGCTACACCAATGTAAAGTTTCAGGAAATATTAAAAATGATAAGCAGTCTGTCTATAAGACTTTGAGGCAGTTTTCGTCAGCTCAAACTGGTAATCGTAAAGTTTTAAAGATCGGAGTACAAGGAGCTGGATTCGACAAAGGACAAGTAAGTGAAATAGAACGAAGCCTAACGTTTGATGTGCAAATTGGCATACATCGTATTTTACCATGAAAGAGGAAACCTGGGGTGGAACGTGGACCTACAACGATAAGAAGTTCTGGATTTATCGACTTTCTTCGGGATGAAGGTAAAAATATGTACTCCATGCCAAATAATCTGTGAAACAACGTTGATCATAAATGAAGAAAGAGATAAAATTAAGTGGTATTACATGTCTCAGTTGGTCATGATGTTGTGGACTATGGCGATTTAAAGTTTGAAGTTGAGGAGAGAAAATCCTTGGACACATCGTCATCGTCCACTGTGGCACTAAGGAATGTTGTTGAAGTTGGAAAGGCTAATTTACTGGTACATCCGTATTGTATATAAATATATTAAATGTTATAAAAACAGTATAAATTAGTCTTCGATTTACGAAATTTGAAACATGAATTTTCACAAATTCAGATATCAAAATCTACAGCAAAAATAATTGGGCAAGAGAAACGCATTCCGCTTACTCTAGGTATCATAAACTTTTCTTTTAACTACATACATAGCTCACTTATTGGTTAAAATTGTAACTCTGTTGTCTAAAGGTGGTGACCATTCTATTGCTATTGGAACGATTCATGGGGTGTCCGAGGTGGTGCAAGATCTCGCCGTTTTGTGGGTTGACGCTCATTGTGACATTAACACGCCAGGATCAACCCCCACTGGAAATATGCACGGAATGTCTCTCTCATTTCTACTCAAGGAGTTGAAGGGTCATGGAATACCAGAATTTTCTTGGGCAATTCCCAGGTTCGTTAACTATATATACACAATTATTATATGCATCGAAAATGAAAGCCCAAGCAACTATCTATATTACATAAATGTACATATGCAGGATTTCAGCCAGGAATTTAGCATACATTGGATTGCGTTCTGTTGACGCTGGAGAAAGGTATAAGCGTTTACTTCGTAGCAATGATAAAATACAGGATATACGATATGTAGCATCGACATAAGCAATTCTTAGATATCTCAAATTGTCTTTTTAATTGCAGAAAATTATTGGACAACTTAGGAATCACGGCGTACAGTATGAGAGATGTTGATCGCTTGGGAATTGTTGAAGTAACGCGATGTGCTCTTGAGAAGATAGCACCATCCGGTTCTAAACGACCGTTGCATATTAGTTTTGATATTGATGTGTTGGACGACCTAGAGCTTGGGGGTGCTTCAAGTGTGACTGGAACTGCAGGTATGATGTCGTGCCAGGAATAATAGATTTCCTATAGATTGCACACAGATACATATCGTGTAAATGCCCCAATGTGCATTGTACCTACACTCAAACTAGTCTTTACTCATGCACATATATACATTCACAGTGGAAGGAGGGCTTACTCTCCGGGAGGGGATGACGCTGTTGGAAGAGGTCCGTGAAAAGGCGAACATTGTCTCGATGGACCTCGTCGAAGTAAACCCAGCACTTGGGAGTGACGAAGCTGCCAAACGAACTGCCACGTTGACCAAGCACTTGTTTGGCAGTGTGTTTGGATATTGTCGCGGAGGGATGTATTTGTCTTAAGAATAGAATCGCAATCAATAAACAAGTATTGTGAAGAAAATGTTTGGATTGATAATTTGAACGACTAAATACACAAATTGTGCATGTTGTGCTTCAATTGAAACGGTTCATTTTGGAATATTAATTAGTTATGCATGGCGCATTCTTAGTCACACAAGACACTCGTGCTGGAAAAAGCTTATGCATATGTACATACGCAATAGTTGTCAATCAACCTGCACGTTACAATTAGCAGGTACACATACATACATGCCTCGTTTTCGACAAATATAGATTTCGATTTGATCAAAATACATGCGTAGATCTTTATTACTATTGAGTCATTTTTGCAATGGCGTCAGAAAACGGCATACACAATACGGAGTCAGTATCGTATTGTAGGTGTATCAGGAAGTATAACTGTAAAATTGCTCTCCGAAATTGTTCTTCTAGATTTTTAAAATGGATATCGTAGACATGGTGTTGGGGATTTTTGCATGCTATGTATTTACAATTTTGGTTCTTGTGATCCGATGTATAATACAGGGCATATTTCTTGTGTGCTACGGAGAACTAGAAGAGGAGACCGAGAATGAGAGAAAAATGAGACAGTACTCGGTATTAGATAAACCTGATCTGAGCGAAAAAATCTCGAGTAATATAATAATTTCAAATATTTAGGTCGATGTTTTTTCTGTTTTCATTGAGGACAATGAGAATACCAAGGAGAAACAGGATCAGAACAAGGAAGTCGACATTCCAATCAATCATGATGTTTCACCAGGAGGAGGGATTGAAAAAGAAAATACTGTCGCAATAAAAATCGAGGTATAAGTTGAAGAACTAAATGTCAACTCAATTTGATCGTCAACTCGATCCTCTATTATTAGTCATAAATTTAAAAAAATGCTTTGTCTAGAAGACGGTGATCAACAATACAAATTTCGAAGAAAAGCCTGAAAATCTTCCCAAAATCGTGGAGAATGTCGAGCTTGAGAAAGATGACCATCAAGATGAGATTACTGTCAATGAGGTAACAGTGGAAATGGATGCTTCTGATAATGGTGAGTTTAAAATTTAAAAAATGTTTTCTGACTAGTGCCAACTAAATAATACCTAATATATCTAATTGTATATTTTATTAAGACCTCCCAAATGACGGTGATTTCAAAGATTGTGCTGAATCTAATGCTTAAATACAGCGGAGTCCTATCTCCAACTACAATTACTTATTATGTATATATAACAATGGATCATAAGTTAACTTCATTACTCAACCAGAGAAATATTAAAATTGTAGTCACATCTTACGTAGCGTAATAAATAAATGGTTTGCAAAAAATTACACGTAACTTTTTGAACTTGTCTTATAATCCACCAAATCATTTTATTATCTGACATGAGCAATACTTTGTAAACGCATTCTTACAAATGAATATATATACATATGTGCGTATACTTAAATGCGCCTGTGATTTATGACCGTTACATGAAACCTTTTCCATCCTCGCATTGGTTCTAAAAGGAAGTTTTGTACGCATCTCGAAACCCTTGAACTTGAGAATTTCAAGCCCGTCATTGGATAATTATTTGAATTGTGCAGTTCATTTCAAGGGTATGCAAATGACGAAATATGGCAGAACAGTTACATGAAACGGGATTTTACCCGTTTAGGAAACAGCCCGAAAAATTTGGACACAATCCCTACGGAATTATGTACAGAAAGTGCAAGTGAATGAGGGAAAAGGTGCACCTGTCCAGTCAAAAGTGTTGAGGAATCAAGACACCTTTACTGTAAATATGTATGTACATGTTTGTATCTGCTGCTTACGTGCTTTGACAATGAAATTCATGAGCACCGTTAACTTTTATGAACTTCTTTCGTAACTGGATTTGTCCTATTTTTGTGCTGCAAAGGGGATATTTCTATAACATTGCCCTTATAAAAGGGCTCTGAGATCAAATTTACCTCAGTTTTGATCTGCATTTATAACAGAACGTAGAAGAGCTGATTATACAAAAGGTAAATCGCACATACTAATTTATCAGCATCATATTACACATTATGTATTAAATTAAATTAAGTTCAAATTACCTTCGTTCTTTGTTTGCTCCAGAAATGGGAGAAAAACAGGTCTTTGTGTGTCTGCTTCTTGCAGTCGCCACAAACTTCCGGTGGACATCCGCTCAGCCAGAGCAATCATCAGAACAAGCGGATACCAAAGGACTTTTCTCCTTCGGGTCAAGTAGTGATCAAGCAAACGACAACCAAGACGATCCCGGTCACACATTTAGCTACGAGTTTCTCTCCCCACAAAAAATCCTCACTGGATGTTCTGGGACCAAGTATGCGAACGGGGACGTGAAACGGGTTTACTACTTTGTGGACGCGACGGGAAAGAAGAAGTTCATCTTTCCTCATAAAGCCGTCGAGGTCGTTTTCCCATCCCCCGCTGGACTTCCTGGACTAACGAGAAGTCAAAAGGTCCACATGTCTGAGATGTGTTTTCCAACCCCGTGCAATGTTCAGGGCGTCTGTTCTCCAGGAAGCACAATTGGGCCAACAGGATGGAGTTTACCAAAATGTAAGTTGATGACGATAATGAGTCTCATTTTGTCCCCTTGTGTAGTGCAGGCACGATGTGTAACAATTTCTTGCTCATCTTTGTTGCAGTTCCTTGGCTTCCTTGGGGCAATGGTGGGAAACAAAGTGTTTATTCCTTCAATCTCACTTCGCATGGATCTGCAGAAGCGGCATTGACCTCTAATTCGGCCAACTTAGCTTTCGGAATGTCAACAAATATTGGTGGTCATAAGAAAGACCCAGTTACTCCTGGGTGGACCAGTACAACTACTCAACCTCCGTCGACCACAAGTGGGTGGACCAGTGGGTGGACTAGCTCATCAACAGCTCAACCTTCATCAAGTGGGTGGGCATCCGTTTCGAGCGAAGCAGAATCTGCAGCCCAAGTGTCCGTCGGGAGCGGTGGTACTGTGTCGGCAAGCGCGGAGGCAGAAGCAGAGGCAGAAATTTCCTTGGGTGGCGTTGCTTCTGCTTCCGCCGAAGCAGAAGCTTCTGCTGCTGCAAGTGGTGGATGGGGTTGGTCTTCCACTACACCGACCACGACGACTTGGGGATGGAAGCCACCACCTACAACGACGACGACCACGACTGTTCCATCCCCCACGCCTGGATGGGGTTGGTCAACCACAGTCCCTTCGACCACTACTGGCTGGGGATGGTCAACTACGACGACACCAACTACTTCGACTGGCTGGGGATGGTCATCTACGACGACACCAACTACGACGACTACTACATCCGCTCCTCCATGCAACACCACAACAGAAGAACCTACCACTGAACCACCCACAGAACCGCCAACCACCGAGCCACCAACAACGACAACAGGAGGCTGGTCATCGTCATCTTCTACAACGACAACTCCTGGTAAGAAAATGATGTTTTAAAGTATCCCTTCCGTCTCTCACGCAAAGAGTGAAACTAAACAAAACAAATCTGATAATGCAGGTCCTGACTGTCCTGGAGAATGCAATTGCTGCGATAAATGTCCCATTTCAAAATTTGTTGAAAAACTTGCTAGTTCAGGATTTGGCAACAACAATCCCACACCACCAATGAACCACTGGGCATCTGGAACGTGGAATTCCTACTCAGTCCCCCATCCCAACTGGCCTTTCGCTCGAAATGATCACAAAACGCCGAAAGAAGAAGACAGAAAAACTCCCAGCTTCTTTGCAAATCTTCCAGGTGCAATTAACGGTCAAGTTCCGGTCATCTATTACCCATCCTGCGATGTGAATGCCTACTACCAACCTGCCATCATCAACTATTGCTCGGGATGGAGTAAAGACGATTACAAACGGTCCATACCTGCAGATGAACTAAATGAATCTGGAAAAAAGGCCGTAGATTCTTAGGCTACAAAAAACCTCGGCTTTAATATCTATGTATTTTCATGTCTTTCGCCTGTCATGTACTAATGCAAATAATGGTGCAATCTTACTCACCAATTTTTTCCGTAGTCAAACAGAATGGAAAAAACCAATCCGAAATTTAAAAGAAAGTTCTCATAAATAAATAGCAATAGTGGTTTATATTGTTACATTTTCACCCTAACATACAAATGAATTTACATGACGTTAATTAAATTACTCCAAATCAATTGATTTAATAACATTATTTATTTTTCACACTTACATACTTACATTTTAGCGAAAAGTAGAAACTGTAAAAATTTGCTCCTACTCTTCGGTTTTGCCAGATTTCTGTGGGACATCAACATGGAGTGCCTGCATATTACAAAATTCAATAAAAGTACAGAATGAAATAATAATGGTGTACACAATTTGTCATTTAATTCAGTCTCACATCCACCACTTCACTGTACACAGGCTCAACCAGTGCTGAAACCCCACTCAGCTCCCTCAATTCCAAGATTCCAGTGCCAATCCTGATTGGTTTTGGTGGGGGTGGCGAGGCTTCAACGTCAAAGGCGCCCAGCGACCCACTCCCACTGGCACCAACCAATTCCATCATTCCAGATTGCACTGGTTCATTGGTACCCTCGTGGACACCCACCAGGTCGTACGTGACATTCGTGAATCCAGAGTCTGGGGAAACTTGAGTGACCTTTTCTTCAAGAAATGAAGCAGAATCGATTCGTTGAATCGCGTCGTCAACAAGTTCTCCCCTTTCAACGGTGGCATCCGCAGGTGTTTCTGCGGCGCTCCTCTCAATATTTACGGTCGAGACGCGCTCATTGCTAAATCTCGCAAAGCCAAACGTCCTCCCACCCGCCTGCGTGCTGCCCCTCCTTCCTGGAAAACTAATGTTGATGTTGGGCATCTGCATACTGGGAACGCGAATCGTGGGCATGGAGAGATTTGATGGGATAAGGTTGGAGATTGTTGGGAGTGTCAGGCGTGGATAGCTGTTGGGACGAAAGATTGTTTTATTTATAAAACAGCGGAACAAGTAAAGGCAATGAACCTTTATGTACTTATGTGTTCATATACATATATCTTTCTTGAAAGGAAATTCCAGAAATAATTGAGTGCAGCGCATGAGGTTTAGCTAAATTTGGGACAATATTAATCTTTTCCTACGTTTATACGTACATATATGTTTTTCATACATTCGTCTGCAACAGAGTGAGTAATAGCATAGAGTTGCACTTTCTCTTTCTTGTAATAATGTTAGATCGGTTAGCAAAGAGACAATTGAGCTCACATCTGCAAATTTAATGCTTTCACTGCTTTCTTCTTCTTTCACTCAAAGGATCATATTCAAGTGGGCGGCATAATGCAATAAGTAATGTACTCCAATCGGGATTTCGGAGTTCCATTAAGCGGATCCTTCGATTTCCAAATTGGATTAGCTAGAATTGATTAAACTTGTTCGAGGAAAGAGAAGATACAAGGATTCGCGAATCGTAAATAAATGGACGGTCAAAGCACAACCACTTTGCTTTCGTTTATGTCCAACTGATGATACAACTTCACTTTGAAATCTCACAAAACGAGAGGAGATTGAAAGTTTCGACTCACTTTCACTTTTCTGGCTTTAACTTTGACTCTCTTAATACTAAATATGTACATTGAGGCACTTGTGCGTATGTACTGTATGTATAAGCTGGCTGAATACTTATCTTTAGAATTATTTACTTGTGCATCTTACATATTTCCTTTTGCAACTTAAAAATGGACACTAAAATTGTATGCATGTATTCATAACGTTTACAAAAATTGGGGAAATCTGGTACCTTCCGTTTTGCCTGTAGTAGATGAAACAAAAGACGGCAAGAAGGGCAGTGATCGCCAGGAGGACCAAGAAAGTAATTGTTCCCCCACCGAGCCCTTCTGAAGTCCATTTGTCTACATCAGAAGGTCCGTGATTCCAAGACCCTATCCAAGTCACTTCTTCGACCTGTGGCTCTGCGTCAAAAAGTATAACAATGAAAGTGCAAGGTAAATAATGGGGAGACAATAGAATATTCTGTAATACAGTACAACGGAATAGATATCAATCGACATCAACTGTTTATGGGCTAATTATTCACGGCCCTCTGTAGGCTTTCTCTTTCTCTCTAGTCGAGTATAGAATCTCACGTTCTCTTCTACGTGCTTCATGGGGATCCAGCTCATTTGTCTCCGTCATTAGAAACAATTGAAGTATTTACTCACTATTTGGGGCCCTTTGTTTTCCCGAACAATTGTAATAACAAAGAAAATGTGAGAAAATCATAAATGAATATGCACTGTTGCCTATTAGTCTCCTAGCTCAAAATTTAGCAACTTACATAAATACTTTCATTTCATCTTGAAAATTTATTTGTTACAAAAAATTGTGTATCTTTAACTTACGAGACTTTAGAAATATTACGATTCGGCCCAACATGTTAAGTGCAGATTCGGTCGCATCTTTTGTAGCGGGCACAAGAATAACGTGGGCATTTCTCCGACTGAACCTTGACACAAAATAGTCCACTTGAGATGAGGGGGTCGGCCTGATGGATTTCAATTGAGAGTCAATTGCTCCAAGTTGCAGTGATCCAGTATGTTTGATTTTAATATGAAATCCTACATGTCGTTTCAAAAAAACCAATAAATAAATATTTACCCAAATATATATAACAAGAGTGCTGGAAAGGTTAATGCGGATTTTCCTCTGAATATGAGAATCTGTACGTATTCCTACCACTCTCGCTGGACTTTCTCCATCTTTCGTACTTGTAGTAGAACCACAATCTTTATTCTGGCTTAAGATTAGTATAGATTTGATTACTCTGTTGTCCATGTGTTATCATCGATAGATTTATGTGTACACTCTGTCACAGTATTTAACCAAGAAATTACTCAAACAATCACAACTTTCTCCAGTGCTTGCTTTTATACAGCTATTTAACTATTGAGAAAGGTAAGTGACCACAATTCTCACCCCTCATTCAAATCCAACATAACTATTTGGTAAAGTGGATTGAATAATCCCTTATCATCATCTTGATCATCATCCGGGATGATAAGTAAACGTGTACCAAACCCCAAATCCATTATTATTAGTGGTTCGTTGGTTTGGTGGTGGTGGTGATACGGTAGATGAGGAAGAGCAAAACTGGTCTGGAGATCGTCTATGTATTTATGTGTGTATTCCCAAGATGAGGAAAGAAATATGGTACAAAACAGGTTGCTGCTGCTTCTGCTGAATATGAAGGTGAGCTTCTGTTCTGCGGCTTGTCAAGAGGACAATCTAATTTCTCTAATGCATTTCTCTCCAAAAACAACACACGAACTCTTCCTCAACCAAAAGCGAGCAAGAGCAAGGCAGATATTGCACACTTTCACCCTATGCTTTCACCTCCATCTCACAAAGTCCACCTGTACAGATGTATATGCATATTTTTGATGAAAGGATGATTATATGTGTACAGGCCTTGGATGTTTATTCAAAAGTTCAAACGGGGCCTAAAATTTGTAGAACGGAACCTTAATTCAATTTTTGTATATAGACCACAACTTACCGCAAATTGGGCAGCAGAATCCGTGAGGGGTGAGTGGGTTTGTACATCCTCCTTCGTGCTCCTCGTCAAGATTTAAACATTCTGCTTGAGCAAGGGAACAAATCTGGAAAATAAATTGATTTACTTATTTTCATTAACAGCAATTTTGGCATTAACGGGGAAGTTGTAAAGAATTCCCCCTTTCTTGAATTTGTATCTACTGTCTATGCTACCCTTTGCTTTACTGTAGACTGGTAATTATTGCAAATGCAGGAATCATCATCATCTTTGCAATCTAAATTGGTCAGGTTGAAATCAACCTCGGTCTCTTTTTTCCATTGAAGTTTTCCCATTTGTGATGTCATCATAATTGCGATATCCGTGTATGAAATGACCTAAGAAACATGTATATATCAATATCGCATTAAAGGATAAGTTGTGTACATATGATTACGTTGTTAAATGAAAAAAGAAGTATTCAACTGCACCTTTTCCCCTAATAAAAACTTCCCAACAGAGACATTTTGAGGTATGGTAATGCTAAATGTCGAATTTGGGGAGAATTTAGCAACATCGAATTGGCACGGCACTCTCTCCACGTGTGGAATTGCATTTTGACCCCATGCGAGTTCAGTACTGGTCACATCCCAATTGCGGGGATCGAACCAATCTGATTTTGATGTCCGGCGAAATTTTACCTCTGTCAAAGATTGAAACATTCAATTGAAATTGTTGAAACTCGATGTCAAAAACGGAAATATACATGCAGTATGTGTAGCATTATCTATTTGGTGCACTATGTGTGTCAAAATGACATATTGTAAGTGCTGAAGACGAGCTTGTGTATGCATGTACATACGTATGTACATATTCAAGTACTTACACACACGAGTGGGCGGAAATAATCCTACCTCTATTTCGTTCATTCACAGGTTTGTGGTTAACGTACGATTTGAGAAAATTGACAAATTGTGTGGTTTTGCAGTCGTCAAAAATCCTTCAGAAACAGGAGTCACCAAGGACTTTCAATTTCTACTGTGAAAGTGGTTTCCAATTACATGGAACAACCCACTTTATCGAATGTGTAGCTTTCGTCTTGCAATTAAAATTCAATTGACGGTATTTGGTTCGAAAGCTATATGCTAAGACAGCATTTCCAATATATACGTACAGATGTTTACAACGTGGTATCGATTTTTTTGTAAATTTCCAGAATTCCGTTCCCATTTTCTCAAAACTTATTGGAAATGATGACGAGTTTGCCGTTGAAACAAATTAAGAATGAAGTGTGGTGGTTGATCTTATCTTTCCATACTTTCTTTCCGTCGTCCTTACCTCGAGCTCGTTGACAACTCCCATCACTTTTCCCCTTATCAGATAAAGTGGTGACTCCTGGTTGGAATACAAAATGCCCGGTCAACGGCAAAATGATTTGTTTCCCAATAAAGAACGTTGGCCAAGACACCACGGTCGTGTCCATCCATCCCGGAAATGAAAAAATATTTGAGGAACAATTCGCATCCACCAAACCCTCCCAATTATCTGCATTCTCAAAGTTTGTGTTCTTTCTCCAGCTCCGAACCCCACGAAACTTGTCAGCTCCAGCCAAACTCTCACTACCGGCTCCATTGTGGAGACAATAAGTCAGAAAAATAATAATTCTGATTACAAAGGTGGTCAAGTTTACACTAAAAACTTCCATTATTGCAAATTACATGCAAACTTTGAATACTTTTTAGAGAATTTTTAAACTGCGTCTAAAAATTGTGCACGCTATAAAATGGCTGCTATGTATGTATATGTATACGTAGTATGTATGTATCTGCTTGTGATATTCCATCCTAAAAATGTTTGGCACATTTCGTTTTTCAGCATTTGGTAAGAAATTTGAGACAATGCATTAGAGAGGCTGTTGAGATGACAAACAACAGGCAGACATACATGAGACCGAGTACGAGAGCGAGAACATGGGCGGCAGGGGTACGCGAACGTAACTGAAGCCATTGACAGCCCAACAACGGCCAAGTGGGAGGATGAGCGTGTGTGTGTTCCATGATGAATTCGAGATGATCTCTTCTCCTCCTTCTTGTTTTGCTTTAGTGCACTTCAAAAAAGTTGGATTTATTCCGTATTTCCTGCACGTTTACTCGTATATCAAAAACAAAAAGTTTTGAGTGCGAGACAGGCTTATTCTTTATGAACTCAACCCCTTTCCGTAAATATATGCATTGTCCATCTGAGGAGACGGAATCGGGAAGAGCACGACGTACAACAATCTTGTTTTATTCGATCGGGTACGATCTATTAAGACGTTGAAGCTCTTGATTTTTTACAATGATATTGCAAAAGCATGCACCTATAAAGAATCTATCTGCCATGCCAAGTTCTGCATTGGACAACTACTTACATCTACATATTTTGGATTCCAGGGGAAATCGTCATATCTGATTAACATTTGATTTCAGGATCAATAGGCTAATATGTACATATAACCAAAGTGAGAAGTTTGTTACGATTGATTATTATCTGCATAACATTTATAGAGAGAAAAGGGCAGATTTGAAATAAGACCAAAGATTCGCCTGTAAATATTTACCCGTGCATGTAACAAACATACAGACACATACATAATTCAATCGGAAATAGCTCCTATTATAAAGACATACTTAATTATTCTTATCATCCAATGGATCAATATGACATACATAGATTGCTGTATGCTAGTGTAATAGAAAAAAAATAGACAAATTAGCAAAAGTTGACTTATCATGATAGAACTACAAATTCTGCTCCACCTTAATTTATATCGACGGTTTATTGTGCAATGAGTGGGCAAACGACAATGTAATTATTATTCTGATGGAATGCAACGATTTAATAAGTTCAATGCTATTTTTGGAACTTTACATATACAATGTAGTCGTATATGTAAAATAATCAATTTATGTATATTATATATAAATTGATTATTTAGAGATAAACATGTAATGCAAAACATGTACCTATGTAGAAATGAATCTCATTTATTGTTGACCTTGGTCAGACATATGCAACATCATTCTCATGAGTCCTCCATAAAACCGATGCTGAGATACCAAACTTCATACTTATTCCCAAGTTTAGCTTTGTCATCGCACTAGAAAAAGTTTATATTTAATTTAATTACTCGAGAATCGAGTTACTTTAATGAGCTGGTGAAATGTTGGGAACAATTTTAATTCTGGTGGGTGGTGGCCTCGTCCTCCTTCGACTTTTTCTCAACAAGCTATACGGAACCGTTGACCCAAACAATGAGATTAGCGCAAAAGGAAAAATTGTCATTGTTACTGGGGCAAATGCGTAAGAATCGTCATTGTAATTTTCTCCATACTACATAAATAATTTGCAAGTAATAATTGTAATATTTTTCAGAGGGGTAGGAAGATCCACGACATTGGAGTTTGCAAAAAGAGATGCTCATGTTATTTTAGCCTGCAGAGACATATCCAGAGCAAATGAAGCAATCAAATATATTCGGGAGCAGACCACAAATGGCCAACTGGTAAAAATTTGTCATAATTTACGATTGAGGGGCCTTAAAAAATAAGCGTAAATGTATGTATGAATGTGTACTTAGGTGGTAATGCAACTGGATTTGGGTTGCTTTGAATCTGTGCGAAAATTTGCGACAGAGTTTAACAGGAAATACGAAAAACTTGACATTTTGGTGAACAACGGTGCAGTAATGTTAAATCCTGATTCACATTTGAAAACCACAGACGGCTATGAGATTCATTTTGGGGTGAATCATTTGGGCCATTTTCTTCTCACGAAGTTGCTACTGGAGAAACTTAAAGCTGCAGCTCCTAGCAGGTTTCAGGACAATTAAAACTTTCGATTATTTTTGCATATAAATATGTTAGTCTCATTGTCTTATTATGTTAGAATTGTAACTGTGAGCGCACTTGCCCACAATGTTGGTTCAGTGAACAGAATTCTTGGAATGGGAAAAACAACTGCGTCCGGAGAGCAGCCGAAATACACTTACAGTTTTGTGGATAGACTATTTTTAAAGAAAATTGGCCCAGGAAATAAACCGTATTCTGATTCTAAGCTGGCAAATGCACTGTTTTCATTAGAATTAGCAAGACGCCTGGAAGGTAGTGGGGTGAGGTGAGGTTTTAACTAAACTTGAAATTTCCTTATATTCAAGTATTTAATTTTAAAGGAAATAAGTCTCAATTTCGCTTCTGATTTTTCAGAACATACGCATTATGTCCAGGAATTGTCAACACAGGGTTGGCAGACTCGTTGGATATTCCAAAGTTTTTGTACATCCCAATAAAAGTTATTCTAAGGTACCTCCTCAAAACTCCAGAGCAGGTAAAGCAGCGATTGTGAAATAATAATAAGTAAATTGTTACGATCATAAATTATTGACACTCCAAATTTATTCTTGGGGGATATACAATGTGCACGGTTTTGAAATCCAAACAGGGCTGTTGGACAACAATGTATTGTGCTCTTAGCCGGGATCTCATCAATGAAAGTGGTTTAATGTACCAACATTGCGCCGCCTGGGACCCCAAAGACAGAATTCGGTTGAAGGAAGAGGATTCTGTGGAGCTGTGGAATTTAAGTGAGCGGCTCACAGGAATAATTCCTCCATAATAACTTGGTCATTTCGAGTGCAAAGAATCAATTTTTAAATTATACAATAAATCTACACTTACACTTAAAAGCTTCATAGAAAGATACATTGTTTTACGAGATACGTTAGTACTTAAATAAATTATTTTTGATTGCACATTTGATGATGACTCACTTTCCAATGACGTGACATAGAACATTGATGAACATTTGCCACTACGCCCAATGAAGTGAAAATGAAAATGTATACGTTTAGAGTGTATATTCCTGTTGTGCATTGTTTCTATGTTTGGAGCAAGCAGAAGTCGTAGCGAGAAGGAAAAAATATTGCTGCTGGATGATTTTGGGACGAAACTAATTAGAAGTGAGTGAGTGAAACGGGATCAGGATTAGGGTGGGTGGGTGGTGGTGGAGAGATGTGTTTAGAAAGTACTGAAAGCAGTACAAGGGATGGATGGATGAACTGGAGGGGGTCACATCGACAACAATCTTTCACACGATGAACTTCACGACAATAGGGTCAGAATTATAGACAGGCTGACATTTGGAAAATATAGGGACTAAAACCCCTGCATTTATTGATTGAAATTTAGGATGAATGAAAAATTACTAGTTTATCCAACTACATAAATAAACTTGGCTGAAAAACGTACCATTTATATTGTTAGGCTTGCTACATAATTACATATATATGTATGCATGAGAAAATGCATTAACTTGGTAGTTTTGTATCATCTGATGCATCTAACCTTTAAGAGGGCGCATTTTCATCTGGAACCCTCATCTATTCTTCTTAATTACTCATAATGCTGATTTACGCATTATTATTTGGAATGAGTAAAAAAAAGTTGAAATAGAAAGCACCCACGCAGATGCAGCAGTAAACACGGGGCCGAAAATAAAATAAAAGGCTTACTCATCATGCCGTGCACAGTACTTAAAAAACTCCAGGATATGCACAGCCTTCGCACTCCAGATAACGGCTCTTATTCCCACTTTCTATAGTGTGCTTCGGTTGACGCTGAAAGAGCAGTGTAAAGGTGAAGGTGACATTATTCTCTCCTTTTCTCTGCTTGAATAAATAAATGCATCCTTTCAGTTTTCCGGTTCAGTTTTTTGTTTTCATTTTCACTCAAAGAGGAAAAACTTTGCTTGGTTGGAGTTTGGTTTTGATTAATGTACTATTTCAAGAACTCACCTTCACCATCAATCTCACGTCACAGTGCAAAGTTGAGTTTTTTTTAACCTTTCCTGAGATGCAATATGCAAATGCGGAAATAAATGGAAAAATCATTCACATTTACCATATGCTTTTATTTCTTTTACTTTGAAAATCACTTTAAATGAATGAATATGCATATGTATTTATAGTCATTTTCATAAGGAAAGTGAAAGTTTCATGCACAACAAATAGCCACAAATTAACGCTCTTGATGATTCCTGTACCTTTACGAAAGTAAGGGCGACTCGTGTCGTTATTCTAGCATTTTGGGATAATTTTGTGTTGGTTGTAATCTGACAAGAGTTTGAAGTGGTGGGTGGCTAAGTAAATAAATAAGTAAGTGAGGTGAGAAGTGGGGGTTATCCGGTTGATTTGATGGGGTTTCCTGGTGGGGAGATGAGATGAAGAAATGGAGCAAGTCCTCTCCAAAGCTCAACAGTTTCTCTCTCTCGCGTCCGTCAAGATGTCAGGATTCTCAGGATCTCATTTTAGTAACAGGTTTCCTCCTCTCCTTCGGGGACAATGTCTCGGTGGGCTCACAACTCTCTCTCTTTTCCTCCTCTGGCCTTCGCCTTCGTCGTCGTGGAGCACAAACTGTCTGCGAGGAAAGCGACGGACAACTTATTTCTCTGCCATTGAGCTCGCTCTTCTCCTACCACGATGCTGCATATGCCTGCGACATGGTGAAAGTAAAAAGTCAGTAAGTGAAGTGAAGAAGGCACAGCAAACGTTTGTTACTTTGTCCTGACGGATCTAGATTAACAACTGGATTTATTTACAAGATGTGTGTAGTGGTATGGAGCACTTGTTCTCGACTTGATATATTTAGTGGTTGCAATTCAGTAGTGAAATTTTAGGTAAAAAAATAATAGGATTTTTTTGCGATCTCCTTTCCTCGGTTGACCGTAACCGCATAGATGAATGCTTATGTATGTATGTACTATTGCGTTCATGTTGTTCAAATGACGTAGCGTAGATGTACACAAACTTATAAGCGTATACATAATTATCTTAGGATTAGATATGTTTGGGTAACCCACTTTAATCAATACAGCCAAATAGAAAATTACAGGAAAAAGTTTAAAATTATAGAATTCTTCCCAGCTTGACTTACTTATTGTAATATTTTCTCTGCTTTTTTACCCTACTTTTCCTACTCTTGGAATTAGAAATGTCGTGCTGTGTAGTAGAATGATGGAAAAGTTTTATGCTGTCCCAAATAAGTAAAAGAAAGAAACCATTTTTGCCATCGTGCGCGACTCGCATTATCATTTGAGTTGGTGATTTTAAGAAAGAAAGGATTATCGAGACCATTATCTGTTATCAGGTATTTAGAAGTGGTGCTTTCAGTTTCATTTCGAGAGAGGGAAGAGCATATCACACCCAATCTTTCCTCTTGAGACTTGACTTGACTACACAATACAACAAAAGCATAAGAGGATTTGCTTAATATCCGTCCATCTCAGAAATCTATTCTGTCTCACCTTTTCCCAGCAGCCACACCTTCTTTCACTTTTTCCTCACCCGTTACGAGTCACGTTATGTGTATGCACATATTCCTGTAGTGATTCTCCTCTTTGTCCAATCTCTTATTGTGATGATCACAATGTGATCTGTCATTATCGGTACATTTCCGTTTGCACTTCTTGCAATCAACGGAGCAAATAAATGCGTAGAATGCACAGTCGTTAGAATGGAATGTTCATCATTATGCGCATGGCTATTTTAAAATTGCCAGTGCAAATAAATTGAATTCAGTCAAATGGATACAAGTGTACTTATAATAAGGCAATAGTGAGATTTTGGAAAACTCATCTTAACTGTACTCGCACAAGAACAGTAGTTAAAATTGACTTTCGTGTGACGATTAATTATTTAAAAGATAAGGAACATGAGTAACTTTCTTTTACCAACAGGTAGTTATAATTATAACGAAAAACTATAAGAAGAATACGGAAAAACATGGGAAGAATAAAACGCCCTCCTTCCACTCCGTATGAACTATGAAGTCTTCATGTTCTTGTTTTTATTTTTCGCAAGGGAAAGAATAACTTCTTGGTCTCTTCGCTACTGCATGTATGTTCCCGTTTTCTTCGAAACTCGTATTCATGTGGAAGCTTACATACAATGAAACTAAAAAATAATAATGCATTGTTTGAGGAGAGAAATATGTATCGTATGAAAGTATAAACTAAGGATGCCAGCCATATTTAATGCATTTAATGTATTCCATAAATACTTAGATGAACAATTTTTCTTTTACAGAGTTTTCGAAACGGGATAATGTCGTCACATTATTTGCCCCCACTATTTCACTATTTCCACTTTCGTTCCCGTTAAGTGTAGATCAAACAGGGTCCGGTATGACGAAAGAGACATTGACTATACATCCCTGTGAATTCTGATGTCCACCCATCGAGTCAACTTTTCCTCCCTTCCTTTGTGCTCAGTTTGGCGATCATGAATTTTTTATTTCCATTTGTTTACACTGCACACAACACCCAGTGAGCAGGAAAGTAACCGGGTGGACACTGGATAGCCTTCACTTGTACTCGTAGAGGTTTTAGCAGAGCCAAATATGTAGGTAAGCAGGGAGAAAGCGAGAGATAAAGGCGAGTGAAAATCCTTTGTTTATCCAGAGGTCGATATATACCTACGTATATGTCGTCTAATACCGTCAGGCTTGTTTGTACACTGGCGTATGTCATGGTTGGTTATTGGTTGCTTGAGTGGACGGATGGATGGACTTGGAAATAAACAGTTTAACTGCAATTTAAACGGATAAGTTGTAATGTCAACGAAGAAACGAGGAGAAAATTGATTTGCCATGCTTTCTCCTGATGGTATGGAACGGACAGAGTAGTTTGGGTAGTTTGCAGGCTTAATATGCGTATATGTATTGATGGACGACCAACGAATTGTCACAGCTCCTTTGTTAATGTACAATTATGTCAAAAATTATTGACATTTGTTGGAATATGTACTATCTGACGAGTTGAAAGTTTACTCTGTCTGAAGGTTTATGTCATACATAAAAATTTTTATACTTAAAGTCAGATGCCATACCTCTCAATCACTTGCAAAATTAATTGTGGGGTTCACCTTGAATAAATGTTACTTTTTATTTCAAGTTTCGTATGTTGGAAAGGCAGAGAAATCAAAAATAATTAGAACTAGAGTCCAAATAACAAATAAAAATTTGTGTGCTAACAAAGCAAATTGTTGCCATTCGCCAAAATCTCTGGGTTGCTGGTATATTTTTGGTCGATTGTCGGCCAACGTGAGTTCTTGTAAGTCGTTGTAATTGTGCTGGATGTCCGATTGAGACAGATTTTCAGGTGATAATCGGATTCGAAGTGATCCGACTTGAGGACGTTTATCTAACATCTGTTTCACCTTAAATTAAAAACAAATTGATATTAATATTAATTGCAATAAAAAAAATATGCCACATTTCATATAATCACCTTTAAAGGGAGAGATCCTGTTTTATAATAAATATGATATGAAATAATGTTTGTGAATAGAATTAGAAATCCCAGATACGACAGTCTCACAAAATATTTTGCTACAAAATCATAAAATTTTATGATATTTACAGATAAATATCAGATAACGTTTCACTCCGGACGGCTTTCATTGCAATATGAATTTATTTTACCAAGATCTGTGGGTTCTGTGCTTCCCAACTTTGGGTCGAATCTCATCGAACAATGAATGCTGAGTAACATTGAGAGCAATACTGCTCAAATATGTAATAATATGCAAGTATTTTAGGTTCAGTTAAAATATACGTTGAATAACATTAATGAAAAAATGCAGAATTGAGTACCCAGAATAATTGTGAAAGCACTTGAGGGGGCCAATAAACAGCTCATAAAGAGCAATCCTAAGGCGAAATAACTGAAAGATTTTGCCTCGTCCAAAATTGCTTGGCCACGCCGTTGTAGTAGCAATACAAACTGGACATCCAGATAAGGCGCAGTGCAACAGGAATAATATTGTTCCGTTCGGATTGCAGGACATTCTGAGATAATATGACGATTATTATCGTGACAAACAATATTCAAACAAATGATGCATTAAGATTTATATATTGAACAACCAAGAACGTTCCACTCTGGCGATTGGACAATGGAGTTTATGTCCGCACTACTTGCATTATACTCCAACTGGAGATCAACCTTTATCAATCAGACTTTAAATACCCATTACACTTTTGTCACTTTGGACTAATTTGTATTCACTAATTTACTTACATGGCTTCCGTCCCAAGTCCAAGAGCCAAACTTGATTGCGCATCTTAATTTCTCAAACGGATAACTGCTTCCGTTTAAATGACAAGGATTTGTTATCTGGGCGGGTGGAATGTATCGCACCTTTCCGGTATTTTTTACGACGACATTAGTTTTGTGAAACGGATCTTTGTCAATACCTATACTGCAAGGGATACAATTTAAATAAAGTTAATGATTTTTTAGAAAAGAATTGAGCCTTGCATACTGAGTATAGCTGTAAATGTCAGGAATCCAAATTTTATAAGGGTCAAGTCTTAGGCTATCAATGTTTTCGAATTCTGAAGGTTCCCAGCGTAAGTTATGTGCCTGCCATCCCTGAAATTAGTACTCGCCTATTAAATAAGTTCTCAAATTGGTATTTTAAATTCTAATTATTACTGATATATACCAGATTTAGCCATGCTGTTAAATCGACATGGTGCATATCGGCAACCTTAGTAAATATTAAATGTTAGGTAAAATAATTCTGTGTATGACGCATGTAAGTTAAATTACATGTGTACCACTTCGTCTATCCTCAAAATATAGAGACCAATTGTGACCGTGACGGTATCATTGTGATTTTCAACAGGTCGTTCTTGAGGTTCCAAATCGTTGAGCAAATGTTGAATAAGCTGCTTTTCAGCTTTACTTCCATCTACGAAAAAGTGCAATCGGTTTGAATTTAGTCTGTCTACGTTCTTATTGAAAACTAATGTATTTCACTTTTTAACTTACGCACAGAGTAAAAGCTAAATAAGTTAAAAGTTAGAAATGAACTTAGTAAAATTTCAAAAGACTTCATGACAATATTTTATGCTGAATGTCAGCATTTGTCAGTTTTTGTAATGCAGACTTGTGTTGTGGCATAATAATAGGATCCGTAAAATGAGGCAGGCAGGAGGAGGTCACTGCGTTGATTGAATAAATTACTTTGATTTGCGCCCTTGACTTTCAGTTGAAGAATTATTCGTTCTGCTTTACACCAGACGAGTCAAAACTACATATTATGTAAATGTTGAAATGATGACAGTTTGCATATTATATAAAACGAACAGACCGAGTCCTTGAGCAAAGACATAGACATCAGACTATTGGTACTTGTAAAAAATGAAATTATACCAAGCATCTTGTATTTACACCATACATACACATGGAAATATGTGAATACACATGTTCTGTTCTAGATCGATGAGATTATGAGTACAAGTTGCAAATTGTCAGTCCATTAATTATATTTAAAAGTTTCTGTTTCAAAATTTATTGATATGTCTGCATTGAACACATTGGACACTTGTACATAAGTAAACTGCTGCTAATCATGAAGTCGATTACAAAGTCCTAATCTAGACACGGCACGGGCTCCTAAAGTTCGTTCGTATATGAATAAAAGTAGATATGCAACGATTTATAAAGTGGTTCAATCTTGTTGATTTATGCTTTGGCCCATTTATTTACCTGTTTTGAATAGAATGGATGTCAACTCAAGTTGGACGGAAGTTCCGATCCACCATGTCACACATTGTCAAAGCATTATTTGCTGTGTGTCATTTGCAGTGAAGCTATTCTCTGGACGCTTGGGCAAACAAATGTCAAGTAGGTATGGGGAAATGGTGGGAAGCACCCTTTCATCACCTTATCATCACATCAACTCTCCAGCACAAGCACATGTCAGTACGTAATAAAGGCAGAAATGTATTCCAAGTGGGTTTGTTTTCACCAAGTCAATTGAATTGAAAATATCCGAGTAATCCGCCCACATCAACTACAGCTTAGATGAAGTATTAACGCATGCACACCCACTGGACTGGACACTGCGTAACCTACGGTATTTAACAGGCATGGATGGTGCTGAGTCGTTGTGAAGCTTGCTTGTTCTCACTCTTGACATGCCATATTATTTTGGGAATGGTGTATGTACCATGAGCCCCGTTTGCGTCATTGATATTTTCTAAGAAGAGGTAACTCGGCGGAAAATACCTTATTTTCTATTATTATCCACTCGAAAAATTATAAATATCTGTGAAGATGATATAATGAAGGTATTTTGTGGATGTTTAATCTTTACGGATTTACCAGCTTTTTGAGAGACAACTAATAAACCTGGAATGAATGAGTAGTGGAAGATAGTGAAACCACAGAAGCTGAAATGTAGGGAAAGGGATTGTGATGGAACATGCACATTTCAATTTTACACATGATTGCATTGATGAATTGGATGCAGGATTAAATAAATGGATGCAGATTTTCTCAGTCGCGTAAGTGTGTTACATGAGCACTCGTAAATTAACAGAAAATTCATTTATTTTATGTAATCCGTTCAGCTCAATTTCATAAGTATATTGTTTATCACGTAATTGCGAATTCTAAACATTTAACGCAATATTATCTGACCTTATAACGTTCACATACATTATTTTGCTATCCAACAATATGAATGTGCAAAGTTACATACATATTTGTGTGAAAAATGTGAGGTTGTAAATAACTAAATTTTCTTAAAACATTATACATAATATACGCATTCAAATAACACAAATTACAGTGACACATTTTCTGATAACACACTTATTTCAATTTCAATTTAAAGAATTTCAAAAGTAGGTTTTTAGGTTTAATTGATATTTTATCGCGAAATGAAAAAAAAATCCAGTGGGGCATTTTGAAACTAACAATAAAACCATGTCTTTATTTCATTTCTCTTTCTCTCTTTTTTTTTGCTTTCACCAGTTTATCCATCTAACCGTCCACTCCCCTCCTCTCTCTCTGGCTCTGCTCCGCTCATCAATAATTCATAAGAGTTTAAAGGCTGAATTCATAATGGAATGGTTGGTGGTAGTTGAGTGAGTAAAGTATAAAGTGAGTGCAGCCGAGAAGTACATAAGTAGATAGGTAGAAAATCGGTGGAAGTGAGTTGATGATGGAGAAAAATGAAAACATTTCAATTTTTGGGATTTCTTTCTCTTCTCGTTCAAATAAGTTAACCTCTAAAAGTTGGACTAAGGACTAAGTAGTTCTTTCCCTCGTCTTCTGTTTCACGACGCTCTAATTTTATGTAACAAGGTTGGGTTTAAACAGTGACTTTGTGTGCTTTATACATCATACATGCATGCACATTTCTTGTATACAGCCCAACAACCTTGCTACTATTTTTAAATTCTACAGTATAATCTACAACAACTATATTAACTCTATCGACACATTATGTATGTATATGTATATGTAGTACCAGTTAGATAAGAACTACATAAAAGTATTAATATTTACTTACTTGATAATACCCTATGGCTTTCTATATTGATTTAACCTGAATATGTAGGTATTTATGTATGAGGATTTATCATGATGACTTATAGAGTTTGCTATTTCTGTGGCATACAAACATGGATATGGGTGCTATGAGAGCAGGTAAGTTGTGCAGATGCAGATGATAGTCAAAAGTTGGAGGAGTGGACATATCGTCAATTTTGAGACACCTCCACGAACTGAAACAAATTAATTAGTCATAATTTACAGGATAACTACATATTTATTTGGGATGGTGATTTAAATAACTATGTATATATTTCAGGCAAATAAGAACTACTTACCAAGTAAAGAAGCTTCCCGATCATCTGAGGGCGTGTACAATAATGAAACGATGCATGTAGATAAATATATAACAACTAGGCATGCAACGAATAATTTTTCATAAGGAATAACGTAAAAACATACCTTGGAAAACAGGCGAAAGATTGATGGATCGCAAATCAGGTAATTTTCTTGAACTACCCACAATTCGTTCATCCCCATCCTGCCAGAAAAGTGTTGAAATTGTAGCAAGACAGCGGACCTTGGCTTCCCCATCCTCGGAAAAGTGTGAAGGCTCTAACGACACTTTTGTCATGGAATACAGATTATTTTTGTTGTATGTAAATTTGTATCATATTTTGGACAATGATCATACGCATATTTTACCATTTAGGGTGGACATGGTGGATTGCATTCCCAATTGGGTTAGGGGAACATTTGCCCTCTTCGGCTTCAGTTGTTCTACACCTTTCTCCACCTTAAAAGTTATTGCAAGATTATTTTTGTCTTTAAGATTTGTCAAGATAAATGTTTCAGTCATTTTTTGTATAAAGTTGCAAAAAAAAACATTTCCGCATTCCGAGAGTACGTTGAAGAAGACAAAGAAGACGTGAGATGGAAAAATAAGTAAGTATGGGTTTAATTACCATTTGGTCGTTGATGAACCAGGACAATCTAGCGGGTGGGAAGGATTTTGCGGAGGAGCAGTTTAAAACTAGATTATCTCCGTTTTCATACTCTTCCTGAATCTTTCCCGTTATCTGAGGTCCATGCTCCGGTAAATCTAGCAAAAGTAGGAGGAAAAACATTAGCCTTAAACCTCACCTCACGTTAATTGTCTCATCATCTCCACCCCACCTCGGAATAATGAACACTTTCCTATTCTAAATTGTTATGGTCTTCTGCACAGACCGTGCATGCTCTACATGCATTCAAATCTCTGGTTTAACTTACTGGTTGGTTAGAAACATTGCAAATTAAGGAGCGACACCACACACGTTCCGAGCTCAACATACCTCTTCTTTGTACATGCATTTGTGTTGTCTTGTTAACTTAAAACTAGTTTCAGTAGGTTTAAAAACTTACGGATAACCGTCATTTTTCCTTCTCCCGAAACTGACGCAAATGAGGGTCCTACATATTTATAAAAATTGAATCAATTTTTGAATGAATTATTGGCCAAAAACTTATGTCAACCGTCCGATGTAAGATTTTCTCACCTTCTGCAGACACCTCACATCGATATGTTCCTGTCGATCGTAAATCTAGGTGACGCAAGGTAACGAATTTCTGGTCAGAGCCCTCCATCTGTACACATGCAAAAAAACGGTTTTATATTGTTTCTTCACCTGCTGCATAAAACAAATTCAATTTAAGGTTTGAATAGCTTGGTCGATATACTCTGCACACAACAAGTTTTTTGTGCGTGGTTACACAAGGAGACAAAAAAACTTCATTTTATGATGCTCTGGACCAATTTAAAAGATTGATGTGGATTGAGATCGCAATGTTGGTAACGACATTTGAACGAGTTGAACTGCTCGAGTCCTGCACATTGATTACGTGTACAGTGGCACATGGATAAAAATTGTTAATGCACTTTTTCTGTTCCGAGCTGAGAGGTGAAATGTGAAAGGAGTTGTATATTTAATTTTTAACACATTTTCCGTGAACATTCCCCATCATGAAATGGAATGTAATCTGCAGCTACAAGGTAGCATCTTGTCTTGGGTTACTTTCCACTCACTCACCCCGTTACTACATGACACATCCCACGATCACTACTGCGACCACGTCCCCCGACGCCCATTACCTTTCTCCGCCGAGGATTTCGTGAATAAGTGGCCAATGGGACGCCCAGTTGGTCACTTATCAAGACAGTTCTTCCTATATGTATCGTCTCCTCAGACACCTATGTCTCGTATGTGCATATGTAGGTATGCACATGCTGTAGTGTCAGATTTCTCCTTAACCCGATATATGCATGTGGTAGATATTTTACTTAAAAAATTGTACAGTAATTACATAGTTCAAGGTTCACAATCATTCCTAAATCCATGTTAAATTATTAACCACTGCACTTGTGAAGAGTAAGATTACAAATTCCCAAATCGATATTTGTTATATTTATTATACATTAAGCAGCATCACTGCACCGGACACATAAATATCAATGCGTGTAAGTAGCTATACACAAACTGGGCTAGTTATCCATTTAAAATTTAAGAGTGAAAACATTTAGTTTGTTAGTGAGTGAGTTTAGGTCGACTATTGAGCATAAACTGTTGGATTGCAGCGGTGTGTGTATATATATTTATGTATGTACATACATATGTAGGCGCCGTCCAGTGTGGTAGCTAGCACTCCATTTAAAGATGAGTTTATGACCCTTCTTGATATTTATTTGATGGCTTCGTATGCATTATGGATTACGGTAGATGAGAGAAAAATGAGCAGAAACCCATGTGAAAACCCGAATTTCTGTGTGATATTCTCCTCTTTTTATACACTACGGCAAGAATTTCATTTCCTTCACATTTCAGGTTTCTTATTTTAGAATACAAAATTGTAAAGCATTTTTACAAACTTCTTTCGAATAATGGAAAATAACTTGAGGTAAGTAAATATATGTATTTCAAGTTTATTTATATTTTAAAATTTTGAACTGAAAAGCCTCAATTATTGACTGGATGCCTACTTTTGTGTGATATACGAAAGCTCTTATCAGCATTATATACAGTAACTACCAGTACGATTTATAGGAGTTCAGAGTTGATAGAATTTGCCAGTACAGTAGAGCTGTAAAAGTGGAAAGTACAGCAGTCTTGGTAAAATGGATTGGATAAACCAAAGGAACATAAGAATCAAGAATCCGCACTGATCCACTTACCTCAATTCATGTCAACAACTTTTGAAGACAGAGTCGGATTGGGTTTTCAAATTTGCATAACTAACAATCCGGCAGAGTTCTGCTATATTTATGTAATCTATCGGGCAAAAGAAAACGGCGAAGGGCAGATTTGGCTAATTCTTTTTTGGATCCCTAGCGCGTTTGGACAAATGGCACACGATACTACTGATTAATACCTGGACAAGAAACATGTTTCAAAACTCTAAATAATATAATACTACATGTCGAATTTGCAAGATCTAGATACACACTTATGTACGAATATTTATTATCCGTACATATCTAAGTATGCATGTACATCTTTGATATATTATTCGTTTGACAAAATGACTTTGCCACATTCACCTTAAACTTTTCAACCCCATAATATAGTCTAAATAAGATTTCGTATCGTTCGCTGTTAAGGTTTTTTTTCAGTTCAAATTCATTCCAATAAATGATTCCTCTTCCTTCCGCATCAGATTCCGAATCCAATATAAAATGCAAACCAATCTCAGAAGGCATTGCAGAGTTGTAAAAATGGTTAACTTTCCTGCGGAATCAACTCATATTACTACATGCATACCCTCCACTCAAAAGTTTAGTACACCAGCTTTCACCTATTCTTCCACTTTAGGTGACAACTATACGAACAGATAAATGATGTGAACTTGGAATGGATTCATTCAGGTGAGGCAAGACAACGGTATGTCTACTCGATCGTACATATGCATACGTGTTTGTGTGGGTGAAACCAACTCTGAACTTCTAACGAGGTTAATTTCCCAAGCACCACGACATCAGAATTTAACCTTAATCAGGTCATTCAAAATGGAGCCCAATTCCTGCGAGAGTTCCAATTGCATGCGAGAAAAGAAAGCAACAGGGCCACAAAGGGGGGAACGAAGACGCACGAGTCATTACAGTGGTTAGAGGAGAGAGAGAAAGAGAGAGACAAAAAGCCAGCGCAAGGAGATAAGGCGGAATATTGTCGTGCTTTTGACGGGTCAGTTCAATTCCATTTCACCATTTTTTTCATGACCCTAACAGCCCGCCCAACTCAATCGTGATAATGGTCTCGTTTCTGGGGGGATGTCTAACAAGGCAAAAATTTCTCTGGAACAAGCAGAGGTTAGGGTTCTCAAACAGGAACATTGTGATTTTTAAGAGACGTATTCGTACGCACATATGCAGAGATGTACAAAATTGTGTTCACACGTATGCACGTTGGTTCCTCCTTCCGCCAAGTGCGGAAATTTCTGGGATGCAATTGAATCATCCCACCGACCGCCCAATAACTTTGAGAAAGAAATATTTTAACCACGTTTTGATCGAACATGGACACCCTGTTACTGGCCCAAGTGCAATTTAACGAGTGAAAGTGAAGTACACCTGGTTTGGTTTGGTTTGGAGGTTCATTCGAGTATAGGTACTTATGTGATGTACTTCTTGTGATGCCAACTTGCAGAGAGAGAAAGTATGTAGTACTCCTGGTGGTGGTTTGGTTTCGTGGTGGATGAATATATCGCTTGCTTTCCAATGTCTGCTGCATGTGCTTCTTCTTCCAGTTTGTGGTTAAAGCTTTTCCCTTCCTGCTTTCCATCCACTTTCCAAAATAATACAACCATGTGATTCACATTCCTTTCTACCAGGTTCAGAACGGCGAAGCTAGATTGTGAACATTGTCTTCTTTCGTTGGCTTGGTTATCCAGATTTGTTGCAATGTTCATCCTCACATGCTTACACTTTCTCGTGTCCAACATTTTGCAACAAGCCATTCCTCAACAGAGCTAGAACGTGTTTTCTGTCTGGAAGTGGCCTAAATCTGTTGCGTAAAATTTAAAGCGACGGAAATATTTTGCGTGGGTTAATGTATGCATGCTTCCTTGCTCCGTCTACCCCTATCAAAAGGGTGATTTTGTAATGTGTTTGTTGTAACACAGACAAGGAGTCTTTTGAATACATCAGTAATCTATTTTTGTATATTTGCAAATGTGCAAAATGCACACTGTTTTGCAATATTAGTTCAAGCGAGCAATATGCACTTGTGTGTAATATAAATAAGTCCTTTGTCTGCATTATTGGGCATAGAAGCTCATGTTTACAGACCAAACGAGGAGCTTCAAAAATTACGTAACACTCTACTTTTTTTAGCCGTGTATGCATGCATAAGTACTTTGCTTCGCTTTGCTTTACAAGTTCAAATCACAATTTTAATCTTTTCTGACAAAGATGTATGTGCCAGTCAACTGGGTGACTGGCTGGAAACATTCCTTCCTCTCCCTACCGCTTTCTCCAGCCTGAGTTAGTGGTAGTCATCCCACTCGCATGATTGTGTGTGTCTGTGGATTGCGACCATTTATTGTGCATCTTCTTCTTCCTTTCTCGGATTCCTGTGCCTGCGATGTAGGTGCCTCGTGTGTGTGCAAGAGAGGTACAAACTAAACTCAACCAAACAAACCATTAGCTTGGAGCATAAACTGCTTTCACTTTTTCTCGCCCTCGATTGGAGAAGGAAAAGAAAGTAGAAAATCCCTCCAACGACCCAAAGATTGAGTTTCATTCAGACTCAATCTTTTCAGGTTATGATTTCACAAAATTTTAATACGTAAAATATAAAATCATGTGGCAAAATGTAAATGCATCCAATGTTGGTATTATTATTATTCACTCCATTAACTTTAACACAAGCTCAACTATTCACCAGTGCTCATTGTGCTCTATACATATACGCCACATGTACAAGTGTGTCTGTGTGTATGGGCATTTATAGATGGACCAGAGCTAAGTAGTAAAAGGGAAAAAAATAAACGAGCAGGTTCAATGTTCAATCTGAAATCTGTTGAAGCTCATCGAAAATCTCATGATTCTCCATTGAATTCGGTAAACCCTGTGGGAGTCGGTCTGGTGGTGGTGGTGGTCGAAATGTGGTGGTGGTAGTAGCGCTTGTGTGCTTATGGAAATAGAATCCAGCTCACTTGAATGGAGAAATTTACCAAAAAATGTAAAAACCCTTATTTTCATCCATACGGAAGGAATAAGGATACAGACAGACAGAGTACAGAAATGCGGGCGGGTAGGTATATGCGGACGAATAAAATCCGCTTTGTTGTATTTGTAAGAAAAAATTGAGGTAGCCTGGCAAAGTATTGTATACGTGAAAATGTCAATACCGCACTTTCACCATAATTCACTAAAAGGACGAATCAGTTCACTTGTACAAAATCTCATTAAATATGAAACAAGTAATATCGAAATCATTTTATTGCACATTTTAATCTCAAAATGCATGATTTACATAATCCATTAAATGAAACTTAGCCACGTAATTCTAGGGGTTTATAGCTGCATTAGAAGGGAGGTAAATAAAGGTTTTACGAGGATGACCACAGCCACCAAGGAGAAAATGGAATGCAATTTAAGCCATGTGAGATTAAATGGGATGAATGGATCACAAGCCCGAGTGCATCATGTTTTCCAACTGACGGGCATACATAAGTTGACACAAGTGGTTGAACCGGGTGGCATTTATGCTCCATGAAACAACTTATTTCTTCCAAATTGGGAGAAAATTCAATAATTATGACGTATTTTTCTTAAATCATTGCATCTATACTTCAGAAGGTAAGGTTGACGAGGTCATGAGAAAATAGAGCCAGGTTTTTAAAATGACTTCACACATTACATTTAATAAACCAACTGATGCATTTAAATAATTTTACAAAACTTTCATAACTTCGAATCTAATGTATGTTAATAAAACCAAATATTACATTATTAACAGTTAAATAGATACATACACAGATTTCAAATTAATTTATGCCAAATTGCATCCACAAAATATCATCTCAATTACAACTTCGTCGCATTACGTTCATTGAAATATAACCAGCAAGCACGACTAAAAATTATATAAAGACAACCACGCATGAAGTAAACTCAAGTGTGGTGGAAAAAAAGTTGAGACTTTTTATTCTCCATTTCGCATATTCTCATCAGAATTTCTCGGTTTCGGGTAATGAGAATTTTCGTCGTATCGTTAGATATTGTGTGTGTGTAGTGATTCTAGTCGTTTGTAGAGGATTTTCCTATTTCATAAAAGTCTCGCATACAATTATTATGATTAAAGGCTAAGTTTGTGTACCGAGTATGGTGGTCCTCAAGTGGTTCATTCATTTTGATATGGCTCATGTATGCAGATATTACAGATTAAAATATATCCAACAGTCGGTTTCGCACCAGTTGTAATCTGAATTTTTTTTTCTATGGAATAATTTCCTTCGAAAAATGCAGAGTGCGAGTGTGCGAGTGGGTGGAAATGAGAGAACAATGAAATATTATTATTGAACTGCTCAAGCTTATTCACAAATGCTAAATCTGTACAACGACGAAATAAAACCTGAGATATTTGACCAAATAAGTTGGACACCAAGCAAAGGGTTAATTTAAACTAGAAGAGCCTTCATGATACTAAACCACACCTGATGTAACAAGTATGTACGTAAATAGCGTTTCATATGTAACTTGTAATGTGTACATATATGCAATGACAACCAAATGAGCAAAGCCTATTCCATATAAAAATTAGACTGAATAAATAAGAAAATATCCCAAAACTTGTAAAAATGAAGGACGTGAGAAGTTCAGGTAAGATTTAACAACTGCTGCTGCCCACTTTTTCCCTTCGGAGTCTCAAATATTTTAAGTAAACCATCCACAATTCTGCAACGCACATTACAACCAAACATTTTTGAGCATATTTGTATGTGACTCGATCACAAGTTTCAGCGCTGTGTTTACTTTTTCTGTTTATTTTGCTCAATATTTAATTCCAAGTGTTTAAAGACTTGAAATTGTATTAGTTAACTAACAACCAACCAACCGACCGCCCGACTCTCGCTCTCTCCCTGAGTGAGTGAGCACGATCCAGTCAGACTAGAAAACTTTGAGGCTAATTCCCTGTCAAAGAGATGGAGACAAGTTTAGTTGCACTCACAACTTAGCAAAGTAAGTAAACTCTGCCAGCGTGTACCTACTTGTAATGTAACTGGAGGGTAAATCTTATTAATTTTTATTAAAGCGCAAGAATCAAGCTGGGCTTTACTTGCCCTTGCTTCCTCCCAGTTCGGTTTGGGTGACAGTCGCACGTGCTCCGTTTCTTCCAAAAACTTTGAAAGTGAAAGTGGCGAAACCCTTCGTGTCCAAAACTATGCTTTGACTCCTATGGAGATTCCTCTCCAGGAATTCACCACTTTCACGTCGACGCCTTCTCCTCCCCAATCAGTTTCTTTCTTTTAGCTCTTGTACATGAATATCGTCCTCGTCGTGGAATCCGTGCCCTTTTCTCATTGACTCTGGTGTGGGATCCAGCCTCGTGTTTGACGGGTGCGAGGAAGAGAGAGGGAGGACGCACTTAATGAAAGAACGAAGACGGCGAAAATACCCAGCTCACCATCCCGGCTTCCCACACTTCATCTAATGATTTGTGACAATCGATAACCAACTTGTCAACGGTGCGGGGTTTAATTTATAATTTGGGCTGGATTCCCTTCCTCGCTTTCATCAAATTTTATCCCCTTCGTGGATGCAGACATACATGTTTAGATAGATATGCATGTACTCTAGTAGATCTCAATAATATCCATGCCACTCCTATTTGCAACTACTTTACATAATTTAAAAAATATCTACCACGTAAACAGTGTGACAACCAGAATTCAATGCACCCGAAAGTACATAGTGTTGGATGCAGCAGGTTAGAAATTCTTTATCACTCGCCTTAAAAAGTTTGCACTTTCACCCTTTGTACTTTCACCAAGTTCAACCAGAGTATAAGACCATAAATCATGTTGGAAATCATTTTGAGCAAAAGCACATCAACAAAGCTTTGCATATTCATATTGGACCTAGGATTTTTTACACACGACTCTTTGAAACGTCTTAATGTATTGTAGACATGCGTAATTGCGTGAATTTCAAGACTTTAATAATTGTGTGACTTACGGAAACTGAGACGCCTGCCAGGTGATGAGTGTGTATGGGAGGCCTATAGCGAGGAACATATCTGAAAAATTCTTCGTTATCTTTGTACCACTTGATAGCATAAAGTCTGTCCGTTCCTAGCTCGAATGGACTGAAATAAAGCAAACGAAAGTGTGTTATAGATTGCACAAATTAATTATACTTGTTAGTACTTGATCAATGACTTGTAATATTGCGAATTGGATAAGTCTGTATTTTAGGAACTTTTTGATCCACTAGTAGCGCTCATATAAATGCATATGACAAAAATAATTAGACATCTCATCCTATCTCGTAGTATAATTTGAGGACATCGACAGGGAGCTAATTTTAGTCGCTAATGAATGGACATGATAAAGCGTTATTTTCGAAGTACAGAAAAGTGTACGTGTTTCGGATCTTGGCCACATGTTTGATTTCGTTAGTCAATAAGATATCATGTGAAAGGCCAGTATTCACCTACCAGGTCAACTCCCCTCTTTATGTCCATTCATGCCATTTCATAAGTCAGCAAGGCGTACACAGTTCAATAATAATAATAGCAGGAAGGAGAACATATCTGCAACTACATATGGTCGTTTGTTTCATTCTTATTATTGGATTAGAGAAGGTCCCGTGTGTCATGTCATTATTATTAGTTTTGTGCAATATGATAAGAAAACTTTACCAACTTACCACTCGAGGGTAGCATTTTCATTCTTCATCTTAAACGGGGGGACCATCACTCTGTTGGAAAATTGTTTCTATTAATGCGCGTCAAGTGGACATTTCTACAGTTTTCTGTATATATCTATAGTTTGCATACTTATTAACTAACCATTATTGTGAAACTACATAATTGTAAACTTTACAGGACATTTACTTACCTGAATAACTATTATATACAAAATAAAATACACAACAGAACACTCATTATATACGTTCAATAAGAAAAACATACCTTGATAGACGAAGCTTCCCCACGACTGCAAAATACAAAAAGAAGATACAAGTTTTAATTAAATTACGTTTCTCCCTTTTCGTATTTCATTGAAATTCATTGACATATTAAATAGGCTTCAGTGAAAGGCACTTGCGACACTGTAGATGTATGTATATTCGTAAACCTTGATCATACATAATATTTCTCTTCTCGCTTCAAATGGTTGTTCCAGCGTTGCATGCGTATTGGAAGGGAAGAATAAATATGTGTGTAATATTTGTTGTCACTGATAATAAATTTTACGAGGAATTGTTATGATGCAATAAAAAGATGATGCATGAAGAACCATTGCATGCACAAATGTATACATATCTAGAACACGTATTATGTACATGGTATTTCTTGTGTGTGTATATATCTGCATGAATTTGTGTTTATATGGTGCAATAAATACTAAAATTGTGTGTGGTTTATTGGCCGTACGCAAAATGTTCCAAAATTATCAAGCGATAAACTGATCATAATCATAAAATTGATAATAAAACAATTATTTCAGTGTTGGTTATACAGTTACAAATATCTAATTAAATTTCCCTGAATTTTTGGAAGGAATGTGATACACCCGCTTTTCTACTACTGCAACTGGCTGTTTGATTATAGCCTTCATTTATCCGCTCATAAATAATTTAAATCCTTTAAATTGTACACTCTTTGATCTGACCAAAGACTTTAGTGCATTCTCCGGAAATAAACTTTGCTTTCTTCTCGTCCTCTTTCCCTCTGAAGTGTCAACTCAACTGGCTTCAACTTTGTGAACTTTGCAAATTTTCGCAGTTAGACAACAAAGAAAATACAAAACGAGGTTTCAAAGGGCTGACACAACAAGCCAAACGAGTAAAAGAAGACGACAGGGCGAGGCAAGGGATTAAAATGCCCCTGGCACCCGACACATTTTCTTCTTCATTCGTCTCAGCCCAATTTTGACTCTGGTAAAAAGCACAGTCCCAACAGCGAACGATTCAGTTTTTTTAACCGGTCAAATAAATGTTGAAACTGTGTGTATATGAAACTTTGCAGTTTATAATATATCCTCGCAAAACAAAATAATGCAATTAAATTCTATAGCATGGGAATGAACAGCCAGAAGAATCCATATAGCACGTTTCCTTTTAAAATGTGTGTATGTAAATTCAGCCCACTTTCTCCAAATGATTGATATTGATGACATGCTAATAACATTTTTGGTTTGGTGGAGCACATTATGTGCGTGGCAAAGTTTAAATTCCTGACTGAATTATTGCAATCCTTCTTTAAAACTCGCATGCATTCTTGACACCCCTTCTCCTCCTCCCGCTGTTTAATTAGTCCAAACACTTTCACCACTTTCGATACTCACAAAACAAAGGCGGAGGCAGCGAGAATTCCACAAACAAACCACAAAACGGATTTAACACGGTGGTGCAAAGTACAGAGTGCGTGTGCTTTGCTGGGTTATTATTATCAACCAAACTGAATAAAGGAAGAAAGGAGTTTACACCAAAAGCTGGGCTGGCAGTTTGTATGTAAATATTTTCTATTTGCAAATGCAGCCAGCCCAGTAAAGGTTTTGCGGGATAAAGTCCTCAAACTTTAAACTAGACTTGTTAAATATTCTCAACGTCTAAGAATTACGTATATACGCACGTATGTATAATATCTAAGCATGGACCAGGACTTTATTCACTCTGCTTATATATTTACATAAATATCCTCTCCTATGCAAATAGTTTGTTATACTAAGTAAGAAAAAATCACAGTCTTAATATGTTTTACTATGCAATGCAGCATGAGTTGTTAGCATATTGTAGTTTTTTGAATCTATATGGTAGAGAAATTCTAGAACGTATGTACGTAAATAGGGCTGACAACAGAACTTTGATGGACGGAGCCCTTTTTTACGCACGTTCTTTTTCACTTGAAGTAATCTTTTGCTCTTTCAAGATGAAGGAAGCAATTTAAAAATCATCTGATCTTATCCAATTCCGCAATGCAATTAAGCCCTTTTTGAATAAGGATTGTAGGTAAGGAGAGTAAGTGGGTGAGACGAATTCTGTGAATTTTCTCGGGGATTTGATTCCATTAGTTATGCATTAAGTATTCAGGTGGGAGAGAGAGAGGTAAGTAGGCACAGTTAGTCGTAGAAGGACTAATATCAGTATGTGCAGTGGTTGAGGATATGAATTTGATGGGCTGCTACCCGCTCCTTGCTTGGCGTGTTAGAGGAGATAAGTGGTCGAAAAGGCCGAGAACAGGTCTATTATAAGGACGGCCGTAAAAGGAGAGATCCATCAAATTCATATTTTATCAGGAATCTCTTGGCTCACTCCCTTCACTTGTTGGAATTCTATCGGGACTTGGATCTCCTCAGTCAAAAATCCACTCCCTCTTCTTCCAAAGCCCTGTAACCACCACTTTTGCTACTCTGTCCAAGTGGCCAATTTTTATTTCATTCACTCGCCCAGCAACCACAACCAAATACAGATTCCTACATAGGTGAGCGATACAACCTTGCCTACATTACGGTAACTTTCCTGTAAAAATCGTTGTGGATATTTTACAAAAAAATCAAGGTTTCCATATCCCCCCCTTCCGCCCACTTTTTTCAGAAACAAAGGAGAAAATGAACATCTACGGGATTTCCCTAGAGCCTTTTGATTAACGAAAGCGTATATATGCTGACAGAGACTTGTGAGGAGCATGGTCTGTTCTTTTCTCCTCTTTGTTAGCCTTTTCACTTTAGCGTTTCTTTGATTTCTTGGCCTTACCTGATCCAATAATGAAGAGGATAATCCCCAACTCCTTAATTGACTTCATCATTCAATTCATTTCATCATCTGCTAACATTCAACAAGGAAAACACGCCCTAGGCACCACCGACAACGGTATGTTTCCTTTCACACAATCCGGATCACAGAACCCAACAAGTTGAATCACTGCACTTTACTGCAAACAACAAGCAGCGAATGCACAATTAATTTGTTCACTTTCTTTATTTCGGATTTATAGAGTTGTTAACTCTTATTGAGTCAAAGTGCTTAATTTGTTTTGCAATTTTTAGCAATAAACGGATCGTGAGACACTTACAAATTCGTGGAGTTTTAGTTTTAGTTTATGTACCATTCAGTAGAGAGATTGTCGAGTCAACCAAGGGTTATCAGTGAGTAACTCCTACTGCAATATGTAGTGAGCTTGACTTTGAAAAAAATGCCACGCTAATGAAGAGAGGAAATGATTTCACAATATATTTAGTTGTCGCGTATGTGAGAGCAGAGTTCAAGGTGGCTCGACTACAGATGATCAGTGTCAGAGGATGTATGCATATCAGTGGACAAAAGCGTGCCTATTAATTGAATTTCTATGCTTCTGATTCAGTTTTTATCCAGTCATGGACGGCAATTTTCAGAAAATATAAAAAAAACTTTGTCACTTTAATAATACTATTCTAAATACTTTTATACGTCAGCTTGCTTTTTAGGACTTGTTCTACATGTATTTTATTATTAAGTTTTATAGCGTTTCTAATTAATGGAATAACCTATGCACAGAAGCAGTTGCTTTATGCGGGGGCAATTGGAGACGCCTACGTTAGACTTGTGGTTGTGTTGTAATGCGTGGACGTCAGACCAAAGTCGAGGAGAAACTGAGCACTTTTCTCCCTCAACTTTCCCTTCCCTTCTTTTTTCCCGTTGGTGTTGGCAGGTGCCTGGTCGCCCTTCTTCTGCCTCGTTCCAAAAGTCCAGCAGAAACCACTCTGTGAGTGAGAGTTGCAAACTCTGACTTCTCCCTGCATTTTGGTCGTATGTAGAAATGAGTTAAAATCAGAGAAAAAGTGAGAGAAAGTACTTTCTCTTTCAATATGCACAAATAAAATATAAATAGTACGCCTTTCAATTTTGATCATGTTTTTGTCTTCTAAAAACACAAATAGTTTTTCTTGTACGATAATCAACTCTGGTTATAAATAGGTAAATACCTGAGATTATAATCAGGGCAGTTTGGTATCTTCCAGATATTATAATTTTGAAAATGTATTGCAAAACGGCTTAAACAATAATCAACAATCGTAAATTCACCCGTCCTGCATACCTCCCAGTTTTGCTGTGTCGGTCAAGAAATTACAATTATTAGTTGCTGTATATCGTAAAGTATACACATTACATTAAATTTTATTATTTTACCTTAAACCAGAATTGAGTAATTAACGACTTCTTTTTTCTCCTTAAGCTTAACATGTGTGATGAAAAGATATGAAACTGAAAACGCGAAAAGACCGACTTGCTGTTTCCTTTCCCGGAAATAGCTTTTGTAATCCAAAACTTAATGCATTTACTGAAGAAGGCTGAAGAGAGAGAGAGAAATAAAATTACAGGTTGTGACTACCCACCGATTATTTAATTATACGCTTAATGATTGGCAGTCTTTCCTATAAATATGCAATATTGGAATAGAGTGTATTCAAACAGGTTCTAAATATGTACAATAATTTTATGAATTCTTAACGGATTTGAAAAATTTCTATATTTTTTTATAAATGCAATGCGAAATAATTAATTTACACACCTGATTTATATTATTGTTTGAGAAATAATCATCGACTATGCAGGGATTACAATTAGTACGCATTTGCTGAGGGCTCTGTCTGACACACAAACTCATCCATCCATCCGAACAACCATTTGAAGGCAAGCAGTCACACAAAGCATATTATTACAATTACAAAACAGGTCCAACAAGTTAGTCAGGTTTAGCTTTCCCTCAGAGGAATAATGCCGCTGGCCCGTTACCGCACCACCACCACCACCATTAACAATAATAATCCGTGAGTGGATTTTGCAGGGAGAAAGCAGGAACGAGAGGAACGTATGCGGACGAGGCAGCCCAACAAAAGGAAGTGTTTGCCGTGTTGATTTAGCCTAGTGGACAATTTATGAATATGAATTCATCCGAGAGAGTTCGTGCTTATTATTACAGAAGCAGAGCAACTCATTAACACAAGGACACATTAATAACTGCCTGAGGTGAGATATTGATGAAAGTTGGAATGTATTTAACTAATGTAGTAATGGCGGCCTCAACCCAACTAAACTGCCAACCTACGCGTGAATGCCATTTTGCATTACTGCGCAAACTACATAAATGCCGAATTGTTTATTTAAATCGAATTTTATTCACCTTTACAATTTTTGGAAACATGATGTTTTGTAATTTCAAAGTTGCAAAATTTCGCTCTGGACTTGGGTTTGAATGCAGTTAATATTTATTCAAATAATAAATCATTCGTGGTCATTGCATTTTGAGATATCATAAAATTAGTAAACAACTCTTCATTATTATTCATTAGTATTATAATGTTGTATTTGCATGTCAGTTGTCGATAGTGCATAGGTACATACTTTCGTACAAACTGCTTACTGCTAAATATTGCTGAACCAAGAAACCAAAGCAAAGCTGAAAGGTACTTATTTTGAATTCCAGTGAACACAAATAATTTAATGTATGAATTTCATGCAAATTTGTACTACTTATGTAGTTTAAATTGGAGTAGTCTACTAGGAATTAATTTTTATTGAGCTCCGACACTATAATAAGAGGGTAAGAAAAATGTGAATCACAAATACCACGTAGAATGTCGTGAGAATTATTTATTTTCCTTGCGAAAATGTTCAGCCTCAAAAAAATTATTTTTTCACATACAGTTACATCATACATACATATCAATTTGCATTCAGGGAATTAATTGTGGAAATGGATGTTTAAGCTACATTAAATACCCACGCTTATGTAATTGTGTGTATACTTATTTACTATTAGATACTGGTATGTGTATCTGTAGACCGGCGCATGTACGTACATACGTACATACATATCTATAACACGTAGAAACAAAATTGATTAGCCAGGATTTGTCCTTTTATCCATGCAATTATTCAACATGAATAATAAGACAAGTTCCATTTAACAGTCTAGACTTTCATTATCTCAAGATCCAAGATCAGACTTGTCTCCTTCACCTTCTTCATCAGTTTAATACCATTTTGTCACAAGAAGCAATATATTCTACTCTACTGATCTGAATTTAGTTTACATATTTCTAACATCCATCAGCAAATAGAAGGATGTGGATGAATTCATGCTCGGGTCACACCGGATTAGATATAAATACGTACGTTCATACAACTATGATGCGGATGGAATGTTTCGATTCCAGAGATAATATTCAAACTGCTATAACTTCTAACCGCCATCAATTGAAACGGGTGCGTGTAGTGGCTATAGGGTGAAGTCATTTGAATAATTGAGAACCACCCTGATGAGATTGGAACTCAAATAATCACCGACCTCATCAACAAGCTCTCCTAAATAGCATCACAACCGCATTTCTCAGCACAATACAAGCAATATAAACATGATACCATGATGGTACATATTTAACTATATGCACATGGACTGATTGAAGGAAAAGCATTAGCCAATCTCCATTCTCAGGACTCCCGAAAGCTGTGTTTGGATAGCACATATAAATTGCTTCCATATTTTGCATAACATTTTGTCGCAGAAAATTCCTGTTGTTTTTCCAACTTTAAAAGTTTCAGCAGCGAATATGTACATGGGGTCCATCGTCTTTGGTCGTTTTGCTCTTTAGCTCTAAAGTTTTTACCCTATCACACTCTCCTCAAATTTCATCCAGGTTGATGATAACAAATGAGTTACGGGCATAAGAGATGGGGATAATCGGCTTACTAGTTGGACAAATAACACGCTGTTCTCAATTTCCTTCAAAGTTTCCTCCCAAATTCGAAATTGAATGCACTTGGGAGTGAAGAGTGCGCCGGGACATTTTTATTCAAATTATTATCTGCCCCTCTCTCTTCCGGAATCCCTGCACAGCAAAACTTCTGCTGCATGTACATACATCCATCCATACACAAGTAAGTGTATCCTACGTATATCTTTGCTGTACATATTACAATCCCAAGCTCAATGGGGACCTACGTAACGAACCCTAAAAACTTTACCCTCATTTGTCTTACTTTCACTTTCCATCTTATTACTTATCTCACTCATCCGGAGCTGCATTTCCAATTCAGACATTTTTCCTACTTCAGAAGTCAAAGTAAATAATATTGTATAACGGTTTTTGCTTCATTGGCATATTTCCCTCAAACTCCAACCTTTCCACGGTGAGGAAAGTTCCAAGTGAGTGATACCGCGTGCTTACGTGTAAGCAGCAACTTTTTCTGCTGCAGCAGATTTTCCTTGTAGCGAAGGAGGATATGTGCATATAAGCTTGGCGTAAAAATTATATGTACGATGCTTAATATGAATGGGATGGCTGGTGGAGAAAGGTAGCGTTTCGGGTGTGTGAGCCAGTTACGTTGCGAGTACAAAGTGATGCAATAACGAGATAAACTAATAATTGCTCCGTCTCGTATTTTTGGATTTTGCTTCCTCTTCCACATCATCTTGCTGATCCTGCACCTCACCTCCTTCCGTCAGCAGATGGCTTAATAGATAAAGTGATCAAGTGCGAGTTTTATTGGGGAAGAAGCCTCATTTCTCATCATCTTTAGCAATTTGGTTGGAAAGATTTTAAGAAGCTGAAAGGTTGGGAAAACATTGTTCAAATAGGCAGCTTCGCATCGCAAATTAAAATTAAGATGGTGAAAATTGAATGAAATGTTTAAGGTTCCGTGTATGCATAAAATTCATGCATGCACGATATTTTTTGCTGTCTTGTCCTACACCCCAGAAACGCGTTGAGCCATAAAATCTTGTGCGAAATGCAGACCATGGTCGCACGGTTCTTTAGAATTTGAACTTGTTTTGAATTTTGTAGTTGGTTTTGTCGGCTTGCTGAGAAGTGAAGGGATCCTTTCTGAATAATTAATGAGAAAAATGAAAGGAGAGGAATGATTGACGGAGCGTGAAGAATCTCTTGAGAATTGCACACTTGTTACACTCCCTCCGCCAACACTGCACCACCACCACCACGAATTTCACTTTCTCCCTTTCCAATGCACCAGCACAATAATAAGTCGTCTTAAAGATACAACGATGCGATGCAATGATATGTGATGGCAAACCAAATCGTTCCCCCAGCAAAAAATTCTTGGTCCAAAAAGTCAGAAAAAAAAGAAAGTCAGTCCAAGCACTGGAAGAGAATAAACGGAACGGAACTTTAACTCGGAATGATCAAACATTAAACAAGGGGAGAGAAATACATGAAGATGGAATGCAATGCATTTTTGTAAAGTCTCTGATGCACACACGAAATGAAGGTAAACCAATTGGGAATGGTGTTGGAAGCATTAACAATTTGTTAAATCTTATATATTTATATGCTATGCACGACATGCATATATTTTCAGAAAACAATCAACCAAAAAATGCATAAATAAAAGTATATTTTACTAATTTGAAAAGATACATGTGAAAATAATTAAATTTTAAAAAACGGGCATGATTATGTAGAAACTTGAGATTCTTTGCTACGCTGAGAATACACATGAACCAGATTCATGCAAATCTCAAAATCAACCCCTACCTAATCATTTCTGTATTTTATCACCGTTTCTTTCTTGTTTCACCAATGCTGAGCTTTGAATTTTGATCCTGTGATGATTTTCACGGCATGACTGAATACCTTGTAAAATTACATAACTGCGTAGTTTGGCTTTTGTAAACACGTTATATAAAATGCATATGTATGTATGTGAATGAAGGACATTGGGACGCGATAAACTCTAAACAGGACAAAGAATAAAAAATGACGTCATGTACCTATGTAACTGACGTAAATTGCTTTCGCATGTGCAACTTGGTGTGTAATTTCACGATGGTGGTGCCGACCACGCGTGCACTTATTAAGATAAGAAGGAACGGAAACCATTTTACATTTTCTAATTTAGCTTTGAAAACTTTGATGTCTTTGATAGTGTCAGCAATCCATCTACTTATGTACTTACTTACTGCGGGTATTATTCATTCATTTATGACTACAGTGAAAGATATGAGATTGATCATCCCACGGAAGGAATGCATCTTTTGTCCTACCCTCATTAAGTGTAACATTATTAATTTTCACTGTCAACTGCTGTTTCTTGCCAACCTCTCTAAGTGCACTCTCTCGGATGTGTCTCATGATGTAGGAAATGTGCCTTTCTTCTGTTTGTGCCACAGCGTGAAATATCGCGACGGGCTTCTTTTGTCTCCAGGTAGGTCTTTGATTCATCTTGGAAACTTCGACATCCGCTCGACACAAAGGAAAACAGAAGGGGATGACACTGCAGATAAGGTGGTTATTTCTTATCGGACGGAAGTCTATAATAAAGTGAAGGACAAACCACCATGTACAATCCACTTATGTGCACACCGTTCTCTGAATGTACATACATTGTTTCGACTTCACCTTGTACATACTTTCCTCAGCAGATCAAGGCTGATTAGTATTTTTGACATGGATTAACTGCTTTCCCGTTAAATTGTAGTACAATATAAAGTGGGAAATCTCAGTGTAATTTGTTTGCATTAAAGGAACACCTTTTCTCCTTTGATGTCAACCTATGTTTAATGGAAAGTATCTCTTTCATACTTTGTTCAAACCTCATATTGTTTTGCTGGTTCCTGTGCATATTCATGATACGTAAAGTAGCTTATTTATTTTCTCCCATATTTAGCTTCGAGCTTAGCCTACTTTCTTTTTCCTTTTACAGAGATAAACCCGATTTTGATTTTCGGAGAAGACAAGCACGAGGAAGGGGATGTAGAAAATTGAGACTGGATGACGTTGTTTAACTTTTAAAGTGACGGCAATGTAGCTCTACGTACATATGTGCGCAAAAATATGTATTATCCAGTCGCTATATATGTACGTATGTATGCTGCGTCAACTTGATGGACCCCATAAATCACAGCCCACCACTTATTTACCTCTTTATTTATTTATTTCCTAATTTAGGTGATAAATTGAAAAAGTGACCTAGAAGCTCAATCAACCCTAAAGAAAGGAAACCAAAGTTTGTTTGCTCTGAATTGACGAAGGGCGATCAATCCAGAGAAAGGAAGGAAACCAGGTAATGGAGTTGATGAACTGGAAAATTGTGTCGCATTTTATTTCATTTTATATCCGGTGCGCAACGTTGGGTTTCTTGGGGAAAGGAGTATAAGGACGGTAAGAAGGGACGGTTGGTTGACGCCACACAACGAATACATATTAAACGCGCCATTGATTTTTTGCACAGTATTGATACTAATTTTTTAGAAAGGTTTACAGACCCATAACAAGAAATTTTTCGCGTATAGTTGTGAATTTTTGTAGTTCAGTATGCATTTAAGTCTAGTTAATAATTTTTATGAAACTAAATATAATTTGTGGAAAACATTTTAAAATTCTTCCTTCCCACTAGGTTCGTACTTCCAGTGATATTGTTTCAGGGTTTGATCTTGATCGATTGCAATGAATCCAATTGGCACAGCTTTACCAGGCGTTGGTTTGCATGTTCGAGAGCTCCTGTAAATATCCCAGGGTTGTGGTTTGACGATTGGCAACACGTAAATTGATGGTCTCCTCGGAACTATACACAAAGATAAAATAAAAATCAAATTTCAAACCTGTACAAAATGAAGGGAAGAAATACATATGTAGGGGAAATAATCAATTCTGAAAATATGTAGATATACAAGGATATGAATTATGTAACAGGAGCACACGTACCTTTCACAGAATTTCTACGAGCAGGTTCTAACTCGTCTCTTTGTTTTCTGTATATCCAGTAGATCACGACTACAACGATTGCAAGTACCACCTGCAACATTAATTAATTGATTAATTCATATAGTTAATATTAAAAATATCGAGTCTGACCGGACCGGATACAAGAATCCAGAATCCCACTGATAGAATAATATGTAGGTGATATTAATGCATAAAAGTTCTCACCCCCACAACCACGAGCCTAATCGGGACTAGACTTGTTTGAGCAAATCGATGCATCAAATTCAGACTTCAGATTAGCCATTAAATCACTTCCAAAATGTCCTTCACCTCCAACATCCCCTCACCAACTAAAGTGAATGATAATTATGTGTTTATAAGCATTAATGGTGGTAGTAAAATGTATATGTAGCAGCAGGTTAGATAAATACACTCGCATTTGTACATATGTACAATCTCTATATGTTTATATATTCCGTATGCACGTATGCATTTGATATTCTGTGGTAATTGGATTAAGATATGACCGGATTTATAGTATGATTTATTCTTCTGGCAGAAAAATAGTTAATTATTCAGTAAATGTAATGCCGCTATATCGTGTAATCACCAAATCACTGATTGTATATTATTATTATTATATTCCTGAGTACTGAATGACAGAAGCGGGTACAATGTAGCTTATAACTTTACAACTTCAGACAAATGATGAACATACCACTTGATTTCAATTGCAAATCACGTTGGTTGTATAATTGAATTCACGAACAATTCGAAAGATTTTTTACGCAGTTGGTATCCTTCATTATATTTTGAACTCAAAATGAACCATATTTTTAAAAGATATCAAACATTTTTTTAATTTGCAAGCTAAAATATCGAGTCGGAGTCGAGTGAGTTTAAGAATTATGCAATTATTTGTTATGAACTAGTTTTCAAGTGTAATATGTATGTACGTGATCAAAATAATAACCAACAACCCTGGAATGGCACAGATAATGTATTTATTGGTTCCATAAAAATTGTAGCTCACGAATCAATTCTTCTGAATTTGCAAATTTTTAAATGCTTCTACTTACAGCTTGACATGCTACGTTCAGCGAGCTTTTGTAGACCTCGTTAATTCATCCGAACATAACAATGGAATTATTGGAACTGCTAAACTCATTACAAATACATCACAACACGCATGGCCATTATACATATGATGTTAATAATACCTAAATGGTGGTCGTTTGTGATTTGTTTAAGCAAATTATGAACAGTGGAATAACACAAGCGATTATTACACAAAAGCCATAATTTCACTTCAAGAGGGATTTGTTGGATTTAATTTCTCTCCAGTTAACTGATAAGATTATGATAAACGCTTACTCATTACATACGTTAGCCATCCCATGTTGGATATGGATGGACAGGGTTCAAAAGCCTAGAATTTTTTCCAACTTACACATCTTTCATTATCTAATTGTAAGCCAAATTTTAACCGGTCAATTATAATTATGCGAAAGTTATTATTCAAATCTTTAAAACAACTCTGGAGTAATATGAACCAAGGCATAAAAAAGTAGGTGCTTGTTTAATAACAGTATCAAGATTTTGTAATTGTTCTGCCTCTAAAACCATACACTTTTCTGTTGGATATATATACTAACTCTATGCACATTCTTCAGAGAAAAGGTTCAAGTTAGAGTGATTGACTGACTGACTAGAACGTGACTTGAAACAAATAATTTTGAGATGTGGCATAAACTTGCTTGCTTGAAGTGCCATTTCAATTTATTGCTTCTGTAAGTTGGGAATAATGACATATTAATCTCAATTCCCTAGGTCAGGTCTACAAAGACGTGTGCACATATATGTATTTAGTACATTATGGACCATAAGAAAGAGAGATACTAATGCATAATGGCTAATAGGTATTCAATGCATTGCCTTATGTCTATATGAATTTAGTATTCACTCTGGAGGTGTAATACGTACATACATACATATGTATTCTATCTTTTCGTCGTTGGGACACAAATTAAGAATAAATATGAATAAAGTTTGATTATGCAATAAATCAAATAACTCTTAAAGATACTTAATTCGACAAAGGAAAGGTGTATACGCATGCATGCATACACTTTTAGTTTAACACATACATAGAAGAACTTGCTTATTACAAAGAATATGCCAAGCTTAACCACCGAAAAAATGGGGATTTATTGGAAAATATACAGAATAATCGGTGTCTGTACACATCATTGTCATAACTTTAACTCAAACTTCATAAACGAGGCATGTTAAAACAATTCATTATTATTCTGGCCTTAGTGGCGCAGGGACTATATTGCTTCCCTCGGTAGCCTCGTTGGCTCGAGTAGTGGGAGACCACAAACTCCATGGAAGAGTGGCATTGTTTCAAGAGGACCACGAAACTACCCGGCCAGCCAGCTCGTTCCAGTAAAGAACAAAGAATTGAATTGGTTTTTGGTGAAAGTCAACTGAAAAGTGTTCCATCCTGTCAAAGCTGTACATTCAATGCAGTTACAGACTTTGCTCTCACTTTGAAGAAGGAAAATAACGAATGCAGCACACATCGACAGAGAACCGAGCAGGACATGGACAATCGAAAAAAGAGACAATAATAATTCCACTTGTGTTCCATTCACAATTTCACAACTAACTCACTCACTCAACCAGAGTGTGACAAAAAACTGAAAGAACAAAGATTTCTCCTAAATCCATAAGCACCATCCACTTCCACATGCATTACGACACACTCGTCCTATGTACGAGAGAGATGAAACGTGATGTTTATGATAAGGGCTCGAGCTTGTCGTCTCCCTCTTTCCGTATATGAATGCACATACATTCTTATTTGTGTGGGTGGGTTCGTGTGAATGTAACGTCAGCAGGGCATAGACGTACATTTTTGGTAAAATTGCACATGTGCTGGTCGGTAATAATATACTGCGTATACTATTATTTAAAGGGATGATAGTTCATTGCATTACTAAAACGGGGCTCAATTCGCCTCACTTTCACTTTGTGCTCGTCTTATTATTCGTCACTGCTTTCCATTCTTTGACTTGCATTTATTGTGTCGAGTTGTAATGGTCTGCTTATTTAGTCGTACAGAAGGTCGTGCTACATACTTGCCGTAGGTTAAATAATGACTCAATGTAGTCAATACTTACTCATCAATAAAAGTCACAGCTTCCATTATGCTTTAATAATTATGTATTATCACACTATACATGTAAATACAATCAAATTTTGATATTTGTAGCATAAGCTAAAGAATAAAATGCTGCATATACATCTTCACCCAATTATCGAAGTATTAATTTTATTAATTCTAAATTTTTTCAAGAACAGAAATCCAGTGTGTTAAACAGTCGGAGTACTCCGATACTAAAAATATATATTCAATGAAGAGATATTTGGGGATAAAATGCGATGTAGAAAGCAAATCCGAGAGATCCCACATAATATTGCACCTCTGAGAGAACCTCTTTGCAAAAAATAAACATCAAAGGCATTATACCACAGATATGTATGTATGAATAAGGAACTGCCACAATGTCCGCCTATATACGGAGTATAAGGGAATCCATTTGGTTTAGCTGATGGGGTGATGGTGTCCAATGAAATGAAGGTGTTGTCGCTTTTCAGCAGCTCCTCTACATCCACACTTTCCATTGATATTGGCAATACAAAAGAATGGGCTAAGGTCACATCACAGTACGTATGAGGACGACGACGACGACGACGTCGACGACGACACACAGGCCAGAGTTGAAAGCCGGATTTCTCCCCAGAACAAGAAGAATAAAGAAAGCTACTCACTTTGATGTCGCTTATTGATCTAAGAACTGTAGTGCCCATAACACACGCATGCATTCATATATTCTTTCATATTTCGAGGAAGGTGTGGACTCGCATTGTTATCCAGTCTCATGGTTAAGGTAAAATATTACTCACTTTCCTATCCAAATTGGGAAGAAATATCGATACTTACACCGTTCTGATTACTTCTACTAATCATGCAACACAGAGTACTATGCATTCTTTGTAAACCATGTATAGTATATAAATACATTTATGTAACAGCAGGCTGATAACGTCCTACCAGTTAAATCAATCAGATGTACAGTTACAGTACTTTCTTCAACTACATAAATAATGACGAGATGGATAAGTGGGTGAGGTTTAAGCCAAACATACGGGTTTTTATGGAAGACAGAGAAAGAACGTCGTGAAGCAAGGGTGCCATGAAATTTTTCTGCTTCTGATTGACAGCTGCATCACAATCTCCATTAATTATTGATTGATTGACTGCACCCTGATAATTTGAAAGCAACGATAGAAAGAATGCATGCATGTTGTTGTGTGGATGGATATATTTACTATGCAATGCATAAAAGAAAATTCAGTTTATTCGGTGAAAAGGTCGAGACTCGGCCGAGAGGCTAAATATTACAGTAGATACATATTATGAATGTGATGTATGTTTATTAGCGACAATGGAAGCAGACTTATTTGGGGGTCAATTTTGCTTACTTGGCTCATCGGTGTCCCCCACATATATGCTACTGCGACTACTATTATTCCGTATTAATTAGCAATAAATTTAGTCCTTGCGCACTCCACCGAACAAGAATCAATGCATAATATCCACTATTTCCTTAGCTCCAAACGTACTCTAAATATCCATCAGGAATATGCTACTTTATGTTGGTTTTTGCAGAATACTGTAAAACATTGGATATCTATATTTTCTGAAAACCACATTTACGGAAACAAATGCTATATCACACTCCCACAACACCCTTCAAGATTACTTCTGGTTCTTAACAAACCGCCAATTAACTCCTCTTGTTATCTTACCTTTTAGTTTTTACTTCAAATCTTGAGTGACGATTAAGGGAAAAAACAATTGAGTTGTTAAATGAAATGTTACGTAATTGAGTAATATTCCCCCATTTAATAGCATGTCGTATGTTATCCAAAGTGAAATCAAATTGCTGGGTCGAGAAGCCAGTCTACTTGCCATAAGTTGTTATTTTTATCGGAAGAAATGAAGAAAATAAAGAGCTACAGAGTTTGTATTAAGCGACTCTGTACATACATACACACACATATTGAGTACAGGATTACACAGTATGCACACATACTACGTAGGTACGTAGCCTATCTTATATAAAAGTAAATAGTACTACGAATAAGTATAAAAGATTTTAGCTTTCTCCCACTACATCATACTTCTCGGTTGTATCATAACTGTAGTAAGTGCTGAAAAAAGAACATGTTGGATAGTTGGCACCCAAATCACGCGTGAAAGAACAATGTTTCATCATGATGAATG